TACGTGACTAGTCCACAACTAGTATATGATTTCTTACCTCATTGATTTCGAAGACTTCCTGAGCATCAAATCCGTCATTTGAGAGCTGTACATTTGAGGATTCATCATCAGAGAACTGGACTTGGTTGATAAGGGGGGTAGAAGCAGCCATTCTGACTAGTTGACAACTAGTTGTAGTCCTGTGAAATTCGGAAAGAAATTAAAGATGATGGATTGTAAACTGATAACTAGTGCGTATTTATTGACCGCCTGACATGACCGCTAGACAAGGCACGTGATTACCTAATTTGGAATAGTCACTTGACGCGGCGGTTACTAATCGCCTAATTTGGACTAGTCGTCTGACACAAATTTTGGCCCACCTCAAGCTGACCTAATTCCTCGCTTACATCAATGTCTCCTGCTGCAGGGGGAGACGCTAACCCAATTCAGGAGTCGCTACCATGGCGTTGGAGTTAGGCACGAGAGGGTAGCCGAGAACTAAGCCAAACGGGGATAAAGGTCCTTCAAAGCGGCATCCCGGCAACCAAACAGATCCCTTCCCAAGGAGGGTAGTCCCCGGCCATCAGCCAATGACAAGCTTTCTTGACCGGTTTCCTGGGGTCAAAGCTCCTTAGAACCAATCAGAAATCTGTACCAGGACATATAGACTTTCGGAGCGGCACTCATGGAGGTCTTGAGACCCACAGCCGCCGTGAGGGTTAATTAATCTTCAGAATCATCCCAAATAGGGTCATCCCCATGTTCAGCTACGTATCCTGTCAGAACCCAAACAACTACTCCATTCGCTTGATCGCTGTTTCTAGGCTATGAAGGATTGCTGGCCTCATAGTTTATCGCTCCTGCCTGTGGATTGACTGTGTTCTATCTCTGCAATGACAGCGCTGCACAGATCGGCCGTCTTGCTGGAGGTGTTTTGCTGATCTCATTTATCCGTTTGACTCGATATGCCCAGTAGCGAGGCACTGGATTGAACTATCGCATTATCTTTCTTTCTCGTGATGTCTTCAGAGAGATGTTCTTCTCGCTCAACATATTCCCCACCGAGTCTTGCGCAACATGAAACCCCCTCTGAATTGCTGGAGCACCAACAAAAGCGACAGCGACAACAACAGCAGCAGCAGCAGCAGCAGCGTAAGTACCCCAACTCGTCCAACTGATCCGGTAGTTAGTTACACACACACTGACAATTGGCACCGTAACACTTAGAACCCCGCAGCGATGACCCTGAATCTCCGATGAAACCGAAGCGACGACGGCGTTTACCAACGACCGACGATGGGCCACCCAAGAACCAGATATTCTATTTTGTTGACTCGAACTCCTCATCGCGGGAGAAACGGGCGCACGTAATGCGGCACCATGTCCAGGAGAAACGCCGACAGCGCAAGGCTTCGAATGCAGACAGCGACAGCGACAGGATGTCGAGCCAGGGCGTCCGTTATGTCCCTTGGCAGGACCAGGCATTAGAGCACGAGGATCACAGACTGGGCGCGGCTCAAGACGGTGGAATCAATGGGTTCTCTTCTGGCAGTAGCTCAGTGGTATGCGATAGGTGCTAATTGGCTGGAAAGAAGGATACTGACAACTTCCAGTTTCGAGCAGGATACCCGCCTTTGAAACCGTCTTCCCATTCTCTTGCTCATATTCAGTCGACTTTACCTGTTTATGATATTCCTAGGAAAGAGTCCATTAGCAGTCTACCAGTGGGCTTGAGCCAAGAGGATCTGGAGCTAGCAGATTTCTGGAATACCAGATTGACTTACTGGTCGGGGCAGAACAAGCACATGAAGGACCATATTTTTCGAACCGCCATGGGCCATCCTTTGACTTTCCAGGCGGTCGTTTTAACATATTGCGCGCGATGGAAAGCCCAACTTTACAATTTACCAGAAGGCTTTGAAGTGCAACGTCATGTCGGACAGGCTGCGCGCGGAGTGGAAGAGGCCCTCGCGGGCATTATACCTATTCACGAGGATCATCTCGCCATGGCATTGACTGGGATGGCTTTACAAGAAGAACGATTCGGGCAGAAATCGATTGCCCGCGCATATATCGACCGGGCGGTTCAGATCCTTCGATCACGGGCGGGATCCAACAATGCGGTTGAAGTATTTCTACACTACGTGCGATATATTATGACACCCCCGAACCCTGGTTTTGGTATCGACTCGGACGGGAAACAATGGCTACTGACCTTCCTACGGGGAGCGGAAGAATTAATGCGGGAACACAACACCCCGGCGTATCTGTCAGTGGTCCCGCAACGACGCGAGGCCTTTCAGATGGACAGTCCCCTATTCCCATTACTATCTAGCGGACCTCGTCCATCACAGGTGCCCATAGAAGCGCGCATGTATGTGGTGAAGGATGCGCCAACACAGGAGATTACGCGGACGGCTGCCTTGATCTACATAACAGCAGCCTTGTGGGATGTTCAAGATTCGCCGAGTAAAATGAGGCGATTCCTTAGCCAAGCGGTGATCATAGCGCACGAACACGCCCTTGACCGGTCCCAAGCGTGCGAGACGCTTGTATGGCTGCTGCTGGAGGAACGGTGGGACGCGGACCTGCGCGATGCGGAACGAGGTTGGTCGACGGGGGAGTTGCTCAAAACGCACAAGCAACTGCGACCCGATTTACAGTTTCAGTTTACCGAGATCCTGATGAGTTTTTTGATGATGACCCCGCCGATAAGGGGGATCAGTATGTTTGCAGAGGAGCTAAACAGTTGAAATTTTACGGTAATTTTCTTGGTTCATTATTGTTCCTGGCAATTCAATTCGCCATGTGCATAATCTAAACGTAATAGTAAATAGTAGGAAACCATGGATCAAGCAGACTTTATACTGAACACATGATTTTGTCGTTTGGTAGACAAAACTAGGCAAAAACGAACCATGGCTCTCGGAGGAGGAATATACGACGCTCGCATGGCATTTCCACTAATGTGGTTTAGGCATAGTGGGCACATGTTGTTTGGGTCTGATTGGTTGTCTCAAATTTTGAAATGGACCGCTAATCTTGCCAATGGCCAATCATAATTAATCCGGTTCGAACGCTGATCTCTAGCGCCACATCATCATCGGCGCTATTGTCAGACTATTTTAGGCGATCAAATTCTGTCTGACGGTAATTACATATTATTGCATATGGTTCATCTGAGACAGCTGGGGCGCTTATACTACTCTGTAGTAGAGAGTACTTTGTACATGTATACTACTGTTTCTGTACAGACTCGTAAAGTAAACACTACAGTACTATGTAGTAAAAAGGGGTAGGAATGAACAGGCACTTGAATTCATCATGACGTATGTTGTGGCTGGAATGCTGAAACGCGGTCGGACTTCACCGTCCTAATAATGCTATGCACACGCCACAGTGGCACCGCCACAGGACGTGTCCCGTGGGATCGGCCCTGCAAGTGTGATGTTAAATATTTCTTTTTTCTTACCGTATTTTTGAAGCTGTGAACTCTGCTCTGTCTGTGGCTGCCCCTCGATCGAGATCTGTCACACGCCCTGTGATTTCTGATCTCCGTCCCGTGTTTTTTTTTTTTTTTTCTCACTTCTTACTTTCTCTCATATTCCTCCTCTGCTTATTGTTAATTGAGCCCCTCTTCCCTGATCAGTTTCCGTCTCATCTCATCTGTTGACGGGCATCTATCTGGGTTGTCGTTTCGGGTACCTGTACCGTCACGGCTTTCGTCACATGTTTTAACCCCTTTTCAATCAGTCCTCTTATCTAACTGAGAGGTCACGACTTCCAGGCTCTCTTAGCTAGGACAAACTGAGTCGTGCCCATTATGGATATTTACGGTATAGGCCGTCGTGGCCTTCATCAGATGGTCGCTCGAGCTGTAAGTCGTTCCATAATGCTACTATAACTCCATTACTCGGCCATGTCAATAGGGCAAAAAGACTCACAATTTGTCGTTATAGGATGATGACTCTGATGAGTCTAATTCAGCGACCGGTCTAGTCTGGGTCCTAGTTCCCTCATTGATTTCCGCAGTGGTCATGGTTCTCGTTTTCATCATTCTGCGGCGGACTGAGCGCCGCATGTATATGCCTCGGACGTACGTGGGTAGTTTGCGTCCCTCAGAGCGCACGCCTTCCTCTTCCACCGGTCTGCTGAATTGGATCAAGTCCATGTACAAGCTGCCTGACGAATATGTGTTGCAACATCACTCCATGGACGCTTATTTGCTGCTGCGTTTCCTCAAGTTGATCACCGTCATCGCCTTTGTCGGCTGTTGCATGACGTTCCCGGTCTTGTGGCCCGTCAATGCTACCGGTGGTGGAGGAGGGCAACAATTCGATATGCTGAGCATTGCCAACATCTCCCACCAATATGGTCGCTACTTTGCGCACGCCTTCATTGCCTGGTTCTTTGTGATATTCATCTACTTCACCATCACTCGCGAATACTTATTCTACATCAACCTTCGTCAGGCCTACTCTTTGTCCCCGGCCTATGCCAACCGTCTTTCCTCGCGCACTGTACTCTTCACCGCAGTCACCGAAGATTACCTCAACCGCGACAAGATCCGCCAGATCTTCGGTCCGGAGAAGGTGAAGAATGTCTGGCTCAGTACGGACGTGAGTGAGCTGGAGGAGAAAGTGGGTGAGCGCGAGGATGCAGCCATGAAACTTGAAGCTGCTGAAACCAAACTTATTACCCTGGCCAATAAAGCTCGTGCCAAGGAGCTTAAGAAGCAACAGAAGCAGGGCAACACCGAGGAGACTCCTGAGCTTGAATCCGGCGACGTTGATTTTGAAGAATCGGGCTCCGTTGCTGCACGCTGGGGCGTTAAGCAAGCCGACAGACCCACGCACCGCCTCAAGATGTTGATTGGAAAGAAAGTGGATACTATCAACTGGGCAAGGGAGGAGATTGAACGACTCACTCCGGAGATTGACGAGCTGCAAGTCAAACACCGTGCTGGCGATGCAAAATTGGTTACCTCTGTGTTTGTTGAGTTCTACGTTCAGTCCGATGCTCAAGGTGCTTACCAGTCTGGTATGTCGTCTACTCCCAAAGATTGTGAAAACCACGTTGCTGACCTCTCATAATAGTCGCTCACAACCTGCCTCTCCATATGGCCCCGAGGTACATTGGTCTCGATCCTACCCAGGTCATTTGGTCCAACTTGCGCATCAAGTGGTGGGAGCGGATTATCCGGTACACGGTCACGGTTGGATTCATCATCGCCCTGATTGTCTTCTGGGCCATCCCCACGGCCGTGGTCGGTGCCATCTCCAACATCAACTTCTTGACAAAGAACGTGTTTTTCCTTGCATGGATCGGCGATTTGCCGAGCTGGATCAAGGGTGTGATCACTGGTCTTCTCCCGACTGTTGCCATGTCTATTTGGATTTCGTTGGTCCCGGTTATAATGCGCTTCATGGCCAAGCTGGGCGGTGCCCCCAGTCAAGCGGCGGTTGAGCTAACCACGCAGAATTTCTATTTTGCATTCCAGGTGATCCAGGTGTTCTTGGTCGTGACGGTCACGTCTTCGGCTTCAAGTGCGGCCGGCAAGATCGCTCAAAATCCAACCGAAGCGGCCAGTCTGCTGGCCACTAACCTTCCCAAGTCGTCTAACTTCTACATCTCGTACATTGTTCTGCAAGGGTTGTCCTTTAGCTCTGGCGCTTTGTTGCAGATTGGTGGTTTGATCGTGGGCAAGATTTTGGGCAAGCTGTTGGACAGCACGCCCCGTAAGATGTACGCTCGTTGGTCGGCTCTGGCTGGCCTTGGCTGGGGTACCGTCTATCCCGCGGTTACTCTCCTGGCTGTCATTGGTAAGTTCCGCCCCCGCTTCACTCGCTCGATGAAGATCTATCGATTGGCTAACTTGCCATAGCCATCACATACTCCTGCATCGCACCCCTGGTTATGGGATTTGCCACGATTGGCTTCTACCTTTTCTATTTCGCCTACCGCTACAACATGTTGTACGTGTCTAATGCCGATGTCGACACGCAGGGTAAGGCGTATGTCCGTGCTTTGCAGCATCTCACGGTCGGCTGCTATCTGCTGGTTGTCTGCTTGATCGGTTTGTTCGCCATCGGAACCGCAGACGATCAAATCGCTCTTGGACCTCTGATCCTGATGGTCATTCTTCTTATCTTCATGATCTTGTACCACATGTCTCTCAACAAGGCAATGGAGCCTCTCGTCAACTACCTGCCCAAGAACCTGGAAGCTGAGGAGCAGAGTCTCCTTTCTCCCAGTGAACAATCGACCTCCATGGACGGTAATGGAGCGGTGGACGGCGATTCTGCCGAAAAGGCCACTTCGCCTACCGTCGTGTCTGATGACAAGCCCGTCAACTTCCTCGCCCGCTACTTGCGTCCCGACAAGTATGACAGCTACTACCAGTTGCGCCAGTGGGCACCTAAAGCCGACGACCTCCCTTCGTATACCCCTTATACCGAGGAAAACGCCTACTATCACCCGTGTATCAACGCCAAGGCTCCTCTTCTCTGGATTCCTCGTGATCCTCTTGGTATCAGTAAGCAGGAGGTCGAGCACACGAGCAAGGTGATTTCGATTACGGACCAGGATGCTTGGCTTGACGAGAAGAACGCTCTCCAGTGGGACGTTGACAAGGGTGTTCCTCCGATCTATAAGGAGAAGGTTTACTATTAAGCGAACGCGTTTCGTTGCGCCTGTATATCCGAGAAAGGGGGGTTTGTGATTTGACTTTTGTTTTGTCTTCTTGATACCCTGTTATCAGTCATGTCGAATCGACTGGCTCTTTTTGGATCATTTAAAAGATCTGATTATTTAATGTTTTTAACCCTTCTCGTACTGCTCATTATCAGTCGGATATGACACATTTGTTCGTCGATGTCGATAACTCTGTTTTATGACTTTGATCATGTGTGCTTAATATGACTTTCACTTTTTTCCATCCTCAACACATGACGCCATGATGAATTAGGAAACTGCAGCCTACCCAAAATCTAAGCCTCCCAACTTCTTCCAACCTCTGAATTGCATCGCACCGATTAAACCGCAGCCATGGTTTCTAAGAATTTCCCATTTAATACCATGACTTCAACATTTTCATTTCCAGCGAGACACAGAGACCGTTGCCGCTCAAAATGTCACCTACAAAAACAAACATCCCCTCATCTTCTACTACGAAAACGACGCCACGAACACCGAAGAGGACGTAAACTCCCTCAAAGACTGCCTGCACGATATCTGGGCTTTGAGATTTCTTCGGGCTGGTGGTGACGGGCTTATTTACTTGCCAGTCAAGCAACGGGCTGGATTCGGCGGCCTTCACATGTCGGGCAGGGCTGAAGTCAACCTTACATTAAGCTTGACTTGCTATGAGCAGTCGGATATTGAGTCAGTGAAGGAGTTGGTGGCGTCCTTGCCTGAGAGGATTCCGCGCAGGTTGGTTGAAGAGCGAGGGGTTGATCTGCGTTAGGGCTCCGTTCTCTTTGTATCAGATCATGTCTATCATATCAGCGTGTTTTTGCTTTTTCCAATGAACAATGAGAATTATGTTTACGATTTACTTGGAATGGCCGTAGGCCACCTAGATTTTTGTAGCATTTTTGGTATCCGGCTATCACTGGCTTTTTAGGAGGATCTAGCAGGCCTAGTAATGATAATTTATGAGCAATAACCCTTGGATAGACTGGTTATGGGTACCTAATACGACTTTTTCTTCTAGGAAAGAGAATATAGCGGCAACAACACGTGATGCTGTGTATGGAAGGTGCTACTTCACCTCGTCCCCCCTCTCTTTCATCCGTTTCGTTTTCTTTACCTATCTCTATGCCAACCATTTGAGCTTCTTTAGGTCCTTCCTTCATCTCTCTTGACGCTGATACGCGTATCTCTCCACACTTGACTTCAAAATTCCGTGACATCGCCCGTCCTTCTATCGCGAACAATGTCGTCCACACCGTTCACGCTTCGTCCTTCTCAGTCAACTGACCTGCCGCATCTCAGGACATACTTTGAGGCAGTTATCGACTATCGTCAACTCTCCTATGACCAGAAATGAGCCATCGTTTTCTTCTTCGAAGACAACTTCTCTGATGCCCAGACTGATGCCACCGACCTCGCTGATTGCCTTCAATATTTTTTCGGGGTGACTGTGAGTGTCGTGAAGCTGAGCCAAGATGACCAGATGCCGGCTTGGACACTAAGACACGCCATGAATGAGACTTTGACCGAAATTGGGCCATACAACATGAAATACAGGCGTTCACTCATGATCCTCGCGTACGTCGGGGACAGCGCCATCAACCAGACTGGGTCCTTGGCTTTGACTTCCGCGAATGAACAGCAGATCATACAATGGAGCACTATTTAGAAAACCCTCTTCACAAACATTGAGACCATGAGTCACGTTAATACGCTAGGAATCCTCGACGGTTGCCCTGTGCCAGAAAGCACAGAGGAGATCTCCCGAGCGGGTCAGGTCCTGTCTGGTGAGCGTTTCAATGGTGCAAACCTTACAGAGTGTCTCGTGGATTCTGTTCATGCGCTACGACAAAAGGGTGGGGCCTGGATAACTGTCGACGATTTGTTTGGGGGGCTTCGTCAGCAGGGGGCACACGGCAATTCAAGTGTAATGCTTGTTCGGCTCGGCGGCAACAAATCCATTTTGTTGGTGTTCAAGTCTCTGTCAATGTCGAGCAACCTCCAGGCTGAAATTGACGATGTTCGCTCACATGGGGGGAGGTTCGAAGCTGCTCTTAAAGCCACGGTACCTCGAGATGATCCGTCGGCCATCGAAGAACTTAGGAAATGGGCAGCGTCCACGCCACCAGGAACTAGGGCTAGGATTTTCGATGAGAGTGATATCGAGCTGGGTTTGGGTTGAATACTGTCTCATTATACGTCCATGTCGTGGGTTCAAACGTGAAATGGACAGGTTTTGCTTGAAGGGATTCTCTGACAAAGGATGCGTTGTTATAATACTACTGTTTTCTGTACGCATGCATTTGGCTGAACTTAGAATTGGGCTACTTAGTGAGTTATCATGGCCTCCAAGGCTGCTAGCAATGTTTACTTATAGATGATCAACATTCTGTCTTACCTTCGCTTATGTCATGATCATCCCCAACTGCAATAATAAAGTCATACATTGAATCTGTTGAGTAATTTACGAGCAATTCAGCAATTAACCAGCCATATCAGATTCTAATTCTTGTGTAAATGACTACCTCGCCGACACAACAACGCAATCACCGCAACAACCACCAACTGGGCCAATGTAGTCGCCAAGTTCGAGATAAATCCTTTTCGAAAATTCGGTGCATCAACAGCTGGATACTGCAGTAACTGAGTCCACGCCGACATGGCCTGCCCGATTGCATTCATACTGGCTGTGACAATGGCTCGTTCTTCGGCATCGTTGGCCATAACCACCGTTGCCCAGCTCATCGTTAACGGACTCATCGCTTTTCAGTTAGTATTGTCCATAGAACGAATAAGAGAACGTACCACCCTCAGAACCAGTCAGAATAAACCCAGCCAACCTCCCCTCCTCCCCAACATCCCACACGACCAGCAATATCAAGCCCACAAGCACCGGCATCGTAGCCACAACACACGGAACCCAAAAATTAGCAGCCCGATCAACAGTCACCCCCGCAATCAACGCAGCCACAATCGAAACTGCCGTCGCGATAGTTGGTAACGTGTTGATCCTCGACACGGAGTATATATCCGGCTTTGCCTTAAGATACAGACTAAATGGTGTCGAAGAGGCGAGGAAATTCTGATCGATGAGGATCCATTGCGCGACGAATACGTACCAGTGCCAGCATCCGAGGACGCGTTTGAAAATGTCCCGGGAGACTTTTAGTTGGCTTGGGCTTGTGAATTTCGCTAGGCGCGCGTTGGAAAGGATGTGTTCTTCTTCGGTTAGGAAGCGAGGTTTGCTATGGTGAGGGACGTCGGGGAAGGCGATGTACCCTCTATATATATGGTTAGCATTTTGCGTATTATACGATAGGGATATGAGAATCCTGCTTTATTGTATGATAGGACATACAAAATGCAAATCGGAATCGTAATAATCGTGCATATCACAAACAACCACCTACTCATTAGCCACCCATATACACCGTACCTAGTTATAAGAAACATACCTCCACCCCTCCAACCCATGCACATTCTCCAAATTGGTATAAGCAGCCGCCTGCAAATACCCAGCAAACATCGTTCCCAACGGCGAGGCAATAAAAAACAGCGAAACTCGGCGTCCAATCTCTTTTGGTTTATACCATGACCCAATAACGTAGATGACACCTGTAAAGGAGCACGACTCGCAGATTCCAATGAACACGCGCATGGTGTAGATGGTTCTGGGATTCTGTGCCCAAGCACAGCCAAACGTGAATAGTCCCCATCCTACTTCCAGCGTGGGAAGGACGATGTTGATTCGGCTGCGGGTGAGGTAGTAGCAGGCGGGGATCATGGAGATGCAGTAGGCTGCCCAGAAGGCGATGGTTATGTAGTTGATGTCATTTCCTGTTAGGTGCATGTCCTCTTTCATTCCTCTATGCATATGTTAGTATGGACAGTCCCATCTGTGATTTGATTTGGGACATACGAAACGTAAGCATTGGTGATGGCCTGTTGGTCGAGGTATTTGGTGAAAAACGACAGACAGCCAAAGGTCAAAATTAAGATGTCTAACTTCAGGACCAGTTTTTTTTCTACATGGCTCATATCTTTCGGATACCATTGTAGAAATGTAAGGAAGCGAATCCATAGTCCATCCTTATCATCAATTGATAAGACTTCAGTATTTGCAACATTTTTCGACCCCATTTTCGATTTATTCTTGTTGTAATAGTGCAGATGTTGGTCTATTAATTTATACTGGTGCATTAGTGCTGTTATCAGTGGGATCAGATTGTGTCATTGTAGTGGCCGTGGTGTAATACCCCTCCGTCGAATCAAGGTCAATTTGGCACTAACATTATACCATTGTCTAGATGTATCTATCAACTACCTAAATGCCGCAATTAATTAAATCCTGGTATATATATAGGTGGTAGATGTCAAGAAATATACGGAGTAAACAAGCCCTCACAATGCCCGTATGGCAATCTATAGCGAACAGCAAAATCCTTGCACTAAAAAATAGTCTATTGAACTCCATTTGTGTACTTATTAAGTGTGGTTATTCCGCTTCTTTTCACTTTGATCTCTTCCTTGAATGTGTTTGATCCTTTACAGAGTATGTCATGCGGAAGGGCTATGTACCAGAAATGGGCACGTAGCATAGAGGCTTGACCTAGGGTCGATCCTATGACCTTGATTTTCTGGGGTTGGATGGACTGATCACTTTTACCTAAGGTTTTTTTTTTTTTTTTTTTTTTTTCATTTCTCCTCGTGCTTTCTATCTTCTTTATTTTTCTCAAGTTCTCTTTCTCATGGAGTAGCAACAACGACACGTGACGATGGGGCCTAGCCAAAAGTAGAACCTCCAGCAACTCTCATCTCTTGACCCCCCAACAACTCTGTCATCCTTTCTTACCCCAGCATAATGCTTATAGCTTGAACGCCTTAGAGTGAGTTTTTTTATAAGCTTCTCACGCTATCATCATCAGAGTTACGGTCTATACTGACTAACTAACCTCGAAGACTCTAGTTAGCCCTCTTCCGTCTAACCATGGAAACCCCTTCAGAGACACGCGAACTCCCTCATTTCAGGGCTCATATCGCGAATGCCATCGCTGCTCAGGAACACTCATATAAGCACAAGCACGCAATTCTCTTCTTCTACGAGGAGAATGGTACGGATGATGAAAACGAGGCCGGGGCTCTCAGTAGCTGTCTGCAAGAGTTTTTTGGTGTCACTGTCACCATCCTCGAGATAGTAAGAGACGACAGGATACCCGCTGAGACGTTGCAGAATACCATCAACCAGACTGTCGACACGATTGGCCCCTGCGGTGACAAATATGAACGGTCGTTGATCATGATCGCATATATTGGAGAAGCTGTGGTGGATGATGGGCACGTATTGTTTGCAACGTCCACCTTTCAACAGGCAATATTCTGGGATACTATTCGAGAGGCTCTTTTCACTGACATCGAGAAATTGAACCACATCGACGCCCTGGGACTTATCGATTGTTGCAACGTCCCTGAGACCACGGTAAAAACTTCACGAAAGTGTCAGGTCCTCGCATGCCCGCGTTCAGGTTCAGGAGCTTTAAAGCTCACACGGCGGCTTACAGATGCTGCACGTCATCTACAACAACAAAGCTCAGCGTGGACGACCGTTGACTCTTTGTTCGAGGAAATGCAGCGTCAAGACTCGAAGCCCTGCAACTATGCTCCGGAAATGGCCCTGTATCAGATTAGTGGTGACAAGCCTATATCTCTGCGGTTTAAACAACTACTGGTGACGAAAGAGCTTCGGGAAGAACTTGATGGCGTGCGAGGAGACAATATTGAGGATGTTTTTAGAATTACTATGCCCGATGAGGATTCGACGCACATGGAGCGACTGAAAGAATAGGCAGCGGCTGCGCCTGCGGGTGTTACCGTCAGTATCGTCGACAAGGACGGAAACAAGGTATTTTAGGGCTGAATGTTGTTTATCGCTATTGGTTATGTCTGTTTGCACGAGCGTGGTCTTGAATGGTCCCCGAGGATTTACTTGGAGTGACCAGGTCGACCAATTACTGACAGGGGTGCTGTTCTATACTCGTGCTTGATAGTTGCATGTACTTATTAGCTCGGACTAATCCCACTAATTCTCTTCTATGCGACCGGTTTGAATAGCGTGCAGCATGGGTGGGGGGAATTCGCCAGATTTCCGACTCACACGTGCAAAAACAATTGAAGCAAGAAATCACGAGTCCTTTCTGGCATGCGATTTATAACTTTGCGAAAGGGGGGAAAAATCAAAAAAAAGGTCCTGCCCGGGATCGAACCGGGATCGTTGGAATCAGAATCCAAAGTGATAACCATTACACTACAGAACCAATCGTTGGTTTAAGGCGGGAATTCTTTGCTTTATAAGCAAAAATTGTAACTAACGTATTCGGTAAGCGAGCTGGCCACCCAACCAAAACGCGTCCAATAATTAGCACTTGATTAATTCAACCACCCACCATGCCACCAACTCGCTCCCAAACCTCTAGAAATTCAATTGAGCAAGAGGGTAGGATCTTATTAGCTATACAGGCTATTAAAACCCAGCAAATTAGCGCTATTCGTGAAGCAGCTCGCCGCTTTAATGTGCCGAGATCAACCTTGTCAACGCGCCTCCAAGGCGTACAAAATCGCGCGAATTCTTGTGCCAATTCCCATAAATTGACAGAAATCGAAGAGCAATCTCTTCAGAATTGGATCCTCTCTTTAGATGATCGCGGAGCAGCTCCCCGGCCTTCTACTGTACAAGAAACTGCAAACCTTCTTCTTGCAGCCTGAGAAACCACCCCAGTCCAAACTGTTGGCAAAAAATGGGTTTATAACTTTGTGAAAAGGCATCCGGGGCTTTCATCCCGATTCTCAAGGCGCTATAATTACGAGCGCGCGAAGTGCGAAGATCCAAAAATCATCAGGGAGTGGTTTAATCTTGTTCAAAAAACTATCCTTCAATACGGCATCGATCCCAACGACGTTTATAACTTTGATGAGACTGGTTTCGCGATGGGATTGACGTCAACCGCAAGGGTTATTACAAGGGCTGAATACTACAGTCGGCGATCGCGTTTACAACCTGGAAATCGCGAGTGGGTGACTGGTTGAGTGTATTAGTGCATCAGGGTGGGCGCTTCCACTGTGCATTGTTTTTAAAGGCAAGGTTTACATCAAGGGTTGGTTTGATGGCCTCCCGGATAATTGGCAATTCAAAGTAAGCCCAAACAGTTGGACATCTGATGAAATTGGCCTTCGTTGGCTTGAAAAGCTCTTTATTCCATCGACTTCTTCATGCACGAAGGGACAGTATCGACTTTTGATACTCGACGGCCACGGAAGCCATTTGACCCCGAAATTCGATAAAATCTGCAAAGAAAACAATATCATACCAATTTGTATGCCTCCACATTCTTCACATCTTTTACAGCCGCTCGATATCGGTTGTTTTGCGGTATTAAAGCGCTCATATGGTTGGATGGTTGAAATCAAGATGCGGAATGGAGTAAACCATATCAACAAATTTGATTTCCTTGCAGCCTACCCTTCCGCCCGAACTGAGGCCTATAAAACCAATACTATTAAAAGTAGCTTTGGTGCTGCCGGTTTAATACCTTTTTGCCCCGATTGAGTGATCTTAAAGCTTGATATTCTCCTTCAAACCCCTACCCCCCCTCCGAGCCGGGGCAGTGATTCTAGCCAAAATTTCACCCCAAAAACCCCATTTACTGAGAAACAGCTACGCCGGCAAGCTTCATCAATTCATGCTTTACTCCGTACGAGATCCCAAAGCCCTAGCCCGGCATTAAACCAGCTAATTAAGGGCTGCCAACTCTCGATGCAAAGCGCTATCTTATTAGCTGAAGAAGTAAGGGAATTACGGGTTGAAAACGAGAAGAAGAAGCAAAAACGGGATAAATCCCGAAAGCAGATGCCTTTAGCAGAAGGCCTCTCAGTTTTGGAGGCCTCTACATTAATTAGGCAGCCAGAGCAAGCAATTGAACCCCCTCCCCCCAGCCAGCCAGAAACCCCTTCGCTATGTTTACGGGCACCTACACGGGCGCCACGAGGATGTGGGATGTGTAGGCTGCCAGGCCATAGAAGAGAGACATGTCCAGATAGACCAATTAGTTAGTTTAATCAAATTAATGGGATTTTGGTTGAGATGAATGCCTTTAAGATTAGCGGGTTGGTTTTGGTGGCCAGCCCGCTTACAAGGCCAGCTCGCTTACCGAATACGTTAACTAGTTAGTTAACTACTTACAGTACCCACTCGCTATTTGCAGAGGATAGCGTTCCACGAGATCTAGGCTTCAGTAACCGCTTAATGATATCCTTCGGCTGCAGGCGAAATTCCTCCTTCCTCAACTCATCATTAAGTTTCACATTGAGCTGATCAATGTCGTCGATTACCCAAAGTCGTGTCGTGAAGATCCCGAGGGTAGCATGCAACCTCTCAAGCTCCAGGCACAAAAACGGCCAGTCAAGCTCAAGTTCACTGACCTCATCCATGAACTCCAAATAGACATTAGCCCGTCGACGCCAGTACCGATCCGGAATGGGGAATTGGACGGCATTGACCAGGTTCCAGAGGCCGTAGTAGTCCAGACAATTGAATAGCAACCAAACGACATCGAGAGGTAGGAAGAATAGGCGGCAGTTCGAAGGCATTGAATTATCCTTATTCATGTGTTTTTGTTTACGTCGTCGTTTCAAGGCTTCTTGGGCGAGTCTGTTGGTTTTGGGGTGTCTTAAGGAATCTGCTCTCCCCTACCCGTTAGCCCAGGTCTCCTTGATAGATGAAATCTGCACTAGTTAGCCTTGTCTCCCAATCTCAATCTCCGGCCACGTTGGCAATCCCCTCCCCACTGCAGTTTGCAAAGTAACCGCCACGAACAATCCTAAATGATCATGAACACTCGGTCCAAAGATACGCTCTGATAAATCCCAGCACCGCATGTGCACGGCAACGGCTACATCACACCAATCCGTCTTCTGGTGATAGTAATCGCACCAAAAGTTGACGGCTAAATGGTAATACCGAGCGAGACCTTGCTCGTCCTCGTCTGGGTCCCCAATTATAGCCCTGTCCTTGTCTAGTGGCGGTCGTAGATAATCGTGTTCGGTTATGCAATGGCCAATTCCTGATATTCGGAAGATTTCGGTTGTTTGGTCGTACATGACTGGAGTTGGAGGAAGGATGGGTTAGCATTAGGGGTGGTGGTGGTAAATGCAGCACGTATTCAAGCGATAGAGACTTTCCCAGTTTCTGGGTTCCCTCATGAAGTATTTGTTTTCGAGCTTCTTTGGGTCAACTTATAGCGCATTGTTATTATAGGACTGTCTCCAGTCTTTGTCTAGGAATAGATCCTTGGGCCACCCTGTGCTGGAGGGATGACCACATATAGCGCAGAAAGTGCCGAGCATCAGAATACTTCAACTGTCAAGAGATCAGTGAGAGAATGCCTCTACTCAAACAAATATATAATCTGTTTTCTGATGTCATCCTGACTAGGAGACTGTATACAGTCAATCGAAATATATGTGAAGTAGTAGAGTAAAAGAATTAAAAGTCCAACTGTACTGCAAGTGAAAGGGGATGGATCATCTATTGCCTTTCTAGAAGTCTTGTAGAATCTAGGAATTCAACGTTGTTGTAGACCATCATCTATTTATTTTTTGTATCTGCTGAATGCCTTTCTTTTTTTTTCTCTTTATTTTCTAAGAAATCAGTGCTAACACTTGGAAAAGTACAACCAAATTGGACTCTTTACCTTGAATACAACTCGTTTTCGATGACCGTAAGGGCAATATTTCGGAACCCGAATACGATATTGCACCGCTACTTTCTTCTATGCGCTCACGTCACGCGCGATTGATAAGGAATTTACGGACTACAACTCCCATCACTGGATCCAGCCCAACCAGCCCAGAGTGTCCCATCTTCGACCTCCGAGTGCATTTGCCAGTGACCGATCACTGAACGGGTGATGGGGATCCTGATCAAAAAGGCGGGAAGAGAGAGCGACGACGAAGCAACATGGACCGGATTGCTGTTTGCCCTGTTTGCCTTAAAAAAAAAAAAAAAAAAAAAACCTACCCAATCACGACATACCTCAGCCGACTTTCATGGATTTGGAGGTGATGTCAACCGTTCCCGAGCTCATAGCGCTAAGAACGCAAGCCAGACGTCGATTATATTGATATGGGGAGATATCGCATTGATCAGATAATCGTTGGAGTTTTATGTATTGTCTGCAAAAGCTGCAACTATCGTCCTGAGGCAAGAGGTCATTTTTGGCTCTAGTACGGAAACAGTACGGCCTTCCATCACGGAGCTCCGCCTGTATACCTGATCGAAGGCGGAGACTGCATGGAGCAGTCCTTGGCGAAAGACAATGACGGAGGTAATTTTGTTAACCGGTTGAAGGCTGAAAGGTGTGTCGCGACTCGGAGAAAACAACTTGAGAGGGGGAAACGACATATCAATATCTGGGCTACAAAAACATCAGAGAGCAAGAGTTTGAGGGGTTGGAAAAAGCACCGCACAACGGCACTGTATTTGTTTAATCTTGATACAGGCGATTTGACCATCAAAGTCATGCCTAGCACGCTGCATGATTCTGCGGCGGGTGTGCTTCAAAACACGATGGTCATGAGTCTCAGAAATGAGGTCGATACCCTGCCCATCTCTCGGCCTGCTATTCACGCTCAATGAATATTCTAGTGCCCGACAATTGTGCACAGAAATGCACCAGACCAGATATCGCATGCAGAAACCAATTTCTTGCAACATTTTTGGAGAAACATCGCTTTTACGAAGACAAGGAACTGAAAATGTACCCACAGCCGACACGGCTTGGGGAATGTGGGAATACAACCCAAGCTAATACCAACCTAGCAAATTGCTAGGCGTGGAAAAGATCCGTGGCATTATTCTCGAGAATGTGTCGTTGCTTGTACACAGAGTGCCTCATTCGGGGTGTTCTGTCTTGGGGGGGAACACAAGTTAAGAGTTATAGACATTAATGGCATGTTAAATAGCATCGACATAAAGCATATTGGTTCGCGAGGGGGAGCTGTGGAGCAAGGGGACCTTTCTTTGCTGGATGATGGTGTGGTGGCCGTGGACGAGGCAGGAGACACGGGTGATTGAAGGGGTTCGTAATTGATGTGAGAGGAAGGCGTCTTTTCTTGTGTGTTTGCTGGATCAGTATAGTTTATCGCTTGTCGATGAGCCAGTGAAAGACGTTTCGTGGTTGGAGCGGGTTTTGTCTTTGTCACCCAAAGTTGAGGAGTAGCTTCGGTGATTTTTCTTGCTGTCAGGAGGGAGACGCAGCCCTAAAGACCATATAAGCACTGTATTCTGAGAGATGGCAGTGGGAAGAATTGTACCTCGATAATTTCCGGCATAATGTCGTAATAGATGCAGAAATGTCGGTAGCTGTAAACGGTAACGGTCTAGACTTGGCTGCGAAAGTGTGATACGTAGTAGTGACATCTTCTCAGGAAGGTGCGGAAGGCACCTTCACGGATAGGTGGCATCTTGTCGATACCGAGAACTTTCAAGAACCAAGGATCGTTATCTTTGCAATCATCTCCGAAAATGGACATTAAACGGCTCAAGAGCAGCCATACCACATACCCATACCCGGCTGTCGATGACGCTGATCAAGATCTGGACCGCCGCCCGGAGGCGGAGAAGCGTGAATGGGAGCACCGTCTGATACAAAGTATGTCAACCAAACCAAGAGGCGGGCGCTCTGTGTCGCTAACATGAACAGGAACAGATTCAATGGAGTGGGGCACTGGTGAGAGGGCATCCTTGCGGGCTGGATTAGAGCCGATGACCACGAGGGACAACGAGAGACTCCTCCGAACGCATCACAGATCCCTATTGAAAGCCGCAATTGTATATATCACCACCTCGCCCTTCGGTAGACGCATTTGGTTGATATCATGCAATGCCCCTGACATTACAGCTGGCGGGCTGGACATCCATATCCTCCCTGCAGGTTATCCACTGAAGAGCCCTCTCATACCGACCCCAGCAGCACAGTTCATACTGGCACAGAGCCTGGTGAAGGGACAGATCAACCCACGAAAATTTCTGACAGAACAAGACCTGGAGTCATTGCGCATCCTGTTCCCAAAAGCAATTGGGGCCCAATTACTGATTGCTGGCTTCCTTCGCATGTTGTTCGATAGCATTGCAGACGTGGAGTGGACCCACAACCTCGGCTACCCGCGTGAGGTGGGCGGGCTTGTTGTACTTCTAGATACAGCAACATTTAGTGCAACAGCACAGAATATTGAATCAGGTGCAGTTGCCTCAGATACAGAGGCAAAATCAGTCGGGTGTTTGGGGTTGAAGTTGAAATTGCCAGGAGGAAAGACGGTTTTAACAACAGTGACCCACGCTTATGTGCGCAATCCTGCATTGCCAGTGATTCTTATGTGTGTTGCAGATTGGGTGATTCGGGCAAAGAATGCACTCTATCGTTTCCGAAATCCCCACTTAGACCGGGATTCCCGCGCGTATGGTGTATTGGGCCAGAGCCTGTCCAATAATCCAACAGGCAAGGATATTCTGCTCTTTAAAACAAACACAAAGGTATTCCTCGTCTGAGAGCCATACACTCTCCTTAAGGAGTCACGCTCACCATTATCATAGGTCGGGATGATTACCCACTGCTTCGACAACCCGAGCCCTATACTCCCATTTCCAGTCGGGTACCGGCATGACCTCTCCTTAATCGAGGGAGAAACTCTACCTGAAGTGGTGAGCCCTCCCGGGTATCCTATCATCTCCGCATGGGCCCCATATGAAAAAGTCCTCGCGGGGGCGCCACTATATGCTGTGGCCCTCAATGCTCAGACACAAAACTGGAGAGTGGTTGAAGGAGCAAAGGTAACGCCTACAGTGGCGAATTCAGTCCTGCTAGGAAGTGAGTATGTTTGGGATCATGAAGCGAGTGATCAGGCTGTTGCAATGCTGTGGCGGTCTAAGGATGATGTGGACAGTGTGGGAGGCTACTCTGGCTTAGTGCTGTGTACCGGCACCCCAACAGATCAGCATGGCGAAGCTGTCGTTTTTCAAAATTATGAGACTGGTCTAAGGATGTGGGAGTCAGAAGGATCCTCATTGCTTGCAAACATAAAAGCCGGTTTTCTGTTACCTGGGGAGATCCGTGAGTCGATGATTGTGGTCCCTGGTCCAAAGCAACCGATTAGTTACAACACTGTGTGTGGCAAGGGGAGCGTCATACAAGCAGAAAGACGATATCCATCAGGTCTCTGACCTATTTCGCAAACGCCATTGTCAGGGACCATGAACTTTGCTTGCGAGATATGGGTAATAGATCGAGGAGGGGTGGGAGAATTAGGGTGAAGGATACTAGGCGGGAAGCGCTTTCATTACAGAAGGGGCTAGCTACTATTTGTACTCTGTACTACAGCTGCCCTAGTAGCAAATCATTACACTATGTGGGTTTATCTCATTCACCGTGCTCCGTACTTGTACTCCGTATGTGATTGACGCCACAGTGTGGTTGTTGAGGCGAGGCTGTGCCTGGGGGTTGCCTGTTGACAAGGTAGTAGTGTATATAAACCTGTCCATCCCCCAGATCTCTTTTACTTCCTTCTTACAACAATATACCATGGTAAACATCGCGACATCTGAAATCCAGGTCCACAAGTGACTTGCCCACCAAGACTGTCAACTTGACGCCTACGCGAGTGACCGCACGAAAATCCAGGTTCATTTCCCCCATCTGTCTCTCAACCAGCGACCAATAGGCCAGTGGATAGGAACATTGCCAATATCTTCCAGAGAAACCAATCGGAATCCAGGGTGCATTGGTCTTGTCGACTGCAGCGGATAAATATGGTTTGCGCTGAAATTCGGAGATTGTCTCACCCTGAGGATTCATCGGTAACGATGTATGTTTTTGGATTGTGGCCTTCATTTTGGCTGAAGCTGTTATGGGAGTCTACAATCAAGGCTGGCGAGTTTGGGCGTGTTTCCTCAACTTGCTGGTTGGGATCCATCTTCAACAAGTGCAATAACTAACCGCAGAATATTTCCTACAATTTTGGCATTTTGGCCTTTTTGAAAGTTCTCCATTTGCAGTTTTAATGACGAGGCTGTGAGAAATCAGCCTTATACCATGGAGGGTAGTGTAGATCAAGATCTCTTTGCTTCTTTTGATCTGATATCAACTCCTCAGCTCCGTCCAGTCAGATGGTAGCTTAGCTAGATGCCAGGCAGTTCCGATCTGCCCGTCGTATGTCCCGATCCGGGACCAGGGTCTTTCCGTGAAAAAACCCGCGCCTCCCCCCCCAACGTTAAATAGATACATACACACACACACACACACACACACACACACACTACTACTACTACTACTACTACTACTTAATCAAGGAGAATAACCAACGGCCTGCTCTCTCCCACGGAGTAAAGCGGAGAAAAATGCATGGACAACTATACAACCGTTGCGAATCCCCTCCGTAGTGGAGATCGCTGTCATCTTTGAACCCCGACACCCATTATTACTCCGTAGATACTCCGTCCGTACTCTGTACAGTCAACCAAACCCACCTACAAGCACAATTAAACACCGCCAATCCCCGGGAAATATCTCCAACCCTCCACGCTCACCCTTATATTAACATTAGCATCCTCGGCCTTAAACGGCGCAACAACAGATTTTGCCTAAAACAGAACAATATACGAAACACAGAAAAACCACCCCACATGGTGTACATTAGCGTCCGATCGGAAAGGATCCGCTTCCGGACGGCCGAGGGCTAGTGGTAATTTTTATTAACTAATGGAGGACGGGGATTACGGGGATTACAGCGGGGCCGGTATTCCGCAGGTAACCTTTTTGATACGGTGGGACCCACGGTGGGTTGCTGTTTTGGGTTGTGTACAGGTTGGTACGAGTCAATGTCAGTTGATTTAGGGAGGTGAGTTTAGTTGAGGATATTACTTGTAGAAGTATGTAGAGGATGGGATATATACTCTGATTGTTGGTAGATGTTGGTATGTAATTTCATGATAATAGAGAACGCCGCCCATGCCAACACTATGCTTCAGTAAAAGTAAACAAATAATGCCAATGGTAAAAAAGAAATATCGAAGATATATCGAAAATAGGTCCGATGGTGATAGTCGGAATTGACAGAAGGAATAATCGTAGATTTCATGGCTTCTGGATAACCACGTGGTAAACGCAAAATCGCTCGCTCAATAACATCACAGGAAGACAACGACAGGATATCAGGAGAATCACGCTGGTGCACGCCCCATGCGGGCCATACGGTTGGCCCGGAATGCCTTCAAGTCAATTGCTTCCAAAGATGCCGAAGTGTCATCATCGACTTCGATAGCCCCGGTCGCAGCCCCGTTTGGTGAGGCGGGTTTGAGCTTCTCATTCGGCTCAATCGCGGATATAGAGGTTGATAACTGGGGTTCTATCGTTGTTTCCTCCTTCTCCGGTTCTGGTGGTGGCCGTTCTTGTTCCTTCAGTCGTCGCACTTCAACGCTAGACATATCAAGCAGCATCTTGAACTTCTCATCCACGCTACTCAGTTCCGATTTGCAGTCCCCCGAACGGAGGAACTGGTAGGCAGCCGACTCACACAAACCGTGAGCCACTTCCAGTTGCTTGTCGGCAAGATCGAATGCAGCGGTCTCCTTCTGCGGCCCCGGAGGCCCTCGATTCCGTGCACTGCGAATGCTGGACAATACTGCGTCTGGCGGACCGCGGCCGGGCATAGAAGGCATACCTTGTCGGAAGCCCATACGTGGAAGCTGAGACATTCGCCCTCGTCGGATGTTGTTTCTGGCCGTCACGATATTCCGAACCATATCCTCCAAAATCTTCTGCGTATGACCGTCATAGTTGATGATAAGGTTGTGCCTAGTACTGACGAGAGATGCCGTTGGATCCTCGAAGCTCGCGGCGGCATCATCGTCCGTCCTTCTCTTTCGGGAGTTCTCGTTAGACTCATTCTGTGCGCAAGAGTCATTGGCAGCCGGATCTTGATTCTGGTCTGCAGCACCGGTGGTAGGAGTGTCGGGAATCTGAGTCGATGGGAATATATCTTCTGTGTGGATAGAGCAAACAGAGCTGTTCTTGCGCCGGCGTCTAGGCTTGCCTGCTGTTGTCGCGTGTTTCTTATAAGCTTCTGCATATTCGGCGTTTTTGGCAGCGGTGTGTGCAGCCAGGTCGGTAACACGAGTGATCCAGGTTGGTAGGTTATCGGACAAGTAGGAGAAAGCCCCGAGGGCATCCATGGGACCGGCGGGCATCGCAGGCGTACTCGGGATTGGAGAATAGGGCGAGGATTCAAGAAACCGGTCCAGTCAAGTAGAAGATAAAATGCAAGGCAAATAAGGTCTATAATAGTGGTTCAATGGGTTGAAAAGAATCGAGTCGTGCCGTCGTGAGTCGTTATGAAAGGGAGATGGTGTGTACTGTGGCGGCGTTTCGGGCTCTAATTGATCTCCATGGGGGAAAGTGGAGAGAACAGCGAGCTTGAAACCGGGATTGTCAGAGGGTTTGCCAAATAATAAGGAGTATTCGAATTTGGAATCAAACAACAAGAACAAAAGAGAAATCCCAAAGTTGACATGGACAGATGAAGTTCACAAAATCATTAAAAGAGAAGAAGAAAGTGACAGGGAAAAAAAAAAAAGACAAAAATGGAGCCGGAGAGGAGAAAAAAGGAACGGAGTCCAGCGCCAACAGAAGCCCGAATGGTCCCCGATGCACGCTATACCGTATCATTACCGAGATTGTTACCAACCATGCCCAATGAAAAGTATTCCCGACTCATTTCCGATATGCAGTTGAGTCACTTGCATCTCATTGGTTGTAGCGTGCGTTCACTTGCAGGTTGTCTGCATGTACTTGTACTTACAGAGTAATCCTATTAATGTCGCAGCCAGACTGTCTTGCATCGTAGCATTTTCTGTCGAGTATCTCACTGGTAGACATTTCGGCTGTTAGCATACTCCGTAGTAGTAGAAAAGATGTTGAACAAGCGGTGTGAAAACCCTCGTACTACATGTACAGCACAAGTTTGTATACAGAGCGCGGAGTTTTGATCTTATCAAATTCTTTTACAAACAAGCTCATTATGCGTATGTGCTCCGTAAATGCGCTGGCACTTCATTAAGTACAAGTACCTGTACAGAAAAGTACGTCACCAATGAAGATCATGAACACTGTGAAGCATGACCATTGACAGATAACGGTTGGATAGAGTTAGACTTTGGATTTGAGTGTTGCTGTCAATATAAGATGCTTACTTACCTTATAGGTCACTGTCAACCTATAGCCTAATAGTATATACTCGACTCTATGTTTAGCATGCAGCAGTCAAGTCATGAAAAATGAGAATGACATGGTGGTAATATAATACAATAAATACCACGCACATGGCCAGGTGGGTCGATCGCCGGGCGGAAACCCGCCCGGCATCTCCACCCGCAGGGCTTGGCAAGGGCTCCTTGAAAGATACGCATAATACGGCGAGCTTTCCCCGAGTGCTACTCCTTCATTCAAAAATATAAGCTATCAATGATGAAATTAAGCTCAACATTATAGTTATCCTAACAAAGAAGATAGACAAGAATGCACGAGGAATCTGTCATGCACGCCCGTTACAGGAAGCTAATCCCAGTCCCGGTCAGTCTGTATGCCATTCCTACTACGACCGGACAAATCCGTTTAGGCCGAACAGCGCCGATTTTTAATTAAGACTGGATCTAAAGATTGAGTAAACAGGTTAGTTACGGAGTTCTGTCAGTTAGACATTATCCACTCATGTGATTCCCATGTGACTGACACCCCCCACAGTCTAGCGGTCGTGAGTTTAAATTATCATACGGTTTACTCCATACGTTGCTCAGCAGCGCCAACTACAAACATGTTTACGAGCAGGATGAGTACTCTTTACGAATGAGAGTAAACACAGCCTTGTCAAGACGGTTTGTACAGTCGCCTTTGTCAATCAACATTACCCCTCATCCTTCCTGCATCCCCTTCGGGCCTTCCTTCCCTCATCAACCCGTCTGCGCCGCAGAACATGTGTCAACATCAACAGGATCATTACCAAGTCTGGCCAATGGACCTAGCCCCGTAGATTTGCGGTGACGACGTTCGGGAGATGATCGAAGGCTCGGCCCTCGTGACAATTTTTAAGCCTGCATGTTGGCGGATTCAAAGTACGTGTATGGTGTATTCTTGCTGCGAGAGTGACATGTTGAGGCTCAGGACGGACATGGGTGGTTGGTTGTTTTACTTGTTCTGGTAAAGACTCCGCGGCTATGGCTGATGCTGCGAAATGACAGTTAATGGTTTTTATACAAAGTACGAAGGAGCTGCTATATCCAGGGTAGGGAGTACTACTTGTATAGAGAGCACACAAACGACCATCACTGCTCTACGGACTATACGATATCTGCCACGAAATTACCAAACCGAACGCTGACGTCGTCTCCACTTTTAACGGCTTCGAAGATGCAGTATTCTTTCCAATAACATTCCATAATCCATCCAACAGCCGCAGCCGTCATAACCGTCTGATCTCCACATCCTGTTTGACCAGACCTGGTCTTATTCTGTCATCACACCATCAGCTGCGCCCTACAGCACAGTGGTATACTAAGCGATAAGGAAGCAGTTGAAGGGTCATGCCAGTTTCCGTACTAATATTGAACAACGCAGAGCCAGTCCCTAGAACCAACGAGCATCCATGGGAATTGGAACTGTGCCACCCGTTTACATTCTTGCCTGGTTGAGCGGCAGTGCCCATAATCTAAATCTTGATAACCCAGCTCGACGATCTGCGAATTACACATTACGGCCACTATGCTACTATACGACACAATGCCGTCGATGTAGTTGAACCCGAGGTAGTCAGCTGACAGCGGCACGACGATGAGAGTTGCTTCCTCGGAAGCCTCGCCCACTAGATACTCTCCGAACAACACTAGAGCTGAATCCTCGGAAGCAAGGCTATATGAGTCCACAGTTTCTCACAATTCTGACAAACACGAACAATAGCGCGACCGCGAACCGGTTTCCCGAGGTATGGTCAGGCTACAACGGACTTTTCTCGGCAGTCAAGATCGGTGGAGCGTGACTGAACCTGATAGTTCCGTCCAGATACGCCTTATCGTCGAGCTTTTCTACCGGTTTTTCGTTTAGATTAAGCTGGTGTTCAAACGGCACCAGCGCTGATGAAGCCACAATATGGCATTCGCCCAGATGTGTAGCTGCTGCGCTGCAGACAAAGCACCTTCTTTGACATCTGGGACAACTTCCCTCCTGTCGTCGAAGGCCGGAAGAGACGGATGGAGATGCCGTTTTGCCGGAGGGTGAGGCTAGGCATTGTCTGTGCTTGGATATTGATACCCTGTAATCTCTTGAGTGAAGCCTCAATTTGGCCATATTAACATCCTGTTTGCGGTTTGCGAACGCCGTTGATAATTGGGGGGTGGCGACTTTAGTTGGTGAGAATAGAAGATGGGTATGACCATGGAGTATAGTCGTGACCAGAAAATGAATTCGGTTTGGAACGATGTCGGCTGAGTTTGGTGCTGGTGATCTTCGGATTGTAGATACTCTCGGATCGATCCGAGCCATGAGTCGTTCCATGGTAATATAAACTATCTGGCACCTATCAATTTGTGGCCAGCTTCAATCGTTCAGTATGTTGACGGACACCAGCCCCAATTACAATAACGCCAGCACCTCTTTCTCATGAAGTCGAAAGATTCATATTCCACACCGTGCCGCAAATATAGTACTATGTTCGAAAATATGTAACGTGGATAACCCTTTATCTACATCTAGCCATAACCAAGATCCACCGAATCATTCTCTATCGAAATCCCTTCTTCAAAGCCAGTAATACCCCATGTAGAAATTGAACCTATAAGGAACACACCTCTGACCTTGGTATATAGTTATTCCCCCCTCGTCCACACATCAACCCATGTATCCAGCGCCCGCTTCGCCCCCTGCAAGCCCTCCATCGCCGCTGACCACTTCGCATGGCAATCATCGATCTTCTGCTGTAGCTCACGGCTGAGAACCACATGTCGAGCTAGCACCGTCGAGCCTTGGAGGTTACCAGCTGGGAAAGGGGGCCTGGTAATCCGAAACACGCCAGTTCCGGCAATACCGCTAGTAGCAGCAGAAGCAGGATCTTCAATAGTAGCTTGCGCGGCATCAGAGGAATTACCCGTCCCCTCAATAGCATCCTCGTTATTGTCCCTAGCATTGCGTCTGCGTCGTGCTCGTTTCTGGCCTGGAGGCTGCGATTCCTCGCGCGTGCCATTACCAGGTAACTCGAAGATATCCTGGCTATCATTCTCCTCCGTTTCCGCGACCTTGCGCTTTTGGAAACCACCGCGGGTCTGTCGCGGGGCATTGGGGTCAGCTTCTGGCGTCCCCTCTGTTGTGGCTGGGTTGTTCAGGTGGAGTCGGACGGTTTTCTTTTGCGGTCGAGGGGGTGTTTGGTCATCGGCGGAGATAGTGCCGTCTTCACCAAGGACGCGGCGATGCGTGCAGCGGACTTTGGCTTTTTTGCAACTGGCACAGGCGGGGGTTAATTTAAGAGCGTCGCTGTTTTTGGAGGAGGCTGGACGACGGCACTGGGGTTGTTAGTTGATTTCACGATGGTATCAGGAGGGCAGGGGGAGCATACCTTGTGGCCATTAGAGGGTGGACTCTCCTCTTCAGCGGGGGTAGTAGTGCCAGTGTTGATGGTCCCCTTGCTATCATCGGCGTCTTTGGTCTCGTCATTTTTGCTCTCTTCAGAGCTTTTGTCGACATCAGCACCAGTGACCTGCCCAGTACCAGACTGAGGCGAATTGGTCTCTAGTTCAATGGTTTCTTCTGAGGAATCTTCATGCGACGATGGAATTTGCTGCTGAGGCTCTCCATGGTTAGCACTGCAAGAGACACACATGCCGGATGTGATGCCAATGGAGCCCTCTGTGACTGGTTCTGGGCAGTTCTTGCAGGTTTGAGGTTGGAGGTTGTCGCTTGGATTCATCTTGAAGAGATGAATCGGTGTTGGATCTGCAATTGAAAGAGAAGAGGGGAATGGTGATGGTGGGTGTAGTCAGAAGCAAGAATAATTGCAAGACGAGATTGGGGGAGAGTAGAGGGGAGACGAACAAGAGAATAAATACTGCAACGATCAAATGGTCAAACAGGAAAAAATGAGCAGGATTGCTTGTGAATGAATGGATGAATGGATTAACTGGTCTTTATTGTCTTGTTTGTCGAATCTGGGGTTCATTGACGAGTTCATTCCCCATAAAGCTTTGTTGATGAATGGATAACAGGATGAATAATGCTACTCCTGCCAGTACAAGAATACCAAGGACATGATGCAATTAATGGATTGCAAGATAGCACTTACTCTAGTCCTATTTTGCAATTCTGTAAAATATTTTCTTTGTTAAGCCCTAACAAAGAATCATGTCCACACAATGCACCTTTGTCCAGTGAATGGAAACCGCCACAATAAAGACAGTAATGGAGACACAAAGCAGCAAAATTAGCTATTCACAAGCGCCTTTCACGGCCACAGTTCAGCCTCTTCCCATCGCCCCGGTTGTTTACCGTCCTCAGTCAAAGTCCACGTCCAGCGTGCCGGGTTCTTATAATCCGATAAATCCAGCCACTCAACCTCTTGTGGACGAACGACCACCACCCGAAAGTTCTTCCTGGCAGCAGGATCATGGAGACCTTCCACTTCCTGTCCAGGTTTAAGAGACAGATCTTCGGGGACCTGGGATTTGGGCTGACCAGGTGGAGGACACTTGAATGAACCTGTTAGGTAGTGTCAGCAACTTCATCAATATTAAACGAGAGAGCAGAAGACAAACCTCGTAGAATAGGCGTATGATTCGCAAAATACGTCGTGACCTGCCTCTCCCAAGTCCATTCCCCGCGACCATCCTCCGAACGAACCCTCAAACCCTTCTGAATCCCCTCCCTCGCCTTATCCTCAACACCCCCACCATCCTGATCCCCAATAACAAACGCAATGCCCTTAATCCTCCACTGACTCTCCACGTCCTTCAACCAAAACACCATCTCAACCTCATTCCCCGCATCCGACCCCGACGACCCCGGCTGAATATGCCCTGTCTTCTCCATTCGCACGTCCGTCGTAAACGAGAACATGTCACTCTCGTATACATCTGGATTTATTCCGTCACCTTGTGTCTTCAGTGCGTCGACGGCGCTTGGGTGGAGTTGCGGGTTTGGGAAGAAGCCGCGGAATCCGCACACGCGGGCTCGCGGGACATGGCGTTTCTTCGTTGCATCGTATGCGGCTGTTGCGAGTGTAAATTCAGAGGAAGAGCTCTGGGAAAGGTGGTCGTTCAAGAGATCTTGCCAGGGAGCTTTCGGGGGTTCTGGCGTGGTCATGGTTGAGGTGCGGCGGGGTGTGCCTGTGATGAGAGTGAGAGCGGGGAGGTGATGCGCGAGAAGAGCTGTCCTCCTGGTTAGATTTCTGGAAGTCACTGTGTCTGCGATTGTGGATTGTTAATATGATTAGCCGTTGTAAAGCTGCGATTGAGATAAGACATGGCGAAGCTGAGATGATATCAAAATACGTGATGTCGTGTGGGGACGCGATGGTGGGCCTTAGTGCATTTCCGTTTTGAGATGGCAGGCTAGATGACTCTTGTTTTGTCCTTGAGCGCGCCTTTAATAGGCCATTAGATGTAAATGTATGCTCTACGGTCAATGAAGATGGTCTTTGTAGACTTCAGCATAGTGACGATAACAGTTTGATTCAGTATAGGTTTCTTTGCACATGAAGACACTGTAAATGCCTTAAAGCTTTTGTCACTACTCCGAGTAATCCCTAATAAAAGCAAGAGATATTACAGATGACGCGATAATATGCCACGAGAACCAGACAGCCCAAATAACGACTCAAATGTGCAATTAGAAAGAAACAGAACAAAGACAAGACCGCATCATGTTTGCATCTTGTCCGCATCCTCCGCCTCTGCCATATCCAAAGCCCCTCCGGGTATCCGGCCCTCGTTCAGCTCCTTCTCCAATCGTGTAATCTCCTGTAAACTCTTTGCCTCCCGAATCATCTTCTCGACTCGCTTCCGTTCCGCGTCGGTCAACTTAACCCGGACGGCCTTGTCTCCTTGTGCTTCGTCTGCAGCGCCTCCCGAGGGCAGGTCGAAAGTGCGAGATTTGATGCCCATGATCTTAGATGCAAGATCAGAGGGTTCCTTGGCGGTGCCAAAGAGTTCTTGTGCTTTGGTACGTTCGACGTCTTTCACTTTCTGGTAGTCGAGGAACCGAACGGAGGGGATTCTCCAGATAACCCAATACCGGTAGTTCTGTATAACTTAGATTTTCTTCCTTGGCACAGGATCAGGGGAAAGACCGACCTCTTTCCTAGTAACGGGGTTGTCGAGTATGGTCAAATGTGCTAACCGCGCCAAATTCCGCAAAGGATCCAAATCCGCCAATTCTGTCAGGTTGTTCGATGTCAAGACCAACGTGGTCAGATGGGGAACCGACGACGCCAGCGTCGGCTGGATTTGCTTGATCCGATTTCGCGCGAGAAGGAGGGTCTGAAGGCGAGGGAAGAAGGGAAAGTTTCCGAGGGAGGTAATGGAGTTATCTGTGAAGTCGATTGCATCTTGGTCCTATTAGACACTTAGCATACGGAGCTTCAAAAAGAGAGAGGAATAGGAAAAAGACTAACTTTCGCAATACCCAAGTTTTCAATCGCGGGAATCTTGTGTCCTACACAACTCAAACACACAAATGATATCAATCCAGCTCATTTCAAAAGTGTAGTATCTGTTCCTTTCAGACCGGTGTGTATAACGCACCTCGGAGATCAAGCTCGCGATCCTTGACAGGGTTGATATATGAAATGGAGTTCTGGATGAGCTCGACGGTCAATCGCATTGCGGCGGTGGATGGCTAAGTCGCGCTGGTGTTCTATTGGGGTATCATGCAAATAGAATATAATTAAACACAATTAGCGTAAGAAGTCGCCACAGGCTCTTGCAATATAAATTAAAGACAATTGACGACGCGACTGGAAGTAATAATGGATTAAAGCTCTTCGCGGTGCTTGAATTCTTGAAGCAGCATGACCTCAAGGGTTTTGCCGGGCGGTGAGCGGATCAGTCATCATGGTCACGTGTGGTACTGGCGATGCTTTTCTTGGCCATCTTTGTTCTTTTCTTTCCATTTTTTTGTCATTCTAAGAAAGTGGTACTAAATGGCTAGATATCTTGTCATTGATAATGGCAATAGGGTCCACGATGGCTCTTGTATAGGAGTATATGGCATACGCCGTACTCAGAGTACACTGCGCCGCTGGATATGGAGCATAGATAGCAGGTAAAGCTGGTCCATGACTCTGTACGGAGCACATGGTGATCATGTCGATACTGATTTTAAAATTGAAACGGATAAACCAATGTAGCGGTTAAAACTCCGTATCGGGGAAGTCGGGGGAGTCGATTATCCGGACTGCACGAGGCTGTAGGCGACGAATTTAATTACACGAGGATAACATTGATCTCTATAGACACAAAGGTGATAGAATGAGTGCTTTTTTTATCTAAACCGAATGTGTGTGTGTCCGTATATGAGGGGTTTGTTCATCACTCCCCTTCGTACAATCGCCGCAAATATCAATCTATCTAATAAAGCAATAATAATCTGGCAATTTGATAAGCGGCGGTTGGACGCGCGCTTCAACTTCTGTATGTTGAATTTCTCTTCCTCACCCCAATCAATCCATGCCCACGCTATAAAGAAATCGTGTATGGGCATCATGATGGGTAGCCTTCGTTAGAGCATCGGCGATCATCTTTTCGGTAGGCAGATGCTCAAGACGAATCTCTCCATTGCCTATATGGTCCCGAATAGCATGGTAGCGAACAGCTATGTGCTTCGTCTTCGGGTGGTCAACAGGATTATCGGCTAGGTGGATGGCGCCCCGGTTGTCTTCATATATGATCGTCGGCCCAGTCAATCCTCTTCCAATGGTGTATAGGAAGTGGCGGATCAAAATCCTGCAGTCCCTCCGGGATTTCCATGCAATTAGGCTTATCAAGGTCAGATCCAGCGAATGCATTCTTCGCATCAAGTATATGCGCCAACAGGCCCAGTTGGGCCGCTATAGCCACCAAAATTCGCAGGCTATCTAGTCGAAATACCGGTGCAAATGTCTCGTCAAAATCATCATCCGATTGCTCATTTCCTCTGGCAACCAGTCTGGCTTTGAATTGTTCAATTCGGCCATCTGGGCCTAGCTTCACATCAAACACCCATCTGGTTGACGAAATGGTCCCTTCAGCTTTCTTTCGGGATATGACTCTCCAAGTGCCAAAGCTTATCAAGGTACTCAGCTCCTTGTGGATTGCTTCTTTCCACTTTGAGCCATATATCAGATCATTCACAGCCTCACTGTATGATTTTGGTATGCGGATTCCGGCTTTTTCACGTACGGCACATGCTTTCTCTGCAACCTCATATTCTCTATCAATTTGCAATAGCTCCGCAGCTACTGCTAACCTTGCCAACTGAGCTCGCAGGCGCTGAGCTGGACGATCTGATGATTCCTCCCCTTCAGCTTTGCGCTTGCGACTCAATCCATCCATTTGCTGGCTCTCCACTAGCCTTGTTGATGGTTGGCGGACGCGTTCCGAGCGTCGTACAGGTGTTTTATCTGGCATTCTCTCTGTGCCAGCATTCAAAGGCTCTTCTTCAGTCTCTGGTCGGGTAATCTTGCATACTTCTTCAGTTGCATGCCTTTCAGGAGCACTCTGCTGCTCTGTCTCCCCTTTAGACTGAACTTCCTCAGACAGTTTTAATGGCTTATCTGTCATGCCCCCATTCAATGAAGAGGAATCCCTTTCCTTCTCTCCATTCTCTCTATTTGGCAATTTCGGTGGTTCTGGCATTATATCGTTCATCGGCTCATCGGTATGAGAGGACTCATTAACTGGTGGTTGCTCTCGGGCAGGCGCCTCAGTAGGCATTCGGGGATCTCAAGAAGGCGTTTCAATGGGCTCTTGAGCAGGCGCTTCGGCAGGTGGTCTGACAGGCGAATTAGAGCCAGTTGGGAGGCTAGTCGGTATGTTTCGTACATCAATCTGACTAGGTTCACTCAAATATCCATTCTCCCGCTCTTGAAATTCAGGGTTAGTAACCAGCTTTAGTTCACTACCACCCCTAGGCAGCACCAAATACTGCTTGTCGCTCTTCCCATACAATAAGAAAGTGCCCTCCATTGCTCTGCCTTCAAACTTGCTCTCCCCCTTATGGTAGAAAAGTACCCGGCAGCCCCAAGCACGGAGGTGGGCCAAATCAGGCCTGTGCCCATGCCATAGCTCATACGGCGTCTTCTCATCTTTTTGGCCATTGTGCTTTCCCAATATCGTCCGATTTCTCAGATAATTAGCCGTGACAACAGCGTACTTCCAATAACATCTGCTCATGCCAGTGTCAATCAATAGAGCACGTGCTATATCAATAACAACACAATTAAATCGCTCTGCCACGCCATTCTGCACTGGTGTTTCAGCCTCAATGAATTCCAATTCAATGCCTTTTGAGCCAGCCCATGGTTTTAGGGCAATGAACTCTCTCACATTGTCAGTCCGAATGACTAATAGCACCTTCCCTGACTGCCTTTCAACTTGATGCAGCCATTCATCCAGTGTGTGTATGACATTTTCAGTTCTTCGGTCTGTCTTGATGAAAATCCATGAATATCGCGTACAATCATCAATCAATGACAGGTAATATCTTTCTGGCCCTATTCCATCGCGATTTGGGCCCCAAAAATCCATGAACACATGTTGGAGCGGTTTTGTAGCTCTTGGAACAGGTGCATGACTTTGCTTTTTTACCTTCTTGGCTTTGGAACACACCTCACAGTTATCATGGAGCAACTGGTCTTGTTTGCCCAGTTTCAGCTCATCCAATTCCATATATCCAACACAAGCATTGAATCGGTTCCTTCCTGCATGGCCTAGGCGTCGGTGAATGAGTTCCTGCTTCTTTCGGATTTCTTCATCTGCAGACAGGGCCATTCGGGCATACTGCTGCCTTTTCACTGCTTTCAGGCCTATGAATAGCGCGTTGACATGCTTGACTGAATGCAGGTATGTGGTCCACCCTTCTCGCTTTCCTCGGGCAACCACTTTCCTATTCTTCTTGATCACATACCCCTTTTTAGAGCCAGTGGATTCAAAATCAGCCATATGTAGAGCCTCTAATGATAAGAGATTCTCTGCTAGGCCTGGCACATATATAACCCTGCCTAATCTGGCTGTCGAGCCATTCGGTAGGCTGAATTGGACGGTCCCTCGTCCCATAATGGGCATTCTGGTGCCACTAGCAATAGTCAAATGACCTCGGCTAGTCCCATCAATTTGCTCAAATATGCTTTGATTGCCAGAGCATATGCTCGTAGCACCGCTGTCAAAGCACCATTTTGATGGATCCATCCTTGCTCGGTGGGCTCCTTCGACAATGTAGTCTGCCCACTCGTCCTTATACTCAGTAATGGGGCCATCTTGCATGTTACTTTTTCCATCCACGCAGCCATCTGCACATTCAGCAGTATCCTCACTTGATCTTGCCTCCTCATTGGGCTCATCAGATGCCATATCAGATGTCATCTCAACAACATGGAAACCACAGTCACTTGCATTTTTCCCACTATTGCCTTCATCATTTTCGCTGCTTTGCTCTCCAGCGAGTCTACCCTTTTGCTTGGTCGATGATTTGCCTTGTCGACCTTCTCGTCGACCCTTGGGCTTTTGTTGATCCTCATCATCAACATCTGAATGCTTGTTCTGACATTCCCTCGCGAAATGCCCGCCCCGGCCACAAACATAGCATTTTGACTCCTTCTTTTTCTTCTTGGTCTTGCCATTATTGGAAACTTGTGATCCTTTCTCATTTGCGGGTCCTCTCATCTGCACGATATCCTCGACCCGGCCCAGGACATATTCCTTATCCAAAGTGGCATTTGAGCTCATCAATGTATCCCTCAAGGTGGCGTATTGACTACCCAATCCTCGCAGATACCATATCACAACCAGCTCCCTGATATTCACCATCTCGCTATTATTCATGTCAATGAATTCCTCTCCCAGTTGATTGATCTCACGGAACACTTCCGTCTCATTCATCCTTGAATTATCCCAAGCCCAACTGGCCATCTTCATCAACTTCATAGCCTTCCTGGTGTTTGATGACTTCAAGAACATCTCTTTCAGGCAATCCCATTTTAACCCAGCAGTTTCTTGATCTTTTACCTCTAGAATGGTTGCTGGTGAAAGGCCTTGTTGGATAATCATTTTCGCCTTTTGATTGACCTTAAACCACTCCACATCTTCTTTTAAAATCAGATTGAATTCTGCCCTTCCTACCTCATGGTAGTACTCAATCGCCTCCCAGCAAAACTGGGCTTTCAACTGGTCCTCCATCATATGAAACCAGTACCTAGCGTTCTCCTCATTCAGCCTATCAATCGAGAATTGATATATCTTGATTCCATTCTCTTTTGTTGGCTTTCTACCCTTCTTCCCTTGCCCTGTGCTAGGCCTCTGCGCCATTGATTGCGGCATGGGATTCTCTGTGATATCAGATTCTTGTGCCATTGTAGCGTTCTCATGACTCAATAGGCTTCGCCGAGCGGATTACTGGCCGATAATCTCGTGGGAAGTTAACCGAGGGTGAGGCTCGCAGTCGGGATCGATCGATCGGTCTATATATGCGGTAAAGCGATATACAGAGCCCCCAGGATGCCACACGCGGGTTAGGCGTTGATATATCCAAATATCTTGGGCAGGCCCGGGCTCATAACCAATGAAACGGATAAACCAATGTAGCGGTTAAAACTCCGTATCGGGGAAGTCGATTATCCGGACTGCACGAGGCTGTAGGCGACGAATTTTAATTACACAAGGAGGATGACATTGATCTCTATAGACCCAAAGGTGATGGAACGAGTGCTTGGCTATCTAAACCGAATGTGTGTGTGTCCGTATATGAGAGGTCTGTCGGCCTCGGTAATCGGACCAACTATTAATCCACCTTGACTTTCATCAAAAATTGATCTAAATCAGGTTTAAGGCTGCTCGTATTTGAACGCGCACTTGTAGCCGCCCTAATAAATCAGGTATGGGTCCAAAGGCACTTCGCCAATAGGCCCATGCTAGCCGAACCACAGAGATAGGAGCACTATGGGGCCGGTCTCACCTCATCCATCCATCATATTCGTCGACGCCGGCCACAGCGGCTTTGATGGTGGCGGTATCGTCCCTATGCTATTGGTCATAGCCCGATCCATTCAATTTTGGGTCAGAGCCTGATCCTTCGTTAACCATGCCGTCACGTCCGTCATTGCACCTGGTCACCATCTCCTCTCGCGGCCATGTTTAACAGGTGGAAATCGGCTATCCTGGTATACGCCGTCCTGCTCTTTATCGTGGGCACGGCGCTTTTTCATAAACTCGACAAGGACGATTCATTCAGCCCGTCCTCTATATTCAATGACAATGCCGCGGCCGTCGCCACCCAAGAGGGACCGGACTTTTGGGGGTGGGAGACCAAGACGCGGTTCTCTTCCGGAAGCAATGAGAAAGAGCAGATATGCGACTCATTTCCCTCTCATATACTGTCGCAAGTTCAAGTTGTCTTGAAAATCGGTGCATCTGAATTGCCGGATCGCCTGGATGCCCAAATATCTACGGTCACCCGCTGCATTTCGAACCTCCTTGTCGTCTCCGATATGGAATCTGAGCTCCACGGACATCGCGTTCATGACGTCCTCGCGGACCTACCGGAATCAGTCTGGACTAATAAAGCCGATCTCGAAGCATACTTGGCACTCAAACAAGGCAACACCAAAGCTGTCAACGGTCAGCAGGGCTGGAACCTCGATCGCATGAAATTTCTGCCCATGGTGGAAAGGGCATATGATGTCAACCCGACGGCCAAATGGTACGTGTTCCTAGAATCTGATACCTACTACGTCTGGGATAATCTCTTCCGGTTGCTGGATCAATTCGACCCGACGGTTCCGTTGTATTTTGGTTCTCCATCGCCGGGGAAGCCTACGGCGGAGGAAACGACGTGGTTCGCGTACGGAGGTTCTGGATTTATTATTTCGGCTGCTGCAATGCAGAAACTCGTTTATCGAAAGACGGGGGCTTATGGAGAATACATCCAGCCGTCGCTGAGTGCGCAATATGAGGATATAATCAGGGGCACTGACTGTGGCGACACAGTGATTGGTTGGGCATTGTATGAGAAGGGTGTGAAGTTGTCAGGCTTATGGCCCATGTTCAACGCACATGCTCTTCATAGCATTCCATTCGACGAGATGCATTGGTGCCGTCCAGTGATCAGTATGCATAAGACAAAGTTGGCGGACATGGAAGGATTAACAAAATGGGAAAATGGACGGGATCGGACGGTTGGTATACCCCCTTTGGATGTGTTCATCGTGATTGCTAACGAGAAACACGCATACAGTACCCCCTGTTGTACGCCGACCTCTTCAACTACACCGGAATGGGAACATTCGACCAACGACCCGACTGGGACAACGCAGATTGGGGAGGATGGCAAGAACCCCCCGAGTCATCAGCTCACACTTCATTCGAGGCTTGCGGTAAAGCCTGCCATGGCAATGCAGACTGTCTCTCGTACACTTATAGTTCATCCGGGCATTGCTTCTTTATCCGGTCCATGCGGCTGGGAGACAAGAGGCCGGTCAATCCCGAAGATCGTCAAACAGCTGGATGGGACCTGGAGAAGATGCAAAAATGGCGGGAGAGTCACCAATGCGAGAGAGCGCAGTGGGTGAAGCCGAGTCTTAGCCGGATCTTTTAGCGATGCATTGTCATTGATTTTCCTTTCTTTGTCTTTTATATACCCTTTGGTTGTGATTATATTATTCTGTTCTACTTCTGCATAGGATAGCCCGCAACGGGCTATATTGTATATCTAGCCAACTCGTTATAAAAGCATCAATACGATATCAGCGATACAGATTCCCTGATAGATCCAGGCCTGAGCCTAGAAAGACATTACGGGAAAATCCGTCCAGCCAAATGAGGATCAACTGGAAGCGAATGGCTTGGCGTTCTTGGCACCTCGTGCGGCGCAGCAACACGCGGCAGGATCATGATTGCTTATTCGAATCAATAGCATTATTAGATGGCTTGTTTGAGAACAACCTCGCATACAGGCTTCTTATTGATAAGTACTTCATAACTATGGTGAAGTGCTTCATTTCCGTACAATGACTTAATTAGGAAACCCGGGAAAACCAGATTCGAGATTTTTGGGTTATCATCTAAACCGTATCGGACTTAGTACAGCACGAGGGCCCCGCAATGGTCCCGCTTAGACTGGTTTAGGCTACAATTAGCCGCTGACAGGCCCATGGGGACCATTCCGTTCTCTCAACCAGCGATTATTCAGGGATTAGTCATGGCTCGTCGGTTCTCTCCTGTTACACAAGCTCCCCGGAAAAAGAACACCTGAAGGACCCTGATGTTGACTTCTTAACGCTCGCTTTCTTCTGCTCTACCCCGTACAGCGCTTCGCTGCTACTTGGCGATGATGCTCATTCGACCTTTTTCTCTATTTAGTGTGCGCTGGGTCGCTCTGGCTGTGGTCGCCACCCTTTTCTTTGCGTTCAGTTTGCTTCGGTTATATTCCAACCGCAGTATTAACTACCATAGCGCCAGTACCGATGTCCAGCTAACAGAAGAACCCTACGAAATCGATGAAACGGAAAACCACCCGATTAACGATTTAATCACCAGCGCAAATGAGCACTGGCGTTCTCTCCTGCAAAAAGAAACCCACACTTTGGCCGCCGCGGCGGACCAGTATCGCTCCCGTCGTGGACGTCATCCACCCCCCGGGTTCGCAGAATGGTTCAAATTCGCCAAGTCCCACGATTCGATAGTTGTGGAGGAATTTTTCGACCAGATTCATCATGATCTCAATCCGTTTTGGGGTCTTGAGCCCCACGAAGTACGTCGACGGGCTAGAGGCTACGAACCGCGCATCGAGGTTCGCAATCACAAAGCGAAGCTCGTGGGAGACGGAGTCTGGACGGACACATGGCTTAATTTGGTGAAAACAGTAGAGAAGAACCTTCCGGATCTTGACATGCCTATCAATCAAATGGATGAATCTCGAATGGTGGTCCCATGGGGAGCGATCAATTCGTTCATCGACAAGGAACAAGCCAGTCGCGGACTGACTGAGACAGACAAGACCGTCAGCGAGTATATGAGTCTCTCGAACGAAGTGGATGAGGAACGATTCGAACCGCGCTTTCTCGGTCCTGCTGATTCTAGCGTCTGGGAGATGACTCGCCTCGGCTGCGCCCTCGACAGTCCGTCGCGCAACAGCTTTATCCCCCACATCGACTTTGCTAATCCGCCGCCGGAGATGGACAACTACCTTCGCTTGGGGTACAAGGGTTACGTGAAGAACTGGACACAGACGATGGATCCGTGCATCCGGCCCGAGCTCCAGGCTCTCCACGGGACCTTCATCGAGCCCGTGTCCGTGTCAACGACACACGATGCGTTCCCGCTCTTCGGAGGCTCCAAACTCCCGATGAACAATGAGATTCTCATCCCACCGGCAATGTACTGGGCCGATAATAAGTTGTACTCCGGAGGCGACAACGAACACGGTGGTAACGATTGGGACGCAAAAAAAGACTCTTTCCTCTGGCGCGGTTCTGCGACAGGCGGGCGCAACAAAGAAGAAACCTGGACAGGCTTCCAGCGCCATCGTTTGCTTTCCATGTTGAACGGGACCTCCGTGGAGGCTGCTGAGCAAACGCATCATTTCGTCGATTTCCTCCTTCCTGACTATAACTACTACAACCTCGCTACCGGAAAGGATGGAAACCTCCCCGCATTGCTCGAAAATCACACCGACACCGGTTTCGTCCACCTCCTTTGCTCCCCTGGCGACGGTGACCCGCACTGTCCCTATACAGACCCATACTTCGCCGTCACTCCCGGGATGCCCATGAAGGAACAATACGCCTACAAATACCTACTTGATCTCGATGGTAACTCCTTCAGCGGCCGCTACCGCAGCTTCCTCCGCTCCACCTCCCTACCCATCAAAAGCGCCATCTACAAAGAGTGGCACGACTCCCGCATAATTCCCTGGGCGCATTTCGTCCCCATCGATCCCACATTCATGGATATCTACGGTATCATGGAGTACTTCTTCGGAGACGGAAAAGACCGCAAAGGTCATGACTCTGTGGCACGCAAAATGGCCTTTGACGGCAAGGCGTGGGCTGAGAGGGTTCTCAGACGGGAGGACATGCAGATCTACGTTTATCGATTGCTTTTGGAATATGCGCGATTAAGCGATGATCGACGTGATATGCTTGGATATGTTCAGGACCGTTTTGAAGAGGAGTCTGGGTACAGTTGAAATATTTTGATATCTTGTTGATAATCTAATCGCTTGTGGATGCTGGTAATCCACGACCATTTGCTGGAAACGATTTGCACGCTTTGACTGAGCATGCAGCCACGTCAGGGTGCATACTCCTGGCCTTGCTCTGAATTGCTTTTATGAACTCCTACTTGCTCGCCAATCGAGGCCCACCCGCCTCACGGTATACACCTCACCAACCCTTAAGCAACGGTTCCCCACGAAACACTGGCTCACCACCCCCGAGACTTCGAGATAGAACAGCGAAGGTCTACAGACTACTGTCCTACACCATGCCAGTTTGCTATACCGGGTATTACCGTGCACGGCGGTCATGGCCTAGCCCACCTACGAACCTTTCGTAAGCCCGGGCCCTGAAAGAAGTTGGGTGTATTGATTTATGATTGACTTGTAATAATATAGCTTTGGCTGTTTTGAATACCTTTTCTTATTACATATTTGTGTTATTTATGGCTGATTCCTTTGCTACGGAGTACTTGTACACAGCTTATCCATGTCTTAAATTCTAGAAACCTGCATATCTTGGCAATGCTTATTTACACTCTCGCTAACCTCGTCCCTCGAGATAATCCCGCCTGAACACACAATGAGATAACCATGAGAATGTCCATTTCCATTACTAGTAATCCAGCAACATTGCCCTGCACTGCCATCTTCTTGAAAACGTAGACGCCTTGAATGCAGATCACAGCAGATCACACAGCCTTGAACGGCTATTAAAGGTGCCTTGACAGTGCCATGCTCATACTCCGTACACACATACCCTCCCCCTTTCCTAATAATGGAAGCACTCAAACCCTCCCCAATATCCACCCTCCCACCCGAACTCCTCCTCCACACTCTCCAGGACATCCTCCACCTCGCCGCAACAAACCGCCGCCATCGCCAAATCTGGACACAACGCAAACACAATCTACCACTATGTCAGCCCGAGATGCATTGAATGTCGCCGGCATGCACGCGTTTTACTAGAGGACCAGCGTGGCACACCGAGTATTCGGTATTGACGGAACAAGATACCCTCCAGATAGTCCGAAGTGCAGTGATTATCGAGAGATCGGTCCAGGGTTTTAATAACACGTGGGTTGCGCATTTGGCTAATAGACAGAAGCATTAGTACCTACCTACTATGCGTGTTTACCATTGATTTGGGAAAAAAAAAAAAAAAAAAAAAAAAAAAGTCCCTAACAAGACCAAAACAAACAAACAGGCGCCCACCCCTCCCACTACAAATACTTCAACGGCATCCCGCACCCTCCATAGGGAGTATTCGCTTGATGTGGAGTATATGGGGCGGGTATCGGTTTGGGAGGATACAGTGGGGGATTTTAGGGAGGTTGTTACGTTTCAGTCTGGGGTTTTGGAGTGTCCTGTTGAGGAGGTTTGGCATGAGACTGATCCTGAGGGGGAGGAGTTTTTGGTTGGGTGAGGTTGTTTTATAGTTGAACTGTGTGTTAAGAGTTGAGATACGACTATAGGACATTGCAAGCTCCCTACGATTGAAGATCATATCTTTCAAAGTACATAAGATTCCTCATCGATGTGATGATGGCACTAGACTACCTGCCTGCCACGGCTATTAATACATATAAGTCCAAGTCCGCATTACAAGAGTGATAAACCGGCACAATCATATCGAACGAAGGACGTCGAAGCAGGACAATAATAAAGGACAAATAACAAGAACAGATGCAAGGACCTCCCTCACCAATGGCAGCACAGCAGCACAGCAACAGTTATGTACTCGTGACAATCACTGGAGCTCAAGCTCCGAATAATATAAAGCAGTCACATCAGAGACAAAAGAAAAGCAAAGACAAACCAACAACTCCTAGTCATATGCAATACAAAACAAAATCATCATAACATTAATCATGAGCCGACGGCGTCATGACAGGCGACTTTTGATGGTGTGATCGAGCCGGACTGCCAGTTCTTGAGCGACGGCCGTTGTTCGTTGGACCCAGGGCCACAGGGGACAGATGATCGCGACCTTCGGTTCGCACTGCTAACCCGGCCCGGTCCATCGCGGACACTCCGGAGCCAGCCGTGATTCCAAGTCCGATGGTCCCTGTGGAACTATTATCGTTTGAATACTTTAGTGTGGGTGTACTGTTGCCGCTGCCCCAGGTCGATGCTCGACGCGGGGGTTGGAAACCTTTGGAATCAGCATCGAACGAACGACGGCCCTCGTCGAGTGAGTTTCCACGGGACTCGGACGGTCCCAAGTCGAATTCCTGGGCGCCATCTTCTAGGACTCGCTCGTATGACGGTGACCTCCGTCCGAAGAATGGCATTTTCCCGCCAAAGAACTTCCGCTTCTTTGGGTAGTGGGGATGGGACGGCGCTCCGCGGAACACATTGTTGATCTTGTTGTAGATCCGTGAACGACGGCTTCTCCCACACAGGAAGAACAGCGCCATGATGATGATCAGCAAGAAGAGAAGGAATCCAGGAACGCGACGGGGAGATTCCCCGTCGAACAAGGTATCGTGCCAATGCTCGCTATGGAGACCATCAGGGTCTGGCAAAAGGTCCACACTGGGGTACTGGAAGTCGTTGGGAACACCGGCCAAGTTGCTGCCAAATCCCACCGGAAGAGCCTCATCGGCATCGGCAGGAATCTGAGAAGCAGCGTAGAGAACCATCTTGCCCAGAGTCCAGCTAACCTCAGTAGAATCGATCTTGTTGATGGCCTGGAACGGATCGAGATAGCCCTTGTCTTTAGTATGCGATAGGACCTCCTTGGTTCCGTTGTGGCCCGACCCTGTTGTGTTTTCCAGGCCGACGCGCGGAACCCCAATACCATTGTGCAAAACGTTGATAATCCATGACGCCTTGAAGCAGATTTCAGAAGCCTTTTCTTGGTCAACCTTCTTACCCCATCGATGCTCTAGGAGGCCCCTCTCGATCGAGTCCCAATCTTGCGAACAGAACAACTTGACTCGTTTCTGATACGTGTTAAAGTCGTATGCCTTGTCCTTGTGACCCATCTCAAAGATCTCATGCGTGGTATGCCAGTATTCACTAATTCCGATAAAGTGGTTCACATCGAAATCGATCGCGGGCACATGTGTTCCGTGCAGGAGACAAGGCTCGTCAGCACATGGTGCGTCCTTGTCCAATAGGGGAAACGTTTGTCGCAAGCACTCTTCAAAACGTCCAGTTCCTAGCAGGTACGGTTCGTCGCCCAGGTGTAACGGTTTGCCATCGATCGTGGTACGGAGGCCGGCGGGAAGGCAGGGGTCGGGAAATTCCTTGATACCGTCCGTCCCACTGGCTGTTTGGAGTGCTTCAAGATAACGTCTCCGCGCCTCACGAACACCAAACTCAAGCCAAGATGTGACAAAAACTCGGTATTCCTGTGGGGAACCATCGACGTTACGCAGTCGCAGCAATGTCAGATCGTTCGCGTGCTTGTCGGTTTCCGTCATATTCGGAGCGAAAGCGATCTGTGCGGATGCACCACCCATATCCAAGAAGCCGTAGGTGTGGTGTCCCTTGCCGTGGTCGTGACCCTTGGGCTCGTCAAAGCTACCGAGCAAGTAGTTGGTCGCAACCCATCCGTACAGACCTTCCGTCACACCGGGAATGACTTGGATATGAACGTCGCAATCGGGGAGCAAAAAGTCGGAATTGGCGCGGGCATACGAGCAGACCTGGTCGAGAAGTAATTGTCGCTCCAAGTTCGGCAGCAATCGCATCCCCGCGGTGGCAAGCAGGAAAACGGGGGTGTCTCGAACGGCATCATCGGGGACGATTTCGCGCGCGTGTTTGAGGAGTTCCGCAAGGTGGTCGGGACCAATCAGTTCAGGTCTATCAGCGAAGGACGACACTCCTAATGGAACCGTTAGCGGCTGGCGATGTCGTATCAATACGTAGTATTCCTACCAGGCTGAATCTTCTTGGTCCACTCCTGCTTGGTCTTGATCTCCGGAAGCGACTTCACATCCTTGTCACTTGACAGCTTGCGTGCAACGGCATTGTCCAACCAACGATAGACGTGTACACGAGTCCCAGACGAGCCTGCGTCCAGGACAACACCATAACGCCCTATCCAGAAATTAGCATTCGCCAGAGTCGGGACTAGCAATTCGAAATCACAAGGTCGACGTACATTTACCCATTGGAGACGGCCGGAGAGCGAATATTAGCGGATGATTAGGGATTATAATCTAAGAAGCATGACAGAGCAGTGGTGATTGCGGAGGGCGAACGAAAGGGCGATGCGACAACGGAGGGTCGATCCGTCGGGGGCGGTTCAGTCGAGGCCAGTCGAAGCCGCCGTTCCTGAGGTGAAGAAGGGAGAGGAAGAGTCGGAAGGTGAGGAGTGAGGAGAGTATGAGAGTATATAGAGAAGAGGGGACACCCTGAACGAACGAATGATGCAAGACAGAAATGAAAAAGCGAAGAGAAAAAGGGAGGAAGAAACCTGGATGAGCCCGCCGCAGATCATCCCCGGTTCTGGTTTAGCGCCACGCCGTTATCGTAATTACGATACAATATTTACAATATTGTATTGCCTTTCTTCAGTGCGAAGTACTTAGTCCTGTACAGGTGGGTGGTACATATAGCTAATGATACTCTATTCTCTACTGCATCTGTCCATGTTCTTCACATATACTCTGTACTGTACGCTGTAACAGTGTACTCTGCAGTATCACTGAGATAAAAATAAATGACTGACGTACGCATCGGCACCCAGGAAAGCAGCATGATTTGTTGGGGCTGACATGCATTCGTCATCGTCGCCGCCAGTGGAGCTGTTTCCGGGCGAATCAACGTCCCGACTTTTCCCGGGGTCTGGACCCTGATATAGTTTGCCCTATACGGAGTACTACCCCATACTCTATTTGCGGCAAACATACTGAGACATACAAGTATATTTGTAACTAGCTAATACCACAGCCCGTCGTTCGGATTGATATTCCGTTCTCTGCAATACTCGTAGTACAAATGCGCATAGCTAAACAGGTCCATTGTGTTCTTCAAACTGTCATCGTCATGGAAATACTCCAGGCTCCCGGTGATAGTAAATACCACCTCCGCACCCTTCCCCATATGCAGCGTGTGAATCGTCCCCGGATTTTCAACTACATAGTCCCCTGGTCGTGCGATCCAATCATACCTATCCCATATCAGCAATTACTCGTATATCAGGAATGGAAAAGAATACTCTTTATAATTCCACTCCCCCTTCAAGGTAACAGCAGTCACACCCCCCCGATGCCGATGCTTCCCCAACCACGTATCCTCCTTCGCGCGTAAAACAATGACAAATGTTCCCGTACGCGTTTCAAAGCGCAACGGCTTGATTTCGAGATTGTTGACCCATGGATGCCAGAGGGTATCGCTTTCGCCGTTGATGTAGACGTCTGGGGAGCTGTACTTGTCTGCGAGGTGGAGTTCGGATTTTTCCAGTGGGGTGAGCTTGGAGGTGGGGCTGTCCAGGAGATTGCTGCTTTTCTTTTGGCTGTGGGCCATTTTGTCTTTTGGATTGGAGGTTTGCATCGTTGGGTGAGGGCTTGGAATGTACATATTAAGACGATAGGCTACCCCGGAGCTTTTTCATGTGTCGGTAAATTTCTACGGAGAGACGGTAGTAGAACGGGGGCTTTATTCCGGATATAGATTTGTGTGTGTAACTGCCTGGAATCAAAATGCTACCGGTTTATGCAATGGCTAAAAATACACGGCAAAGAGTTGCCAACTGATTGTTTGATTTGAGCTGTTTGGCCCTGTGTCCTGCTGAGATATGTGCCATTCCAACACCCTATCCTCCAAAAATCTGCATTGAGCATCCATGTTTGTAGGCGGGCGGTGTTACTATATACCACCATGGAGAATTGAGCAGATGGGGATCATTTGGATCTGCCTTGTCATTGATTTTTTGAATTGCATGAAACAGCTTTGGTAGTATGCCTGGTTTTTCTCTGCTGCTGCTGCTGCTGCTGCTGCTGTTGTTTTGTTTTACACTGCCGACTTGCCCTCTGCTTAGACGCTGGGGATGCTGATCAGCGCTGGTTACACGAGCCATCAGTGTTGAGCGCCTAGTGCGGAATACAGTGGTCATAAGAGAGATCAGTGGATAACTTCAATAAGACATGGGTTACGCAACTGGTTGAGACTCGAAGAAGTATTTATACCCTGCTCTTTCACTGTGCTCTCTAACAAGATAAAATAACGGCCCCTTGCGACTACAAGTACTTCAATGGCAAGCCACGTCCTCCATACTTGACTAAGCCCGAACGTATTCGTTTTATCCGCGCTCTGTGTCAACTATGGGGAGTAGTTCTCCTAGACGGGCTAGCAAAACAACAGAGAATAGAGAGCCTCAAGGCGAAGGATCTCTTTGTAATCACGGGTATCACATTTCGCTTTGATCATAGGGTTCTTGGTAAAACGGTGATGGACAAGCTAGATGCAAGCTCCACAAGTATATGGGAGGACCTCTTCCCGTACCGGATGAGTTTGATTGAGGAAAAGCTTAGTCCTCCTGGAGGTTACAGAGAGATGTCACTTGAAGAGGGGCTATATGGGTCGTGTCTCGATCTGGAATGACACTTATGATTTCTTCAAGGAGGTCGTGGCGTACCAAGAGGGCGGACTGGTGTGTCCGATCTCTGATGTCTGATATGATACCGAGGATGAGGACTTTCTGCTTGAATGAGAATTCATTTTTATTACTCTTATGTTGACACTCCGGATTATATCGTTTAATCCGCAAAGTCTTGTCATTCGCGCGGGCCTCTAAATTGAGTTGAATTGCCTTATATAGAGCATGCCAATGGTCTCTGATATTGTACACTATGCTGCACAAAACCCACAATCAGAGCTCACCATATCTACTTCGCATCAACAACCATCTCCTGCATCTGCGCCGGACTACTAGACCCCGACGACCTAACCCCCTCAACAACACCCATCCCAAACAAGCCCCAATCCCCAATCTCCTCCTCCACAAGCAACCCCCTATCCAATCCCACCCCCTCAACCTCCTCACCAACCCTCAACCTCGTCCCCGGGATCCAGTTAATCAAATATAACAGCACAACCGAAACAACAAACGCATACCCCGAAATCGCACACACCTCCGCTAACTGCCGTCCAACCTGCACGCCAACCCCATCGATTGCACCGCCCCGGTACGTCGCTCCGTCGAGCGCTGAAACACTCTCGCTTGCGAGAATACCTGTTAGAAAGGCTCCTACCATACCGCCTACGCCGTGGAGCTTAAATACGTCCATTCCCTCGTCGATGCGGATCCATTTGTTGAGGTCTTGGAGTAGCGCGCAGATAATTGATGTTATGAAGCCGATGCATGCCGCTAGCCAGAGGGAGACGAAGCCTGCGGCGGGTGTTATTCCCACAAGACCTGCGATTGCGCCTTCGCATGCGCCGACGAGGGAGAAACGGCCGCGGTAGCGGATTAGGTCGACGAGGACCCAGCCGAGGATACCGGTGGAAGCGGCGGCGTTGGTGTTAAAGATGGATACCATCGAGCGGACGCTTGCGTTTAACGTGGATCCTCCCTATCACCTATCAGTATCTGATCTCTTTGGGTTGAGGATGGTGGCTGACATACATTAAACCCAACCCACCCACACCAAATAAACGCCGTCCCCAGAAACACCAGCGTGACGTTATGTGGTTTCCGTCGTGGAACTTCTTCAGCGCCGTGCTTGCGTTTCCCAAGTACGAATGCGTAGGCTAGCGCAGTGCACCCAGAAGCAATATGCACGGGACCACCACCTGCATAATCCAGCGAGGGCAGATTATACAACCACCCTTTACTACTCCACGTCCAGCGGGCGAGCGGACAATACACGATGGTGGCCCAGCAGAAGCTGAAGAGGAGGGAGGGGAGGATGTTGCCTCGTTCGAATGCGCCGCCGATTACGATGATCACCTGTATCTTTAGCATTACCACCCTTTGGGTTCGAGGGGTAAAGAGAGGAACTCACTGTACAAGCACAAAACAGCAACTGAAAATAACAAAACACAACCTCAGGTAACACCGCAGACCCCGACGACGGCGCGACCATCACATCCATAAGTCCGAAATTCTTCAACGTCCCAATATACGGCCCCCCATCACGGGAATACGCCAGCGAGTAGCCCCAAAACATCCATTGCACGGTTATCCTACCCCCAAGCTGTCAGCACCACCCTCCACCCTTTCAAAAACCCCCAATTCAAAAGACAAGGGAGGAAGGGACTTACACAGCAATAACCAAAAAACACTGAAACAGCAACGCCAGCGCCGACTTCCGTCGTGCAAGACCGCTATACAGTAGCCCTATCCCAGGCATGATAAGCCACACGATGAACGCACAGCTAATAATATAGACATAGTTGTATTCAACGCCGGAGTATTGTAGGTTTACGTCGATTTGCGTAGGATCGCCGCCTTTGGGGGTTGAGGCGTTGTAGATTGGCTAGTTTTGTTAGAATGTGTATATATGGGGTTAGGTATGGAGGGGGTGTGTACTTCGGACATGGCGAAGAATACAATGCTGAAAGAATCAATTCCAAAGGAATGGAGCAAAGCACCTTTTATTTCACACTGAACTCCAGCCAGCCCTATCGCACCACAACCCAACCCACAAGACAAATACAGCACATTTATCTAAACTCCCGAACCGCATTTTCAGCATAAGCAAGAACTAGGCTCCCTATCAAAAAGCCAAGAATGTAATTCCGTCCGTCTCGCTTTTATACACAAGCACGTCGACAAAAGCACTTGATAAGATAGCGAGCTGAAGTCGATCCTTCGCGGGAAGATCTGGACGCCGGATTTGTTATCCTTCTGGGGTCTAGTTCTGGGCGTTCTTGTTGGTTGAAGATAACGATGCATATATGCAATGCATGGTAAAGGACGGGGCATATCAGTGCATTTTTTGGAGGGGATGGTGATAATCAACACGAGGCTGGGCCACCGAACGCCGTATAATTCACAATACACTATGATAAGGGGTATTCTATGCATACAAAAACAAGTCACCAGGACTATATATACAATCAAACCTGCCAATGCATTACAGCTTCGCTCCGGTTGTGATGTCCTTCCGACGCATCTGGCGCGTCGACACATCACTGTCTTCGGATGGATTCGGGCCAGTCGCTTTTTCAAATAATTGGCATCCAACGACTTCCGACATGGCCATGACCCGTGATGATACTGTGGCGCCGTCTCGACGGTTTTTGCTGTTTCTCGTTAGTATAGAAGTAAAGTGAAACCGATGTATAGAACTCACCCTTCGCGACGGGATTTCGCAATCATCTCAGTAAAGTCCCAGAGCCGACCGCGACCAAGCAGTCTGCCAGTAGCCGGATCCCGTTCAGGCGTCCATTCAGGTGCCAGCTTCATCATAGGCGCTTTGCGGGATTCCTTGCTCTTGGCGACTAGGATGATGCCTTCTTCTGCGAACCGCTGGTACGCGTTCTTGAGCGCTTCTTTGTTAACCGCCTCGAAGTACGAGAGGTCACCTTGGTGATATAGCGTTTTACCGAGCTAGTTGAGTTAGTGAAGGGATTTATGGTGGAATAGGCGAAGAACTCACAACTTGCGCACTATCCTGCGTCTTCTTCAAATCAACCCAGAGATATTTCTGGCTGTCCGATGGCGGAGTGAGGCCAAGGAGAGAAACAGCGCCCAACCATGATGCCTCGATGAATGGCCAGATAAGGAAGCAGTAAAAGTCGTAGTTCTCCCGTCCGCATTGCCGCTCAGATGCACTCAGCTCGACGAAGAGCGGGGCTCCAGATGCATCGCGGGTGACCTGAATCACATCATCCTTCTCGAGCCCAGCCAGTGTCCTTTCCAAGTTCGTCGTGAAACCCTCCGGAGGAAAGATGAATTCGCCACGGAACAGCTGCGAAAGGAAAGTAACCTGGCCCGATAGTTCGTCGTAAGGGATGCGCTGATTCGCTGGTCCACCACCCTGCTTGATCCGCGTGTACATTGCCGCTGATACCAATGCTTCGGTGATGAATAGGTGGATCGTCATGTTACGATAGAAGGAAAGCTGGAAGCGATCCACAGCGTAGTAGGTCGGCTCCACCAGGCCAGGCACTATGCCAACAAGTTGCGGTCCCAGGACTTCGAGCGCGCGATCGACGACCGTCTCAGTGGGCAGCTTGTAGAAGTGCGCCACGCGGCCTCCTTTCATTCGGACATGTTCGCAGAGCCAATTCAATCGGCGCACCACTTCGCCTTTGCCCACACCGCGCCCGCGAAGTGTCAGGAGGACTGTCCCGACCAAAGCAGTTGGCATCATCACAGACACGTTGTTGATATCTGATAGCACTCTATATCCCAATGTCCTCAGAATTCGTCCTCGCTCGGTGTAGCTAAGTGCCTGACTGTTTGACCCAAGTTGACGTGGCATTCTGGACATCTGCTGTGTGATAAATTCTCGTAGACTCCACGGTTGCTGGAAGCGAACATCAACACGACCCAGTCGCAAAGATAGCACGGAAGACGAAGAGAGGAGGTCTGCGAGGTTTTCTTTTCGCTTGGGCTGACCGAGAAGTTCACTGATATACGATCTGGGTCACGTTAGTAACAGTCACGATATGAGTCTGGTGGTCTCTTACTCAGTTTCGATAACCTTGTCGTACTGTGTGCTAACAGGACAGATAATGGTATCCTCCACACGTCCAGATAGCACGCTGTCCACGATGAAACTCAAAATTCCGAACTTGGGCGATAGAAGTTTGCCGGTTCTCGAGCGTCCGCCTTCGATGAAGCATTCAAAGTTGAAGCCTTGCTGCAGAAGCGTATCAATATATGCTTGCACGACAGTATGGTACAACGGGTCATTTCCGAAGCTTCGACGGATCCACATGGCACCTGCATGCTGTAGGAACGGTCCTAACAACGGGATGTTCAAATTATCGCCCGCCACGACAACAGGTAGACCAATTCCCAAACGATAACAGATAAGCTGCAGGGACACATAATCGACGTGGGACTTGTGGCACGGTAAAAAGACGATGGATTGCTTCTTCTTGGCGGCTTCCTCTGCAACAGATCTCAAACGAAGGACTTCCTCGCTGGATACGTGGATGCCTACTAATGTTAGCCAGTCACGGGTTGAGATAGATAGACGTCCTGCATTCCATGCCCACCTTGATGATATGCCCGCGTTAACAGTTGGGTACATAAGTAGTATGCCCCCCGAATGAACCTCTTGCTCTCCATCTTGCAAATCATATTGTCCATCATGGAACCCACCACATCTTCTAGGCTCTGTTTCAATTCGCCCCTCCGTTGTGTCCTCTTCTGCTGCAAGGTACCGGTCTTGGTCGCCAATAATCCCTCCTTTTCCTCAACCGTCAACCGTGTCTCCGCCAACTCATTGACTTTGTCCTGCAAAAGGGGACTGCCGAGAATATGCGACTTGATGTTCTCCGAAAATCCGGAGTAGAATATAGGTTGTCCGATGACATCGTCGTACGCTCTCCACCCGGTACCTGACATATGTAGGCTCACTTCGCGCAGAAAGTCAAGCGGGTTCTGTCGAAAGCGCGCCATGTGACGCACCAGGTTACGCTCCGTGATCGGCCCATTCTGTTGCTCTGGTCCGCCGGTAAATCCAGTAGGGTGAAAGGTAACCTGGTCTCCGACAATCTCCAGGTCCGGGGCCGATTCGCGATCGTCAACGGGGGTTTTATCCGGCGGCATTGTTGTTCTTTGCGATGCTTCGGAAGGGGATGTTCGGAATTGGAGGTGAAATGGACCTAGTTAGTCAAGATTCAAGTGGCCATTGAACGAGAAAATGGCGTCAAAAGAGATGCAGAAGCATGGCAAGCAGCAAGAGATCAAAGCAAAGCCGTTATTCGCCCGGCCAATCGCGAAGTTAAAAGCCGGGCATTTCCCAACAAAACGTTGATCGTCTCCAAACCCGATTCCTCCAGAATGAACCTCGGATATTGCTCACGTGATGCAACGGTGCTCTAGGCCAGATCGGGTAACGCGCCGGCTGGCTTGAACAAGGAGAGGAAACAAAAGGATGAACTCAACGCCGCAGACCGCATCACGGCAGCAGATAGATAAATGGCAGCGCTGCTCGTTCTCGAGCATCTTCTGGCAGATGCGACCGCATTGCACTCTTCTCGAACAGATCCCTGCCAATGTTGCTCACTTCCACGTTGAGCTCGACGGCGTGCTCAGAGTAGACGGCCTGAGCTGCGGCAGCTCCACCAGCGGATAATTTTACCAGCATCATTGCCCAATCCTTTCCCATATCGTTCACCACGGGTTTCTTTAGCTAACGGAATTATGTTTCGCTTCGCGAGGACTCTTATAAGTATGACACGTCTCCAGTGTGTCAATTGACTGGTTGCTAATTGTTGCTTCCAGCCTCCTCACCTCTCTCCCGAACCGTCACAATGTCCCTCTCTTCTGCCCGCCAATACTCCTTCCAAGTGTTTCGCGATGTCCCTCCCCTCCGCCAATTCAGACGGCAGCTGCTGCTCGAAAACCGGTCCCTGGGTTTCGTCCCAACAATGGGCGCCCTCCACGAAGGCCACCTTTCCCTGATCCGACAAGCCGCTGCGGAGAACACAGACGTCTTTGTTAGTATATTTGTCAACCCCACGCAATTCGGAGTGAACGAAGATCTGGACAAGTACCCGCGCACCTGGGACAGCGACGTCGCCAGGTTGGAGGAAATCAACGATGAGCTCTCTCGGGACACTCAGAATGGACGGGTCACTGGTATTCTGGCACCCACGCCACAAGTCATGTACCCTACCATGCCACCTTCGTCGGAAGTGGACGGACATGGCTCTTTTGTTACAATTACTCCTCTTGCGCATAAATTGGAAGGTGCCTCTCGTCCCGTGTTCTTCCGTGGTGTCGCGACGGTTTGCACGAAACTGTTCAACATCGTCCTGGCCGACCGGGCCTATTTCGGACAGAAGGATGTCCAGCAGACGGTGATCATCAAGCGCATGGTCAAGGATTTTCACATTCCCACTGAAATCCGCATTGGCGATACCATACGGGAGCATGATGGGTTGGCGATGAGCTCGCGCAACGTATACTTGGGAGCCCGGAGACGAGCGGTTGGTCTTGTCTTCTACAAGGCAATGAAGGCTGCTGAAGCGGCATACCAATCGGGCAAAACTAGCCGTGATGACGTTCTCGGGGCTGCATTTGCTGTGGCCAACCAGGTGCTCGCTGAGCAGCAGGCCCTGCAGCCGTCTGAGAGAGCGCTTTACGAGGTGGATTATATCTCTCTTGCTGATCCTGAAGACCTGGAAGAAGTGCAAGTGGTTGACCCATCTAAGGGTGCCATTCTGAGCGGTGCTCTCAAGATGGCTCCTCTTGAGGCGGCTAAGCCGGATGAAGACCGCGGTCTGGGTGACGGGCAGGTTCCTGTCAGATTGATCGACAATTTTGTTTTGAACCCTCGTGTCTGAGCATTTGAGCGTGCACTTCTTATCTGTCTTAGACTGTAAATAACCCTGGATTACTAGAAACATATCTTTTTCTCTATCTGTCCTGAACAATTCCATGACTATACAAACCAAAACGGAAAGTAGGGCAAATCCATAGGGTTCGGAACCATCCCGGCCCGAGAAAATTTCCTTAGCTCCCCGCCCCAGAAAAATTGAAGTCACCGCAAGCCGGAGCGCCGGAAAACATCGAAACCCCCAAACCAAACAAAAAAGACACAACCATGGCCGACGATGGCATGCTCCTCAACTTCTCCCTCGGAGACGACATCATCAAGCCCGAGCCAAAACTCAAAGGAGGCACATGGCGCGACCGCCTAAGCGCAAAGAAAATCACCCAACACCGAACCAAAGCCGGCCCCAAGACACCCGGGGACGAATCGAATAATACGTCGCAGAATCCGAACCGTATACAAGTTGCGCAGAGACCCGCAAAGAGGCAGAGGACCGAGGGTGGGGAGGGACCGTCGGAGGGACATAGACCGTCGCATTCGCATTCGCAACGACAAGGGCAAGGACAGCAGCCAAAAGAATTTATTTCGTCGCTTTTCTCGAAGAATCCGCTTCCGCAGACGGCCGAGGATGAAGACCAGGATGGAGAGGCTGGTGAAGATGCGAAACCGACTAATGCGCCGCTTATCGATGGACTTGATACCTTTACCAGTTTGGGGCTGTCGCCGCAAATAGCGGCGCATCTTCTTACGAAACTCGAGTTAAAAGCACCAACCGGTATTCAAAAAGCGGCTGTTTCGCAATTGTTGAAGGAGGATAGCGATGCGTTTATTCAGGCCGAAACGGGATCCGGAAAAACACTGGCGTATCTGTTACCGCTCGTGCAGCGGATCATGGCGATTTCGCTAGGTAACTCGGAGACGGATGAGAAGGGACAGCCGGTTGTTCATCGTGATAGTGGTCTTTTCGCTATTGTTCTTGCCCCGACTCGTGAATTGTGTAAGCAGATTTCCGTCGTTTTGGAGGGGCTACTGCGCTGTGCGCATTGGATTGTCGCCGGGACGGTTATTGGTGGTGAGAAGAAGAAGTCGGAGAAGGCGCGGTTACGGAAGGGTTTAAATATCCTGGTTGCTACGCCTGGTCGATTGGCGGATCATTTGGACAACACGCAGGTTTTGGACGTGAGCAATGTGCGGTGGTTGGTTCTAGATGAAGGAGATCGGTTGATGGAGTTGGGTTTCGAGAAGGAGTTACAGGGGATTGTGAATAAGTTGGACGCGAGACAACGACCGAGTCGCATCTCGGGTGCTCCTACGAAGAGAACGACGGTTCTGTGCTCTGCTACGTTGAAGATGAACGTGCAGAAGTTGGGAGAGATTAGTTTGTCGGATGCTGTGCACATCAAGGCTGACCCGGCCGATGAGGATGAGGAGAACAAGAATAAGGACGAAGAAGATGCTTTCAGGGTACCTGCTCAACTTAAACAGTCTTACGCCATTGTCGCAGCCAAACTACGACTGGTTACGCTCGAGGCATTTATGAAACGGACATTTATCCGGAAAGGCTCTGTCATGAAAGCTATTGTGTTCGTTTCATGCGCGGACTCGGTCGATTTCCATTTCGAAGTCTTTACAAGACACAAGCAGTTCAGAAACGAAGAAGCCAAATCTAGCGATGACGAGAGCTCAGACAAAGAAGAAAAGAAAGAACAGCAACCGCTTTCACCCCACGGCACCATCGCCCCCGCAACAGCTTTCTCGAACGAATCGAACCCAGTAACACTGCACAGACTCCACGGCTCCCTACCCCAACACGTCCGAACAGCAACCCTCAACTCCTTCGCCAAGAACCGCGACCCCTCCGTCCTCATCTGTACCGACGTGGCATCCCGTGGTCTGGACCTGCCCAACGTCGACCTAGTCGTCGAATACGACCCCGCCTTCAGCGCAGAGGACCATCTGCACAGAATCGGTCGTACAGCCCGTGTCGGTCGCGATGGTCGCGCCCTGATCTTCCTGCAACCAGGCAGCGAAGAAGGCTACGTCGACATCCTAAAGCGCGGCTACCGCGATGGCGGGAAAGCGCTCACCCGCACAGACGTAAGCGAGATCCTCAAGCGCGGCTTCGGTGGAAACGTCGAGTCCGCAAGTCACGATTGGGAACAAAAGGCGGGTGATTGGCAGATTGACGTCGAGCGCTGGGCAATCGATAACCCGCAGTATCTCGAGATGGCGCGGCGGGCGTTCCAGTCGCATATCCGGGCGTATGCTACGCATATCGCCAGCGAGCGGAATATGTTCAACATCAAGGAATTGCATCTTGGACATCTGGCGAAGAGTTTTGCACTGCGTGATCGGCCTAGTAAGGTCAATGTGCCTGGTCTGCGCCAAGGACAGGATGCCACGAAGAAAGATTACAAGGCAGATAGGAAGTCGACGGCCGGGAAGAAGAGGAAGGCTGGGTCCGGCGGCCGCGATGACGATGATGATGTCCCGGCGCAGACGGATGCTTCTATTGCAGCGAAGAAGATGAAGGCCAAGATGAGGGAGCATATGGCTGGGGCGAGCGAGTTTAACCTTGCATAGTCTGGCCCGTATATAGAAGTTGTAAAAAGCGATCATTCAATAGATATCCCATAATGAAATCTTTCCATCTTTCGAGCCGGCAGCTAGCCAATGGGTTTTTTGTGCCTTTCGATTTCTTTGTTGTTGGACAGCTGCGAGTGAACCCTCATTTCGTTTCGTAAGTTGCGTGTCTTTCTCGTCCCCTGGCTTGGACTCTGCATTGGTCGTAGGTGAAGCAGTAGAACCATCACCAGAGACCTCCGCAAACGCAACAGCATAACACCCATCCTTATGCCACTTAAGCACAGCGAGCTCCTTCATCGACTTGCACGAATACACCCTAGTCCTGGCATCCCACCCCGCAGTCGCAAATATCTTCCCATCAGAACGTATACGCAGACCCTGTTGTCCAGCATGTTTCGTGCTGATCGTTTTCAATGCCTTTTCCTCCGCATGACCCACGCCCACAAGACCCGCATTAGGAATAGGATGTTTCACCAATACCGAATCGGCAGAAGAAGAAAAAAAGTAATCTTTAGACGGAGCGACATCAATCGACAGGACCGGTTGTGTATGCGGCTTGCTCGTATACAGCTTCTCCCATTTCCAGGCGGTGCCCTTGCCGCTTGCACTTGATGAGATTTCTTGTTCAGTTAGACGGCTACGTCGGACGAAGACCATTACTTGGCCGTCTTCGTAGGCGGATGCGGCGTATAACTCTCCGGTTGAGGAGAGAAGTAGACGAACGGCCATTACCATGCCGGTGTTTGTGGCTGGGTCTGCTGGGATGGTTGACACTCGTCGTTCTAGGGGTAAGTGGAAGATGTCAATTGCGCCGGAATTGAGGGCATTGGGGACTGCGAAGAGCACCGGTGGTTGGGATGCACTGTCCTGCGATGACTGGGTATCCGAAAATGGTCCTTCCTGGGACCCCTGTTTCTCGTCGTCCACAGAACGAAGGGCATCAAGAAAAATCATATCAAAAGCACAAAAATTCAGCGCATTAACCGGGAGCGAATGTAACATCCACGGCTGACTCTGAGCGGTCACTCCCTCCTTGACATCAACCGGAAGAGTCTTATCAAGGAACCCCTCATCCTTCACCGCAAACCTCCAAACTCGTAATTTGTGATCTCGTCCATGTCTGCAACATATTAGCACCCATAACCCATTCTAATACGCAATGGAACAAACATACGTATACACAACCGTCCCATTCCCACCAAACTCAAACCCCTTCGCCTCCAAAACAGCACCCCCATGCGCCTTCCACGAAACCACCGGCCGCTTGCTCACCATATCCCAGACGATAATCCAGCCTTCTGCATCGCCGGAGATAAGACGGAGGTTGTTGGCGAAGAGATGCAGGGCGTGGATTGGGGATACATGGCCGCGGAGGATGTATGTTGGTGTTGCGGGGGATCGATGGTTGGATGGGGTGGTCATTTTATTTGTGCTTCTTAATAGTGCTGGAGGGTAGACTAAGGGATTATATTCATGATATGCTGGAAAGGTTGGTTATGGGAAGAGGTTGTTTAGTGGAGTAATAAATTACTTTCATTACATACAAAGCTTGGCATTGGCGGTTTAGTTGGGACTATAACCTCATGTCTACCTTCTTTGGAAATGCCCAAATTCAGACATCAATTATCAACACAATCGAGCCATTCCCAAGGATAAAGCTCCATCATTTCAAGTTCCTTAAAATCCGCTGCTTTTTCGGGAGGATTTCCTCCAGTGTGCAAGGATAAAAAATCATATAAACTAGGTGGTCCCATAGGTAGAACACCCTCCGCGACTCAAGCAGGACCAGGCAAAACCCACACGCAACAGGACGGAGGTCCTTGAGTTAGTACTTGTGTTATATGTATCCGCCGGAGCTTTCTCTGCCGGATTTGGACAATTCTTCCAACTTATCGGGGTTCTTGCTCCAGCCTGGGGGACAATCCTGGGGAGGTCGAGACTAGAGAGAAACATTAGACCTTGTCACTCAGTAGACTAGATTCATGAGCAAGCCACATACATTAGAAGCATTGGCAGCATTGGCTTCGGGGGCACGGGAGCTTCGTTTCCAAAAAATACATGTTGATTTAAGAAGTTGGAAAGTTGTTGTTTGCTGAAGTTGACTCAATAGAAAGTAAGCTATGTTTATACTATTCTTTTGGTTACACGTGGCTATAGTGACAAATACGAGGAAATACAATGGAGCATATAAAATGGCAAACAACATGGCACAATATTATAAATGTCCAATGACATCGGACAAGGGGTTGTATCATGTTGCCCTTCTTTGGCGCCTAAACGAAACCAACGCTCCAATAGATCCCGATCCCCAGCTCGCCGAAATCAACGGCCAAGCCTATAATAGAACAGCCCTAAAGATATAAATATTGAAGCCATTGAATTTCTCACTTTGCGGACCATACATATCACTCATCACCATCAATATGACCTCAACGCTCTAACCTGGTCTTCTCAAGCACCCCAGTTCCAAAATATTCGCTCCCCTCCTTTATAGTATGAACAATCTCTGCCTCCGTTATAGAATTGTCGATACGAAAAAGTTCAAACAAACTGCTCCCCGATGTAGAATACACCGCATGACTCAAACAGGACGAATTGAGGGCCCATTCCCATTTGCTGCACATTATAGGGTGTGGATTTTTTAGATTGTATAAAATTTCAATTATGTGTCTAGTTCCGTACGTATCTTTTGTCTTGCTAGGGTCTTTGGTCCAACCGGAAGGACAATCCTGAAGAGAGAGAATTATAATTTCTCTTTGTAGATCAGACATTATGGACAAATTACGTATATTAATTTCAGGAGCATCGAGGCTCTCCAAAAAAAAAAAAAAAAAAAAAAAAAGCCATGTTGGTTGAGGATGGATCGAACGTTTGTTGGAATTAACTGAGGGGAAGCAAGGATGTTTACATTAGTAGTGTATTGGTTACACATGGGAATGATTATGGCTATAGTAACTAATCTAGGAACATAGCCAGAACATGGTGAGAAGTATGCAAGCGTCCTATATGAGCTAAAACAATGCAACACAAGTCGTCAACTTAACCCATCATGGGCCGGTGCTCCTGAGACTATGATATTTTGCCACATAACCGCCATTGCTGTTAGGTTGCTTCCTATAGGCCTTGTATTTTAGTCTACTGGGGTCTTTTATCCAGCCTACGGGACAATTCTGAAGAAGGAAAAGTCAGACTTATGTCTGACATACAGAAATATAACCAAACCACGTACATGGTATTTCCGAGGACGGGTACGTCAAAAGCATGTTGGCTGGGAAAAATTCGCGTAAGCAGAAAGAAGCGTTTATATGGTTACACATGGCAGCGCGTATTACATGGCTATAGTGAGAGAGTTAAGGTAAGGCGATGAGATAAATGATGATAGGGGACTGTATCGATGTACAGGAACGACGATCTCAAAGTAATGCCGCGAACAAGAACCAAATAAACATATGAAAAATGATATCTACCCTCCCTCCCCAGATATGCCTAGATTCACCTATCATCTTCATCATCCACAAACTCAAGCGTCGTCAACTCAAGCCCATCAATCCCCATCCATCCCCCACTTCATCGCCCCAATAATATCCGTCTCCGTAGCAGGATGATCAATACGATAAACTTCATTCTCCATATCATTCTTATCCAAGATGTAGACCTTTCCATGTGACTCAAACAAGTCCATCAAAATACCATCCCCTGCTGTGCACATAATGGGCCGGGGGTCTTTGAGGCAATACCACCCTGCCTCACGTTTGTCGATGGATAGCCAGTTGGAGCTTTTTGTCCAGCCTACGGGGCATTCCCGAAACAAGGAAAGGTTACGCTCAGGTCAGATGTATGGGAAAAGCACGTACATGGTATTTGCGGGGATAGGCACGTTGGAAAGGCATGTTGGTTGGGAAAGATGGGTAAATTGTTTGCTGAAATTGACTCATGAGGAAGCAAAAAGGTCGATTATATCATTTACATGGTTACATAGGGGAGTTCAATACCAAGCCAGACTTAAGTAAAATAACATCAACAATCATACCCAACCTCCATCAACGTAAGCTTCTCAAAATTCACATTATCCTCCCTAATCACCCTAACAATCCCCTCCTCGGATAACACCATCCCAACCTGCTCCCAGATATAATATTTCCCGCACGATTCAAACAAAACCATATAAATTCCATTCCTCCCTGTCGTGCACATAATAGGTTTGGGATCTTCGAGATCAAGTGACTGCCTTTATAGCGCCGAAGCCGTCGGGGGTTTAAACCCACTCGGTTTCGGGTAGTAGTGGGTTGCCCAGCCTGCGGATGTGGTTATTATCATCATCGTATCCTGGGAAGAGGAAGGTTAACTGAAGGAACTAGATAGACGTCTGAGTTTACTCGGTGGTCATAGTAGTTGCTATTTTACGTCGGAAAAGTGGCACGTGCGCTGGTCACGTGCCCACAAAGATCCCGGAGCGGAATATACGACGGGCTATATACTCGGTGGTCATGGACGTTGGAAAGTGGTCTATTCTATTCGTTACTATCACATGACTAAAGAGGACTAGAATGAACCAATAAAACAGCCCAGCCGGGCTAGCTCAATCGGTAGAGCGTGAGACTCTTAATCTCAAGGTTGCGGGTTCGACCCCCGCGTTCGGCTTCAACAGAAGACGATCACGATTGATCACTTTTTTTTTCTTTTTTTATTTATTTATTTTTGTTTTGGAGCCCTGGAGCTCATCCGGGCGTCTGTCGATGCACAAGTGCCGAACCAAAAAAAAGGAAAACAAATTTCTAGCTCTAGAACCAAGGAAGATGGACGAGACATAGTGGTATCATAGACAAAACAATCGCAAAACATAACGCCCTATATATATGCCCCATGTACGATGTCTAAAAGGCCCCAAATTGAAACTCATCAATAAAATGCTGCGAGTGCGGAGGGATATAAAAGTTCCGATATGGATGGTTTTCCATGGAGAAATCCGCAGTGATCATGGTAGGGTTAATCACCCCCGGCGGCATTCTGGGTTGCGCGGGATAATGTATAGTCGAATCCAGCATGGGATGCTCATTCATCAGCGAAGCGGGATTTGTAGAGGTGGGTATCTGCTGACTGGTCCAGGCCCATGCTCCCTGGAGTTCTTGTTTGATTGTATCAGATTGCCAACCGGTTTCGTTGAGCAGACGGTCGAGGATCTGTAGTGCTTCTTCCTGGGCTTCTCTTGTGGCGAGACATTCAACGGCGAAGGAGAGAAATCGGATCGCAAGGCTGGCAATACCGCTGTAGAATACAGTTAGCTTTGATTCATCACTTCGTCTTTGATCATCTGACATACCGGTCCTTGATATGCGCAACAATGCCGCAGATCTCATGCGCATGACCTTGCTGTATATTGCGCATCTCTGGACTATACTCCAATTCGAATGGATGCGTTTTACACAGCAAAAGCCGCGCGGTGAGATAGAGCAGCCGCGCGAGAATGGCCGTCTGGTTGATTAACCTATCAGGGTTGGTTAGCGACCTATAAGAGAACAGAGGGGAATTGCCTACCAAATCTCCGGAAAGGCTGATTTAGGAATACCCTGCCATGGATCGAGATGTCCAAGAGGCATCATAGACCGCGGTACAGCCTTTTCCCATTGATCACACCATTTATTGTAAATATCCCATTCCTGAAACCGCATTTCAGTCGCTCCATGGTCCATGTCTTGGAACTGTGAGCCAGACGACCGGAAATTGACCAGCTTCGCGCATATATAGACAATACGATGAGTCCACATTTCTTCGCCATTAATAGCATGGGATCGTGTTTCGTCCATATTCATGTCTATGTCCCATGTGTCGGGATCCCAGGCCAGAGACCAGTTAAAACGTAGACAGGTGAATGATTCCATCATCACGCTAAGCCAGAAACATGCTCCTCCGAGCCCGGGAGATCTTGCATCCCAGTGGCATTCTCTGATCAGAGCCCTGGCACCAGCGACATGATTTAGGCCGTGGACATCCCTTGAGGACATTACTTCGTACATTCCTAGGACAGTGGCAGTCGCGGCACAGAGAGTCGAGTCACGATCCGGATTTTGCAAATGACTGAGGAGGTCTTGGGTTGCCGCAAAGTAGAAGTACGAAGCTCTGTCTTCGCCATTCGGGGAACTCATGGGGTGGAGATGTGCTCCGCATGCCATGACGGCCTTCAGAAGCATGGGCTCATCTAGGATACGGAACGGCAGAATATGCGTAAACTAGATTGATTAGCTTACAAGATTATAACAAGGTAGCATTGAACGTACGTATTTTGACGCATCCATAGAGTCCAGCCACAGCCCAATCTCTTCTGTAAATGTCCGTACAAGATGAATCTCCTCTCGACGACTGAGAGGTCTAGAATCTGGGTTTACCATCATCTGTCTCGTCGAGGGAACGAGTGGCACTTCCTGTTCAGGAAAGACGGAGAACAACGCCTGAGGAGAGCCATTGAGCATAGCATCAATCGCTTCCAACTGCGAGGGCTCCAATGGTGAGACGAAGGAACGAGTACTCTGCAAAGGCGGACTCATAGTACCCGACAACCCAAACCCCACAGGACCTTGTTTTTCCAACGGCAGATCTAGTTCCGGGGAGGGATATCTTTCAAAACCTCCCACATACTCCGACGCAATATGCCTCGACTCATCCCGAAACATCAACCGCGTGCCCGCTTTCCGAATCGCATAGTATGGAGGCGCAACTGTCTGCGTATCTATAAAGTTAAGACGTATCCCGCGCCTGCATACCCTGTTGGACTTCCGACAATTCTGGCACTTGCCCAGTGCCTCGTCGCATTTCAGATGGCGCTCGCGACAAGTCAAGCAGCCGGTTCGAACCCTTTTCGATTTCGGAATACCTCTGCCGCTCTTCTTTTTACCAATTTTTGTCATCGTTGCGCGCGGTGTGCTGATTGTCGAGCTTGTGGGTGTCGAGGCTTGGCCATCGTCGTTCGGAGTAGGTCCGCTGTCGCTGGGTTCGGACACCAAGGTCATGGGTGTTCCCAGATCTGGTTGTAGAGATGCATGACTGCGAGTGGCACGAGTCATATCAAAGCGTGTAGAGGTCACGCAGATATTATTTGCCCGGCGATTGCCGTTGCAGAACTCGAACAAATAATGCTGCAAGGAGACCCCACAACTGAATCCATTAACCAGCACCGCAGTTCATTAGCCACCGTCCATTATCTCCTTTTAGCAGTCGTAAGATGTCTCCAAAATCTGATTATGACTCGTAGTATCAAGGCGTGCGAGAATTGTCGAGTAACGAGTGGTCGTTCCAGTCGCAATGGTTTCCGGGAGATCGGGCAATCGCAAATTACCTAGAAGAGAGCTGTCAGGAGGAACGACAATAAAAACCAAGTTAAGACTCGCGCATGAACGGACTCACCTCAGATAATCTATGAGAATGAATGTATAATGTTTTGTTCATAGAGTGAAGAGATGGTGATGGTTCTTTGAATATGAACCGATAAAAAGATGCGCGGGGACGCTTTACAGGCTAAACCAAAAAGGGATTAGTGTTTTGTCCGTTCTGTAGGGCTACTCCGTGTTATCTATGACTATTTTCTTTGAATCTTAAGAAGACACTAGACTTTTTGATTGGTAAATACACTGGGACTTCTATCTTTTCGTGATATGCCACTGTCTGGAAGCCCTGAGATATGCATATTATAGCATGGTTCGCCATTAACATGCCTCATCATCATTTTTATAAAGATACTAGTAAAAGATCAATGCTTTTATATGTCGTCAAATATTGGTTGGAAGGTGAAGCATTAAGACCTGCTCCCGAGTCGCGGCAGTCGCATCCGAACGTGCATAAGGAGCATAAGAACTCCATAAACAGCAGCGGAGACGAAGGTCACCCGAAGACTCAAACTATACGCGCTGATGACTGTGCGATTGTTAGCATGAATTCCTAGAAGTTCGACCAGTCACTACTAACCTTGTTGTTGATGCATAGGATCCAACTCTGCAATGGCTCGTACCGATTTGCGAACGAGCAGAATGACATCTTCCTTGTTTGGTCCCGTGACCATCTCCTCGAGTCGATATGTCAAGCTATTCTGGAAGATCCAGCTGCTTATCGCCACTCCCATGACCGAGCCGAGGTTTCGCCATAGACTTAGCGTCGTAGTGGCCACTGCTTGCTCTTCTTGGTCGCTTGTAGCAAGAACCCCCACCATAAACGAAGGGAATGAGAAGCCTTGGCCGAGACTGGAGAGTGAAACGCAGATCATCGCAATGATATCCGGAGTCGCAGCACCTATCGAGGCAGCCGCACAGCCACCCAGAAGGATAAGTATGTCGCCAATTATTATCGTGGGCTTCAGGCGCTTGGTGTATGTAATCAAAAAGCCGGTTGAGACGCTGGACATGGTGACTGCAAGCGTACAAGCAACCATCTTGAATCCAGACTCGGTTGGGGTGACCAGTTTAACGGCCTGGAAGTACAACGGGATGTTGAAGATCATGGTGTTGATTGAGATAGACCCAAGGAAATTCCCGAAAATGATACTTGCACGAGGCTGCTTCGATAGTAGTGAGATTGGCATAACAGCACGCTCCACACCGCGCTCGTACCTCACGAAGATTACCGCTAAGACGAAAGATAGGAGCAAGGATGAGATGATGACAGGATGAGTCCAGCTGAACACATTACCACCCAGGTTAAGCGCCATGATCAGCGACGTTACAGCAAGAACCAGAATTAACGAGCCAACCAAGTCGATGTTCTTCATCAGTTGTGACAGGGTCATCTTTTCTCGTTTCGCACTCTTCAATCCCAGACCTGCCGGTGTCGTCCACGCGGCCACGAAGAAGTACACAAAGATAAATGGCAGTTGTACGTAAAAAGCACCTCTCCATCCCACTTTGTCACATAGGTAGCCACCGAAAGCTAATCCTAAGCACCCACCTACTCCCAGAACAAGATTGATGTAAGACTGATAGACACCGCGGTACTCGAGACGGACCAAGTCACTGGAAAGGATCAATCCCAAAGCAAGCACACCACCAGCCCCAAGACCACAGAAGGCACGCGCGGCGATAAGACTGCCAATGCTCTGGGCCATTGCACACCACAGCGTAGTGAAGAAGAAGACAACGATAGAGAACAGATACACGGGTTTCCGTCCAAAGGTGTCTGAGATGCGTCCGAAGAGAGGAAGGAACGCAGTAGACGTCAAAAGGAAAGAATTTGAGAGCCACGAAGCAGAGTTGGAGGCGTGGAAGTAGGAGGTAATCACCGGATGACTCGATGCCATCAGCGTTGAATCGAAAAACGCAATTATATATCCCATCATGACCCCTCCGAAGATAAGCCAGAATCGCGCAGGCGAGACATTGATGAATCGTACTGCGTAGCCTGTGTTTTCTTTTGATTGACTATCCTCAGGACCTGCATGATCGGGAGGTGGTGGTACACTATCAAGTATACCCTGGGAAGCAGAAGTGATTCTAGAAATGTCAAGGACAGTCGCATTCTCGTCCTCGAAGGTCGATGCAATGGACAATGAGTCGCAGTGAGGACTCATCCCTACAGATCCATGGGATCCATTGTAGCGGTGGTTCTGAGTAGGAGACGTTCCAGTACTGCCTAACAGAGGAGTTGACTCATTGGCATGATCGCTATGCCCTTCCATCAGGTATTTGTTGACAATATATGAAAGAGACAAGAAAGCAGACTTGGTTCAGCAAGGAAAATAAAAGAATAGGAGAAATAGAAACGAATGTACACAACTGCAAGAAAAGGAAAGAAATCCGGTCCATCAGCAAAGGTCATTGGGAGCCTCCAGTGCTTTATACTCTCTGTATTGCTCGGGTATGGTCATGGATTACAGTGGAGTCAGCTGCAGGATGGGTACGCTACTGTAATATATCAGATCCTGTCAGTACTTTATATCTACCTGGTGATATTGACAGCACTAATTGAAACAACATTTCAAATGTTACATTTATTTACTAGACCCTCTGCTTTAACTGCGACAAATCTTGCTACTTTATAAGCTTTTTCTGAATAACTTTTGTATTTGACATCTGTATCTGGATGTACTACTTTGTATCGGATGTGACGCCGTATTACCTACCGCTCCTCGTGGGTCCGTGCCATCGTACCCAATCAGAAGTATGATTGACTCTCGATCTTTGATATCAACCAATCAGGCTTTATTTCCGGCGAACTTAGCGCGAACCGATTATCCGATACAGTATCTGTATGAAATTACTATGATCTCGTGATTGCCAGGGTACTATGAGGAATACTGGATCTTCAATCTATCTTCCTACTAAATGTTAGAGATTTTAAATTAAGCGCAAAAGTCTGAAAATTTCTCCGACTGTCTACTGTCAGGGCTAGGTTTTTTTTTTTTGTTTTTTTCTTTCTTCTTTTCTCGTTTTGATAAGGCGGTGGCGCCAGATTCAGGGCCGATAAGGAACCATGGGCGGAGTGAATCATCCACCGCTTCGCTTTATGAGTCGACTTGCCCCATCTTGGAACATGGAGATATCAAACGCATAGCATAACATCATTGAAGCTCTCCTAGACCTTTGCGTAATTTGAGGGACTCTGTATTATCAAATTATCCAATCTCACCCACTTCTCTCGTCCCTTATCAGCCCCCCATCCCCGCAATGGCTCCCCCGCTTCGAATCGCCGTACTGGAATGCGACACGCCACTAGATAACATCAACGCCAAATATGAAGGCTATGGTGGTGTTTTTAAAGAGCTCTTCAGAGAGAGCGCCAAACGCTTAGGGCATCCAGAGAAACTAGACCCGGACACTGGTTTTGAGATCTCGCGATGGGATATCGTGGACGGAGACAAGTACCCCAACTTGGATGAGGTTGATGCTCTTGTTTTGACTGGGTCGAGTATGTAGTCCTTCAGGGCCTTTAGAAAGCTAAATTATAACTTCTGGCAGAGCATAACTCCTTCGAAGACCAACCTTGGATCCTGAGATTAGTCGAATACACAAAGAAAGCCATCGGACACCCCCGCGTGCGGATCCTAGGTATCTGCTTCGGCCACCAAATCGTCGGACGTGCTCTTGGGGTGAAAGTCGGTCGAAGTGATGCCGGCTGGGAAATTGCAGTGTGCGATATGGATCTAACAGAACAAGGGAAGAAGCTGTTTGGAAAGGACAAGCTCGTACGTTGCACGTGCATACCCAATATTCTCTACAATTGCTAACGATTGATCTACAGCACATTCAACAAATGCACCAGGATATTGTCTACGAATACCCGGCCAATGTTACACCGCTTGGCTCGTCTCCTCGTTGCGCTGTGCAGGGCATGTACCTGCCCGGGAAATTTATTACTGTCCAAGGACATCCGGAGTTTACTGGGTACATAGTCACTGAGATTATCAGTACACGGTCAAAATTGGGTATATTCTCTAAGGAGGTGTCTGAGGATGCCTTGGACAGGGCTGTCGTTGAGCACGACGGTCTTGCGATTGGGACGGTGTTCCTTAATTTCTTGCTGGAGGACAGGGAGTAAACATGATTTTATGAAACTACTATAAGTTTGTATATATCTAACTATAGAGGTTTTTGATTATAGAGGAACAGAGGGTTTGTTTTGCTCTTGAGATCGTCATCGTTATTAAAGATATTTACTTGCAACTGTATATAGCGAGCCTCTGGTATACTAACAACTTCCAACAAGAACCATTATATCTCCAGCAACATGCTCAGCAAATTCGCCCTGTCGTCCTCTCATATAGACCAGAAAAAGCGACAATCACCCCTGAGCATTCGGATCCTCCTTCTCCAAAAACGACGGATCCATCTCCACCCTCCTCTCAAACTTAGTCCACCAATCCCGAAAGCTTTTCAACGTCACAACCTCCTCCCCCTTATGATTAGGATCCGGCGCCGCAAAACTCGCCAGAAAATTAAACGCATTACCAATAATCCTCTGCGCAAGCACCTTCGTCGAAACCTCCTTCCTCTGCCTCTTCTCAGGCGACTGTTGCACAAGATCCGTCGACGCCCCAGCAGCCGCCGGCTTCTCAGCCTCTAATTGCGCCAGCTGCGGCGCAACAGTCTGAACGGGCTCGATCGAAATTCCCAACGTCACCATACCTCCCGGCGACACGCCGCCGGAGAGGTTGCTTGCGCCTTCGTCTAGCATTTCATCTTGGTCTTCGGCTTCTGAACGCTGCGGTGTGGATGGTGTTTCGCCGGGGCGGACTTTGAATACTGCGGATGGTTTCTCATTGGCTAGTGCGCCTATGAAGCGGAATGCTGGGCCGTTGGGGGAGGGTGTTTGCTCTGGTAATTGGATGTAGATTGCGGCTGCTGTGTCTTGCGGGAGGACGGTGCCGGGGAGGAAGAATACGACGACGTCCGTGAACGAGGGCGTAAGGGGGAATGTGAAAGCAAACTTGGTAGGCTGGCCGTTTGGTTGGCCGTCGACGGCGACTATGTTGGTCAGACAAGGTCTGCCTGGAATGATGACGGAGAACATGGCGGAGTAATATTGTAACTCGTAAACACGTTAGTCGCTGAGCACCGTCTGACAATTATATTATCTGGTTATAGTGTTGGTAGGGAAGGTATTTGCTATCGGATTGAGCAGGGCGTAATTTGCATCTTCCAGGGATTATGGCTGTCTAGTTGACAGTTTGCGATGGCAGCAACCGGAATTTTCCAGGCGCGCGCATTCTATGATGGAACCTCAAAGAAATGCGCAGTGACGAAATGCGGTGCCCTTATCGATAAGGGTTATTTTATCGCTGCGCATAGCCGTGTTCGTGTACGGTACAGCCCAGCCCCCCCCCCCCCCCCAAATAAGATATCTCGAAGAGCCTTAAATCCAAGTATATAACTTCACTTTCTTTCTTTCTTGTCAATTGTTTTGGCATACACAATCTATAAGCAACCGACACAATGACAAAATCATACCTCGACCTCGTCAACGAATGCGACAGGTAACATTCTCCTCTCCGCTCCAGCAGCCAAGACACTTCTAACCATCAATAGATTCCCATACTACCACGACGACCCCACATTCTACATATCCCACCTCCAGAACTACCACTTCTTCAAAGTCACCGGCTGTCCCTCCATTCTAGGCTACATCTGTAACTCCGTAGTCGAGAAGTTTCCCTGGCCCGAAGACTGCTGGTCCATCGACTCCGCCAACCGAACTGTCACGCTCGTTACAGCTCCCGGTGCAACCCCCAGCCAGCGCAGCGAACTCGTCGCAAAGACCCTCGCGGAAGCAGTGAAGCGCAATACCTTTGAAATCCTGAACGGATGGCGTGATGAGTTATACCCCGTCTACGGTCCGAAGGGGGAGTTCTTGCTTGAGTTGGAGCGCAGCGCGAGTCCGCTTTTCGGGATCGTTTCGTACGGTGTGCACGTCACTTGCTATGTGGATGATGCGGATGGGATACGGATCTGGGTGCCTAGAAGGTCGAAGACGAAGCAGACGTATCCTGGGATGTTGGATAATACTGTTGCTGGTGGGATGAGTACCGGGGAGAGGCCGTCGGAGTGTGTTGTTCGGGAGGCTATGGAGGAGGCGTCTTTGCCTGAGGATGTGGTTAAGGCTAATGCGGTTCCGACTGGGTGCATTACATACCTCTACGTGCGGGGTGAGAATGCCGGAGGGGAGACGGGCCTTTTGCAGCCGGAGGTTGAGTATGTTTATGATATCCCGCTGGACGCCAGTGTCGTTCCTAAGCCTTGCGATAGCGAGGTGGAGGCGTTTCACCTGTTCACAGTTGAGGAGACGAAGCAGGCTTTGGCGAATGGGGAGTTCAAGCCCAATTGTTCCATGGTCCTGGTTGACTTCTTCCTAAGACATGGTATCATTACTCCGGAGAACGAGCCTGATTTCCTGGAGATCTCGGCGCGATTGCACCGTCGTCTTGAGTTTCCCACCGCATCGCATGCTTTGGCGAACTAGACCATGGACCATGAAAGAAAAGGAGCATGCACAGAACGATATACATATTTGATGATCTATTGATATACCCAATTACCAATCTAACGCCGGCGCTCCAGAAATGTCTCAACTAAATACACCCGACTTTTGTTCGGATAACAATGCATCAACTGTAGATAGCATAGCGGTATTTGCATCAATCACGAGATAAGAAAATAAAACGAAGCGATCCTCTCATTTCTTCAAAAGCAGGTACACGTAGTCAACTCTGAGAGGGGCAAGCTTCTTGTAAGGTCCCTCAAGGTAAAGCAGGAGTCCACCAAAGGAGATAAAAACAGCCCTACACCCAATTAGCCAGTACTCAATAGCCTATAGTTGTAAGTGACTCCTTACATGTTCCCCTGAGAACTCCCCTCCTCAAACCGGTAAGCCTTCCCATGGCAAACATAATCATAATCATTCGCCAGCGTCTGCTCGCCCATACCAACCTCTCTCCAAGAGGCTTTGCTATCCTCCTTTCCGTCGAGCGACAGTGTCGACGCTAGTGCCATGGAGAGCGACTCTCCGACCGTGCAGGGGTACAGCTCGGTGTTGACATCGAGCGTGAAGGTTGTGAAGGAGTCGGACGAGGTGCAGGTCAGGCGAGAGACGCGGTCGTATTTTTGCGAGTTGATCGCGGTGATCGTGAAGGTGTCTTCGAAGAGGAGCGGGTCAGACATGGTGGCGATTGCTATTTGTTAACGGAAAGGAACGAGTTCAAGTGAAAATCGAGAGATAGAATACTGGGGTGATTGTCTGCCCTTAATGGCACGAGGCGAGCTGGTTCGTAAAAGCAAAATCGGCTTCAAGTCGAGTTCCGGCGGTGGAAGCTTTTTTCTGCTCGACTTTTCGTGCTACCGCCGCTTTTAGCGGAAAGCGGTAGGAACTGAGCCATGCCCCGCCGCTGCAAATAATCTTCACTGACCCTTGAGAACACCAGATCTCGATTATCATACGAAAATGTCCTTTCGCAAGCGGAATATTGGGCTATCGACTGGCCCGGGTCAGGGACCTGCCGCCAATTCCCCTGCGCAAACCGCTGCCGTCACCGACTCGAGCCCTGGGATCCGTCCCTCTCCCGATGATGGCAGACCAACGACGTCTACGGGTACACTGTCGCTGGACAATCTTTTAGCAGGACATGGGGGGCTTCCTATTGGGAAGATGCTGTTTATTGAAGAGAATGGGACTACGGACTTTGCGGGCGCATTGCTACGATACTATGCTGCCGAAGGAGTAGTGCAGGACCAAAAGGTTCATGTCATTGGAGTGCCAGAGCAATGGGGAAGGAGTCTTCCTGGTTTAATAGGCTCTGCCGAAGCTGGTGACGAGAAGCCGGATAGGCGGAAGAGCGAGCGTATGAAAATTGCCTGGCGATATGAGCGTCTGGGAGAGTTTGGCGCAGGAGTTGCAGGATCGCGAGGTGAGTAATACATCTGTCCAAACACATCCTATTGGGAACAATTGCGCTGATTATCATAGCCCCCGCGGCACCTGAACAGAACCAGAGCACGGACGGAAACCAGGTGAAACCAGCATTCTGTCATGCATTCGACCTCACGAAACGCCTCACCCATCCCTCCATTGCGAAAATGAACTTTATCCCGTTCGCACCCACGAGAGAGCCATTCTTCACTTCTATTTATAAGCGACTTCAAAGCGCCATTGCATCGAGCCCTCCGAACACCGTGCACCGCATCGTCATCCCGTCCTTGCTTAGTCCCACCATGTACCCTCCGGAAGTCAGTCAGCCAGACAATGTTCTCCCGTTCCTTCACTCCCTCAGAGCTCTTTTGAATACCCCAAACGCACGCATCACAGCCATTATCACAGTCCCCCTGTCACTTTTCCCCCGCGAGTCAGGCCTCGTACGATGGATGGAGCTGATCGGCGATGGTGTTATCGAACTGTGTCCTTTCCCTCACTCCGCTGATGCGCTGGCGACATCGGGAGCGGCAACTTCTGGAGAAGAGCCACCCCAGGGCATGCTGAAGACACATCGATTGCCGGTGCTGCACGAACGTGGTGGTGGTAGTGACCAGAATATCGGGCAGGATTGGGCGTTCAACCTGAGCAGACGGAAGTTCGAGATTAAACCCTTCAGTTTACCGCCGGATGAGGGCGACAAGGAAGCTCAAGGCGGAGCAGCTGCGGGCGGAATGCCTAAGAAGGAGGATTTGGAATTCTAGAGTGATAATCGAATTGGAGGTAGATTATTCTTCATGGTTCGAGTCTTCGAGCATATCCTGCAGCTCGATCTGTTCAGACATGGCCCCGCCCGTTTGCGCCATTGTCCGGAGATAACTCCGTCCAAATGCGGGTCTTGTCGACTCATCTTCAAAATGACGGCGCAAGCGAAAAAAGGCAAACCATGCTTCAAGGTGTCAGCAAATGCGGCGCGGCACAGACAGAAGATGACCCACCTAAAACGAGGAGGAGAGGTGAAAAGAACACGAGGAATAGCAGGATGAAAAAGTTCATTGCGGCGCTTGGTGACAGACGTCAGGTATAAATAGACAGACCAAAGAGATATGTTACTGTCAAGAATATGCGGTTATCAGTCCGATTGAATTGTTTTTGGCGGATCAAGTAGCGGTTGTGGTTTCTCCGGGTCGCAGGAGTGAGTACTCCCAAACGAGATTAGCGCGGCTCGTCAGAGTATTTCCCACCAACTTTTTTCTCCGTCGACATTCTTTCTCTTCTCCCTCAACACAGAGCTCTGGTTTTGCTGGACAAATCCCAGAGTTATGATCTTTTGCTCTTTCTAATGGTAAGTAAAAGAACGTTATATGTTTATTTCTTTTGCTCGCATGATTATACATCTACTATAATCTGTCAATCCCCTGAAGCTCGCTATATATCTCTATAAAATTGAGCACCTGTGATTGAGAAACGTATTGAGAATGACTTGCTATTTCTTGTTTCTACTGCTACGATCCATTGACTTTTCATGGACTTGAGCTAACTGGCCATCTGTTAGCAGTGTATATTTGAGACTCGTGTCAGCTAGAAAATGGACACCGACCCGGCTCTCCCTATACCGATCTCTTACATATCCGGTAGTTACTATCTCTTCTCAATTGATGCAGTTACATATCTGAGACGCGAACACCATATCTGTGGCGTTCTGATTGGAACCCTCCCGCAAATCCCGCAACAAAATGTCTTCCTGGCCATGCCCCTGCAGTTGATGCCAGAAGAGGCACGGCTGCTGGTGGACAAGGGTGTAGCTTGCATTGTAGACGAGGTAAAGGCACACAAGGACGGCATGACTTCCATCATGGAGGAGGATCGGAAACGGTATCTCCAGGATTTAGAAGCTGAAGGGCTGCAGGCCATGCGACTGCAGAACCGCCGCAAAGAGCAACTGCGGGAAGAAGCTTTAAAAAATCTAGATGCGAAGAAGGCGGCCAAGACGTCTAAGAAATCTGCGCAGAAGCAAGTTGTTGCGGATAATGCTGCCGGTGATGATCCCGCACTGGAGCTGTTCGCGGGTGGTGAACAGGCCCAAGATGCCGGTCCGCAACGCCCGACTCCGTCTGAAACAGCGATGGCTGTCACTCCTTCGACGTCGTACCCGCCGATGCCATCTAGACCTGCATCTGATCAGATCCTGCCGTCACCTGAAGTCCCGTCCTCTTATCCTCTGTTCGCGCATCTGCACTCCAAGGGCTATTTCCTTTCGCCTGGACTCCGGTTCGGATGTCAGTATCTCGCATATCCGGGTGATCCGCTACGGTTCCACTCTCACTTCCTGGTTGTGTCTGCTGAATGGGATGAAGAAATCAACTTAATGGACATCATTGCTGGCGGTCGACTGGGCACTGGTGTGAAGAAGGGATTCCTCGTTGGCGGAGCTGAACAGACTGGTCCTGGTTCCGAGGATAGTGTCAGGACGTTCAGTGTTGAGTGGGCGGGAATGTGATGCTATGCTTTTCTGCTCATAGATTCTCAACATATCTGCTTATTGCAGCAATACGCCGCGGCCATTCCCAAGTCGCACTCGAGGCTATGCGCTTGTGAAAATGTTCTAGCGCGATTGATTTGTGGGGATGGACTACTTCGTTAACCATCTATTACGCCGGATGGGCTCGCGCTTGGGCAAGCACAAACAGGATGAATGTTCAACATCATCAGTACCGGAAGACGACGCAACTCGCATAAGAGCTAAACAATGTCGTCGAGATGCAAGTTACTGCAAATCCATGAAATTAGATACCCGTGAATGACACATTATGATCTATCAGTCAAGTTCTATTTACATTGGCGTAACTCGTTCCGTAGATTCCAACCGTTCCAATTCCTGTAGTCGCGTTCTGTCGCATTCAGTTCCAGGCGCAATTCGTCCCGCAGCAGAGCTCAGCTAGCAGTTTATACCACTGACGGGTGAGCATTCTCCAAAACTGACAGGCATAGGCATCATATCATGCCATCAGATAGCCCATTCCATGCGCCTTGTCATTCACGTACTCCACAGAGTTTGATGTATCCAACAAATCCATTAAATCCAACCCATCGAATCACAGATACTCGACATTCCTCCACTTGAACTTCTTATGCGCCCTATCAACAGCCCGATTCTGGAACTGATTCCCATGGATCTCAAACACCAGCTCCTTCGCTTCAGATTGTTTCTGCTCATCCTCCTTCATCTCCGTATCCGCGTCTGCACCTGCATCTGTCTCTGGCTTCGGTAACGGCACGCGAAAGCGAATAATCGTCTTTTCCTTGGGAATTGCTGCAACCATTAGCATAACCTCCCTCAACACCACAGTGTAGGGAAAACGCACTCTTAACCTCATCTCTCTCCGTAACAACCACAAACGTAAACTTCGTATCCCTTACCACAACCCCCCTAATCCCAACCCTCCCCGCACACCCACTCCTCACAACCTCAATCTCCGCGCCATGAAAATCAGCACTAACAAGCTTACTCCCATGCGACAGCGCCGTAACCATCCCCCCTCCCTGCCCCGTACTCCCATCACTCCTCAAATCAAGCACCTCCTGCATATACCGCACCCAAAGCGCATGTAACCCTTTGAAGATTTCATACTTCGCCTCGCCATCCGCTAGCTCATGTATTCCAGAGGCGCGCTTTTCTTTCGCGGAGAGGGGTTTGGGGCGCTGGTGGCGTAGGAAGTATTCTTTTTTGCGGAGGCGGTGGTGGCGCCGGCGGGAGCGGTTGTCTGATGCGGACGGGGAGGTTGGGCGGAGGTAGAGCGGTTTTTGCTTTATGCGGTCGGTGAAGAGGGTTTCGGTGGTTTGGGGGGAGTGGGCACGGGAGAGGAGGGTTTGGGCGATGTGTTGTTTTGGGAGTGGGGTTGTCATTTTGGTTGTTTGGGTTGGTTAAAAGGATGGTAGGGGAAGAAGTTGGTGATGGATGGAAAAAATGGTGATAAGCTTATCGGTGGGTCCGCGTGGTATCGAGACATGTTTTTATGTCTACCAACGAGGATACCTTACATGAAAAGAGTAACAAGTTTGTAGGGTTTAGAAGGTATAGGCGGAAATTCACTAAATGCATCAATTGATAAATCATGACGTTTTCCACGGTTCCATCTCAATTGAGATTCATACCCATCCTTACTGCACTGCAGAATATATCGCATTGCCTTGTGGCATGAGTGAACCTGTTTAACTGTCAATTGCAATGATATGAACCTATCGAATATATAAAACAGGGATTCATGTACTTGGCTTGACATCTGAGGTCCAAAAAGCAGCTATCCACGCCAATCATCTGACTATATGTAGTCTATATACATAATCAAGTTTCAATACACAGCAAAATATGAACATAACAAAATTTGAAACAGTTCCGGCACATGCTAAAGAGCTTTTTATTTTTCATGGTCCGAAGGGGGATCCAATTCATCTTCCCGGCTAACCTTGCGGCCGTGGACATTGTGCTCGACTTCCGGCACCAGCGTCTCCATGAAATGCTTGTTACCGCCAACCAAAGTGACGGTGTTCCGCTTCTTCTCCCAACGGGGGTAACTACCCACCTTGACGCCGTGCGGGTTAGCCCGTCTGGCAAGCTCTGTCAGGTATGGCGCAATGGCACTCTCAGGGAGCGGTGTGCTAAAGAGGAAGCGGAAGATACCCTTGCCCTCAGGGTTCGTCAAGCGCGGCAACAGATTGGGCTTGAGATACTCGAGCAATCGCTCGAACAGACGCGGCACACCAGGGAGAATATGGATGTTTCCGTTAACCACCGCAATGGGAACCCACATGTCATTCGCAACGAAGATGGCCTGCTGCTCTTCGGGGACCGTCGGGTCATGCGGCAGTTCGACCATGCGCAATTTCGCAGCGAGCCCCGGGGATGGCTTCTCCCAGTCGAAATGGGGCTGCATGGGATGGGGTCTGGCGAGCTGCTTCATCCGTTGGAAGGCTGGTTGGTGTAGTTTCAACTTCAGGCCAAAGGCTTTGGCTATCGACTCATAGGTTATATCGTCGTGGCTTTTTTCGTGGTGGAAACACTTGGATCAGCTTCCCTCCCATGGTTGTGATTTGTTTGTCTGAAAGGGAGGGGATACGGACGTTGGCCCAATTCCTCCACTAGTCACGACAAAGTCATAGCTGTTGCTCATGCGACGGACGGCCTCGACGATTTCGCTCTCATCATCGGCGATGACTTCGATGCGCTTTAACTGGATTCCGAGTTGGAAGCAGTATTTGGCGAAGTAAGCGGAGTTGGTGTCGATGGTCTAATGAGGATGCACGAGTCAATCTCTGGTTCAACCGGCGCGCCACTCGGGAACGCTCCAATCCTAATTCCGCAAATATCCAGGGACTCACCTTTCCACCAAGAACCTCGTCACCGATAATCAAACAAGCCGCAGTGTGTATTGTCTTTGAGGCATTCGCTATGGCGGATGATGTCATCGTGGACGGAGTGCGATGGTGCAATGGAGATAGCGACGGTGCGGGATTCGTGACGACCGGGGTAAAAGCGAGCGATGGGCGGGATAAATGGCGGGTGAGTTGGCTGAGACGGGCGAACATGAAGGGATAGAATTGGGAGTATATGAAGAAAGAATGGAAGAGAAAGAAAAAGGACGAGAGAGGATTTGGATGGTGGAGAGAATGGGGCATTTGAAGGTCCTGCGGGGTGGGGAAGGGAGCTCGATTCCACCTGTTCTCATTTTTCTTGGTCTTCTACAACTCCCTGTCCTCATCCGGATATATCTCATCTCTTCATTTTTGATTACTATCTTACTTATTCAACTTCTATTCTATATAATAACATTTCTTGAATTAGACGCTGGTCGTTTTTGGCTTTCTCCAACATGGTGAGTTGCCCCGCATCTGCGGCGCGCTGCAGAGACAAGACTGACCGGGGTATACCGGCAACAGGCTTCGGAATCGCGTTTATATTCTTTCTCCCCGGAGACCAAAGACAAGCTGCGCAAGTTTCGGTTGGGAACATCGAGAGCAAAGGATCCGCAGGCTATCATCTGTATGGGCTTCATCTCCTAAATGAACATCGAAAAAGCAAAAGCAACCACGATAAGCCAATCGACGGCGACGCAAGGAATGTGAGAACACCGTATTAACAACCGGATAGATGTGATTGATTCGAAGAACCAAGAGATCCGCCCCGACGATGATCAAATCTACTCAAAAATGGAAGATGTGGCCGATGAGCTCCCCGAGTCGTCTCCGCGGTTTATCCTCCTCAGTTACCCGCTGACCTTGGTGCGCATCCGTTCATTCCTTCTCGTATCTGGGGGTGCCGATACTAACTAGTGCGCAGGGATCCGGTCGACTTTCGGTCCCGTACGTCCTCCTCTACTACCTCCCCGAGAACTGTAACCCGTCGCTGCGGATGCTTTACGCCGGGGCGGTGGAATTGATGCGCAGTACGGCTGAGGTGAACCGGGTTCTGGAGGTGCATGAGGAGGATGATATCATTTCAATCGAGTCGAGACTCCAGGGGGACGATTAGTAGCTTATCGGGGTCCTCGTATAGCAGGGATGTTACTTGTCCGATGCGTGTTGCTGGGAATTGCTGGATGTGAGCAGGTGGCTTAATCGATACCAGAATATTGGATTTGAATTCTTGGGCGGCGTATTAGATACGCATGCCTGAAATCAGGATCATGGCAACCTGGGCAGAGACTAGAAATTGGGCGTATGGTGTGATTAGGTTAGATGGTGTCAATCATCGCGTCAGTTAGCCATTTATCCACAAGGACTCGCACCCTACGGACTTATCCTAGGCTGAGAACAGATCTCTGGGAGCTAATCGGGGAACATGGATAGAGCATTATTAACCTCCAACTCCAGAGTAAGCTCCGTAGTCTAGTCCCTATATTCAGGAACGCGGTTTCATTAGAATAGACTTTGTGGCACGGCAGAGTAGAACGAGGTCAATTCACTCGCTTCTTCCTTCTATATTAAGATTCTTATCATGAGCACGGAATGATTATACATAGTAGAAACTCGTATCTCTTCATACTTCATATGATAATGTACCCATCAGTACTAATATGTCTCGTACAATACCCCTGTAATACCCATACACTCCACAGTGGGCCAATCATGAATCCCAGTGAGCAAGTGGATCCATCAGCCGCTGCCACGACGGGACCGGAATTCCCCCTCTTATTTTGTTTTTAGCGAATGAAACTCCTGTTCATCCGGTATGGCCATCGATAACTTTGTTTATGGTGATCAGGAGTCTTTGAATATAGTACTCTGTATAGTGGTATATCATTATTATGGATAGGAGTACAATATTACTCCGAATTAAAGGAGTCCCCTGTACAGAGAGTTTACTTAGCGGATAATATTTTACCACCGTATCCTAGTCAGCACAATGCCTGGCTTGACCCAGTGATCTGGCACAGCACTGACCACTGCACTGCAGCGCCGCTGTACCAACCAGTCCACCTAGACTGTACGGAGTAGTTGTATAGAGCGCTATCTATCCCACTCACGCCGTAGAAAATTTCCCGTCCCGTGGGCGGCTATCTGAAACAGGACCAGAATAGCAATGGAAGGAACTGAGTCAGTCCAGACAAAGTTAATGAAGTGAAACTGTTGTAGCGATTCAGATGGCTATTATTTGAGTATACTTGTATGTACTTGCACTGTATTTGTGCATAGGAGTAGTTACTGCTCGGTATATACATAGTACAGAGCACATTGTCAGTCAGGGATAATCCGATTGTCTGATCGAACATCAGTCTACTTGGATAGCACAAACTCTGAATAATTAAGCCCAAAGTTCGTCCGCCGGGGCACTTCCAAAAATGGACTAGTGTCACCCCGTCAGCGCCCGCTTCGGCCCTTCGGCAGCGAAACCTTGGTTCCGGTAACGCACGGGCCTGTGTGACTGCTTACGGTATTTCGTACGGTACTCGTAATTACTGCTGCCCCTGCTCTTCACCCCAGAAATTATGATTTTATTTTCTGCCAAAAGTATTCTCTCTTGCTATGCTATGAGCCTTATTACGTCGTCTTTTTTTATTTTTTATTTTTGAAAATTATTTTTTATTATCATAATTATTTGCCAGGCTAAACTTATTTATCATTAGGCTTTCTTTTCTCCTCTCTGTTTCTTCTTTCTCTTTCTCCTGCTTTTCTCTCTCTTTTTTCTCCCACTAATCTACCAACGACGTCCCAACCCCCAGCGTCGGGTCAGTCAGTGAACAGGTCACTTTTCACTGCTGCATTGTGTGCCCGACTGTTGCATCCTCACATCTTCACAGCCAATAGCCTCTCAATTTGCAGACGGACTGGGCGTCTACACAAAACAACATTAACATCCCAGTCCCCTCACCGTCTTGTCGGGTCCCAAGTCTGTGGTTGTCGGTACTGCCGCCCGTGTTCCCGTCAATCTCCTTGCGCCTGATCTATCACCATCCATTCATCGTCGTCCACATCCACCACTGCCTATTATCATCCGCAGCTGTCGTCTTATCTGCGTCTATCTCTACTTTTCTCGTATTTGATATTTCTCCGGTCGGTATTTGATCGGGATTCCCGAGTCGGTTGTATGTTGAGAAACGAGGCTTGACAAACCATCGACACGATATCGTCGATTTAAAGGAACTGAAGGAGTGAAGAATATTCGATAAGGAACGAAAAGGAAAATGTCGACTCAGGAAAATCAGGACAAGCCTGAGGGCCTGTCCAAGTATATCAAGCGTATGAGGACCGTTTTGAAGAAAGGTTCCACCAAGTCCTCTATCTCCAGCATGAAGGACATCACCGGCGAGGCTAGCACTGGCACTCCTGCCCAGGTTATCAAGGCTCCCTTTGACAATGTTGAAGCGTATGTCTTTTCCAATTCTTTATCCTGACGTATAGCTAACAATACCAGCCCAATCGAACCACACCCCAACCCCGAAGAACTCTCCACCAAGATCCAAGAACCGACCGTGGTCTCCCACTGGAGCGCCGTCCAACAAGCCAAAGCCCAAGCCCTCTTCGCCAAATACGGCCTCTCCCTCGAACCCGGCGAATGGAAATCCCCGAGCGACATGACCGTCCAACGAGTCACCAAGCCGATCCGCATGCGCGTCCGCCGCACCTGTCACCGCTGCCAGACCACCTTCGGTCCCGACAGAGTCTGCGTCAACTGCCAGCACACCCGCTGCAAGAAATGCCCCCGTTACCCGGCGCCGAAGAGCAAGCCCACCGAGCCGGAGCAGGGTGCTGTCAGGGCGCTGCTGGAGGAGAAGAAGGCGAGAGATGCTCGGCCGGTTGAATTGCCGCGGACGACTCGGAAGGCGGAGCTTACGATTCCGTCGCGGAGTGGTGGGCAGGATTTGGTTCAGAGACCGGTTCGGCAGCGCGTGAGACGGACTTGTCATAAGTGTGAGAGTTTGTTTCCGACGGAGGATGCGACCGAGTGTATCAATTGTGGACATTTGAGGTGCAAGATATGTCCTCGCGATCCGTACGTACAATCTCTACGATCATTGATGGACGTTGCTAACCAGATATCAGACCCAAACTACGCAAATGGCCCGACGGATACCCAGGAGACGTCGAACCACCTATCGATATACCCCAGCGAACCTGGCGAAAGCCTCGCCAGCGAGTCCGCTACACCTGTCACGTATGCACCACGCTGTATCGAGCTGGAGAACGAAACTGTTCCAGTTGTGGCCAGGAAAGGGGACCATCCACGATACGGGATCCGTACGTACACCTTACTCTAGGGAATTGAAAACAGTTGCTAACGACGAATAGACCCAAGAAAATCAAACCGGAATTCGATCCGGAGGTTGTGATGCGCGTTCAAGAGCGATTGGCGCAGATGAATATTGGTGCTTAACGCGGTAGTAGTTTTGTCCTATGTTTTAGGATATGGTCATTCGTTATCCTACTCCTTTTTTTTTTTTTTTTTTTTCCTTTCCATCATGATTATGAATACACGCATTTCTCAGTAGTACAACCACAGTCTCCCAACCGTTAGAATAACCTACGAATCCCACCACCCGGATCCATCCTGAACGATACCCGAGAGTCATGTACATTATGATCGCCCGTCATACCCGTAGCCAACCTCCTCCCGAGTCTCCATACAAGCACAAGTCCTCCGTACATACGTACACCCAGCACAGACACGGACTTAAACCAACCCACCGTGCGAAAACACCCACCCCAACACAACACAATCCTTGTCTCCGTCTCCGTGTCTGCCGACTCGGCCGACGGATGTCACGGACCGGTCCCAGTATGGAACCCGCGGGCCACTGGTCCTGAGCCCGGATTGGTTTTAAAATAGAAGCTATTTCCAATTTGAGGAATCGGTATTTCGACTGTTGAGCTGTCATGTTGTTTGTGGATCGGACCTGACTCGCAGGATAATTAGGGACGGTATAACCATTATGCTGGACGCACTTGTGCCGGTCTCCTGGGTTGGTCCGGCCGTGGTACTGGTATTAACGGTTTTAATGGTGTGAATAGAGTGTCAAATGATAGTCTGTATGTTCGTTAGAGTTCGGGTAGAGTTTAAAGGAATGGTGATAGTTTGGTATGGGATGTTGGGATATCTCGGCTGTACTTGCAGCATGTGATAGTAACATTTAACAAAACTGCAAAGCATACAACCTGTGATTCTCTATCTTCTAAGTATACTTACGAGTAAAATACTTGTGCAAAACAGAATACAACCGTTAACCCACATTGGCACTGACTTAATCGACCCAGCCCGACGTCGGGGATCCGGCATTGCGGAGAATATCAGTGTCACTATAACACCACTAATAAGAAGTGCAATATCCGATGCGCCAAGGCCTGAATCCGGAAGGACCCTTATCAACGTCTTCACCTACTCCGTACATAGGTACAAGTAGTTGAATGACTATTATATTGTGAGTAATTGCACAGGGCTAACGGGATCAATTAACTTTGTCTGACAAGTGATACGTCGAGTCTGGATCGATATAAGCATAAGATTACTGTTAGCCCTTGTCGGTTGCTGTCATTTGTATCCCTACATATTCCTTTCCTATTGCGCTTCCGTGCATAAAATCAGGCCATGAATATGTATGCGTCTATGCATCGTGCAGAGTAATGTCCTCCGGAGGCGAGGCCTAGACTAGCGCAATCCACATCGTTCGGCGGGGAAGCCGTTCCGAGCGCTTTGGCACTTAACGGTGATCATGAATGATCCCGTACAGTACTCTGTAATATGCGAGATATAATGCGGACAGTTATTGACAGAGGGGTAGAATACTTGTATATTCAAGAGAATAAGCGAACACCAAAACCTATACTATAGACTGTAGTTCAACTAGACCACCCTGAAGAACATCACTCTCTGGATCATCATATCGGGATTTGACCCCTGACAGCTCAGCCGTCGGAGATTATCGCACTGCCTGACTGGACTAGACTATTCCACGACTATGTGCCACAACTTTATTAAACTATCAGGTATTATATCCCTCAAGCTGTATAATTATCGTACGGACACACGGGTCGGTCCGTTCCCACCAAAGAAGTGGCACGACGCTTGAGATGGATGTATTGTATTGTATGATATCAAACGGTATGGTGTGGTAATGGTGATAATTATCAGAATCCAGAGCCTCGGTTGGAGTTCCCCGCTGTTGCAGGTTTCCGGGATTTGGTTGGTTTTTACTAGCGTGGTTTGGTATTACCGTATATTTCGGTTCTGCATTGACATTGTTATTCTTCAATGCTACGCTGCCAGTTGGCTTGCGGATACTTGACAAAAGTTCTGATAGTTATTGTACCTAATTCCTAAAGAGTCTGTTCACTTCAATGCAAACACTGCAACAATCGCCATCGTCCAATATCACCAACACACGGTCCAACCAAACCTGCATACAATCAATCCACTTCACGTCAACTCTCATACCAAGATATCCATATCTCGCCTAGGCATGTTCCAATCAAAACTTAACCCTCTTAACCACACACCTCTCACCCCTCATACCCCGTTTATGACCGTGACTAACACAAAGAAGCACACTTGACATAAAACGCCGTGCTCGAGCAACCCTCATTCCCAACAAACACTGTCTTCTCCCAATCAAGGCATTTCTCGCAGTATGCCTTTACGCAGCTCTGGCAGCAAAATAGCAACCGGCCAACTTGGGATGCTGCTTTTCCGCAGGTGAAGCAGTAGTGGTGCGGACACAGGAACATGGAGTTGTTGGTGGAAAGCTCGGGGGCAGAGACGGCATTCGTTGGCTTTGGGGCGTTTGCAAAGGAAACAGATCTGATTTTCTTGTGTTCTTCGATCACGACTTGTTGAATAATCCTTTGGAGGATCACGGATTTTCCGGAATCGAGGATTGTGTGGGCGCCGGGGGAGTCGTCGTGGGCGTCATCTAGGAGATAGGGGTGTATAGAGCACTATATTGTCAGCTTGGAACCTTCAAAAGGTTTTGACAGGACATACCTTGCGCGGTTCCACCAGAGCGCTGTACTGGCCTCGTTCCCTTGGGCAGGATCCTGACCTATAATACACTCGGCACCTCTGATCATGCGACAATTTTGTTTACAATGAATCTCGACAACCAATGTATTAGTGCCGCGTCCACTGGCTGGAAAAAAGGGCAATACAACGCCCTGAAAGCTGGATCATGGCTAGCTAACTTTCGATCAAGCGTTGCAGGCGGACAGGACGGTGAAGCATACATGGCTAATGCATTCACTGTCGCGGCGTATCTGGCTAACATGGCGTGGATCTCGAACGGAGATGTCGTTGATAACTCTTTGACAGTGAGCTATGATCTGGGCGCGGATTCTCAAAAGCCGTCTATATCGCTTGCGGGGATTATCGTGGTGTCTGTCTTGATCGGGCTTGATCTGTTGGGGTTGTTGGCAACAGCAGTTTATGCGAGTTGGTTTCCGCGTTGGACAGGGTCGCTAGATGCATTCAGTTTGTTAAGGTTGGGTAGCTCAATCAGTGAACGTGTGCCTCTCAAAGTTTCTGTTAATGAAGATGAGGTTCGTGTCTTGGATAAACTACCCGGTTGGATGGGCAATGATGCTCCTGAAGGTGAAGAAGTGGGACATATTGGATTAGGTGGATTAGGGCGCTTACGGACAAAGACGGCCTATGAGGCGTATGGTTGGAAGAAAGCGTCAAGAGGAAGGGCTCGAAATCAGGTAAACAATCGGTGACAGTGATGGTAGACAAGTGAGAATTGCAGATATCAAGACCCTAGGTCTTCTAAGGCTTCTGTTGCACTAGTAAGGGCTATATTGGGATAACGACATCGCCGAGCCATATATTATAGTCAGCTATAGTCAGCAAAAGGAATGCGCGGAATAGGCGAGGAGAGGGGGACATAGCGTTAATGCTGAGTCCTGAAAAGTTCTAAATACCACTTGTTGAGAGTGAGGTCCTTAGATACCCTGTAATCAGACTTCACCATAGAGTGACCGTTAAGAATTATGTACATCCACGATGTGAGGTTACAATGTCCCACACAAGAACAGGGCTGAAATCCATGAAGTTAGCACTATTGGCATTGGCCTTAACCGACCTTTTGTTATTCTATGGCATTGCTAGATCAAGGAGGGTTAGGCTGGAAGGCCTCGAGGCTTCCGCAAAGATAGTGAGCGTATACCCACTATACAAAGTAGAAAATATATATTCCTACCAGCACATTAGAGATGTCGCCAAAACCCCATTCTAATAGCCTACCAAGATATCTTATTATCGCATTTACATTAAACTAAGCACGTATTATGTTAAATATGTTAAGATACAGGCGAGTTCCTCACTGTCCTTCATCATGAGTCTCCGTCACCTGCATGATTTGAGCACCCCCAGTGCGAGGGCTTCCCATTTTCGGATATTGCATTGCATCCCTGGTGCTAGAAGCTATATAGATCGCACCCCTACCACTCACGCCCGCCCCAACTCTCGGTCTCAGAAGAATATTGGAGCCTAAGGCTTTTTGAGAATTGACTGTGCGGACTCTATGCGGCTTAAGTTTGGTCATAGTTCGGTGGCTGTCTCCCGAGTGAGTTAGAGGGCGAAGCCGCTTTTTGGCCGCGCGACTGTGGGTGAGCTTGGGTGAGTGCACTATAGAGAGGGTGAGTTATCACCCAACACGCTGCCTCAGTGGCCGGTATCAACAAACGCCACCATGCAAGCAAACAAAGAAAGCACTAGCGCGACCACATCACCCATAGATAAAAACCCTTTCTTCCCTGTAGAAAGATTCCTTTTCTTCTTTTTTCTCCAGATTCGATATTCCTGTCGATGACTACACTAGTTTAAATAGGAATATCAGTTCGTTATTATCTACTGGTCCGAGCCCGTGACACTCACCCGGTCATCACCCTTAGAGCGGCAACGAGAAAAGGGCGAAAATGACGGTTGACCGCGCTTAATATGTGGCTTAAGTATGGCTGAGCGGACAGGAAGCCCTTTTCTCCACACCCTATGGTCGTATGTACTAGAAATTCGCTAATGACAAACTATCATATTCAATTATCATTGTAGCCAAACACAACCCCGATTACTACGCTAAAGCTATCGTCAATGAGACGATTCAATGTGATAACAACTAATTACCTCTAATCGTCGTTGGATTGGGCTCCACACCAGCAGAAAGTGTCCTTTTCAATATAATCAAGCCACTCTGGGGGTTTATTCTGATCCTTGGCCTCGGCGGCTTTGCTATACAGCACCAGACTTGGAACCGGATATACATGTGCTATTTCTTACATTTCCTGCTTTGTTGATGGTATTATCGAGGTGAGCCGGTTTAGCTTAGAAGCCTTGCCCAGTCGCTAACTGTGAGTTATACAGTTGGCGTCCCCTTGGTCCAATAAAGTAGCCTTGGTAGTCGGAACTCAGATCTCAACATTCAAGCCCTCTTATCTTTTCGGTCTCAATTGGGCTGGAACGACTACCACAGGCCACACCAAGAAACTTACCTTGATGACCTCATGTATTGTGGCTGCTTCCGTTGCCAATATGATCTCACCTGAGTGAGTATTCCAAGTACATAGATAGATTCCCTTTCTTCTTTTCTCTCCAGATTCGATATTCTCGTTGATGGCTACACTAGTTTAGATAGGAATATCATTTCGTTAGTATCTACTGGTCTAAGCCCGTGGTACATATACCTAAGAAGTTGACTGTGTCCATATCAAGGGCGCACTTGCTCAATTTGCAGTATAATGAGTAGGTGTGGAGTTTCTCAAGCACCATGCAGACATTCTTCTCATGTTCTTGAGGGTTGTCCGAGTAAATTAGGATGTCATCCAAATGGACCACAACACACACATCCAACAGATCACTGAGTGCTTTGTTGATGTATTCAGGTAGATGCGAGATTTCTGGTGGTATTCCTTAGATGGGGGCGGCAGTGGTTTTCCTTTGGGAATCACCTGCAAGGTTTTAGGAGAAATCCTCACAGGTCTCAGAGAGGAAATTCCTGCTGAGGGTAGTGAGGGGTTTGATGGCTCTTGGGATTATTGGAATTATTAGAGTCATCAGAGTCATCCATATCCATGCCCTGGGTGTCGATTTATGGGGTCTCGGATATTTCTGAATGGTGCGCGGTTTCGTCGGGAGATTTCGCGCGGGTCCTCTTTGCGGGGTTCCGGTAGGCGTTAGCCCGATCGTTGGCCTCCATACATGTACATATGGAGGTCGATCTGCCGATGTTCCGACGCACGGCTGGTTGGCAGGTCCATGTAATCTGATGGCAGGTGTGATTTGGGGCTGGTATTTCGTGATCGGCTTCCATTTAAAGAGCTTGTGCTATGCTTATCAATGAATCCAGACGGCCCGGCATAGGGCTAAATACTAAATACTGATAGGCTGGATCAAGTCGCAATGGCCTGTGGTACTTGCGTGATCCAGGAGTGCCGAGCGGGAAATGTGTAGATAAGACACTAAATCCGAGTCTTTGATCGCGTTTTTCTTGTGCATTGCCAGTTATCATCATGGCCCCTCTGATTTCAGACACCTCGCTCCCCTTGCGCTCTACGCCCAATGAGGGACCCGACACTGATCAGGGACAATATCCTGCGCCGTTACAACAGAGTGGTCCCCTGGATAAGTTCTCATTTGAAGAAACAACGCCAGCTATTGGTCGTGAATTCCACAATGTCAACATTGTCGATGACCTCTTGAATGCCCCGAATGCAGATGAGCTGGTGCGGGACCTTGCTATCACAAGTAGGAAATGCTCGTCTTTCATTCAATAGCCCTGACTCTAACCATGTACTATTCAGTCTCTCAACGGGGTGTCGTCTTTTTCCGTGCCCAAGATAACCTCACCGACGAGCTGCAGAAGAACTTGGTGCAGCGCCTAGGGCAGCTAGCTGGCAAGCCAGCTGACTCGACTCTGCATATCCACCCGGTGCTCAATAACACCAGTGAATTTGGTGTCAATGACGCGCAGGTCAGCACTATCAGCTCGCTTGCCCGCAAGAAGATGTTCCGCCATGAAAACCAGCCCAACAAGCGTCGCTATGATTCGGCCCAGTGGCACTCGGATATTCAATTCGAGCCCTCCCCAGCTGACTACACTTCGCTTCGTTTGACACAGCTACCCAAGACTGGTGGTGACACTCTCTGGGCATCGGGATATGAGCTCTATGACCGATTCTCACCGGCGTATCAGAAGTTCTTTGAGGGTCTGACGGCAACTTATACTGGCTCCGGATTCCTCAAGGCTGCTGAGATGGATCCTGTTAATGTCAAGGTCTACACTGAGCCAAGAGGTAGCCCACTGAACATCGGCTCGGACTTGTCCACCGTTCATCCCATCGTACGAACAAACCCGGTCACCGGTTGGAAGAGCATCTTCGCCGTTGGGCCATTCCCCAAATATATCAACGAGCTCAGCCAGAGTGAGTCGGATGAGCTGCTGAAGAAATTCTACAACACTATCCTCGAGAACCATGACCTCCAGGTGAGGTTGAAGTGGAGAAATCCCAATGACATCGGTAAGTCTCACAGATATTTTTCATTTTCTTCCGGGTAACCATTTCTGATAAATTTCCTTCAGCCATTTGGGATAATCGATGTGCTTTCCACACTGCCACATTTGACTACGATGGTCTTGGGGACCGATTCGGCCACCGGGCGGTTGGTATTGGCGAGAAACCGTATTTGGATCCAAAGAGCACATCCAAGGCCGAGGCACTGGCTGCTGGAGATGTTTGAATGGACGTTATGTTGAGCGCTGAGGTGCTGTAGTTTTATTGAGTGTCGATTAGTTCTTTATCGCTTCCAAGTTTTGGGGCACTATGTAGACACCTGGGCACAGGGCACAGACGACTTACTATTGCAGGATGTATACTCATGCAAATCCTCGGGAGCAGGACTGTATATATTTTACTTATTGTGAGGAATATCAGCACATCATAGTAATAGTAGAAGAATTACGAATTGCTATCTTGTGTGTGTGTGTGTGTGTCTATTTTACGAGGAGGTTCGGGTCTTTCCACGCATCCTTGGAACCTCGGAAGCAGAAAAGCCCTGGTCCCGGTGCGTGACACCTGGAACGGCGTGGGGACGCCACGGGCCTGTTAGGCGTTTTGCGGGTAGAGAGGTTTAGATTTGAGAGTGGGCTTTAGGAGAATCAGTGAGAACCATTGATTCAGGGGAGCCATTCAAACTCTTTTTATTCTCCTTTCATATCCTTGCTCGCAGTTTTCTTTGTTTGCTAGACAGAAAATTATTTATAGCAAACAAAGAAAACTGCCCTGTGACCACATTCAGGGACACACTGCAATTCTAGTGGCAGGTCACCTATCAAACGGAAGTGTTGGCTCTCATTGACCACTTTGTGTGCTAACTGCCCCACCCCCTCTCCAGTCCGCATGACCACCTGTTCCTTGTCCTTGACCGTGAAGCCAAGGACTTTGGTCATAGAGTGTATTTAGTGATACAGATAGGAACAGTGTAGATTGAGGGGACTGAATGTTGCCACATGGACTAACAGCGACGCCTCGCGGCTTTGTAGATCTGAAGGCCGTTCTAGGGTCTCGAAATGACTGCCGTGAACTATTGCAGTCATCGTAAAAAAAGAAACTGGCAGTGTTATTCCAAAAAGTTTGCGCTGGTCTGGGGGAGGAGGCGCAAATATATTCTAGAAAGATGTTTGATTTCTTCAAAAATAGATCAATTGTCTATTTATAAAGGCTTGTTATTGTCACGGAGCATAGACATTCACTGAGCATGGACAGTCACTGAGCCTCGCTTAAACCCTTCACACACATTAGATAGCTCGTCGCCGGCAGGCCTGCCTCTTTCCTTTTCTCTCCTCATGTTAGAATTTTGTCAGATAATCTACCAATATACTCATATTGCTCGGGACCGTCACAGTTATCACCCAAGATAGTCATCAGAACCTGCTTGTTTCCTGCGCAGCCCCTTCACCCACTTCATCCTGCCTTTCCCATGTTTTCCACTGGCTGAAACAATACGCTTGTAGACAAGCTGAGTTCATGGCTGGATGATACGATGAACCAAGATCGCCCTAACAATTAAACCACGTGTCTCTTGCCAGGTAACTGTGCGTCCTTGAGGGTTGGCAGTCTAGTTATAGTCCCTAGACAAGACTACAAACTCAGCTGCCCATTATCATGGGTTAGCAAGAAGATGCATAAAAGAAAGCACTCTTGTTCCCTTTGACAAACCTTGCATATAATGTCCTTGTTTTGGGATGCTGGTCGCCGCTACCAGTGGCGGATTGTCACCTGACCTGAGATTCCAAATGGTTGCTTCATTGTCAGATGCCGTTGGACATTTAACCTTGATCTGTATAACGTAGGTCGTTTGACCAATTTGCGCCTCATATTGTACTTCCCCATCGGAGCCGAGAGTCCCTATGGGAGTCTATCAGCGGGAGGTTTCTGAAGAGCGGAAAAAATTGAGGTATTTACCAATATTGTCTTTCAGCTGAATCCATCGACTCATAGAATGACCCTTTATTTCAGCTGGCGGTTCTTTTTCCCAGTGGCCTTCGAAAGCCTGCATTGATCTGTATTTCAAGAGGCACGTTGAGCCTGTTGTGGATATAAAACCAAGAAGAGTAATCGCCCATTGTCAGATTGAGTTGAGTATGATTTTGTAATAGTTAAGTGAATTTTTGAAAGGCTTGAAGAAGTGTGAAAGATAAAAGAATATCCTGGGAGAATCTACCCTACTATTTATAGCCAAGTGGTGACCTCATCTACATCGTCGTCGTGACGCAAAATCAGCTGAAGTAAAGTACCTCTTTGGCACGCTTCATTGGCCTCTTCACTTCCAGCCTCCACCAGTTCGCACAGAACCTAAACGTGACAGGCTGTGCCTTGTGGGTCTCCAAATACGGCGTTGTTAGTGAAGAGACTCACCAGTCTGCCATAACATCCAATCATATGAGCTAAATAACCGCTATCGTTGAGGCAAAGGCCTCGAGGAACCCCACAAATTGTTATAGCCTGCTCATGGATACCAACGAAGATATGTAACCTTAGTCACATTTTTCTATTTAACTAGGTATCTAGCAAAGAGGTGATTTTATAGTGTAGACCCACCTAAGTAATATTCTGCTGACGTGTAGCTTATATGCAGGCAGTGGTTGAGGAGTGGGTGCCGCCCGGGTGAGAAATGAATGACCGCCACCCTAGCGTCGCGTGACATGACGATGGGATACAGAAGGCAATTTTTCATTCAGTCTCTATCCTTGGACGGGTCATTTGATAAAATAAGCCTCGATCTGTCGATTCTTGGTTTCTACAAGGATATTCTGATTATCACGCCGGTACACTCTTCAAAGGAAGGAAGGGACCTACAGCCGGAGTTGGACAAATTCAACAAGGAAATACGGCAATTTAATGAGTGCGAACAAAAGCTGCAATAGGATGATCTGGTCTTACAGAGGAGCTGTGTTTTCTTGTGTATAGGTCAAATATTCACTTGTTCTATCTTCTGAGATATGACTTTGATCTGCAAGTGGCTGGCTGGAGAACAACGTCATTTCGGTAATCCAAAAGTGGGTAAAAAAAATCAGAAACCCTTGGGATTGCGAGTATATAAATGGGGTTGATGTCTACCTGTCTCTTGAATGAACTTTCTCTCATTGATATACCTGACCATAACAGATTTCAGCGTGGTCGTGTTCGAAGTTATACCAACAAAATGAGCGAAACAAACGACTTCACCAGTATGTATGTCCCATAACTTTTGTACTCTATTCTAATGTTGATAACAGACACTTCTGTCAATCTCACTTCTCCGGATGATGGCGACAATACTTGGGTTGCATATCAGAATCGGTTGGATGGAAACCTGTCCTTTCCGGAGGAAGCTAACGCTATTGATTGGTCTTATGGGCCCATAACTGTAAGTAAATCTTTTATCTAGCAGATTGTACTGATAAATTAATGGCAACCTCTTTAGTCCACCGGATATTTTGACTGCGATACCTTTGATTTTGGCGTTGACCAATCTGTCATGGGCATCTACCTTGGGGCTATCACCGGCAATTTAAAGGACGGCGTGGCTATCAGCATCGATCTGTTCCAAGCGAAAGGAGATATCAGGTACTACCTCAAAAACGGAGAGGAGGTATGGATACGTTTGAATGTATCGATAAAATTCGACGGCCATTTCAAGGGAGATTATAAGTTGCCGCTCTATCAGCAATAAAGCTAGCTTTGGCAGCGGATCCGGTGAACTTGCCCATTATGGACATTGGAGGCAAGAAGAGCGAAGGAACCATGATCGGAACTACAGATCAAATTCAGTTTGTGTTTTACGGAATTGCTAGATAGTCTTGCAAACTGTAATGGGCCGAAGCCTTGTTATCTAATACGTAGATATGTACAAAAAGAACTCGTTGAAAGGAGAAAGAGTCGTTAGTATGGCGGCGATGATTTGTGCGTTTTCTTTTAGTGGGCAAACGTAACTAGTTAGTTAGCAATCATTAACTGCCTCAAAGAATGGGAATCAGAGCTTATCAGCACGCTCAAGTTCACCATTATCACTGACCACAAAAATCTTCACTACTTCATGCAGCTACGACGCCTCAATGAACAACAAATGCGTTGGGCTGACATATTGAGCCGATATGACTTCTCTCTTCACTACCGACCTGGGAAGCTTGCACTTGCCCCTGATGCCCTCTCTCGCCGCGACCAGGATATGCCTAACAATCCTGATGATGAACGATTAAAAATGCGAGAGAAACGCCTCCTTGATCCAAAAGCATTCACCAAGGCAAATGGATCCGCTATTTCATATGTCTCAGTGATACACGTCCAACCTGTAGACACCAATGACCTGCCAATGAGTACCAATGACCCGCCAATGAATACCAATGGCCAAACAACAGACCTTGAGGACCAATGGTCCCAGGCTAGAGACAAGGATCTAACCATATCTGCACTACGTGATGCAATCCACACAGGACTGCCCTGATTTCCCCCAGAATTAGGAATCTGAGTCTCCATCAGCGAATGTGAACTAGATGCCAATGGCCATATTATCTTCTGGAAATGCCTCTGGGTCCCTGATGACGAGCCCCTCCGTACAAGGATAACCAATGAAACAGAAAGAAACGACACATACACCCGCGATTAACGGGTAAGTGTCCGCAGCGCCGTTCTCTTGACCGGATTTGAGGCGCGGATGAAGCCTTCCAACGAGAATGTCGAGGCCAGTGATTACAAACACAGCAGGATTATCATTAGTGGATTTTTGGCGCTGCTTGAGGATTGTGTATATGCTACCTGGGATCTGGTTGATTGCTTGTATTGCTGCTAGGAGGTTGAAGACTGGGAGTTGGACGGTGTCTAGGTGAGTTATTGCTTCGTCGCGGGAAAGGGGTTCTTGTTGTTGGCTGGAGGTCTCCGGGGATAGAAGAGAGATAATGAGTGAGTTGGGGGAGAATATACTGAGATTGAACTGATGAATGATGAATGTACTAAATAATCCTGGTCCTGGTGGAGGATCTCTTTGGTGGCTTGTTTCGGCCCACCGTGGCTGTGTAAAGACAAGAGTTTACGATGTGCCTGTGCAAGGCTTGTTCAGGGTCTAACGCTGTGCTGCAAGGCTGTCCAGGGTTGAAAATCGTATATAACAACCAAAAGCCCTCGAGCTCCATTCTTGTCTACTTCTAAATTTCTGGCAATTGTCATCTTTTAAGGCACCATCTACCATGGAAGAATATGACCCCGATCTAGTCGCAACCCAAGAATTCAATATCCTACACAATCTCGTCACGGACCCAGATGCCTCGGCAGCAAACGCAGTACAACAAGTCCTTGACCTGACCACAACAGAAATCCTATCCAAAAATGACACATCCGGAAGCAACTTCAACAGCGATGTTGCTTGGAATATTTGTGTCTTGATTATTGATATCGTCGCAAACACTGCACCAGCGCAGCAGACTAAGCTTCTTGATTTCGTCTCACGGATTCAAAAAGTCACAGTGGCCGACCCGAGGACGGGGGAGAAGGTTGGATGTAGGAATTTCGGTTATCTCTGGACAGATTTGCATTCTTTTGGGATGCATGCTGCTGACATATGTAATTCCTGTAAGGGACTTATCGCATCCTGCACTATATATGCATATGTATCACCCGCTGACAATTACTCTCAGTTATCCATCATCATTCCCACACGCCAAAGGAGCTAGAAAAGTGGGAGAACAGCACTGCCTTTATTGCGCAGAGCACAGCTGCTGCTGCTATCACTCGCAATAATGAACCCACACACAGGATGGATTTCTCAATCTATGGACTGAATGCGTGCCGTGATGCTTTTGAGGAAGAGAATCAGTATAAATCGGCTGTGCGAACGGCATGTTTGTGGTTTATATATGCCGCAAAATCGATGTTGGAAAATTGCAAAGTTGGACGAGTCTATAATCTCCATGATCCCCCGAAAAGGGGGTTTGATTTGGATAGATGGCATGCTTGGAAACAGGGCTTAGTCTGCACTCAGGCTGGCTATGGAGATGAGGGGACACAAGAGCTTGTAAGAATTGCCCTGGAGCGGATTGCTCAGGTTGAGGCGGAGAAATTGAACTGAATACTATCGGCTATTGTGTCGCAAATTGACTAAGGATATACAACGTTTAGTTATACATGAATCAACTTCTACGCTGGCTAGTCTGTTCTTGACTAGGAATGGTCCTACAAATTCTCATCTGCTCACCTTTTGAACCCAAATATCTTGCCCTTCACGCGTCCACGGCGTTCCATGAAACGTCTCACCAAAAATAGAAGACAGCTTCGACCATAGAGCGTCGAACTGATAATCACAAGCACTAAACTGTTGAAGACAGCATGTGCAATGAGCGAGTACGCGGTAGCAAGCTCCATCCACGGATCACTCAGATCGATTGTCCCCCTTTACTCAAACTCGATAACTCGATCGCTCTGGCAGGGAGCAAGCTGGGTACTTAGAGACTGCAGGTTCGTCATCAAGCATACTGCATCGAAAACTAGATTCACGTGGCCGTAGAAGGGAAATACAGCGGCATAGCTAAATGTCGTCAACGGTTAAAACAGAGTGATGAAAGCAAGTGCATGCAGAGGAGGTGCTCATGATGACTATAGACCCTGAGAGAGGAGGACGCGTTGAAGTGGAAATATTCCCACTCTCAAGTTGATAAAAGGCTTGAATACCCTTCTAGCCGGATGGAATTTCCCTGACCCTGGCGACCATCCCGCTCGTGATGCAGCATTTGGAACTGTATCTCAAACACCCAGCTGTGTCCCTCCATGATTCGTGTTCCCAGCATCGCCCCGATAAACGGCGGCGGCGCAACCACCGAAGGACAGAGAAGCCACCACCAACACACAGTTGGTACACTGATGGATATGATATAATAACCAACCAACTCCTGAGAAGTGACTTTTAATGGCCTTTAATGCTGTATTAAACACGGACGTACTCGGCCATTGGCCGAGCTATCTTCAAGGCCAAGCCGACCACTACGGTGTGCCATATCAATTCAATTCGTAGAATGGTAGATGTTATATGTTCCACGCGAATGATCCATCTTCAAATGTAAACGGATCACCTAAATTATTAAATTCGGTAGCCAGTGCGGATGACTCGGCGAGGAAATCGGGTAATTGAGGCTGAGAGGTGGATGTAAATTGCGGGCCGGTGGATGGGAACATGGGCTGAGTGGATTGAAGCTGTGCACGTTAGCAAGTAAATCGAAGGTGTTGAGGACTTTGACATACAATCTGCGCAAAGTCGGCCAGGTTGAATGCAAACGACTGGTCGGAAACCGAGAGGAGTAAATGCTGCCGACACGCAGACAAAGCTTTTGTTGCCCCTTGCTGCATCCACCGTTCTTTCATCTGGCCTAATCCACGAGCTCGCACCGACTGCAAAACCACAGCAAGAAGCAGAATGTCCTTGAGGTTGCTGCCGGTTTCGCCGATTCTGCGTGTCAGGCCATCGAGTGTATTTTCGACGATCCGAGTCAAGCTGGCCTTGGTATGGGTTGCTGCCCGTGGGGTTGGAGAGGAACCAGGCTGGAGTTGGGGGGGCGAACTCAAGGCGGTCGACTGCTGTTGGGTTGATAGTTTCATGTATCCACAGACGCTCAGCGCCGCCCACAGAATATCGTTTTTGCAGAAGAGTTGGAAGATGTCCCAGTAAGAGGTCGAATTGAAAACGTCAAGGTCGGCCACGCTAGGGTCAAAGTAGTCTTGGTATGACAAAATGACAAGTGAGGATTCTAGGCATGATTGCTGGATTTCAAAGAACGCTCCATCGTCACAGCCCTCGCCCATGACGATGGGCCGGTAGAGACAGAGAAGGGGTCTGCGGGTGTAAACGTCCAGGAGGACGCGATTTAACAACATCGTTGGATTATCGCCACTCTTTGGGGCTTGTTCCAGTTTCAAGGGGGACGGTATCAGTCGTAAACACTCTTCTAACCGTCGTCCTTGCTTGACAATCTCGCTCAGATCCATACCCGAACCAACTGTCCTGACCAACATCATGGCCCGGATACGATGGGGCAAGGACATGGCCAATGTGACCTGGGCGAGGGAGTCGGTCCATTCATGCAAGTTTTTGGAAGGCGGAAGCTCAACTGTCGAATCGTCAAAGTCGGTATCGTTGAGATTGGCTGGAGTAAGGGGGCCAAAATCAATTTCGGGAATCGTGACCGGCATGCCGGATGCGATCGACGCCTGGAGGTCCATTTCGACGATTGTTATCCATAGCCGACGCCGTTGCTCGATTTGAAATGCCGATAATCCAGCATATTCGGTGAGATTCAAGTGTAGACCCATGACCATGGCAGAGCGGACAAGAGTCCCTGTTTCTCTCCACAGTTCTTCAGGTGCCACAAGGCGCAGACGACGGGCGAGTAAAATGAGCGCCTCAACCTGCAGCGTTGCAAGTTCCGTCTGTTCCTTGCGACCGAGTTTCCCCAGCCACAGTCGGACAAAGTTCACTGCAGGCATGTGCAAGTATTCCCATGAGGGAGTATGTTCCGTTTTGAAGCTCTGGTCTTCCAACGGTAGTGCGACTGCCAATACAGCCGTAAGCTGCGGGAGAAAGCCACACGATCGATAGATTTCGTTATCGGGATCGGCCCAAAACTCGTTGTACTGGCGAATAAAAGTAGGAACATGGAAAATCCTCAGTGTCTTTTCAAAATTTAGAGTGTATGACTCCAACAACTGATCACACACTCTCTTTGAAGGGAGATAAGCGCGAAGCTGCAGCAACTCTGGAGAACTTTCCAGATCTGATATTGACTCTGGCGAACTCGGTGACAGCTTGGATTTACTTTGGAGAAACTGCACTTCTTTGGCCAATCCGACGACGGTAGGATCTTTGGTGCACTGATCGATGAACTCTTTTGCTTCGGAGAACTGGGCATGTCAGTAGAGCAATCAGAGAGCGAACGGCAAGACCGACTTACCTGGTTCAAAAGGGTGATTCTGTTGTTCTGGCCGTGATATCTCGTTCGAGTTCCCTTGACAACTAGAGTTCCCAGGAATGGCGGCGAACTCGCCGATTGGGTGATGCCGCTTGATTGTGGGCTACTGTATACTGTTAGTACTGTACGGAAAGAAGGGGGGGGGGTTGCGGGTGAAGACAAGGGGATATACCAAGCATCTCGAATATACCTAGAGTCTCGAATCGAGACATCTGTCAACGAACCCAGATTCGCTTGTGCAGAAAGAAGCTCCTCCAACTTGGCCAGCCGGAGCTGGAGATCCTCTATAATGCCAACTCCTGCGTTTCTTCCAGGTTCGACTCGAGGGTCCGGATGCTGGTCGACCGCCTCAGAGCCGAGTTGCACACGCTTGGCCTTGGGCAGGGCATCCAGACTCGCCTGGCTCTGGTTGTACGTGCAGTCGGACGGACAGCCAGACTTGGTGCAGTTCTCACACGGCACGATGCGATCACATTTGAGCTTCTTCTCTCGACAGCGCAGGCACGACACGACCGGCCGTGGGCGCTTACGGGTTTGGGTCCCGTCCATGAGCTCTGCGGGGGAGACGTGGCTAGAAATGGGAGTCATGACTTATGCTCATCAAGAAACATTACGCTGATTCACCGTTCCAACAGGGGATTCCCATCTGCCGGGACCAGCCAGGGGAATATTGATTGTCGAACTGATTTGAATCTGTTGGGCAGTGTTGGAGACGCTAAACTCATACGGTGGGGTGGAGGGGTCAGATGTGCCGGGTACCGTAGTCAAGATCGAACGATCGGCATGAAGGATCAAAAATATTGTTGCAATTGAATACGAGACGCCCATTTGTCTAGTGGATATAGTCACATAAAACCATGAAACAAGGGAAAAAAAAGCAAACCCATCCAAGAATAACTAGCAAGTTCAAACGCCGCAACTCCGCCTCTGGCCCGTCATCTAGTTTGTGATCACTGGGGCCGTGTTGTCCCATTTGGTGGTCTCTGCCGCATCGACAAGCCAGCGGGCGACGCTGATGCGGCTCGTGCTGGCCATCAGGCCAACCCCCTTGCCGTCGTTAGGCCAGACCTTGACCTCCGTTTCGTCCGTCTCAACCAGACGCGAGGGACGGACCATGACAAAGTCGACGCCGCTCTCGCGCACCTCGCGGTCGGTGTGGTTGTGGTCCTCGTACTGGTGGCACATGTTGGACTTGCTCATAAGCAGGCGCAGCACGCAGTGCATGTTGCCCCAGGACTCGCTGACGCCAAAGGCTTGCAGGATGACCGTCTTGCAGACACCGAATTGTTTCATGGCCTTGACGACGTTGGCGTTGCAGTCCGCCATGAGGCGGGGCGGAGAGATGGGGGCTGCAAAGGGGCTGTCGGTGGCCCGAGGCGCATTCAGGGTCACGATCACGACAGCGGGGACATCAGCCTGAAATGCGGCTAGCACGTCGTCGAAGTTGGTGGGAGTGCCTGCAGAATTAGAATTAGTCAAGATCGTCACCATGTGTGAGAAGTGCTTAGCTTACCTTGGACGATCTTCAGGCCGGGTTGGGCATCGCCCATGGACGCAGGAGTTCTGGCCAGAGTGGTGACTTGGTGTCCTGACAGGGTTAGCGACGATCGAGAAGAATAGGGAAGTAAAGCCTACCTCTGTTCAGGAGCTCTTCAATGACGAGCTTGCCGCATCGTCCAGAACCGCCGATAACAAGAACGCGCATTTTGAAGGATTGGGTTGATGAAGTTGTAGATTTGAGTTTGATTTTGCTTGCTGTTGATTGATTGATTGATTGATTGCGATCATGGTGACGACGAAGCCAAAGGCATTGAGTATTTATATTATACAACTGCTGCTGGAGACTCTCCTCTGGACAGTCTACAGGGGGGCAGACTTCGGATCCGGCTGGAGATGCATTTTATCTCCGGTCCGGATGGCCCCCCGGCCCCTTTGGGTTGGATTTTAAGTCCATGGAGTAGGATGAGTTTCAATGGATGTAATTGTAGATGATTTGCAGACACAGTCTGTAAGTGATTGTGGATGATTGATGTATATACCCGCCAAATAGTCTGTCCATCACCATAATCTTAGTCTCTTATAATACAGAATAAACAAGTCTACTATACCTTAGAGGGGTACCCATTTGAAAGCCAGTTGGTCTAATCAAATATTCAATTCCTGTAAATTATTATTGGCCTAGCAGCATAGGGTGAAGCTGTATATTGAAGAAATACGCGTTTTCTTCAGAATAGCCAAGGAGACAGGAAGTACTATAACTAACTAACATCTAACTAGTTAACTATAGTATGATTAGTAACATGCGATCAAGTCTCCTGTAATAAACTACATATTAAGTTTATAACTTGGCCAATATGTCCATATTCGATGTCAATGTCAGGCTGTGCCGGAGATACCCTCGGATCCGGACACCTCGGATCCGGACTAGCCGGCCCCAGCTCACCTCATCGGAAATGCATACAGACAGACTGTGCGGACTTGACGGCCCCTGGAGGCGATGCAGGAAATTAATAATGGTGATGGAAGTATCGTATGAGGCCGTGTCCGAGTCCGAGACAAAGGGACACATGGTGTATAAGTGTTTAGAGTCCCGTCGTGATTCAACCCATCATCACCATCACAAGCATAAATGTCGCTCATCTCAAGCATCCAAGCGATCCTGACGGGCAACTGCCCTTTCAAGAAAGTCAAGCCAGTCCGCGTTGAGAATGTCGCCATCATCGGAGCCGGCCTTTCGGGTCTGACTCTCGCCCTCGCCCTTCACCAGCAGTCGATTCCATGCACCATCTACGAGGCCCGCTCCGCTCCGCTGAACATTGGCGGAGCCATCATGCTCTCCCCCAATGCGCTGCGCATCTTCGACCTGCTTGGCGTGTACGAGCGCATCCGCTACGAGGGCTACGACTTTGACAAACTCTACTTCCGCTCGCCAGCCGACCAGCCCTTTGACGAGTACGAGTTTGGCGGCGAGGAAAAATACGCATACCGGGGCATGCGCATCTACCGACACGTCCTCATCCGCGAACTCTCCGCCATGGTTGCCGAGGCCAACATCCCCATCCACTACGACAAGAAGTTTGTCCGCGTCGTGTCCGAGACCGAGACCGATGTCACCTGGGAGTTCGACGACGGCATCAATACCACCGCCACCTGTCTTGTCGGCGCGGACGGCATCCATTCCAAGGTCCGCAAGTACATGTACCCCGAGCTCGAGCCGAAATTCACCAATGCCATGGGTGTGACGGCTGCGGTGCCCACAAAGCAGCTGCACGTGCCCGAGGAATACGACCTGCCCGTGACGATCATGAACAGGCAGCACGGAGCGTTTGTCATTGCGCCCCAGCAACAGGATGGCTCGGAGGTGCTGATCGGTCGTCAGAAGCGGGCACCCGAGTTGGACCGCGAGGGATGGAACCAGCTGATGAACGACAAGGAGTGGTGCATCGACTTTTTACGCCAGGGCACCAGCGACTTCCCGGAGATTGTGCAGCGGGCTGTGTCGGAGATCTCGCCGGAAAAGATCAACCTGTGGCCGTTCTATGTTGTTCCCAAGCTGGAAAAGTGGAGCTCTACCCACGGCCGGGTGGTGATCCTGGGTGATGCGGCACATGCAATCCCCCCTTCGGCCGGACAGGGTATAAACCAGGCCTTTGAAGACGTGTACACCTACGCTCTGATTGTGGCCAAGTGCGACAAGGACTTTCTCGAGAAGGCGCTGAAGAGCTGGCAGCAAGGACGCCAGGAACGGGTGGACAAAGTGCTAGTGTTGAACGCGCAGATTGACAAGCGCCGGATGCCCAAGCCGGCTGGCCAGGAAGATGCAGAGGATGACAAGCCGTTTGAGCTGGAGTGGTTGTACAAGCCTGACTTTAATGAGATGGTGGACGAGTGGCTTCGCAAGGACGCTTAATAATAGTATTTTCTGATATTCTGCTATATTTCTTGTCTTTGTCATTTCTCGGAGATTTATTACCATGTCATGATTTAATTTGCAGCCGACTGGAAGAATGGGTATAAATATAGTTTCTAACTTTGCTTTCTTATCACTTTTATTTCCATGTGCAGACTTGAATCTGAAACATTGCAGAGTCAGTATCTGCAGTGTAGGACAATGAAACTAAGACTTCCTTTTTGCAGTGTATGCAGGACTGGAATGTTGAATTTCTACTTGAATGACATTGAAGTTTTGGCTGATGATAAAAGGTGACTTTTATTTAGCTGAGTATGGTAGTTTGCCAGGATGTGTGTCTTGCCATTTGATATTCGACTGGTTATAATGGCTACCTGAGAGCCTGTTATTGATCCTGCTATGAGGTCGAACAGGCAGCGGTCAGGACCAACATCTCCGAGTCGTACCTGCTATATGCCCTATTAGAAGCAACTTTGTGTAAACTTAGGGTAACTGAAAAACTGGTTATGCTAGAGTCAGGAACTCATGGAAATATTTTGTAGTAGGCTTCCTATTATATTGTCACGGTGCCAGCCCGCCCAGCCCAACCCGCTAACATGTCTACCTCCGTACATCTCGCAGAGTTCAGTGGCAACGAATCAAAACCACCCGGTTTCGACAGTTGACTCATTATGCCAATAAATCGAGTTTTCCTCCCATAGAGCCTACGGATCAAGCTGAATTACAGTGTTGTCACAGGCTCAACTAGGATAATGGAACTTCTTCTCATAAGTTCTACCTAGGTAGCTATCGACGAGAATAATCGACATGAGGAAGGAAGAAAGAAGGCATCACCGCAATCGTCGACAAGGCTAATGATAAGGAAAACCGTCGCACCGAATGAGCGACCACCGTTCATAAGGCCAGCATGTACGCACATTTAGATATAAAAGCACTCAAGCACCCTTGTACGCGTATATAGAGAAGAATATCATCCTAATCCATCATATATAGCCTCGTGCAGTCCGGATAACCGACTCCCCGACTTCCCCGAAACCCACTTCAGATATCTCCCAGTGCCGATGCCGATCCTGTTGCAGCTCGAAGAGCTGCGTCTTGTCTATGTACCTATAGATAGCCTGACCTGTAGCTGACCCTGTCCGTCAATTCCTAATGTATTCTGTTTGCCTGTAGAACCCGACCCTGCACCCTGACATTATGTAGCTCCTCCCCTTAGGAGTTGACGCTATTGAAATGTCTGCTGCCCCACGCCCGCAATTCCTGCCAAATAGCCTGGAAGAATTGCTGAACATGCAGTGAACCACCATGCTGAATAGTTTCAACACTGCCGCCTTACTTACGAGTATATTGAGGGTGTTGAGGCCACTATTACTGAAGCGGAAGAGCAAGCCAATCAGGTTTGCCTGAAGCTTCAAGCCTCTGAACTGGAGGTGAATCATCTGAAGGAAGAACTCTCTGCCTTGCACCTCAAAGCATGAGAAAACCCAAGCCCGAGACCAAGGAATTCTTGAATACCAGAAGGAACAACTGCAGGAATTGCAGCAGAAATATTTTGAAGCTTTGAAGGGAAAGGATGAAGACTCGCGCTTGTCAATCCCTGTGATGGCTCAACGCTGCGTCAATGACTGATATAAACAAACAACACCAACACACCAAACAAAACTGTACAAGAAATCAAGGCAAGCACAGGCAGGAGCCCTGTTGCACAATGACTATAAAGCCCCTTAATCATCTAGATAAATAGATTTCCTTTTTTTCTTCTTCTCTTCAGATTCAATATTCTCATTGATGGGCTCTCGCTCATGGGCGGAGATGAGAGTGTTGAAGTTGTGGCTATTCTTGGATGAGAACACCTTGCCTCGGGATTTCGTGTTCGAGTACTCATTGCTGGATATGTTCGTGCGGAACCACCGAAACTGGGCATGATATCCGGAGCACAGACGATGAATAGCGAAACGAAGCATTCGTGCGATGCCCATCCCAGGGTGGTCACCAGGGTGTTGATATCTGTTATGGAGTAGTGGGCGCGAAGGGCGGCGCAGATCATGATGAAGATGCTGGAACAGAATAGGGCAACCAGGATCATCTTTTGGATGATGGGGATTCGAGCCACAACGATTAGGGGAATGGGGACACACATGACCGCAAGGTCCGTTCTATTGTGGTACAGTTAGAGTGAGGATCTGAGTTGGATTGGGCCAGGGTGCATCGGTGCATACATGATGCTGAGTACTTCGATGACGATGTAGTTCAATGGACGGATTGTGCAGTTGTCTGCGAGGTGGAGTTAGTCCATTAAACTGGGATGAGGTGAATTCTCCAATGTGAGCTTACCTCCGGCATAGGGCTTGACCTGTCAATTCTTGTGAATGGGCCGGCACATAGCAAGGTCAAATATCAGTGATGTGAGGAACGTGCAGACGCAGAGTGCTCCTACCATCAGGGACAGACGATGTTGCCAGAGGCCCATTCTATGCGGATCAGCAAACACACTCCAATACAGGATGGGCCTTTTGTATGTCTTACGTGAGTCGAGTGTACAGAAACACCAGGACGCCCTCGAACACCCAGACTGCTAGGATGTACGCCATCTAGGCGACAAAGCCGCAAACGGAGCCGATCTTGTACGATTGCGGCTCGCTGTCGGGGATTTGCAGCGCAGTCTCCGTGGTGAGACCGATATTAGAGTCGTATACATCTGTTTCTGGATGGAACTGTTGGTAATCATCGCCATTAAGTATATTGCGAGTCAGAATTCAATCCTACCTGTGCAAAGGTAGAGCATGACGGTCATCAGAGTCCACAATGCCTGATGGTTCTGCGTCAGCAGGCTTCTAGGCTCGAGACAGACTCGAGCAAGAAAAACCCACAAGACCCAGGATCAAGAGCAAATCGTCCCAGTACATGCCTTCATTATCGAAGAAGCATCGCGTATAAATCCGGATGCCGGCGACAACGATTCCAATGGCCCATTCCACGAAAAGCTCCGCGGTAAGATTGTAGCCCATGCTTGGAAAATCCCACAAAGCAGTCGTGTATATAGTCAGACCGCGATGGCAGGTTCAATTCTAAAACACGCCAAGACCTTTTCTAGAACGGTGGATATGGTCCAGGAGCAAAGAACCTTTAAAAGACAAGCTGTGGGTTCTGCAGGAGACCCCTGGCTCACAGCCACAGCAGCCTCTGAGGTCTTAGAGCAGTAAAATCGAGGGCAGCTGCTGAGAACCTCTATATTCCAACGACAGCGATGAATTCCTGATCAGCCAGCACGGGTCATGAAATCCTGATACCGGACAAGGGCAAAATCTCGGCTAATGGCTCAAATATGAGGAGACGGAGTCTGAGACGGCGCCCAATTATCTTCGTGCTCCGGGTGTGATGCATCTTTTCTCTTCTCGCTCATGATTTCCGACTGGGCCATTGGACAGGATTCGACACTTTCTGTACATGCAAAGGTTGGGCCCAAAGGAACCGTTGACGGCTCGGTGTGGAGAAAGAGTCGATGAACTTACATGATCGAAATATTTAGTGCTCATGGCCCATTGATACGCTGATAGGCCAACAGCAGGACATCCCCTGTCTCCTTGCCGCAGCTTCCGACAACGCCCCATAATGGTGGACGAAGGATGAAATCGCCGAGCATGGAGTATGGCAATGCTCGGGACTCATTATGCCTCCAACATCCGGCAGGCATTAACCGGAATGTGGTAATGATGGACCGGAACGGCGGCCATCTTATCACAGTGGAGCAAACTGGCTCCTTGACAAACCGGAGGGTTCCGTAGGACGCGTATTAACGGACCTGTCGTTTATCGTCAATGGATGGAGGAGGAAATAAGGATGGGTCCAACCACGGGCGGAAAGACAGCGCTCGATCCCAGGAGGCTTAGCTTCAACGCCGTCGTCTGGGTAATGCCGATCTGCCTCGCGATGTCCCCTTCGACTTCGCTAGTCAATTTATGATATGTGTCCCGATCAATAATGCGTCTGGCTCAGGAAAGGTGATCGTCGCACGCCGTTCGCTTATTCGAACTCAAATGACGGAATAGGAAGCTCGACAGTGATCCTGGTTCTTGTCCATCTTCCACCGGCTCATGAACTGACGGAGCAGCATGAGGCGTGATAGACCCACTGACAATGACAGCCGTGGGGTGTTTGACAGGCCGTAGCCGCTCTAACCGATATTTATGGAGGGAGACTCCCCGAAGAAATCCTTGTTCGCCCTAACCCCAGTTCCCTGTGAGAATCACCCTTCCATTGTTATAATCCATTGGAGAACCATGGACAAACAGCAGATCCAGAGTCTTTGGACCAGCGCCCAGAACTCCCTGGAGGGCTTCCAGAAGACCAAATCAGAGACCTCCCGGAGAGAAGCTCTGGCCAAGCTCACCAAGCTTCAACGAGCACTAGAGCAGCCCAAGGATGCCATCCTGAAGCTGTCGTACCAGGTGAGCCGCTAACGCTACCGATCAGTATAATGGGCCAAACAATCTGATAGCTATTTTAGCCAATGGTCTTCATGGCCCTCAAGGTAGCCCACGACATGAAGGTCTTCCCAGTGCTAGCAAATGCGACATCGCCCGTCTCAGCGAAGCAATTGGCAGCCGCCAAGCCAGCTAATCCTCTACTCATTGGTGCGTTTCTCCCTCGTTTGATGGTGAATATCGATATTATTGCTAATATGGAGTTTTCCAGAGCGAATCATGCGCCTCCTGGTGTCCTTTGACATTGTCGAAGAGCCCGAGCCGGGCACCTACCTCCCCACTGCCATTGCCAAGGAGATGGTGAACCGACCATCTATCGGGACAGTGGAATCTTTGTAAGGAGATCAAAGCCATCAATCTCGACGTGTCTGACATGCTATAGGTTCTGCGAATTCCTCCCCATAATGCAAAAGACCCCTGAATACCTCGAAGCTACAAACTACCAGAACCCCGAAGACCCGTTATGTTCGCCCCTCCAGTTCACCCACAATGTTCAGCAGGACGGTTTCTCCTGGCTGTGTGAGCATCCGGATGCCCTCATCCGGTTCAACAATTTCATGGAGGGTCAGCGTGCCAACCGCCTCCACTGGGGTGACTGGTTCCCCATGCAGGAGCAGATCCTCGCGGGTGTCGACAAGAACCCGGAGCGGGTGCTCCTGGTCGATATCGGTGGTGGTCGCGGCCATGATTTAATGCTGTTCCAGAAACGGTTTCCGGATGCTCCAGGCAAGCTGGTGCTGGAAGACCTTCCTTCGGTGATTGATGAGGCTACTCCAGAACTGGACGCTTGTGGCATTCAAGGCGTCAAGTACGACTTCTTCAAGGAGCCTAACCCGGTCAAGGGTGAGTGAATTCGGCTGTTTGTTTCTGTTTATAGCTAACCTGTTATGAATAGGCGCTCGTGTTTATTACTTCAAATTTGTCTTCCACGACTGGTCAGATGAGAAGGCCCGCGTTCTCCTGAACTATGTCATCGAAGCCATGGAGGCTGGGTACTCCAAGCTGGTAATCGAAGAGTACATCCTCCCAGACAGGAATGCTCAATTCCTCCACGGGACGACAGACATGGCGGTGATGATGTTCTGTTCGGGACTGGAGCGCACCCGCCAACAGTGGAAGAATCTCCTGGAGTCTGTGGGACTCCAGCCCACTTTCTGGACGCGCGAGGGCGATGGCCTGGGGATTATTGAGTCGGTGCTGCCGGCTGCCAACGGAACCAACGGGGCGGCTCACTAGATTAGGTAGATGCTAAGATGATAGTTCTCATGCTGGATGAAGGCATTCAACCTTAATGAGAATGTAATGGAACCCATGACCCTATTCGAAATGCAAATTGTGGGACACTCTTCTAGTTCATTGGACAGGTTGATGATACGGCCAGTCACCTTCCGACACAAGATACAGTTGTTGTTGTATTCACACCTCGACCCCTAGCCTTAGGCGATATGCAGGCTACCACAACTAGGACGGCATTATACAGTCGTTAGCGAATTCGCCTTCACCGGCAAACATACGTAGCTTGTTTTCGGCCCCACTGCCACGATGTTAGTACGGATAGTTTATTGAGCTGCCGGCTTTAATTGAGGGCTGCTGTAACTTTCTCGTATGTATGAAAGAAAGAAATACACTGAAATAATTACACCACATGTACTGTCACGGGGCATGGACGCTCTCTAGTCGTATAGCATGTTTGCTTACTTTGACCTGTTTGGGGTAGGGCATTCACTAAGCCATGAACGCTCGCTAGCTGTATAGCATGTTTGATTGCTCTGTCCTGTTTGGAGTAGGGCAACAACCCCTCGCACACACACTAGATAGTCTGTCGCCGGCAGGCCCTGCCTGTTTCCTTTCTCTCCTCATGTTAGAATTTCGTCAGATAATCTACCAATAGATTCATATTGCTCGAGACCGTCACACTGCTCTCCACTCATTCAACGCCAAAATAATGGCTAGGAGTTCCTTTTCATGAATCTCATAATTTTGCTCTGCAGAGGTCATTGATCTCAAAAAGATAGGCCACTGGATGCCACAGTCCGTCCTCGGGGCTTAGTTGGGAAAGGATGGCTGCCACGACGTTGTCTGAGGCGTCTGTCTCCAACTGAGTCGGCAGTTCTGGATGATAGTGCGCCAGAACTGGCGCGGTCGCTAAGCTCTGTTTCAGTTTCTGGAAAAATTTCTTGCACTCTGGCATCCAGAGGAATGGGACTTTTTTTGCCAGTTGATTTAATAGCTTGGCGATCCGGCTGTAGCCATAAATGAATCAATGGTAGAAGTTGTAAAATCCCAAGAAAGACTGTATCCCTTTTACTGTATTTGGTTGGTTCCATCTGAGTACTGCAGCTGCCTTGTCAGGATCCACCTCTACTCCTTCTGTGGTGATGATAAAACCGAGATACTTGGTCTTGGTGACATGGAACCCGCACTTGTGGAGACTGGCTTTTAGACCTGCGGCTCTCAACCGGGTCAGGACTGCTTTTACATATAGTTCATGCTCTGCTTCATTCACACTGTAGATGAGGAGGTCGTCCATCAATGCAGTGATGTACTCATCCAGCATGTCCATGAATATATATCATTTACCAGTCGCTGGAAAGCCACTGGCCCATTTGTTAGTCTGAAGGGCATCACCTTGTATTTGTATGAGCCATAGCGAGTCCGAAAAGTGGTGTACTCCTCAGAGTCAGGGTGCATGTGAATGCGGTGGAATCCTTGTCTGATGTCCAACTTGGTGAACATTTTTGCATGGGAGACTCGCTCCAGAACTTCATCAATTAGGGGTATAGGGTACTGGTCCTTGCAAGTAATTGAGTTCAACTTTCTGTAATCAACCACAGAATTGGAGACCTTCACCAGGCTTCTTTGCCATCAGGATGGGTGAAGCGTAGGGAGACTTTGTGACGGCTCAACGACCAGACAAACATTGCCAACATGCCAAAAGATGCCATACAAGCAATATGGACAAACAAGGGCTCAAGCCGCATCGCACAAAGGCTTATATAGAGACTGCACTCGCCAGATAGATTTCCTCTCCTTTTTCCTTCCCAGATTCGATATTCTCGTTGATGGCTACAATAGTCAAGATAGGAATTCAGTTCGTTATTATCTTCTATTCCGAGCCCGTGACAGACTTGCTGGGTATGATGAAGCCTTTGTTCAAGTTGTCAATGATGTATTCTCGAGCCGCTTCTAGTTCCTCAGTAGACATCTTGTATAATGGGCTATACCCTACAGTCTTTGAGGGATCTTCATTGAGCTCCAACTGGTGATTGACGTCTCGTGGTAGTGGTAGCTTGTCAGATGCTGTCTTGCTGAAGACATCAGCAAACTCCTTATGTTGGTCTGGCAGTTTCTGGCAGATGGTTTCCAACTCCTCATCCTGCTCTAGCTTCCCCCTTTCATCCACTATCTTGTCAATATCTGCTAATATTGTCACAAAGATCTCTGAGTTGCCCTTGCAGAGATGCCATTTGAAACCCACTCCACCAATCATAGCAATGTCAATTTTTGCAGTGGCTCCTTTCCTTTTCTGACATTTCCTCTATGCTTGTTCCCTTGCTTCTTCCTGCTGTACTGCCGGGTCCTCCTCTGGCCTCAGGGAGAATGCTGGGTCTATCATTTGTTGCTCTATTTGCTTCGATGACCATTCATTGTCTCGGCTGAAGGCTCGGTGATTGCACCTCTTGATGTCCTCTTGTGCAAGCAATTTATCCCTTCAGTCTGCATCTTGCTGGTGGTTGGCACTCACTCAACCCTGCTGGCGTAGTATGGTCTTCAGTAACGTCCACACTGGTTGGTTTGCTGCTTCCTTCCAAGGAGGCAGTTCATCTGGCCACAACAGCCGGTTGCTGGCGCAGTCAGGTAAGACTTGGTTCTCTGCTATCCACTTCTTTCCCAGAATGACGTCGTGTTTACCCAAATCTGCAATCAGCATGGGGGTTAGTATTTCATCTGATGTGCAGCCAGATGGTGATAGATGAATGCCCCAGTTTAATGGTAGAGTGACAAGTGTATACCAGTCTTCCATATGGCCTTTCCCTGGCGGAATAATAAGGGGAGGAAGGATAGATCCATCCGCAGATATACACTCCAAAATCGTGATTAAACCCCGTGAAAATGAGGAAGGAAGAGTCTCTTTTGCTCAGGAAACTGGGTGAATACCTTCTCTGCACGCCCCTGCCCCTCTAGGAACCCATTTTCATCAGAATTGTAGACATCTGTCACAGGCTGCGCCTGTCGCATAAGCGATATGTCTAGTTGGGCGGAGAGGCTATTAGGTGGAGAGGATATCGGAGGAACCATGAAGGAACCCCTTTCAGGCGTCGACGGAGGCATTGATAATCAACATCAAATTCACGCGCAATATCACTTATTTTAAGATTCTGAGCGTGTCTATACGCGACAACAGCATCTTGAATTCGATCCTCAGTTTGTATGCATGCTTTAGGCATAGTGGTGATTGGTAAATGATGATTTAAAAGAGGTAGTCGCGTTTGGATGAAATTTGTTAATTGCGGTGATATTTTCATACTGGTGTCGCCCCCAAGCATGGATAAGTGGTTGGCGGGCGACGCCGCATGTAACTATTACATATTTGACATATTGCTGTGACAGCGAGAGGTTCATGCATGTCACCAAACAGCGGTGTGATGGACCTAGATCTTTTTCGGAAGTCGGGCGAATCCAAGTGACAGCAGGATTCATTTGCATAGCAGGGTAAAATTGTACAGAGTAAACACTTGTCCATTCACACAGGTTGATGGCTTGCATTTTCCAAAAGTTGAGCGTTGGCTGCGATTGAAATCACTAAGATAGTAAAAAAGCACCAGAAATAAGAACAACGCTGTATTTTCCTGGCCTCCAACGGCCCTGTAAACAGGTAAACATTACCTGGAGTATATCCATAATGCAATGGTTGACATTGGGGGAATATGTATGACAAGCGGACCAAACAAAATGCATCAGAAAAGGAAATAGTAATAGAGAATAATAATAAGTAATATCGGCAGAAATATCAGATGTACGTTAACAAGTCCAGTAAATATCAGAGGCCGGCAAAAATAACCAAATCGGGGTCTGAAACTCGAGGTAAACTGTATCTGAAGTGACACGCTCACCTTTTCGTTTGCCCATTAACAAAAAGTAACATCAACAACCTTTCCAAAAAACCAACAAAACAAAGGGGGAATCGAACAATCATGGAGACGATGGCGGCATTATACGGGAGTAAGCAGACATCATCTGGTGGCAGGCCTCGTAGGTTATTAAAATCACGTCACGGACGCATTGACAAATTGCAAGCTGAAGCTCGCAAGGCGGCACAGAGGTTGATACCGAGTCAACTTTTTTTTTGGGGGGTCTTTTTTTCTTTTGTTTTATCCCTTGGGTTGTTCGTTTCGACTCGAGATGGTGGCGTTTTTCGTGCCGAGCGTCTTGCGTCCGCCATTCAAAAAGTCCAACGCCAATTCCATTACATAATAATGCATTTTCCGCAGCAGCCAGCGCTTTCACCTGGCTCGCTCACGTCCATCTTGCCTTCAGGGGCGCGCGAACCGAATGCGCCCGATCCGGAGGGGTTTGACATCTCTTTGTTGTACCGGCGGATCTCACGGACAAGGTCGTAGAAGGCGTTCTCGACGTTGATGCGCGACTTTGCTGATGTTTCGATGAATTTGCAGCCGAATTGATGAGCCAATTCCTCACCCTCTGTAAAGCAACCGAGATTAGTATTGGTCGCGAATCGCGATTAACGAAAGAAACGAACCTTCTTGCGAGACGGCACGCTCCTTCTCCAAATCGCACTTGTTGGCGACCACAATAATGGGGAAGTAGTCCTTGTCCTTGACACGCAGGATTTGTTGTTGGAAGGTCATGATTTCTTCGAAGGATTGGCGCGATGTGATGGAGTAGATCAACAGGAAGCCTTCGCCGGTTCGCATGTACTGTTCACGCATTGCCGAGTATTCCTCCTGACCAGCAGTATCCAGGACGTCCAACAAAGCGACCTCATCGTCGACGACACACTGCTTGCGGTACGAATCTGTCGAGTGGAAGAATTGTATGAGTTACACGATCGACAGGATCACAGACGCGACGTCGCCCACCTTCAATTGTCGGATCATATTCATCAACAAAGTGACTCTGAATCAATTGAATCGTGAGGCATGACTTTCCGACACCACCACCTCCGACAACAACCAATTTGTACTCTCTGAGGAACTACAGGCGATAGGAATATGGTAAGCTTTTTACTTCTTATTTAAAAGAGCGATGAATAGAAAAGGCGCAACATGATTGGATCGAAGCGCAAAGATAGGAGAGGAGTGAAAAGCAACAACGTAGCCGGATAACCAGCAAAGGGAGAAGGGACCAGAAGAAAAAAAAAAAAAAAAAGAAAAGAAAAAGAAAAAGAAAGAAACTTACCTTGGAGGCCATTGCGAAAGACTGTCGTTAAGCGCACGTATTAAAAAAGTAAAAGGGAAAGAGAGAAAAAGGAAGGAGAGGAAGAAGAAAACGGAAGTTGAAGCTATCCCAATTGAAGCGGGTCGAGGAAAGCAACACAATTTTCTCTTGCAGAAGGGAGAGAGAGCGAGACTGAGAAAGGGGAATCGGTCGCTCAGAGGTCAGGACCCAGTTCGTCGGAAGGGTTTCGCGCAACGAGAGAGCTCAGTCCACAGCAACAGCGGGTCTAGTAGTAACTAGACCAAGCTTAATGAGGGAGACGGGGGAAGAAGTTATCAGGGGGGGGCGGAGGCCGGTTCGGAATCGCTTCTACCCTAAGACGGGATTGTCAATATGAAGTGTTCTTTTCTTCCTATTTTTGTAGGTTCATAAAGAAACACGACACGGGGTAATAATAATGGGAAAAAGACGGAAGGAATAAGGGGAAAAGAGAGAGAGACTGAGAAGAGGAGGTGGGGAGGGAATAATCGGCTAGAGCCAGAGGTTCAAGCGAGAGGAGAGCGTACCTTGGTTGGCGATGGTTGGTCGAATATCCACGAATTCACGGCGAAAGGACAGAGAATTAGTCCAGTATCAATCACTTTTATGCTGAGCAACAGAGAAATTCAAGAGGAATAATGCGGATTAGCGATGGAGGAGATGGAGAAGAGGGAGAATTCGAGGCTGGCCGGAGGAAAGGGGCGCTGGGCGGTGGCAGTATGCGACTGGCGGTGGAGATAACACAATAACACACTCGCCATATAAAGGCAATCGCTACGGCTACTACTACTACTACTACGGAGTAAATGCTGAAGATGAGCAAACCTGCAGTGTCTATCCCCGTGTCTATCCTCCATTGTCCCGGTGGGTTGATTTTCTTCTCATCCCATGTCATTTGTTAGTCTCCGATGCACGATGTATGATCTAGCCCACCGTGACAGCCAACTAATCTTCTCAGAGCATTCGAGATTCTCGTTAGTGCCGGCTTAACGACACTCCTCTAGCAAATCCCCGAAACTGAGTCAGGACGGAAGCAGATATCAGTCTACGCCGCTCGGTGGACAAACGGTTTTCGGAATCTACCCCAGCCACTCGTCGTTTGGAGAATCTCTTCCCTGCGGTGAGCTGCAGCGAGACTTGGGGCTCTCAGAATCAGCGGAGTGCGCCGGACTCGAGTCTGCATCACACCATGAATCAACCATCCGACTGAATAGATGATTACAGTGTACCCCGTCCTCTGAGCGCTACGTACACTATTATATTGCCACAGTTGAGGGCACGATACAAAGAACACGGAGATACATCGCCTCCATCTAACAATCAACCCACAAGGTCCACGGTCAAGGTCAATCACTTTCTTTGTCCGGAATGTCGACGTTGAATGGATATCCGCTTCAAGAAATCTCATTCCCAACATAGATGCAGCAGAGCCTTTGACAGTCGTATCCGCCTTGGCATCCACAAACTATCGATACCATCGTCGACTATCAGTTTGATCTTTATCATGCCTTTGTGTGGACCGCTACATCTTACTGTTCTGGAGCTCAAATCGAAGACGTGCCACTGTTTTTTTTTTTTTTTTTTTGTGTTGCCGCTTGAATCGCGATTTGCGGATTAGGTAATTGGCTAATCTCCACGCATCAATCGTCGGGTTTGATTTGATTATTTGTTTACCCTGGGATTCGCTCACAGATCGAGTCTGTGTCTGTTTCAATCGGAAGTGAAAGTGAACCTGCATGGGCTGGGATGTTCTTCACGCTAATCCACGGCAGACCGCACCTTGCATGGGTTGCATCATTGTACATAGTGCATCAGGGCCATTCAGGGCTGTTTGATTACTCCGTACAAAGTACGGATGATGATGATGATGATGATGATGATGATGATGTCTTCTATTTTACAGAGCATTTTCCAGTCTATACGAAGTACGGAATAGGGCACTCGGTACGGCATCTACTCGACATTCGACTAAGCGACGTTTTTATGCCCCAGAAATAGCTAGACCAGATAGCCTACCCACTGGTACGCGTGCAGGGCACTGAAATTGCACCCGTACAGAGCACATCAATGCTCGATAACCATGGCCCGAGATGTCCATCCCAATTCGGATCGCTTGGCGTGGACATGCCAAGTCGTATTACTCCGTCTGACTATTGCTATACATACATAATTGTTTTGATATTATCCGGCAAGACCTTACAGACAATTTCATAACTAACCATGGCATGACACTCATGGTTAATGGTAATAATGATATGCTCCGAGCACAGGCCAATACTGAGTACGTCATTTTTTAATGAACATCTTTGCATTCTCAGATAAATGATATCATAATTTATACCGGCCAATGGTTGATTCAGTCGCAGCTTCATAGTTTCTACGCCTTAACTCAGGGACAGGGACAGGGACGGCAGGTTCACCATCTCCGTCTCCGTCTCGATCTCACTCAATTAAACATGCATGTAGTATCCAAGACAAACATTACCCCATACGTTCTCATCTTATCAGATATCCCAGCAGCGACATATCCACGCTTGTACGACTCAAGGGAGACTGGACACTCGCCGGACAAGTAAATCCGCCATCCCATTTCTGGTAAATGCCCACTGACCCATACCCTGATTGGCCGCCTGCAGGTGATCCGCTGGAGTCAACGGTCCAATCACTGTTTTAGTCTTTAGTGTTGTTTTTAGCGTAAACTTTGTTTGACTATCCATCGTACTACGGAGTTCTTCTATCCTTGTACAAGTATATAGTACTTCATACAAAACCTTTGTAAGTATACTTGTACAGAAGGAACCTATGAAACGTGCAGTATGTGCAATTCTATCCCCGACCACTATCCCTCGATATCAACAAAAGAAACAAGTCAATTCCATTATCACTAATCACACCCGATACCGATATGGAAGACCCACTGATTCAGGGGCCATAGTGGCCGGCCTTAGTGGGTCCTCTCGGATTCCAGAATTCCTGTCTTGCCCCCCTTTTTTTCGACTTTACCCGTTTAGGCGGATAATATCCGGGGCTGGGATGGCATGTGAAATACATAGTTGGGTTAATATTGGAATAAGGGCTAAGGGAGGGCTAGATGGATTTTGTGGTAAGGAGTAATATGGGTTTGTTGCCGAGGGGGGTTAGTGTGGGATTGTTATATGTATGAGTCCGGAAAGGGAATTGGGATTTTTGATTGGGATTGATGGTTGGGTTGGTTTAATGCCACACTTGTTGCGGCGATGTTTGCGTGGGTCGTGGATACGCTAACTAGGTCGAGTGCTTAGAGCAGTTCGATACAGCTCTCTTGCATATTTACGCTGATGATAGCAGGTATGCAATCGTTCTCGTGTTCATGATATTGAATTCTTTATATATTCGTAGTATGTACTTGTTCTATTTAATGTTTAACCCCTTTTATGCACAGCAGTGGGAGATGCCTGTCCACAGTTAGCTTCATTTGATCTTCATTCCTTCGCGCAGAACTCACCTGGTGGCTCGGGAAGACCAATGTATCGGCAATCACGACATTCTCCCGACGTCCAGCAGAAAACACAATGATCTCGGCAATGTCATCCGGGGTGAGTGGCTCACAATTCCTATAGCATGTCAACTTCTTTTCTCAACACATAAGTATATTGGGATGGTGGCGTACTCATAAACCGAATCAGCCTTCTGCTTGTCACCATAGAACCGCACAACGGAGAATTCCTAGGGAACGGTCAGCTTTATCTTTACCTGCAGGAATATGCCATGCTCACCGTCTCCACTTGACCGGGGTCAATTCCGATAATACGAATTCTCGTCGCGATAAGCTCCTTTCTAAGCGCATCCGTGAAAGACTTGACGGCAGCCTTGGTGGCACAGTAGATGCTGCCACCGGGGTACGCCTCACGACCAGCAATGCTTCCAATATTGATAATGTCTCCGCGGCCACCATCTTCTCTCTTCTTGAAAATGGGCAGCACCGCCTGGGTCATGTTGATTAAACCGGTGACGTTGGTGCTGAGCATAGTGTCGATGTCTTGAGGGTCGATATCCGGAGCTTTGGCGACGCCCTTGACCAAGCCACTGCTTTCGTCAGCATTCCGTTTCACAATATCCTACCAGAGCAGGTAACTAAGAAGAACTCACGCATTGTTAACCAAAATATCAATATCCTGAAACTCCGCCGGAAGACCCGACACAAAGCCCTTCACCTCCTCCGGGTTGCTAACATCCAACTTCACCGGCAACACCTTAACACCCTCACCAACCTCCTCCTTAATCTCCTGAGCAAGCTGGTTCAGCGAATCAATGCGACGAGCCGTCACAACAATCTTCAAGTTCTTAGGCGAAGTCCGCGCGAATTCTTTCGCAGTGCTTTTACCAATTCCCGCCGAAGCACCGGTCACAACGACCGTCTTGCCTTCGAGGCGCTTTGCCATTGCGGATGCCATTGTGCGTTTGGGAATGTTTTGCTGGATTGTAACGTGGAACGGGTTCGTCCGGAGAGACGGAGAGAATGCGGAGAGGGGTTTGGGAGACGAAGTGAGCCGGCGTAGGAATCCTATTGATCTGGTATACGCTCGGAGGCGGTTCATAAAGGATTTTCGCAGAGAAAAGGGAATCCGCCGGGAAAGGGACCGTAGATAAATAAGAAGCTCGAAGAAGGATGGAGAATTGTGGCTGCGATTGCGAATACTTGAGGCCGAATGCATGTGTGCGGGGAAGCGGATATCGTAGAGGGGCCCGTCGGCTGAAGGTTTTCCCGATCGGACTTGGGGCCGTTCATTCTCTTTCAACTCTGCGACGACATCTGATCTTGGTTGCGGTTATATAGACAACTATATACAAGTATATATAGCTTGGTCTGTTTATTTATATAGTTCTGGAAATGGTGAGTTGCGCGAAAAAGACCGATGAATATCTCGCTAACTGTTCCTTAGGGCCGAGGAGCGCGGCGTTGCCTAGTATGGTATGCTTAGTATGGCAACATACGGACCTCAAGCGTCATGATATATACGCCTTTATATCTGCCTGAATTGTATGACTTAATGGACTTAATCAATGATGACGGCTTCATAACCAGCTCGATGCCTCGTACATCAGGCATGAAATGCTTATAGTTATAGCAAAAACACCACAGCTTTTCTGACTGCCATCCGTGATGAGGAAACCAAATGCAAAGACGCGCTTCGAGGTATTGGACGACATATATACCCTACTCCCTTCTGGTATTTAAAAAAGGGGCAGCGACCGATCTCACGACGGTCATTTTCAAGTCCGGCAAAACTTGCCATGCGTAAATGGCGAGCAGAGAACCAGGGAAGGATAATCAAGCAGAGGAAGAATCAGACACCGCAACAAGTTGAGATGGATGAGAATACGGCCCGGTTGGATATGAGAGATTACCGAGTGGAGCGCAAGGATGAGATCAAGGCTCGCCAGGCTCGCCAGGATGCTCGCACCCCAGATGAAGGAAAAGGCAAGCGGAATTGTCCAAGATACGGATGCAGAACTATCGAGAGACAAAGTTTTTCATCCCAAGAAGAAACGCCCAGTCCTTCGAAAATCGAGCGAGAAATACCAGAGGGCGTCGAGACAAGCGATCAAGACCTCCACGTTCGAAAGTCGACGCGCTATTTGTCGCGCTCTGAACCTGTACCTGCAGCTCTTATATACTACAGCTCCTATATACCGGACGTCCACGGCATTGCGTCTGACAGCGGCTACATCCTTGCAGCCGTCTCAGGTCCGGCACGATCCGCTAGGGATATAGCGATCCTGTGTTCCTATACTTGGGCGTTTAATGCCAAACAAACCAGTTTTGGTTTCTTATTGACCAGTTCAGCCACCAGTGAATATATACATGGCAAACAATGGCATTATAGGGCCAAGAACTAGAGGTAAACAAAGAACTACCTTACCCAGTTTGATTCTTCACAAGGATTCATCTATCTAAACATGCATGCCAAGGCATCATCAGGCTTTTCTTTGTTCTTATATATGTCATATATGATGACTTTCTTTCAATTCTGTGCCTAGAAGCTTGTTTTGAGCTTGTTGCCTACCCTATTAGTCACTGCCTATGGCTACTGTTTGTTTTCTGCTGTGAACCATAGGTATATGACCTCTTTGTGTGGTGAATACAGGCATCAGCTCTCGCTTAGGCTGAGGTATATAAAGGCCTCGGTTGCCTCGAGCTGGACTTCTTTCTTCTTATATCCATCCATGGAGGATTCCAACTTGGCGATACAGCTATTGTGTACATCCATCATTATCATCACCACCATCATCAATACATCGATAATAACCATCGCGGTTTATTTTATGCTGGCTATGGAGCGCAACTATAGCGTGAGTGGTCCCACAGACGACGCGTCTACATATCGACGTTCTCCATCGAAGACTAACAAGGAGTCAACGATACAGGCGACGGAGTTCGAGGAACTCCTCAGACCCTCCCAGTTTGACTGGGCTGATGAGTCTGAGGAGCTGGAGGGGGTGGAGGAAGCGGAGGAACAGAGTGAGGGGGGCGTTGGAGAGGGGGAGCTCGAGGAGACGATGGCCTCTTTCTACGATCTCGAGAGGCAGCCAAGCAATAGCTCTGGCGAGCGAGTCAACGAGGAGGACGAGTGGTCGGACTTCGACGACGCGATGGTCCCAGAGGCCACAGTGCCAGAACTGGACTACGAGGAGCTAAAAAGGGCCAGCATGCAGGAAGACGTCAACCAGGAGTTCGCCTTCCGACAGGGCTGGATGGAGGTCGCTAGTGAACCCATTCACCATTTTAACTGGCTTGGTTCCCCCAGATACGAATACTCCTCGACACCACCCGCCATCTCCTTGCTCTTTCTTTTCGCGGCCCCCAAGATCCCGGAACCAGGTGATGAATGGCGCCTCGACGCAATCATGCGCAGGGCCATGCGACACGTCGACCCCGTGGTGCTACACCCAGAGAATGGCCGCGAGGACTTCCGCCCGAGAGGCTCTGAGTTTGTTCGGTGGGCGACCGGGCGAGTCTTCAAATTCTACAGCCCTCACGGAAACTGGCAGACAGACCGTGATGATATCGCAGACGGCACCATCATGGACACTGGAAACGTCGATATGTACATAGGGAGTACCCTTAAGTTTGGTAATGGGTACGTCCGGGACCACACGATCAGGTCACGGGCTCAATGGGGGGGTGACTACCAGCGACTCTACGAAGAGAAATTCCCGGCCCCCAGCCAAACCCGATCGCCAAAGACGCCATACAAGCCTTCACGCCTAAGGCAATGCGTGTTTCCGGATGATCTCGAGGACTTGGATGGTAAGTTAATCACTTCCACCTTGGACGATATATCATGTTCGGGGGCTAAATGAAGAACGAAACACAGGTGTAGAATCTCGCATGACACCTAGAATTCAGAGACCCGCCTCCCGAATCCCACACATGAGGAGGGCATTCAGCCAAAGCTCACCCGATCTGCTCGCTGGGCTGCAGAGAGAAACCTCCGTCCACGGCTTCGAGTCTGGCTTGGATGCCATGATCGAAGATAGCAGCGAGTACAGTGAAGACAGTGAAGACAGTGATGGCAGTGATGATGAACACCTGGACATCGGCGAGATCGTCCAGCTCAGCTACCAAGAGTTCAAGGAAGCAGAGCTTCGGAGGACGGACATAATCGAACGGGTGGCAATTGCGCCTAGCCTGGAAACTATCCCTGAAGATTCTGAAGTCGCTTTTGAGAGTGAAAGAGACGAGGATATCATCAAGCAAGCACAGGATGACCTAGCCGACCAGTCGGTCGAGCAAGAACAAGGCGACCAGAACACTGTCACCGTCGAAGAAAACCGAGATATTACAAACGACCTGGCGGTCAAGCAGACCCAGGATGGCCAAGATGATCATTCTGATCAGGACCAAAACTGCCTGCAAATCAGCCAGCTGGGTGACTACGCTCAACACAATCAAACCGACGACACAATCAAGACCGTCGAAGGAGAACAGAACGGCCAAAATGGCCAAAACGATCAAACCGTCGGACAACCAGAAGACAACCAGGAAGACCAGCTGGGTCAAAACGGCCAAATTGAACAAGATATCGAGACCGTCGAACAGAATAGGAATGAAAAAGACCAAAAAAGTCAGATCGACAAGCTCAAATCAACCGATCCAAAGGATCAGAATAAAAAAGCTCACCAGCGCATCTCGTCCGGCACTCACGCAACGAGCGGACAATCCGGCAGCGAGACTACTTTCCAGATTTCGAACGAGCAACAAAATCAAGACACTAACGTTCAGGCAGTGGACAGCGAGCTTCAAACTCTTGTTACTGATCAAAAGAACAAGAAGTGGAAGAAGAGGGTCAGTCGCATCTCTCAAAAAGCGCGCAACGCGTTACGATCAAAACACGCCCAGTCACCAAAATCCGACTCTTCTAGCTCATTTGAGTCAATTTCTTCACCTACATCAAACTGCGATCCTGATCGACAATACATCTCCCTTTTCTACACCGAAACCCCTCAAGATGGGGACGAAAAGCTACACAAAACTTCCTCGACGAAGAAGCTCGCTACAAAGGCCAAGAGAGTCTTGAGCAAATCTTCCACGGAGAAAGATACGGTTACGCCGAAAAAGCAAAGGAGGATCTCTTTTTCAGACCTCTTTTACGAAGGAATCAGGGCCTTTTGAGTCTTATTCTGTGATGACTTGAGTCAACGTTATGTTGATCTTTCTACCACGAAAGTTACGAGTTACGAACTTACGCTACAAACGCTACATGATTATGATATTACGATGGGGATACATGCATATGGAGTATTATGGATGGGATACATATGGGTTATACGGACACAAAAATGGGTAGTTTTCTGCATATGGGACTTGCATAAAAAGCAATTCGAATTGGAACATGCATATGGTTCTGGGGGATCACATTTGGGGATTGGTCATGTACAATGTAGGGTTAGCGTTGTTGTTTATGGTTGCATGGGATAGGATTTGGATGTACGGCGCACATATTTGGGTCTGGATGACTGCTTCTATTACTCAAGGGCCGCCGAATCTAAGAATGGAATTGTGATACGACAGGCCAAATGTAAATCATGTCCTGACACCGACGCCCGTAATCTCTACTGCTTGTTCATGAATCGCATAAGTTTGAGTCCTGTTAAGCTCTCGCTTGGGTAGATCGTGATATCACCTGACTCGCATCCGGTGGTGTTTCCTTTTCTAGTCGATTTCTGACTCCAGTCCAACGTCTAACGTTTTCAACTCTCCACGTCATACCAGAAGCGGGATATTCGAAGCAGTACCCCGTCCTCCGTACCAGTATGCGAACCATGACTCAATTCGAGGCGAGTTTGGTCGATGATGAGAAGGTTCTTGGTTGCTTTCTGGCTGACGGCGCGAACTAGTCTTCCAGCCCCTGCAGAATACGAGGAGCCCAGAGCAGTCCGCCACCATCATCTATCTGGACTGTCAACTCGAATTCCAAAACTTGCACCAAGTCATGTTCAAACGCTTTGGCCTCGGCTCATGACTCGAGCAATAACCAGCCCTCCATACTATTACTCCGATAGCGCACTGGGGTATGGCACATGCGTCTGTGCCCTTGACCCGCAAGACAAGAAATCCCCTGCACTATTTCACTATTTATGCATTTGTTATGCAGCGTCGGGGTGACAGTCTAGTTAGTGCAGAGATCGCCATGGCTCGTGCTGCTAGCTCGCATACGCTTTCCACTGATCGGAAGGAGACTAACCGGAAACACACGGACGGAGTACCCCAGAGTCAAGACTTGCAATTGACGGAGTATCCCCTTTACGGAGCAAAAAATGCGGATCGGTGACTGTTGAGTGGTGGTGACGTTTTTCTTCAGCAGGATGCTTAGCTACGGGACTGACCGTAGTTGCTACCCCTGATGGGCAATTAATATAATAATTTGTATTAGACTGCATTGCAAAAGGTCCATGCGACAGGGAATTATTGCTAGCGCTACGCTGCTTTTGGAAAGGTCGATATTCGGATCTTTTATCTGATATGACTATACTCCATGGATAAACATTCTGGCCACCGAATAGCCGGCTACGACCATGACAATATGAATTATGACTGTTCTATCTACGGAACAGAAAATTACGATCCTGAGGACCCGGAGAAGTTTATTTTGCGCAAGCTTCTTAGCGAAGCGACGCGGGGTATCTGGAAGAATCGAGACCAAAATTGGGATTTTTATCACTTCTAATACGAGAAAGATCTCTTGATGAGCTGCTCTCTTGGTCGAGTTCACGATCTGACGCGCTGCGATGAACTTGTTCAATCGAGCAGGTGCCAATTCCTGGTCCCCGACAATACATAATGCGATTTCGATCCTTATCCCTGGGATTTGGATGCCAACCGACTTTGCGGGATTTGACATCGAGAGCTATGGGATGTACGGCATAAAGTACATACCCGGTACTCAAATCATCCATCCGGTCACAGGATTTGAGTTTCTCTCTGCTACGCTCTAGGATCCAGTGCTCTTACCATTTCCAGATCCCTGCTCGAGGAACAATAAGATTCGAGTACAAGAGTAGTCTGCATGAATTGGAATCCTGGACCAACAATCGATTTGCATAGGAAAAAGCAAGCATGCAAAGCACCAAAAAGCAATTCACAGATGCTGGTACACAGCGATATTCGGTACCAACCAAACCATGACCGATCCTTCAACTTGAACCTTGAGTCTCGATCGGGATCGTAATTCGAAATCCGAAGAATCTGTCTCTATGCGGCCAATCACGCGTCGATGCGAGGCAAAATGCAATTCTGGGCATACCAAGCCCGCAGTTCTATTCCAAGAAACACGATTTCCTCCATCTGCATATTTCGCTTTACTACAGAGGTGTGCGAGATAAGTCTCGCTCGGCGCTAGTAATTTTTTAGGCGCTTGGCTGTAATATACGGTCAAGGTAGATCTCATGGTAATTTATATGATAGATCACTCTACCTGGCTGTCCACTGAAGCCGCCGAGGAAGCCATCTATGTAGGATCATTTACCTCATCCTTAGTACGCCATATCCTAATTCCTCCACGTCGGTGGCTCAAAGCCACTGAGGTCTCATCTGTAAATATCACATTCTTCCAGTCTTCCAGGGTCCAGTCTTTATGGGCAAGACAGAAATCTAGACGCTTTTTTCTAATTTCATCAGTAAGACCTGGTTTCTTGGTAGGTTTGACACTATGAAGGCCGTGCTTCTTAAGGACTTTTAAAACAGAATGTGAAGAGATATTAGACTCAAAAGCAAGGAATTCAGAGGATTTCTCACATCCAATATGGTCTTTTTTAACAGAAGAAATAATAGACTCCTCAATTGATTGAGTAACTTCTTTAGGACGGCCAGAACGGGGTTCATCTTCCACATATTCAGTCAAAATCCGCTGGTCTATCTCTGGATTAAAGCCACGTTCCTTTGCCTTCTTGACCCAGCGCTTAATAGTCCAGCTAGACATGCCAGTGATGGCTTCAACACGCTGTATATCAAAGTCCTGGGCCATTAGAGCAACTGCTTGAACACGGACACCAACAGGATGATAAGACCCGCGCATTTTGACTGAATCTGTGGGTAAGGGGGCAGGTGGTAGGAAGATAGAGAGCAAGTGGCATCAATAATGGCCTATATGGTTTAAAAAAAAGCAATAAGATAGGCCATATGCAGTGTTGAGGGGGTTGCAGATGATGATAGCTACGTGTAATGGCGTGTACGGTGCTGACTAGTCTATTCCTAAAAGAGAATAGCGCCGAGCGAGACTTATCTCGCACACCTCTGTAGTGCACAGAAGTTACAATATTGGCACTGATTTTCAATTCTGGTACGCTCGGGGACGAGAACCACAAACTCCTCCGCATTTCCGCGAAAGTCTGTTTACTGGTACGGCCCTCGCCTCCTTGTTCATCATTGTTTTGTTTGGCATGTGGCGCAAATTTGAAGCTGGAAGCTGGACGCTGGTTTGCTTTGCTGCAGAAGTACTACTCCGTACAGGCTGCTCGACCCGTTTCCCGAAGGCTTATTGTGCAGAGACAAATTGTCATCTTCATTCGCATACGGAGTGCTCCAGAGTACCCGTAACGGCTGACACTGAGAAGGTTCAAGAAGAACTCTACTTGTACGGAGATATCGCGTATCTGAATTCAAAAAGATCGAATATGCTAATCCCGAATTCCCGGGTCTCCCCAATGCGCTGGTCATAATGCCTTGGCAGTATGATCGTCCCTATCGCGTCATTGGATGTAAAGAATGCAACTAATCGCCGAGGGTCGCTCGCAATAAGGCGATAGTAATGAAGAATATTGATCCTTAAGGGGTAATAATTGCTACTATCATTATTGCTATCAATGCGACTTCGGTGTCTCCTCGGGATGCCCGGAGCCCATTGTGCGGTGAAGTTCGTCGACGCCTTCCCAGACAAGCCGGGCACTAAGGGCCGAGGTCTCCATAATTCAGCCGTCTCTGTCAGTCAACATAATACATAACGCCCCTGTCAAGACCACGCTAACCCCACGAGGAAAGACTCCAAGACACTGGTGGCTGGCGTTCCATGGGTAATAATATGCCTGGACGACTCATGATGCTTGACACTAGCTGACAGACAGGCTATTGGGTTTTTAATATCCTCCATATTGGTGGTTTCCCCACTTAGTACGCCTTTTAACATTTAACGGTGGAGCCCGTAGATGCTCTCAATTCGTTATCTCACGAACAGGGCATTTATGATGCCACATGGACACAGAGCACTCTCGACACTACTGCAAGTACTCGAGGGCTTCGGAGCCGATCCTCACCTCATTTGCCACAGATTGACTGGCCCTGACGCATTACAACATAGCGCTCGTGCTAAACACCGATTAAGGTTTGGAAAGATGGGGACTGAAACGAATGAGAGGCGTACGTAAGAGTATTTTGCGCAGAGGTGCAGTAAAATGGAGTCCCGGTTAAAAGCAGGCTGGCTCCTTTTCGTCGCTATGGTCCACGGCTTGAGTATTTTTTTTTTTCTTATTCCTCTTTCTCTTTGGCCGTGTTTTATGCGTGGCTCAGCTGTGTACTGTACGCTTATGGCACTATATTGTTCAGCCTGAAACACAGGCTTACCGGATCTCTGGGAGACGTTACGCTTTTTCCTCTTTCGCTCTTTATGCTTTTCATAGATCGACTCTCCCGCAACGGCATTCATTCCCTTATCGTCTCGAAAACACACGTTCCTTTGAATACTTTCTGCTTGCCGATATAAGCAATTCTTTGCTCTTTTACCAACCTGAAAATGGACGCCGGATTAGAGAGCCACGCCCTGTTTCGTCGAGAAGATGCGTCAGTGGCGAGAGGGAACCGAGCCCTAGTGGTGACGGCTGTGTTGACCGCACTATCCATCCTGGTCGTTGCAATGCGAGTCTATGCACGAATGGCATTAATCAAGATGATGGGTCGGGAAGACTGGACCATTGTAGTTTCATTGGTGAGTCTGGTTCGAACGAGTGAAGATGCTGGACACATGTTGACGAAGGGGTGCCTAGGTGTTTGCTATTACCTATCTTGGGTTTGTTGCTGGTGGTAAGTTCTATTGATAGTCCCAGAAAGATATCAGATATTCTGACTATACGATAGAGGCGCATTTTGGTCTCGGAGCACATTCTTCGACATTATCCAATGAAGAATTGATGAGCCAGCTAAAGGTACGATCAAGCGACAAACCTGTACCCCGTTTCTTCAGAATGTAAGCTCACTGATGCAGATGCTCTGGGTCGCCATCCCCATGTACAACGCAAGTCTGGCTTGTACCAAGTTCTCCATCCTCTTCCAATACCTCCGCATCTTTCCCAGTCGACCGTTCCGTATCTCCTGCTACACCGTCATGGGCATTGTCGCATTATACTCGACCTGGGCCTTTATCACCGGCTTCCTGACCTGCGTACCGGTGGCCAAATTTTGGGACCGGACGGTGAAGGGTTTCTGCTTCAGTTTCGAAGCGCTGTGGTTTTTCAACGCCTCGATGAACATCGCAACGGACTTTATTTTGCTTGTCATGCCGATGCCGCTTCTTTCACAGCTTCAGCTTCCGCGAATGCAGAAAATTGCGCTGTGTGGCGTTTTTGCGATTGGTGGATTGGTTGTGATTACCAGTGCTCTTCGTCTTTCCAGTTTGCATACCGTTGCAAGAGACCCTGATACATCTTGTAAGCCATCCTGCAACATAATCACACAAGAAACATGCTAATACCCGCAAAGACAGCAACGTCGCCGCCGCTTACTGGACCGCCGCAGAATGCAACGTCGCCATCATCTGCGCCTCGCTCCCCTTCCTCCGCCCCGTGATCAGCTGCATCTTCCCCAATCTCATGCCCACAAGCAGCTACCGCCGCCACAGAACCGGCTTCAACACAACAAACCGCTCTCGTTTTCAAACAGAACTCTACTCGCAACACCGCGACTACGATATGTACACAATTGACGTGAAGTCGGATGCGGTGAATCGTGATCCGTTTAGGGGGATTGAGGTGACGACGGAGATGATTCAGGAATCGGGGGAGCCGAGTACGAGTCAAAGTGTTGTTGAGTCGACGAATACTAGCCAGAAAGGGTTGGTTATGGATGTATGAGTTATGTTATATGGGGATGGTTTATGCTTTCGTAAATATATTTTTTTCTTTGTTTAATTGTTCGGATACCCAATATAATCAGATGTTTTCTTTTTTTATCGATGTATATATACTTGCTGAATACATGAATCATGCATTGTTCTATAATGTCCGATCTATAGACATCTGGGTAAGGTTCATTAGTGTACGGATAGGATAGGATCCCGTAAAAGCTAAGTATACCTTTGGAACCAATAGACTATTTATCATCTCTTTGCGCCTCCTTCACATCATTACAAAACAACCACCTCGTTCTAGGATCATCCCCCTTCCGTTTCCAACCATCAATCTTCTTCGGATAAAAATCAATCTGGCCCTGTAAGGTAGCATCATGCGCAAGTATGATAATAATCCAGCAAATCTTCAAGGTACTGGTGCCTCGCATTCAAGACAGCTTCTTGGTAAAGGTTCAATCCCCACAGCGCGACAAAGTGAATGCCAAGCAGCAATGTCATCCTCTGCCCCAAACCAGAGTTTGAACTCTTGAGTAAGCGCTTCCTGGTACTGGTCCCAAGCTTGGGCCGAGTCCTTATTGCCTTTACGCCAACCATAGAATCTTTGTAAGGACGGATACGATTCACTTGGTGGCAAATTAGGATCAAATTTAAAGCCGTCAAAGGATTGGAAAAATATGTTCAGTGGCGTTTTTGGCAGCTGAAAATGCGGGGGCAAATTCCGGAGATGCTGGTTGAGGGCCTTCTGGCTGCTAAACGAACGATCACAGAGCTCACACTCATGTGATGGAGTATGCGCGGTCAAGAGCCTCCTCACTGCCAAATGAACGATCGAAAATCTCACACTCATATGATGGAACATGCGCGGGCGAATCCTGGAGATGCTGGTCGAGGGCCTTCTGGCTGTCAAACGAACGACCAGACTTCACACTCATGTGATGGAGCATGTGCGGGCGAGTCCCAGAGATGGTGGTCGATGGCCTCCTGGCTGCCAAATGAACAGTCACAAAGTTCACGCCACGTCGTGGCAACACAGATCAAATAAGACCTTTGAATGAGGTCTTGTAAGACACTTAAAGCGTTTATTATTTGATTTTAGCTACCCCATGTTGTGAAAATGAATCACAAAAGTATGCAATGGTGCTGTCACGGGCTCTGTCACGGAGCTCAGCTGGGATAATGGAACATCAACTCATGTGTTCTACCTAGGTAGCTATCGACGAGAATAATCAACATGAGGACGGAAGAAAGGAGGTAACACCGTATTTATCAACAAAGCAACAAAGCAAACAACTGCACCTCACGTGATACCCAGCCAACGTGACCAGGCCGTCACACCTCCTTGGGGCTGTCCTTGGCTGGCTTAAGCTTGGTTGGATCAGGCTGGCTAGCTACAGCAACCGCTTGGGTTTGTCGGTTCTTCGGCTTCTTTTTAGTGACCTCCTGCCATTCCTGTCCTCCAGGTCTGGTGGAGAGCAGTGCAGCTAGGTCTGCAAAACTCAGTTCCTGCCTTGACTGTTGGCTCATTTCCCTCACTTTGGGGGTCTGGTTGTTGTCATGTTTGTTTACCCGGTTCAGTTGGGTATCAATTGCCAGTGTGTTCTGCCTTACCAGCCTGTGACGGCTCAACGGCTCAACGCCAGACAAACAGCGCCAGCATATCAAACGATGCCATACAAGCAATATGGACAAACAAGGGCTTAAGCCGCACCACACAAATGTCTATAAAGACCGTTCATCGCCTAGATAGATTTCCTTTTCTTCTTATTCCCCAGATTCGATATTCTCGTCGTTAGGCTACTTAGTCTAGATATGAATATTATTCGTTTTAGCTGCTAGTTTCCGAGCCCGTGATACAGCCCAGGCTGCTGGATGGTGCACTGGGCCTCTGTAAGCTCTGTGCGAAGTTTACTGACTTCCTGCTCCAGGTTTGTAATCCGCTCTAGATAGATCCCTTCATGAATCTGCTGTTCTGCTCTCCAGTTGGACAGCTCTTCTGCCAGGTGTGCCTGGACCTGTTCTCGGACCATCTGGTACATTTCTTGTTGCTGTGTCTGGGCTGCTTCCAAGGCCCCCACCACCGCCTGGGCGCGTTTGCTCGCGTCTAGCAGGGAAATTTGATGCTTCGGCCTGCCAATCCATGACTTTTGTAGAATCTTGCGTTGTCTGATTCCGCTTCTGGCCTCGCTGGCCCCCCAGGTTGCCAGCGCTCCTGGCCCTCATTTTCATCAATGCTCACACTCATCTGTGCTGCCATCGTTGAGACAGGTTGCATCACGTTCCCGGATCGCCAACGGGTTGGCGTTGGGGTGACTGGCGTATCATGTGTTTCCGCGAACTGGGAGGCCACGTTGCCCACCTCGGGGGGTGACGCGTGAAAAAGACGTGTTTTCCTTGGGTGCTGATTTTTGATGTTCCAGACGCCAAGTTTTTTTGCTTGCTGGTCAATTGCATAATGCAGTGGGGCTCTGCCTTCGAGAAGATGGGTCGTGTTAACTGCGTAGGGAGTCTGCAGGAGTTTCTTTAACAACTTCAGGGCTCTGCCTTCGCCTATCAGGTCGCGCATTTGGATTAGGAGATGCAAAGTGGTCTTGTCTCTTTGCTGATCGTGATATATTTCGCCAGAGTCTAGAGATCTTGAATGGGGCACGAAAAGTACACTATATGGTCATTGCCGCTTTCCAATTCTCGCAGTAATGGAGTTTTACTGAAAGAATCCGAGGGGCTTTGGTCGGGTATTTCTGGATCCACGCCTTCATTCAGAAGCGCTTCGACTATGTTTGCATCCTGAAATTCCACAGCCCATGATAGCAAGGTACGAGTATCTTTATCCCAGCAGACCGAATGTCCGCCTGCCTTTTCAGTCAATAAATAAACACGATCCCTGGATGCGTGGCCTCCCCCAGTCCCCGATCGCCTTCGTGCCTCTAGGAGTCGCCAGAAGCACGTGCAACCATCCGGGTCTCGCTTGGTAGTGTCGGCCTATTGATCAATAAGAAGCTCCATGAGATAATAATTCTCGCTCTTCGCTGTCAGAATCAATGGTGTCTGACCATTGCTATCTTGACAATTCACATCAATCCTCTCGTTGAGCAGTAATGCTTTTACTATCTTTTTCTGTGCATCCTGTCCACTCAACGTTTGTGTAGTGTCGGTGAAAATATGCGTCATGGCCCATATCAATGGAGTGCGCTTCTCATAATCCTCAGAGTTGATCTCCGCACCATTTACCAGCAGACAAGCGATCACGTCGATATTAGCCGATGCTAACCTCGGGAATATCTTTCGCGGCCCTATGACCCGGCCATATACCAGTCCAGGTGTCGCTGCCATGAAAATGGAGTGCGACCACCTATGTCTTTTGAGTTAGGATCGGCTCCGTAGTCCAGCAAGAGTTTCGTGTATTGGATGCTTTGGAGTTCGGCGGCGTATGAAAGCGCCGTCCGGCCGAGACAGTCTCGCAGTTCAATGTATTCCAGGGACATAGATTCCAGTAATACTTGCAGCGCTTCAAAACATGCATGGCCTGGTGCTTGCGCTATATGCTTTCCCCAGAGACCGTTCTCGAAAGTGAATAATGACGCTATCCAGTTCGCAAGGTGTTGTCTTTTCCGGTTGAATAACTGCTATGATTTCGTCCTCATGATACACGCAGATATCGGTTTTGCGCAGCTTGAATTTCAGGCGGATGCTTCTGGGTATTTTGGCTCCGAGAAGACTCGGATGCCAAAACTCGAGAATAGGGTGTATATGAGACCTCTCAGAAACCCATTGGATCTGTATTATGAGCCTCGGCTGGAGGTGAAGACGTTGACAGTTCTTTGCTGGTGCAGCACGAGCAACATGGAGGGTTTGGTATACAGCGATCCTGGAAGCATCGTCCCTAGAAAGGCAATGTTAGCATCTCTCCCATAAATCTTTGAAAGCGTGAGTGCTGTTGGCATTGACTTTGGTTCAACAACATTGTCGCTCACGTACTCGACGTTATCTGACCGGTCAACGTACATATACCTGCGGGCGTAGCTAATGATAGCACAAGTTGTGTCAACTGCAAGGGGGCATATTTCTTTTTCTTGGGAAACCTACAATTTCCGTCTGGAAATTGATAAACACCGAGCATCCGCATTTAGCTGACGGAACTTATTTCCTACACAGTTTATCTACCAATATCCCCCCCCAAACATATTGTACAGAGTACTCTGTACTACGCTTGCAATATGATGGAGGCGACCGAGATCCAAACTCTGGCGCACCAAATTACGGCGGCTCAGGAAGATGATATTGAGCCTGCAATTCCCATATTGAAAGAGCTTGCATTTACTCCCTACGCATGCTCTTCTGTCGAGCAAGTCTCTGGCGGGGTTGTCAACTTTACTTTCAGGGGCTTCCTCTCCAACCCTCTTCCCAATGGCAGTAGCAGCGTCATTATCAAACATTCCAAAGACTTCTCGGGGTTTATTCCTGGGGTGCAGATCCAAGCTGCCCGATGCGTATGTGAACAGAGATTCCAAAGCTACACGTTGTCTGACATTTCCATTATTTGTAGCAAGGCGAACAACGAATTCTTCAAGCTCTCGCAAATGGTCTGAGCCCAATTGTCCATCAGAATGGTATACTGGTTCAGACACCTTGCCAATACCACTTTATTCCGCACCTCAATGCTCAAGTGATGGAAGAATTCCCGGACGTCACTACGTTAGGTAGATTCCTCCTTTCTTCGGAGTCAAGCAAACTCTCAGGATCGCTTGCCACAGGCATCGGCCGTGCCTTGGGGCGTTGGTTGACGTCCTTTCACGACCGTAGCTCAGTCCCAGAAGTGGTACAGGAGGTTGGCTGCAACGAAAAAGGCCGGGATGCGATGTATACCCTTTTGGCTGGCGGCGTGGCCAAAGCAATGGATAACTTCCCCAGCCTCTTTGATGGACGTGCGGACGATTTCCAGAAGTATGTACAAGAGGCAATTTATGGTGAAATTGATGAGGCTAGCAAGACAATCGTCCATGGGGACTTTGCTGTCCGAAAGTAAGTGGCTTGAACTCTCAAAACGTTTCTTTTTATGTCTAACAGTCTATAAAGTATTTTGATCTCAAACTCGGCCGCTACTACTCAGCAAAATATCCTTGTTTCCCCTATCGACTGGGAAGCGTACCACCTTGGCCGCATCGAATTTGACCTGGGACAGTTTCTGGGAGACCTCTACACACATGAGTATTTCAAGGGTGTTGGTAGTTGTACAGCTCTGCTTCAAGGCTTTTTAGATGGCTATAAACCATTGAGCAAAAAGCAACTGTCCTCCGTGGCAGTCTATACTGGAATTCAGATTTTGGTTTGGGCACCTGTTGTTGCAGCACCGATGACCAGGGAGCAGGAGGAGCAGCTTGTGAGTTACGGAAGGGACCTTATCTTCAAGGGTAAAGAGGAAGATTGGGGATGGCTCGAGACTAGCTATATCGGGCCTATCTTCAGAAAAGAAACCGTGTAGTTAGACCTCTTTAATAGAAAATTCATACTTAGTACGTTGAATAACGAACATCGTCGGACCTTTGTAAGTACTTCTTGCACTCTGCCCTAGTAAACATCAATTTACCCCTTACCCCTTTGCAGTATAGAGAAATGTTCCGAAGAGAGATCAGATATATCCGTGAAAAGGGAGGAGTCGGCTTTTATTCAAGTAAACAACACATTCTCCGAATACAATTACATCGTCCAAAATCCCGTTATTACCCGAGACGGACGGGATATTTTAACTGCAATGGCTGAGCAAGACACAAAAGAAAAGCACCATGTTGAGGATGAGCAAGGGAAGATAGACGAAGAACGGGAAACCAGAGAAGCGGACGAGAGAAATGAACCACCACCACCACCACATTCCGTACTGAACAAGTATGGGAAAGTCTACATTACATTTATGGCAGCTCTGGTGGGCTTCTTTTCTCCCATTTTCAGTCAAATTTACTTCCCCGCTCTCCCGATTCTCGCGCAGTACTATGGCAAAACCACGACTCTGATCAACCTGACGGTCACCACATACATGATTGTCCAGGGAATTGCGCCGGCTTTTGTGGGAAATTTCGCTGGTATCAGTGGCCGTCGACTAGCCTATATCCTGGCTTTCACTATCTACACGGCGGCAAATATTGGCCTAGCTGTCCATGATAGCTATGGGGCTTTGCTGGGTCTGCGATGTCTCCAAAGTACCAGAAGCAGTGCCACCAGCTCTATTGGATATGCAGTTGCCGCTGACATTGCTAGTCCAGCCGAGCGGGGCAAGTATATAGGACCGATGACTGCTGGCTCTATGGCTGCTCTCTCTCTCTGGGGCCTGTGATTGGGGACTTGCTCGTTCGGTATCTGGGATGGAGGAGCATCTTCTGGTTTCTGGTAATCATTAGCGGAGCCTTCCTAATGGTATATACTATCACGGTCCGGGAGACTGCCAGAGAGATTGTTGGGAATGGAAGTATTGTCCCAGCCGACTGGTGGAGGTTGTCTGTATTCCAATGTCTTTCTCCTACTCGACACCGCTGTGCGAAGACACAAGGCCCACCACAAACACAAAAGTCAAAATTTTTATATGTTAATCCGATTAAGTCGTTCGTGGTCTTTGCGGATAAGGCTGGCTTGATCAACCTCTGCCACATCGGCATAACATATCTTTCCTGCATCGCCGTTATGACAAACACCGCAAACATGTTTGGTGACCTTTACAACCTTGACTCTCTCAAGATAGGTTTATGTTTTCTGTAGGTTTCACTTCCAGGAACTTGGGAGACAGCAATAACTAACTCATGTAACCGGGAAGACCGTTTGGAATAACCGGTTGCATCGGCTCTTTTGCAGTAGGTAAAATGGTTGACATGAACTACTGCCGTATAGCTCGCAAGCACAACCTCCCCTTGAACCGCCAGAGCAATCGAGTACCAGACGTATTCCCCTTCGAGAAGGCCCGTCTACAAATCGCAATCCCCGCGGTCATTATCACCGGTCTCACCCTAATCCCGTATGGCTGGGTTCTGCAGCAACGTGTCCATCTTGACACCTCCCTGGTCTTACAAGGCATTCTCGGATTCTGTGTCACGGCCACCATCAATGTCCTGATGACACCCCTGGTTGACCTGTTTCCGAAAACGCCGGCGAGTGCTTCCGCGGCGGCAAACCTGGTTCGGTGCTGGCTTGGGGCTGTAACCGCTGCGGTTATTGAGTACATGGTCACTGGGATGGCATTGGGGTGGTGTTTCGCGTTCTTTGGGTTTGTGACACTTGCGAGCTTGCCATTTCTTCGGATTGTGTATGTGCGTGGGATGAAATGGCGCAAGTCTAAGCAGGAGCGCGAGCGGAATTAGATGGGTTCTATATCTAGGGTGTCTAATTCATGTATTTATACAGTGTATCTTATTCCTGATTAGAGAAATTGTATGCCTTAGCAACCTATGTGGTAGAAAGATCTGTCCATCAGATGTCTGGCACTGGCCGCTGTTGAAATATATCTAAAGTCATATATCCTGCTTTTACCTTTACTGACATGTCGTGAACCATATCCACTTCCAGTGTTTTCATTAAATTTGTCAAAGGATAGTAAACGCTGTGCAACAGGACGTCACTCAGTCTCATAGCTTGCAAGTAGAGCTGGATAACCTCGGCCCTTTATGCAGGTCGCCAGTTTCCATCCCAGATTCCAAGCATCCTGGATACTTGAATTCATCCCCTGTCCGGCCTTGGGTGAGTGCGTATGGATAGCATCGCCGACGAAAAAGACGCAATACTTCGGGTCGGAGAAACGAGTGGCCAATCGTTGCTTAAGTCAGTATGAGGACCACCAGTCGCATAGCTGTAATTTCCGAGTACACGGAAAACAAGCAATTATCGAGCATTATGACACAATCAGGTCATTGGTCCCTCCGGAGCGACTGTTAGAGTATGAATTGCGAGATGGTTGGGGGCCGCTATGCGAGTTTCTAGAGTTGGAATGTCCGAAAGAGGAATTTCCTTCGGGGAATGATGGGGGTGACTTCAAGGCACTTGTAAGGCAGTTGGATTGGATGAGGGTGAGGGAGGCAGCGTGGCAGAATCGATGGATGGCTGCTGTTGTAGTAGTGGCTGCAGCTGGCTTGAGATATTTCTCGACTTGACGAGGTATAGATGGCCGCGTTTAGAAAAGTTGTTGCTTCCTTGTACCTAAGCTACATTCTAGGGCTTCTTTTGCGCTTTTAAAATGTACATAGCGTCGGTGACAACTGGCAGCATGATGTGAAATGAGTTACGTTTGTACAGCCCGCAAGGCTGAATCGAGTGAGTGGAGACGAACAAGTCACATTAATACTCGACAATTTCTACAAGTATATCCGTGACTCTTTTCTCATAATGCACGTTAATTCAATCTGACGTTTATCCCAATCAATTATGGCTACTACAAACCCTCTGAATATTGACATCGAATGCTATCATCCGCCCTCGGATGAAGAGCAAACCATTTTCAATATCCTAACCGTCTACCTCCCCGAAGACTCCCCCACAACACCTCAGCAAGCAGCCCACCAAATTACTATTCTCCTACCAGACAATCAACCAGACAATGATGTTATTGATAAGCCAAGCCAAGGTGGTTTTCTTTGCAGCCTCTGGGAATTGATGTTTCATATCGCCGACCAACTGGACTATCGAGAAGAACCCATGCAGCGGTTTGTCATGTTAATCGAGGCTATTCGCGAGTCTCCGGTTCCTTTCATTAAGGAGAATGATAGGCTTACCGATGGTGCACGGGTTTGGCAGGACTTGCCTTATTTCAGTATGATGCTGTGTGAGAGATGGAATAGTAAGTTTCATTTGCTATTCACACACTCTCTTATTAGATGCTGACATTCCAGGCATGCCTACTCCCGAATCCCCCAACGAGGCCCATCGCCGAGAGAAAAACATAAACGGGCTAATCGCCCATTTCACCAACAAAGGCATATACCAAGGCCAGTACCGAGCCATCGCCATGATCCATCGTGCACTGGAGTGTAACGACGGAAGATCGCGAAAAAAGCTACATTTACAACTGAGAAAAGCAACTATTGCCTATCGCGTCCCTACTGCCGCAATATACTTGATCTTGTGTGCTCCTAAGCTCTTCGAGGCCTGTAAGCAGCGCAAGTGTCAAGATTCTGAGGCGACTGGGGAATTGTGGAAGGGGGAGCCGGCTCGAGGGTATTCGGTTGCGCGGTGGGAGTTTTGGAGAAGTCGGTTTGTGGTAATTATTGATCATTCTGATGCGACGGAGGAGACTAGAGAGTCGTGTAGGGCTGCGATTGAGGCGATGGATGCTGCAGTGGGACAGGCGGCACATTAATCATTTAAGTCAACCTCAACATCTATATAATATCCTTTCTACACTGAGGGGCAGCATGACAATAAGCACTCGAGGTTATATATGTCGGTAATGATGACCTGGAGACTCGTCGTCCTTCCTTGACTGTGAATGGATGACCAATAATAGTTCAAACTGCTGTGAATAGAAGTCTTAGCTATGCATATTGCATCTCCCTATCAGAATAAATCATCAACAAGTCGTTCTTCTACCATCTTCAATATAGTCAACATTGTCTTCATCGAGGTAAAGAGAGCTCTAGCTACAGCGCCTTCTTTCTACTCGAGATATCGTTTACCCATGAGGATTACAACAACGTCCAAATCGCATTCGCCACGAAAGTATAATCCTCATACGTTTGTCTCTACAGTCCTTGCAGAGGCGGTCGGTATGTTCAAACTTTTCTCCTGTCTCCTCGTCTCAGTACTGTGGTCACGATATGCTAACTTGTACTCTTCAAAGCATTTGACATGATAAACCGAAACTCAAGGATACATTACGTTACTATTTTGCCGATAAGCCCGATATCTCAAGGCATTGCGGCTAAAGGCATGGATAAACTGGCGTCAAACCTAGCGAGCCTCGCCTGATCGATGGTCTCGCTATTCACAAGACGAGCAAGCCCTTCAAAAGGGCTTGCTCCTATCTTGTAGCAGTATTTGCAGGAGGAGTACCTATCAATAACCATTCATCGGTCAGACAGCACCTTAAGCACATTTTATTGGACAGGCACAATTCTGCTAATATTGAAGAGGTACGCTACATATGGTCGACAAAGGGCTCAATTTGGAACTGGACAAACCATGTTGGAGGAGACTAGAAATGTTCTAGAGGCCTGGAAGAGATGCATGGAGCAAATACGTGAGCTTATTCTCGTCACAGTCTTAAATTGGGTGCATAGAACCAGTCAATTGGGGAGCGAGATTGGTCCGCAATGAAGGTATCCTCCTCTTGTACCCCAGAATGCCAATCATCCGTTCTGTTCACCGATCGTTGGCGAGAATCAGTCACCGTCATTCCTAAAATCTGCATCCCATCACCATGCTGGCTTAGATGTCTGTTCTGCAGAAGTACAAATCCTGTTGCAAGCAGCAGATCCCCCGTCCTCATTTTCGATGCTGGGATTGCGTCCATGAATATTTTTCGCTTCTGCCGCTAAACTGGAAATCAAAGCCTACCCTGTACGAAATGCGTATACGCCAAGTAGAAAGATATCAGGGTTGCAAAAGCTTACAAAGGAGCACGCTACGTCAAAGAAAGGCTCCGAGTCGTCCCCGTTTTCACTTTGGGACCGAGTAACTCAAGACTCCAGATTTCTTTCAGGTTTGGTATCCGTTCAGATATATATGATTGTGTCCACGCTGTTCTTGATTCACTGGTCATATGTTGACATGACAGGGCATGGGGAAACCGCGAGGATCTTTTGATGCTACTGCGAAAATCGTTGGGCCGGCGCATAGCCTATAGTCACCTAGGCTTACCAGTGATCGCTATGCTAGTTACTTGGGGTTATACCAAGGGTATATATTGGCGATGATACTCTAGGTCTATGTTTGAAGAACATAAGCTGAATCAATACAGCGATAGTTCAGAATCAGTGACATTATTCGTTCCATGTCTGTCTATAAACCTCTCGAAGGCCCGGGCTGAGCATCGCGCTGTCTTAATAGTTGTTGACCCTCCCTGTCGTCCTCCGAGTCGGTCTCCTCTTCCTCTTCCTCGTCGTCTTCTTCTTCAGAATCTGTTTCTTCTTCTTCCGAACCAGTCTCCTCTTCCGAATCAGTTTCCTCTTCGGTCTCTGTTTCACTCTCCTCTTCCTCATCCTCCAGCCACTCGTTCAGACTCTTTTGCTTCGCCGGCGTGGGACCCTGCATACGGTCATTTTGCCTCTTCACAGCTGCAACACTGTCATGTTCCTTGAGTGCTCGATCGAGTCGTTCACCTGCTGTCAGAGAAGCTCCTTCGCTGACTTCCGGCTTAACAACGCCTTGGTCACGGAGACCGTGAGCTGGTTCGTCGCCTGGCGCAACCCAGTCGGGAAGTTTTTCGTAGCCCTTCAGACCATGGAATCCGGCATCCGGTCCGAGGACTAGTGTAGAGGAGCCGATGAGGAGTTCTTTGCGTGTCTCTGATGGGCTGGGAGCATACGGTACCGGTTTCGGGGCGAGAAGGAGCAGATTGGCTAGTGGAAGTGTAGTAGGAGAGGCGAGAAGGGCCTTGTAGAGCCGTGCGCGGTCACGGAGGTCATAGGATGTGTCGTATCTGGCGAGAAGGAGAATGTACCGCCAGAGTATTGTGATATTGTCTTCCTCTAGTTCTTCTTGCGGTTTCTGTTCGTCATCACCCTGTTCCTTCTGCTTTTCTTGGTCATCGGTCCATTCGTTACTATACTGTTCGACCTTTTGCACAGGCGGGGCTTGATCTTTTGGAGGGTTGCGTAGGAGGTGATGGAGATACACCTTGGCGCCGAGTAAAACAAGTTGCTGTTTCACAAGCTCTGGTTCATCAGCAAAGCCTTTCACCAGTAACCTCAAGACATCTGGTGCAACATTTCGCTCAGGCTCCACGCCTGCGAATTCTCCGACGAGCCAGACTATTGTAGCTCTTGCGTCTGGGCAGGTCGTCGAGCCAAGGTACTTGACCAGCTGGATCACAGTTCGCTCATGGGAGGCAGGGTCATGCTGAATCAAGTGCCTGATCACTGTCAGCGACTCGGAGACCAGAGTGTCATCAAAGCTCGTAATCTGATTGAGCAGGACGCGTAGACAGTGATTCGCAGTCCTAGTGTCGCTCTGCGCACAGCGTCCGATTGCTCGAACGCTTTCCCGAACAAGATCCCGGTCTGTGCTTCGGGAGAAATGCTCCAGCTCGCTTATGATCACACTCTTCAAATGTAATCCACAGTGGGAAAAGATGATGGTTAGGATCTCCAGCTTGAGACGCCAAATATGGGGCGGATCCGTAGAATGCACCAAGTAATGCGAGATGTACTTGGCGAACGGCTTTGGGTGACGTAGGGCAACGGAAACGACGTTATAAAGCGCGATATGTTGTATATCCTGGGGGCTTCGAAGGAGCGCAACCAATGGACCAACCGCCGAGTTAAGGTATTCCGGTGGGGCCAGGTAGGCGAAAGAACGTACGACGCCGAGAATGACGGCCGAGTTGCGATTCTGTAGAAGGCTCTTGCAGGTTCGAAGAAAGACCTCCAGATCAGGATCCAACACTGGAACTTCATATTCTTCGCCATCATTTTGACCCTCCGCAACTTCTTCGTCATCGTAGAATCCCTTGGACTCCCCTTTGGTCACTGCTCTCTTGACCTTTTGAGTCTTGAGAGGGAAGCACTTGCGCGCATAGGAAGTCAAAAGACGCAGAGTCGCAAGCTGACTCCATTCATCCATATCAACCAGCTTCTTCACCAGGCTTCGATAATGCTTGTGAACCAGGTCAATCCTATCCGGGCAGACTTCCAAAAATGCAGCTACAGCAGGACCAGCAACGAAATACTGGCCATCCCCAAGCAACGTAGATATGTATCCAATCAACTGCGAAATAGTACTCGGTTCCAGGCGATAGCACTTCGGGATAGCCAACGCAGCCGCCTTCCGCACATGGGGGCTCATATCACCGACCCCTCGTTTAATCGCAAGACACACAATCTGGTTTATGACCGGCACGCTGATTCCGGACATCGTTCGTAGCGCCATAGCTCGTACTTGAGGGTTCGTATCCGTAAGAGACTTCTGGATCGCATTGATGGACAAGAGTGCCAGGTCGGGTTCTGCCTCCGCATGGTGAACCAAGTAGACGTAGACCAGTTTCTTGACCTCGAAACTCGTGCTTGCTGCATTTTTCACGACCGCGGAGAAGAATTCGAGGGACAGTTCAGGATCTTCGTACATCGACTAAACGAAATGACAGAGCCAGTGTCAGCGACTCCCCATCGTCCGATATGTTATGAGGGGACCCGTACCGAAATGACCTTTCGCAGACCGTCCAAGACCTCTTGTTCATGGCGACTGTCGAGGAGTTTTTTGATATGAGGGACGTTACTATTGCGAGAGGAGGAATCCAAATTCGACGTCCGGTTACTCGTAGCTGACTGCGCCGCTTCGAGGGTGAGCTCCCGCGCTGCCCGAGTCGTCGTTAGTCAAACATATCAGAACCGACAAACAACACACCACCTTACCTGTTTCCAGCATGGACGAGATCCGGGATATTGTCTCCATTTTCCTTTAACCTAGGCCCTTCGCGGGCAGGTTGACAGTAGTCTGTGTTGCTGAGGGACCTGGTAGATAGTAGGTGTTGTTCCGCGGCGGCGGAGGACAGCCGCAAAAGGCAATCGGTATCAACGGACTAACTTCTCCGTCCTCCGCATACAATCCACGTGCGACAGCTATGGCCTACCAAGAGCATCTTGAAGGATTCATGGGATTAAGGAACTTGGGCAGCATGTGAAAGATGACTCAACGGTCCTTGTCAACTCTACGTACAGAGAAAATTCCGGTGTCTATTTGGATCTCGCCATGGGCCAGCCACGAAGGATAATATGGTCTTGCGAATTGGTGACGGATTTTCTGGGACGAATTCTTTATCATGAGGAAGCTTCTTCGAAAGTCATCGTGGTCTGTTCGACGCGAGAACACTTCCTGGGACAATTGGCGGCTGCTGTACACTATGGAAGGACAACGCCTGAAAGCCACGAATTGATTACAAAAGCCATTGGATTGCTCTCCCGGTCACAGGACGTCATATTAGCATTCTGTGAAACTCTCGAACATCTTCGAGCCTACATCTCTGTGTTGGACGTGGCCAGTACCAAGCGAGAGGGAAACACTTCGGATGAATCAAGTCAACGGCCGTTGTTGGCGGTCTTGAATCCCCTTGCTCTACATTTTCCTACTACTGAATTCTCTGCGCAAGGGCTGTCGAGGACTCTGGTAGCAGCCGTGGAGGTCACTGCTCGGCAGAAGGTGGACCTCGTGCTCTGTGAATGCGTAGATGCTATGGAAAACGCCAACAATGAACATGGCGAAGCATTATGGAACACGGAGGCGCCATTGCTCAACGGAACTGCCCGGATTGTGGCCGAAGAAAACACTTCGAGAGCGCCTAATGTGTCTGTGAAAAAGGTCGCACAACGATGGTTTGAATTCGATGATGACAGGAACATTTATAGACAACAACAATGACGAACGTCAAGTCAGGAAAACATGCGCAGAACTCCCTAACCAACCGCCCGGGTATCCTAGAACCAACCCTTGAACTCCGTGAATCATGATCCATTGAAATTTCTGCCTTCACAGGCATTTCTCCATCTCCGTGGCGTACAGCTTGATGTGCGACTCCAGCTTCAGATATTGATCATGAGCACCTTGAATCTCACTTTCGATGTTCTCTTTGAGATCGGCCATCTGCGCAAATCATTAGCCATGCTTCAAATCGGATGAAGTCTGTGCTGCCTACCTTCTTCTCTGTCTGCTCTATCCGGATTCTTCTCCTCTCCATGTCACGTTGTTTCTCTGCACGCTCTTCACGGAGCTGCTTCTGGACATTCCGGAGCTCCTCCATTTGCGCTTGTGCCACTTCTGCTTTTTCTTGGGCATTTTTGCGCAATGCTTCGATCCGCTCATTCCATCGTGCAAGTTGGCGCTGCAGCAACTTCTCCGTTTGCTCCACTTCTCTGACATTGTTCCCTCGTTCCGAAATAGCTTCCCTGTTTCGTGAAGCTCTTGATTCCTCATCGTCCTCTTTCTGCAGCTCTACGGCGATGTCTTCAAGCAGCTTGACGCACGCCTGCACATCGTTCCCGACGACCGTAAACGTGTCCGAAGAGGTTTGTAGAGCACGCGCTCTTCTCTCCATCGCATCTATCTGAGCCTTGTCACGCATCAAATTCTCCGACAATTCACCCAACGAAGACTGAAGCGTGGCCGGGCTCTCCAAAACATACGGCCGGAGCTTCTCAACTTCTTGTCGACTGCGCACGACCTTCTCGGTCTTCTCTTCCAACGAAGTTTGACGCCTTCCTTTGTCGGCCTTGGCCCGTTCCAGAGCCTCCGCGACCCGTTCTTGGTTTCGTCTCAATTCGAGCAGCCGTGATTTGAGCTCATCGTTTCGCCTGACTTTTTCCTTCACTTGCCCCTCGTTGGCCTTGAGACCCCGCCGCATTTCTTCGAGGCGTTGCTCCATTTCCTGATTCTCCACGTATAGGGTATCAATGCGCGCTTTTGTCTTTTCCGACTTGTTGAAGTGTTCATCGATGACGGCGGTTTGCGACTCGCGGAATCTAACGAAATTAATGAGATATGAGAAGATCTTGATAAGTCGATCATGCGTAGGTCTTGTTAGGTCCGAAAATGTGAAATCGTTGACACCGCACTGTTTGAGCGCAACAAGTCAGTCAATGTCATAGCCTTGGCGTAAAAACCTGGAACGTACCTCCATCAGCAGTCTCCGTAAGCTAATAAAGAAACCCATGAGATTTCGCGTGTCATTCGGGACAAGATCCGGGTAATCACCACCAACGTCGTCCGCCGCTGCGCGCATAGCAGGCTCAACCGTCTCGCGAGTGATGTTCATCAGGAGCTCTGCAAACCATTCCATCACCATCTGGATTTGTTGCGGATTCGGCTTGACCAGGTCAGCCGTGTTAAACGGGATTCCGATATCGTTGATACATCCTGCGATTTCTTTATCGGGCTAATTGATGCTATGGTCAGTTACTGCGCGCGACAATCTCAAGCATCCTGCTGAACCAACCAGGCGCATCAACGCATCATTGTCATCTTCCTTCTTCCGACCTCTGCCCTGCTGTTGCTGGTTTCTGTTGAACTGCTGGCTCATTCGGTTGTTGTACGCCATTTTGATCGCGGAAATTGTAGGAGAGAGCACTCCTGTTGCTCCTCCAGAAGTCGACTACGGGCTCTTTGCTTGTCGGGCGGAAGTGTTGCAATGGATTTGTTTACCACCGCTGACACGGCAACCTGAAGCGGACTAGTGCGGTCGGCGAGGGGCATATTATGCAAACAGAACAAACGTCTACCTCTCCCACGCTTCCTTTTTATGACTCTTTCGGAACAAGTGCATTATAGAACAGCATATTTCACGACGGACAAGGCTTAAAAGAGTAAGCTTGACGGGCCGGCTTTCTCGAATACATATCTTGCTTGAGAACAGTTGAGGAACACGCCTCATCATGGCGCCTGCACTAGATTCGTCGAAGCCATTCGAGCAAGTGACCCTAATAGCTAAGCTACTGTCTTTAGAGATCTACTTAGGCTAACAGTGACTGTAGCATTGTCGCGACCTACAATGAACTGCTCCACTCGGATCCCGATTTGACAATGCCAATCGCGGCCATCGAAGCCCTTGTCCTCCTCCTCACACACTCCCCCTCTTCGACAATATCGGAGACACTCGATCTACTCAACAAGTCCACCGAGCACTTGAAGAATTCGATCCCGAACCCTATCGGTCTGTCCGCAGGCACCGATCTTTTCCAACGATACCTGATCACAACTCTACAACGGCCCGGCCAGCTGGGACCTGCGGGGGACTTCAATGCGATCCGCGCGCACTTGCTGTCGAACGGCCGGTTGTTCATTAGACGTGCGAAGGAAAGCCGTGACAAGATTGCTGCATTTGGGAGGGGGTTTGTGCGCGATGGCAGTACGGTTCTTACGAACGGTGGATCTCGAGTGGTTGCGTCGTTGCTGCAAAAGGCGGCTGATGAAAAGGGAGGACCGTCTGCGGTGCGATTCCGTGTGATTTACGTTCTTTCGTCTTCGAAAAATGTTGAAAGCTCGCCTGGCGCCGAACCAGAGGGTATGGAGACAGTCCGTGCGCTCCGCGAGAAGGGTGTCCCCGTGGCCACAATCCCCGAGTCGGCTGTCGCATACGCTCTGGGCAAGGCGGACATGGTGATCGTTGGTGCGGAGGGTGTGGTGGAAAATGGAGGAATCGTGTCGCGGATGGGAACCTACCAGATTGGTCTGCTCGCCAAGGCAATGAGCAAGCCTTTCTATGCTGTTGCGGAGAGCCACAAATTCGTGCGACTCTACCCGCTTGGGCAGTATGACCTTCCAATTGAGCAGCGCGTGATCGATTTCAAGACGGAGGAGGAGATTGCGGATGAAGCGAAGCAACAACCTCAGCAGACAACAACAGAAGCGACTCCGAAGCCCGTTGCAAGGAACAGTTGCCAATCCGTTGATTTCACGCCGCCGCATTTGATTTCCGCTCTGATTACAGACAGTGGTGTCCTGACGCCTAGTGCTGTCAGTGAGGAGCTGATTAAGATTTGGTTCTAAGTTTAATGTCTTACGGCGTTCGGACGTGTTCAAAAATGTGATGATAACCCTTTTTAGCCAGAGGCTTGGTGTCGAATTAACGACTGGTCCATGACCTTCATATTGTTGTACTTGCTGCTAGCTGCGGCACTGGCCCGCCTGGTACCAATATCATGGGTGACTACCCAGTAGTCAAGTAGGAATGGGGTCTGCTACCTATCTAGAAAGTCATATCATGACATAGATGGAACCTTGCTGGGGTATTCAATGCCCTAGAGGATAGCTGGATATGATACTACATAGTACAGAGTACGCTTTATGGGATATCCGCCCTTGCCGTAGACATATCAGGTTGATCTTCATCCCACAAGTTCCCATCTACTCCGCCATTTTCGTAATGTCTCTCATCACTTCTAAATCAGTCTGTCCACGTGCCGTCACGGGATCTCGCCCAGTGGACCAATCACGCAAGCCCAGCTCCGGCTGTCCCGTCATTGAATATCAGACTCTGGACACTTACGAGGCTATATTCTTTGTCCGATTCCTCGTCGTTCTCATACCCACCCTTTCGACTTAATCATATCATCAACTCCTCCACCACTATCCTCCCGTAACCAGCCAAAACACAAGCAATTACCCGTGTCATACCACTCCATTAAACCCCCATACAGCGGTGAATTAGTAGTACAAACTACTAAGACAAACTACTATGGGCGCCGAGTCATTAACCGCCCTCCGCGCGGACAACGACTACACTTACTCGAACTACTATCCTTCTGGATCACGCCGCGAATATCGAGAATCATTCCAGAACATTGACGACAGCAATAACAAGACCTGCTATAATAATAGCAATGGGTCCTCCGAGTCATGGTCCTTAAAACGACTCTTGAGCCGGCACGGGATGCGCAGGTATCGGGTGTTGGAACGGGAGCCGAATCGATTGCGGAAACGGGGGGTTTGATTCGTGTATTTTCTGTCTTTCATGATGATGAAGGTTTTCCTGACTCTACCTGTACATATCTGCGGAATCTTGAAATGGCTTTCTGGATGCTTGAGTCGTGCTGCTTCTGGCATATCTTGGAATGATAATGGAAGGCGGTGAACATCGACTGGGGTTGAAATGCGGAGTGAAATGGCAAATTTTTTCAAAGGCGGTGAGACAGCGGAAAATCTAATCGAGAATTTTGAGCTCCAATTTTGTTATCTCCCCCTCTGCAAGATGCGTTATCGAGATGGAAGAAAGCGCAAGGATCCAGGGTCGCCAGTTCAATGAGAGTGCGTCGATCAACACGGCTCATATCTTAGAAAAGAAAAAGGCCCCAGGGCCTTGGGTGCACCTTTTGGCGGGCGCGTACGTTTCGCTTTCCTACATCAACGGCCTGTATACTTGGATACTGACTAGGATTTGTTCAGCTCTGGAGGTCTCGCCACTGCAATTGTAACGTCTCCACTCGATGTTCTACGGACAAGACTCCAATCCGACATCTATCGAGTCTCCGATCGACCTTTCGCCGCCTCGTTCCCCACACCGAAAACCAACACAGCGAACATTATCAGCTCCATTTACCGGATAGAGGGCTGGCCGGCGTTCTTCCGTGGTCTTGGTCCAAGTCTTGCGGGTGTAGTGCCCGCAACTGCGATCAAATTCTATGTGTACGGGAACTGCAAGCAGATTGGGGCTAATTTGCTGAACCACGGACAAGACTCCCCATTTGTTCATGCTCAGGCTGCCATTTGCGCTGGGATAGCTACGGCGACGGCTACGAATCCGATCTGGTTGGTCAAGACACGGTTACAGCTTGATCGAGCTCAGACGCATGCTGGGGAGGCTCCGGCTCGGAGGTATCGAAACAGTGTGGACTGTGTTAGACAGGTGATACGCCATGAGGGTATCCGGGGTTTATACAGAGGAATGAGCGCGAGCTATCTCGGGACTGTTGAGACGGCACTGCACTTGGTTCTCTATGAGAAGTTAAAGACGGTTTTCAGTCAGTCTTTGAAGACGGCAGAGGGAGCAAGCCCTACCTGGACTGAGCTTGCAAACTGGGTCAGCACAAGCGGCGCTGCGGGATCAGCTAAGCTAGCTGCTAATTTACTGACATATCCTCATGAGGTGCGTCACTATTTTTACTTTGGTCTTGGAACCCTACTGACTGTGCATAGGTTGTCAGAACCCGGTTGAGGCAAGCGCCTAAGGAAAACGGTATTCCAAAGTACACCGGCCTGGTGCAATGCTTCCGCACCATACTCAAAGAAGAAGGCATGGCAGGTATGTATGGAGGACTGGTCCCTCATATGGCTCGCTCTGTGCCGTCGGCCGTCATTACGCTTGGCGTGTACGAGTTTGTACTGAGACTCGTTGGCGTGTGAGCACGCTGGTACTGGCTTTGGTTTTGCATGTATTATTATCAGGCGTTGGGCGATACGTCTTCTGTATATTATAGACCGGTTAATGAGCAATGACTTGACTGATAACCGTACTGCATTACATATACCCCCACGAAAGCCAACTCGGTCTGGATATTCCCCTTAAGCTCCCTAACAGCAACCTCAAGCAGACCCTTCTCACTCTCCGAAATTTCCCCAATAGGCTACGCCTTGGTCGCACCACCCTCACCCAGCACAATCTTCACAGCAAACATACTCAACCCCAAGCTCAGCAGCAATCTCCTTACCCCCGGGGATACCAGGAAGGTAGACGTACGCCTCTTTAGTCACCGAATCGCCATTCCTAGCAGCCAGGACAGCCCCGACGAAGCGGAACCCAGCGTACGCGATGCACGTCGTCGCGCTGCCAGCACCCTGTTTACTTTTAACAATTTCATCGCCCCTGAATTGCACGCCTGTTCATAGCGTCAACGGTAATGCACTCGCGGTAGCGGAACTACAAAGGAACTCACGATGAATAACACCCCCCTCCCCCCAACACCTCATCCAACTCAACAGACGACCCTGCCTGACTACAAAGCGGCAAGATAGTCGCACCACTATGTCCCCCAACAACCGGTACTTTGAACGCATTGGGGTCCACATTATCACCTAGAGCATGCGCGATAAACGTAGAAGCACGAACGACGTCCAAAGTCGTCACGCCGAATAGACGAGCAGGATCAAAGACATCTTCTTTTCTCAGAGTCTCTGCTACGACGGGCAGGGTCGAGTTGACAGGGGTTTGTAACGAAGCAGGAGATTGGTGTTGGACATGTTGTTGCGATTGTGGTGAAGATGGAGTGGATGATGCTGGAATTTGTTTTGAAGAGGTCTGTATCTTTTATAAGCCCTGTTTTAAGAGAGATGTATGTTGTAATGTGTTGCTTACCATCTCTGGTCATGTCTGGCTTTCTGGCAATACCAGCGATTACGACGACGATATATACACTGTGAGTGCGTTCTGGAGGCCATCGTCTGCGGCAAGGTAGCCAGTGACCTTGGCTTTGGTGTCGATCTGGTTCAGGTCCATGGCGATGGCGGGGACGTGGACGAGGTCGTATAGAGAGATTTCATCAAATAGGCCGCTCTACCCGTGTAATCAGTACTTATCTCATTGACTTGTAGTTTTGGGTTCAGTGGGATAGTTATACTGTCTTGCATAAAAGACTAAGCGGAGTGCCGATTTGGCCGGCTGCGCCGAGGAGGGCTATTTTGACCATGCTGGCGTCTCTTTATTTGCGATTGAGAATTGGGAGAAATTGGGTTTGTAGTACATATACATATTAGAGAAATGAGTTCTTGATATAACTATTGTCATTCTTGATATTTGAATTTGGTTTACCCGGCATAGTACGTATGTATGTAGTTATGTTCGGTTGGAGTGAAGGTTCAACCGCACGGGTCAATTCTACCGGTTTGTTTGACTTTGCGGATGATTAGTTATCAGCACTAATAAATAGTTCCTGGCTTATTTACTCTTGCAAAGATAGGAGGGTGAAAGAGGTCATATCGGGAAAGTTGATGTGTGAAAGAAACCGTGTGAAAGAAACAGCATCCACCCATCTTGGGGCAATTTGGATACTAGTTTGTTTGCGTGCATATCAAAGTCAATGCTTTCACCCGAATCACCTCCTCAGAGAACCCCCCCCAAAAAAAAAAAAAAAAACCAAAACCCAAAACCCAAAACCCAAAGCGAGGATACCCATGAATTAACTCATAGACGTAGGGAGTTCAATGATCACCCCCAGGATGTGCATGACAGGCGTACTAGTTTTGCCAAACCCGCCAAACTATTGGCGGCCTTCTTTGATGCACGAGGGCGGGCTTTGTTTGTCGTTGGCATTGGCCGACATGACTCGAGACGAGTTGACCTGTACAGAGTATCTGTGGACATACTGCAGCGAGACCGTTATGGATAAAACGCGGTGCAGGGCGAATGTCCGATAATGCAGAGTGTCCTGTGTCCCTGTATGGGGACGTGGGGCGTTGACGTGGCCCTATCGGGGTTGAGTGGCAGTGGGAAGCCCTATGCAAGTGCTGGCAGGATCATCGTCTAGCGTTGATAAGGGTAGTATACTAGAGTGGTAGAACCCTGTCATGATATAGAGTGACTCGTGTACTATGGATTTGTGGTTATAGGCAGGGTCCTAGATACCCTGTAAGCATAGAGCATGTCTTATTACTGACTAGACATGGGCTAGTCACCGATATTCGACTCGGCAAAGCCCCACAGAACCTCATCAAAGTAAGATTACAGCGGGGCGAACAGACTGGGTAATTGGTGATTACGCACATGCCTGTTCTACCGTATCTGTTCGGTTAACGGTATAGTAGATATAGTAGAGGTAAAGAGTACTCTTACTCTTACTCGTAAGAGTACTCTTATAAACAGTACTTGTCCAAAGTCCAAGTACATGTGTTTGCACAATACCTCGGTACAAGTACTTGTACAGTACAGCTAATTATGACAAGCAACTAGGTCCAGACCGCACAGACTGCCGTTAATTGGCCCTGTGGGTCATTAAAAGTGGATAGATTACGGTTCTATGTTACGAACCGTTGCGTTTGCCGTGACATCGGCATACTCGTACCTGTATCTGTACCTGTATCTGTACCTGTACCTGTACTTGTACCTGGGATAAAGTAGGGGAATAATAGATGCAGTGTGAGTACTCTGTACTGAGTCATGAAGAGAACAGAGGGCTATGTGAGAACAATTCTGTAATACCGATACATACAAGAATAGAACTAGACATGTTTGGGTCACGGCCGGCCCCGTTGATGATATGCCATAATATTTGCATTTGGTCTATTGCTGCTTTTTCTGATCATTGCCCCTTTGGCTCTTTTCATTCCTTTTTGTCTGTCTTTCTTTTCTTCTTTCTTTCTTTCTCTTTTTTTCATTTTTTCTCTCTTTTCCACCTTCTCTCTCTTTCTACACTCTTTTCTCCCTACCCATACTCTGTACCTGACATAACTCCCCCACGCATCCCTCCCTATGTTTACTCTGTGTCTCCCCCAATGAATTCACCCATCTCAAGTATCTCCCTCTGATCCATCACATCGACATGGCCATATGGCCCTGGAGTCGCAAGAATAAGCGGCACACCATTCAGCTCGGAGATCCTGAAACCGCCACTACAGCCTCACAGCCTGTCCCTGAAATGGCCTCCTTTGCGCCCGATGTTGAGCCTCGCCTGACTCGCAAGAAATCTAAGCGTCAAAAGAACCGACACTCCGATTCCGCCTCCATGAACAATAATGTGATTGCCACTCGCTCCGCCTCCCAACTTCCTCCCCCTACTGCTCACAGTCAAAACACTCATCCTTCACAACCCTCACAACCTTCACATCACTCTCAACCTCTCCCTGCAAAAAAAGGTCGGGCGCAAAAACATCCGCGTTTCGATGAATCTTATACTGCCCGTTCGGGGCCTCAACAATCCGCCATGTCCCGATCAACTTCCTTAAAGGGGAAACGCGGCAACAACAATGGCCACGCCGTGCTCAAGAAACGGCTGAGCCAGCGCAAATTGAACAAAATCGCCCGCGAACAGGAGATTCGTCTCATGGCCTCCTGTCCCATCGATATTCCCCATCGTCCCGGTGATCCGGTACCGGTCGCTCCCGTTAAACGCGCTCCTAGGTCGCGGAGTCGACGTTCTGAACGTCATCGCTCCGAGACTAGTTTGTCCGTTCGGGAATCGGCTGCCTCGTCCATGTCGGATATCCCTGAAGCGTATACCTTCAAAGTCAATGCTTTAGCTGCCTTTACTCCAAGACCTCTTGTTCGCTACGAGGCTCCTCGGCTGCCTACTTCTCGCAGCAACAATGCCTCTGCCGCTTCCACGCGACGAGAAAAGCTACCCGCCTTGACCGCATCGGAGGAGAACCTGTCCAGACGACGGGTCGACCATTATGTCGATGATCTCGATGCTGGTGGTCTACGCGAGTTACTTGAACGAGACCGACGGCGGCATGAGCGTCAAGCCATTGAGAAACAGGAGAAACTCCAACGCAAACTTCAACGGGCTGCTGATAAGCAGCGTGCGGCTGAAAGCCGTGCTGCTGAAACTGCTGAAGATTCTGGCGCCGTTGAAGACGAACGACAAAACTTCCTCGAGGGCCCCAGTCGTCCTCCGACCGCAGATGCATCCAGAGAACCTGATTCCAGGGGTGATGCGGTTCAATCTCCCGAGCCTGTGGGATCGTGGCTGCGTGATTCTTCCAAAGAGCCAACGCGTAGTCGCGAGACGCTCGAAAGCGTCCACGTTATTGGCAACATTGATGACAGCTCGATCCGTGGGCCGCCCAAGCTGGTTCAGCGGCCAAGTTTTGCTCAATCACAGGACATCAGCATGTCTCGCACCACTCTCTCACCAGCTCAGTCTCAATCAACATCTCGGCATGGCCTGGGCAGTCCAACATCCTCCCAGATTTACGGCCTGGGGGGACGGGAATCCCTGTCGGATGCTTCCCGGACCGTGGATTCGGAACGACGCCTGTCCGACCACAGTGGCATGCGTACGAACACCTTCTCCTCGCTCTTCCGCCGTGGCAGCTCGCGGCTTAAGAGGAGATACCGTGAACGGTTTCACGACCAGACGTCGGACTTTTCCTCGCATGCATCACACGCATCCCGCGAATCGTTCTCTAGGATTCCCACGCAATCATCAGCACCCGGTCCCGCACCTGCGGCACCATCCCCGATCCCGTCACGACCGCTCCCTCGTTCCACAAACACCGTCAAACGGTCGCAGTCGAAATTCACCGAACATTTCGGAGATGAGCCCCTCTCGCCGCCTGATTCCCGGCTGCAGTCACCTGATATTGTCGAAGAACCCGAAGAGCATCCTGGTAGTATTCCAATCCCGATTGGAACCGCAATTGGAACTGCATATCCGATTCCCGGCTCAGACTCTGACCTGCCGGCTGCTCGGAACCGTCACCGTTCATGGATGAGCGATAACATGGACGATGACAACGTGCCATTATCCCAGTCTTTGGCATCAATTGACTCCGAAGGCTCGTGGATGTCGGGCAACTTCTTACGTCGCATTTCCCAACGGAGATCCAACCACCCTGTCCGACACAGCACGGGTCAATTCGAGGGTCCCGACGATGCGTCTCATGTGGAAGACCTGCCAAACTTTGTTCGCTTCTCGTCAGGCAACGACGAAGAACCGACCAGTGCTGATGCCGCGGAGGAGCCAGAAGCCCAGCAGAATCTGCGTCTGCCCGACGAGGACCCGTCTGAGACATGGCATACCGAAGTCGCCAAACGACCGGTCCTGGTGAACCCAACCGTGCGTCCCAAGTCGACCGAGGGCATGCTCAAAACCATTCAATCGCTATCACCCATCTCTGCCGAAGCGGAATTCAGCCCGATTGAAGAGCATTCGGCAGAGCTTGACTACGCAACTGACGAGGATGACCATGCTCATGGTCCCGTCGCGTAAACAAAAATTGCATTTCGTTTTTTTTTTTTTTTTTTTTTTTAAACTTTCTTGGGCATATTCTTCTCTTTTCCCATTTTATCTTCTCAAACCATCTGCATTTGCATCTAAATGTTTTTAATACCTCCCCCCTACTCGGTACATACCACCACACTGTTCTCGACAAACCGTCACTCTTTCGGACATGTCATTCCACTTTCCTTTGTCACTTTTTGTCTTACCTGTCACTTTCTTTCATTCACTTCCTGTGTCCCCGGGTCGCGGGCGATAATTTTCTTTTTGTTTGATTGATACCCCTTGTGATGTGTGCAGTAGTTGAGGAAAAGAGTTTTGCTAGCTGCATATACATACATACTTTAGTATCTGGAATGGACATATTGCATTCTATTGTTTGATTGGTTGTAGATGTTGTTTCGTTGTCTTCTGGCTTGTTAGGACCTTGGATGTGAAAACAGATGGTCAGAGAACACTGTGTATATATACAGCATTGGATAGTTATTCGAGTCTTGTTGTAAATAATCATACTCCTGTCTATCATACTCTTTCTATCCTGCTATAAACAAAGAAGCACATTGATATTACACTTGATCCAATCCATCGTCCACGGGGATTCTATCCATTCTCATGCTCCAGACTATGAAAGAACGAGTCATGCATTTACATTTACTGATTCGGGGTTACTTAAGAAAAAGTATTCGCTGCCACTGCCACATGTACGAACGTATACATAGACTGGCGTAACGTAGCATACACAATTGATGACTTAACTATGCAGCAAGGCTGTGTACGCCCAGGTACAGGAGTACCGACATATGTGGGATGGGCAAAAGCCATATGCAGTCATCCTGCAAGTCTAACCCTGCATTGCATAACAGCCCTCATTCCATTGATATCAAATCAACAATCACATTCGATATTTATAAAATAAAAAATAAAAATAAAAAACAAGCCAAGATATATAAATCTCTCCCAAATCAAAATCAATCAATCACGAGAAAGAAAAGATCTATGCAATGTTCGCCTTAATAGCATTGTCCAACCCCGCGGGGTTAGCACCAACAACATCACCCCCGGGCACACGCTCTCCATCCTTGAACAGAATGAAAGTCGGCATCGCGCGAACCTGCAAGTTGGCAGCGACGTCACTCAGCTCATCAACGTCAATCTGATAGAACTTGGCGGAGGAGTAAGTCTGCGAAAGCTGGGCGACGCGGGGAGCGATGGCCCGGCAGGGACCACACCAGGTAGCGAAGCAGTCGACAACGACAAGGCCGGTGGAGGAGAGGACCTTTTCCTTGAATTCGGCCTCGCTGGTTTTGTTAGTTTTTTGTATGTTTTAAAGGTAAGGGAGGGAGGCGTACGTCTTGATGGGGAGGACGTTGCCGTGGTCAGACATGGTGGAGTATGTTCGAGGAGAGAGGATAGATTGTTGAAGTTTGAAGGTGGTTGTTCTGGGGGTAATCCGAGAAGAGACGGAGGAGAAAGGAGTAGATAACCGAAGGGGAGCGGTAAGCGGGATCAAACGAGAAGAAGAGCGTAGAAGACGAGCTATAAAAGTAATAGGTTAGAAAAAAAGAAAAAGGAGGGGCAGGTAGGCGGCGGAGAGGGGCAATAAATGGGAACACACAAATGACGTTTCAATTTCTGGGGGTGAGCAATTGATGGATGATTAATCCCGACAACGGAAGTGAATAATCCGTGTCCTGCCACTTTGATTACTTACCGGGGAACATTGTGTTATATTTGTCAGAAGGAATTGAGTACTGCAGTACAGAGTAGTATCAATGTGTACGGAGTACGAAGTAGGGAACAGAGAGGTCTGGACAAATGTATGGAACTCCGGAGGCCGCGGTTAAACGCCGTGACGTGATTGCTTACCAAGAATCTCGGTCTGGAGCCTGACGATTAGGGCATCATTCCTCTTAACTAGTTACTCCAGGTTACCATAGAACCTTACAAATAGGATATGATCAAGCAAGCAATCGTTCATTATCATCTCTCATCATCATCATCATCATCATCATCATCATCACCATCATCAACCTGTCTGACTGACAGGCTTATCAAGCAGCCAACTTTTCTTCTATGCATGCATCTCGCCTCTTCCAACTGCAAGCCCAATGCTAATATAGTAATAACCAAACGCCGTCATCAAAATTCGTGTGCGCGTATCCGATAAATAGTCAAAGAGAAACACTAAAAACAAGCGCTTAAAAACCATAGAAAACCACCCACGCTAAATGCTAGCAGATTGAAAGAAATGACGCTATGCAATCATCGGAATGATAGCAATAGATAGTCGAGAAATAAGAGATCATGAACGGGGGAAAGGCAGAAAGGAAGTTTAAAACGGCTCAAGCGGGACTGGCACTGTCAGATGAGCTCCGAGCGGTAAGGCGAAGACTTCGACGGGGTTTTCGTTCGCCGTTTGCTTCAACTGACGGTGACTGACTCGTCTCACCAACTGACCCCCCGCCTTGAGCCTTTGGAATGTTTTCGTTAAAGCTCGAGGTCGAGCTGGTACTCCCGTCTGTCTCAGGAGTCTGACTTGTCGGTGCTTCTTTAGCCACCGCTTCAGGGCTGACTCGCAGCCGCAAGGAAACCAAATCATTCTGATCATCTCGAAAGGCAATCCCAACCGTGACATCTGGCAGAATCCGTCTCTTGTGTTCTCGTCCTTGGAGTGGTCGTCGACGACGCTGTGCAGGACGGGGTTCTTCAGAATCGGGATCGCTCTCGTCGCCGTCGTCGGCGGAGCGTTTGCTGCCGCTACTGAAGGGTGACGAGGATCGTGACGAGGGTTGCAGACGTGTTTTTAGGATTGCTTTGTTGGGTGCACTAGTTATGGCGTTGGTTTCATTTGTGGATGGTGTGCTGGTACCAGAGTCATCTTCGAGGAGGTTGCAGAAAGCCCGGTCGATATTGCCGCGGCATTGTTGGAGCATTTCGATAATTGTGTCTCGGTCATATTTACCCCCGAGGCCTTCTTGAATTGCGGAGATCTTCCATGGAGTGGCCATTTCCACAAATGTACCAGCAGATGATGTATTGGGGTCTCTCGGTTGGAGTCTTTCTTTCGTGATACTGGGCATTCCGGTGTGAGGGCCTTCGGTATGTCGAACAGACGAATAGTGGTGGAAGTCCTGCACATATTAGGAATTGCTCATCAAACACAATGGAGGGAAATGTACGTGAAAAGCAACATGCAAAGCCTCCCTCTCCTCCCACTCAGGAGCATGCACATCCCTGAACGTCTGAGCCCCATACATCGTATACACCTGTACATCCTTCTTGAAAGACTGGCAACACGCTTGGATCTCCTCCGCACCACCCCAAACACCATTCTTGCGACTTTCAGTCACCTTGTCATTGAAGCTTCTTTCCTTGTCTTGTTCGGACGGAGTTGGCGCGCCTGGAGGGCTGGAACGGGGTTGGGATGAATATTTGCTCATCGTGGCAGCTCGTCTTGGGGCTCGACGCACTTCACCAATGGCAGCGTTGAAGTTCATAAAGTATTCGGGATTGTTGGAGATGTGGTCTGCGAGACGGAGGCGGATTTCTTCGCCGTGGGTGAAGTCGCCGTATAATTGGTCGGAGAGGGCGTAGTAGAGGCAATTGCCTGGAAACATAGAAAATTAGCTTTCCATATTAAACAAACCCGTTATTTCCAGGCAATTGCACAAAGAAAACAAAACCAATCAATGGAGTGTAGGCTTACCATCACCCTCGGTAGGTAAGGCATAGAGCCCTAAGTCATTCAGACACGGAATTTCGAGAACCTCCGCATCCTCGAATATACTATTTTTGCGCGTCTTCCTCTTAGGCTGCTGTCGTTTTCCTGGTTTTTCCTGCTCTTGTTGTTCTTCTTGCGGTTTGGGAGATTCACTTGGTGGCGTCTCCTGCTGCACCTGCACCTCCACAGTCGGGGTAGGCGTAGGGGTGACTATGGGCACGATTCTGCCACCGTTTGAGACATCCGCCATAGTGATTCCAATGAACGGTCCTCATTTGTGGTACAACAGGGAACAGGGATGGGTGAATGGTGGTAAAATAATATTGGACGATAGTAATTCCAACTGGCAATATGCAGATGTATTCAAGACCGAATACAAATTCACGTCCGGGACTAATGTATAAAAAAAAAAAAAATCAAAAAAAAATCACCAACACGCGCGTGGTTTCCTGCCAGATGGACGGAGCGGCGGAAGGAACGAAAATCGCGGCGGAAACTAAAAGGGATGCTTTGCCGAAGCGAGGCGGTGAGGATTTACGCGCATACTATTGGGGGAGACAGTCCCGGCGTGACTATGACGAAATGCGTTACCGCCATCTGAAGATTATTGTATGACAGATAATTATAGAATTGAGGGCAAATACGGGGTTAAACAATAGGTTATTCATCTCATTAAAGATACAAAGTTTGTATTTCAATGCATGGCTGTGTCGGTATTATCATATGCAAACAATGCAAACATACAGACCGATACATACGATACGCCTTATCGCGTCGGATCAAATCTGATCGTGATAAGCCGTTTCCCCGCGGCCAACTCCGCGGCCAGTTGAGCATACTATATTAATGGGGAAGAAGAAAGGCTTTCCTCTGTAATAGTTCCTCAATTGACTCACTCTGAATCTAGGAAGAAAAGACAGTCAACAATGGCTCCTAACAACATCGTGGTTCTGGGGTATGGACACGCGACCAGTTAGCCTTGTATCTTGACATTTGCGGGGAAAGATACTGACAGACATTTGACAGCGCCGGTGTCTCTGGCCTTACCACTGCCTATCTTTTGTCCAAAGATGCCTCCAACAGTATCACGGTGGTCTCGAAGCATATGCCCGGCGATTATGATATCGAATACTGTTCGCCTTGGGCTGGTGCTAATTACTTTCCGTATGTTTCAAGGGATACAAGCTTTGCAGAAGCTACCATTCGCTGATCGATACAACAGATTCGGTAAAGGTGGAACCTCTGCTGCAAAATGGGAGAAAGCTACCTGGCCAGTTCTGAAAGAAATCACGGAGAACCATCCAGAAGCTGGAATTCATTTTCGGGACGCCCTCGTGTACAACCGCAAAAAAGACCAAAGCGCCAGTCTATTCGCCTCGGAACTAGCACGCAAAGATCCCTGGTTCAAAGATGTCGTTCCCAACGTACGTCTATCCCATCACAGCCCTACCAAAACCACTAACCAACCCCTACAGTTCCGAGAACTCCCCTCAAGCGAGCTCTCCCCCGAAATAGACAACGCCTCCCGCTTCACCTCCGTCTGCATAAACACCACAATCTACCTCCCCTGGCTCGTGGGCCAATGCCGCAAAAACGGCGTGATTTTCAAACGCGCCTCCATCAAGCACATCGCCTCCGCCGCAACCCTCCACCACAGCGGCCAAAAAGCTGGCCTCGTGGTGAACTGCACGGGTCTCTCCTCCAAGAAACTAGGCGGTGTCCTCGATGACAAACTCTACCCAATCCGCGGACAAATCGTTGTCGTTCGCAACGACCCGGGTCCCATGCTTGCTACCTCTGGTACGGACGATGGTGAAGATGAGGTCCTCTACATTATGACCCGTGCTGCTGGCGGTGGTACGATTCTGGGTGGCTCGTATCAGAAGAATCAGTGGGACCCATTACCGGATCCGAACCTTGCGGTTAGGATTATGAAGCGCGCTATTGCTGCTCATCCGGGGCTTGTGAAGGAGGGTGAGGGAATTGAGGGTTTGGATATTGTTAGACATGGGGTTGGATTGAGGCCTTATAGGGAGGGGGGTCCGAGGATTGAGAGGGAGCGCGTGGAGGGTGTTGATGTTGTGCATAATTATGGACATGGTGGGTTTGGGTATCAGGCTTCGTTTGGGTGTGCGGGTAGTGCTGTGAAGTTGGTTAATGAGGTTTTGGGGACGGGTAGGGCGAAGCTGTAAGTATGGTACATAGATACCTTTCACGGAATATATAGGGCTTTTTTTTTTTTTTTTTAATCACGGATCAATCAATGGAACACTACCCCAGATACCAAAACAGTATGTGGGAACTGCATCATCACGACGTCACACCCATGCTCTCTTTAAAATACCCTCTACAGACATCTTCTTCCTCATATTACATTGACTATCAGCAAACACATAATTTCTGTCATCGCCAGTCAAAATGAAGCACCAACCCCCCCAAGTCGAAGACTACAACTCCGAAAACACAACCCCTAACCCACTACCATCTACTGAGAAGCGCAAGCGCGACTCGAAGAACTACAAGCAAAGTCAAGAGCAAACACCCGAGCTCGAGGCACAGCAGCCACCCAGTAAAGCAACCAAATCTGAAGCACCGGCTGAAGATGGAGATGCAGAGGAACCGGAAGATTCGGAAGAACCGGAAGAACCGGAGGATGATGTAGAGGATGGAGTGGACGGAGAGGATGAAGTGGACAGAGAAGAGTACGAGGATTTCGACGAAGGTGATGAGGGTGACGAGGAACACGGAGAAGAAGGCGACGAAGGAGAAGACCAACAAAACAGTACCGTGGACGAACCCAAAACCCACAAAGTCATTGAAGAATTCGGCCGCGCGCCTCTTGACCGCACACCGTTAGCCGAAGAAACCCTCACAGCGGCCCCGGAAACGATACTTGCGATGGCTATCGACGCCATGCTGAAATCGCGGCCGATCTCTCATGACTTAACGCAGCGGACAGTGAGCCACATTATTGAGGTTGGATACCATGATATTGAGAATCTGGGGAAGAGTAGCTGGGATGAACGGACTATGGTATTGAAAGATGGGGGATATAATAGATATAGGGAGCAAGGCGCGACGAATTTGGGGGATTTGGTCGACTTGGTCGATGGGAAATATGGTATGTTTGAATTGTGTCTAATGACGACGTCTTCTAACAGTCTATCTCCCTAGACGGTGACCTGAACAATCTCCTGAAGAAGTCTGGTAATAACCGGGACAAAGCGCGAGGCTTGATCAAGGAAATCAAAGGACTAGGTGACCTAGGAGCCGACCTCTTCTTCAATAACGTGCAGAGCGTGTGGCCGTCCATGGCGCCTTTTGTCGATGCACGAAGTCTCCAGACGGCAGAGCAAGTTGGTATCGGTACCGACTTGGATACGATCTATGCTGAGCTTGGCCAAGATCCGTTGGAGATGAGCAAGTTTGCTAATGGGTTGTCCATGGTGAGGCTGGAGAAGAAACAGGGTGCCATTGAGGCGTGATTCGGGATTTCGGCCATAGTTAGTTTGTACACATTGTAGGTTTAGCATCAATTGTCAATAGTAATATTTCCTCAACACACTCCCATAAAAACAAGATGATATCAATGCATCCGCCTCAATATCGCAGTCAGTCACGAGACACGCTGAATCAGCATACAAGCCTTGGCAGACCCGCCTGCGACGGGTTGCTTTGCGACTCTCCCCAACAACGCGCTCTTTCTGCTTCTCCCAGATACAAACACTTTCTCTGTCGCCAGATTTTGCTTGTCTAGAAAGCCATTCAGGTGTTCTTGTGAGTATGCGACTTGGTGTTACCCGTCTAAGCGCGGTGCGCTTTCACCATCCAAAGACGTCTACCTGACCAAGGCTACAGTATTCTCCGAACTCGGACGCTCTGCTCCTATCCTAGTTCCTTTATTCGATTAATTCGACGATAAAGAAGAGAATTCGCATCGATTCTATCCCTCCAATACGACTTTGCCCTAAATCTCGTCGGTTGACGTCCGTTACGAATTTACCCCTGTTAATACGTGGCCGCTATACACACACCCGCCAAGATGGACTTCTCCAATATTTTGTATGTTATGCCGTGAAGCCAGCCTAGTGGCTGTCTGTGATAATGCGTTGCTTGAATCACGGCTGACTGTCGTAGCCGGATTGTTAACCTCGCCGTGGCTGTGATCATGGTGCTTGGTGGTATTGCCCAATTCTTCCCCGCGTCGATGAGCTCGATCATCGTGGGTACATACGTGATTATCTTTGGTGCCGGTAAGTGGCCTCGTATGTAGCGAGGTGGTGGCGTGTGCTCACGTTAATTAGCTCTTGGTGGCTTGGAGTTCTTGCCTACCATCCCCGACTACGCTTACCGCTATGCGTCTTTCCTTTTCTCATTCTTGGGTCGTGGTGTCTGTAAGTCTGCCATTCCCGCTCGAGCCTGATTGGCGAAATCGAATTTGGGACTGATGGTTCTAGTCTATATCTTCGTCGGATCGCTCTTGCTGCACGACGGTGTGCTGCGGTACATTGCCGGTTCGCTTGTTGGCTTCATCGGTCTTGGATACCTGGCTCTGGAGTTCATTCCGTCGATCGAGCCCCCATCGAACATGCGCGAGGCCGACCAGGGCTGGGGTGCTGAGCAGGTGTATGGCGAGCAGGTCTGAGAGTATGTGCCATACCGCGTGGCTATGCGTTGAGAATAGTGTTGGGAAAGCAAGAGGGAAACAAAAGAGTTCTGGATAATACGATTCTGGCTGAGTGCCACGAGTGCCACGAACGGGCTGTATTGTTTGACGATGACTTGAGTCATGTGAAAACGGAAGGAATGGAGGAGATGGTCATGAGATGAGTGACCAGGGAGTATATTTGGCTTGTGTAATTGCCGTGGTCCGTGTGTGTACTATATAAGGATACTATTATTATTATTGATCTATTATTGGATTTGATATGTCCGAGACGAAGTCTAGATGAATGCAAGGGTTATCCACGTATAGAATCAGGAGATGATTGTAGATGACCTGTTAATATCCGAGTGTCATCTTGACCACGCCATAGTGGTGGGACGGAGATTATCAATCTAAGTATCAGATATGATCTGGCATGTGACTGATTGATTAAAAATGGTACAGGGTTGCATTGCCAATGGTGAGAAGGGTTGATTGATTGCTATGCTTGCTCTCTGATTGTTCGCTTGATTTTGTTTGCGTGTCATTTTGCATACCAAGAATACACGGAACAGCGTAGCCGAATACATAAAATACAGCCATTTGACCAATCAACTCGTAAAAATATCTAGTTCGTCAGCGTTCTATTCTTATCAGAGCTCATCAGCAGCTGCCGAGCGGATACACTTTGCTCCGATCCCACCTGGTGGAAGGCACTGGAAGCATCCGCGGCCAATCAAATCTGTAGTGATAATGATGACTTGAGGATCTTTGTCCAGCAAGCCAATAGGAAGTCAAATAAAGAGGCTTATTAGGGCTAGTCTCCACTCATTGCCAATTCTGGAAGGTACATTCCCACTAGATCCATAGCGCTAAACCAAAACAAGTATTGATGGAGCCGCAGTGATTCGATCTGGGGGAAACCGCCCTGACTCCCGTTTCAGTAATCTTTCGGCCTTCTTCTGCCTCTCTACTTTTTTTGTCTGTGCTTTGAGAAAAAGAAAGCAATAACCTTACCTTGTGCTTGGTTTTTGTCCACTCTACTTTATTTGTCTTTACCTTTGCCACCCAGTCATCCCACTCAAACGGTTTGCTTTGACCTCAGCGCGTCTGACAGTCCGGGGAACAAACTACTACCACAGACTATCAGAGTCCCGACTGCTGCAGGGAGCCCACTTTTTTCTTGGAAGGACAAAAGCCAAAGTCGTCCCAAAAAGAGAAAAGGCGTAGATCCTTTGTCTGAGTACAAAGTATACGCACCACAGGATCCCTCAGATTTCCTAGGCCTGCGACAAAAATACGTACTTATACTCCAGACTACTACTATTGATTAGACCCGGCGATAAGGATTGTTGGTTTTTAGGGTCACCGTTGGCACCAATTGGGCGGTGGGCGGATCCTGAGCAAAAAAGTTCTGGATCTTCTTCATCTCACCTCTTTTTTCATCCTCATCTAATCTTCTTTCTCCTGATATCTTTTTCATCTTATCCATCTGCTGAACCCCCTCTCCTTCTCCGCTATCTGCGCCATCATCTCGCAGATCCCTTTCCTTCCTTGCCCAGACTATTGGCATTCCTACTATTGATTGATCTCTCTCTTTCTTCGTGTCTTTGTTGAGATCCCCCTTCGATTTTCTCTCTCTCTCTCTCTCTCTCTCTCTCTCATTCCTTTCCAACACCTCCGACTATCTCCCATTCTTCATCCCTGGCCAACAAGCTTCTCCCTGGATCGCCACTCTTATTTCATCATCTTCAACCAATCTCCTGTCAAATCAACCCCTGCGAACAGGAGACAAAAAGACTGAATATTTCGGTGGCGGCTTTCTCGGTCCGGTGACTCGATCGATAAGCGTGTCCTTTTTTTGTCCCCTGGAATACAAGATCCCCCCTTCTTCGGCCTTTTCCCAGATCCCCGGGTTTGTTGTCCCTGTTTGTTGGGTTTGACGGCCTGCAATATTTCTGCAGGTTTGCCTTCCCCGGCTGGGTCTTCGATATCCCCATTTTTGTTCGGGTCCTTGCTGTCATCTTGACCGACTTTTGACGCCGTGATACCACGCGTGTCCCCTTTTTTCACACGCTCTGATCAATTTGCACTCCCCCGCTACTTCTTTCGTTTCACCTTGGTCGTTTGGTGCCCGGGCGATCAACCCTCTTTCCCCCCGAGAAACCAATAAAAACAGTGGTGCTTGATGGTGGCAATGTTAGCATCGATTCCTCAGATGGACGCTGCGCGATCGATCCCGCGAAACCCCGACGTCCTTTCGCGACACCCTTCGGCAGAAGATCTGGATGCCGCTCAGCAGTTGATTTCGTCGGCTCAGGCCGGCCGCGATCACATGGTCGACCGTCCCTGGGAGGACAACCAGAATGGGAGGCCAGTGGAAGTAGCAGAAAGCGTCCATTCTGAGTCGTCTTTCGCAAATGACAAATCATCGCCCAAGTCTCAAAAGGACTCGTCCTTTTTGGGACATTCTTGCAGGTACGTATTTCGCAAGGGGGGGGGGGAAGAAAAAAATGCGATAGTACAGTCGATACTAACTCCTGACTTTAGTAACTGTGGAACAAAAAGTACCCCGTTATGGCGACGATCACCGACTGGAGCCATGATTTGCAACGCCTGTGGTCTTTATCTCAAGGCCCGAAACGTCGCGCGACCAACCAAGCGGAATCGTAGTCAAGCCGATCAGGATGGTGCACAGCAACAGCCTACTTCGCCGGTCCCCTCGACAGATACTCCTACAAAACACAGTGGAGGATGCAATCATGGTCCCAAGGGTTCTTGTCCCGGTGGTGGAAACTGCAACGGTACCGGCGGTGCCGAAGGATGCGACGGGTGCCCGGCATACAACAACCGTGTCTACAAGGCAACGCCTCGCGGTGCAGTTCCAATGCACGCTTGGAATAGAGCTGCAAGCGCAGAGTCTGAGAATCCGCCTCCTGTGCTGCCCGATCCAGAAGTGTCGGGGAAAAACGGGCCATCGGCCGAAGGCGGTACGATGCTGGTTTCCTGTCAAAACTGTGGCACGACCGTCACTCCGCTCTGGCGCCGAGATGAGCTTGGTCATCCTATTTGCAACGCTTGCGGTATGCTCGCCTTCTTTTTCTGTGATAAATATCTGTGAGCTAACTGAAGCAGGTCTCTATTACAAGCTCCACGGTTGCTATCGACCTACGACAATGAAAAAGACCATCATTAAGCGGAGGAAGCGGGTCGTTCCCGCACTGAGAGACCAATCTCCGACTGCGGCCACCCAGTCTTCCAACGGCTCCTCCGCGTCGCCAGAGGGTTCTCCTGCTGGACTTGCTCACGGTCAAGAGGACTATCGCTATTTGAGTACAGAACCAGTTGACCACTATCCTCCAATGTCGACGGGTAGGGTCTCGCCTCGACCGTTCACCTTTGCGCCACCGCCTGTCGATTTTACGAGTTACAGTTCGGGGACGGTCTCGCTCCCTCATCACCCTCCGCCGCCCAGGTTGTTGGAACCAGAACGGATGGGCGTGCCTAGCCATTCTCCCGCTTCGTCACAATTTGATCGACGCTCAGTTTCTCCCAATCCTTCCGGTAACCCGAAGAAACGAACCCTCGCAGAATCATCAGTCGACTCTGCATCCGTTCCTACAACATTGGAATCGGGTTCGAATCAACTACCTCCCATTATGTCCTCTGTCAACCCATCTCCACCAACTCGTCTCAGTTCCATCTCCTCTCTTTTGAACCACGCCGATAAACGTCAGGAGGATTCTCCGGCTCCTCTTGGTCGTCAACAGCATCCTCATCCTCAGCACCAGCCTTATCCTCAGCACCAGCCGCACCAGCATCACCATCAACATCACCCTCCTCCCCCTCAAGCCGCACCTCTTGCGCACCCACCGCCACCGCAACAACCATTGCCTGGTGTCAATGAATTAGATGGATACATGTCTGAACGACGGGTCAAGTTGCAGCGGGAGGCTGAAGAAATGCGCGAGATTTTGAGAGCAAAGGAGCGTGAATTGGCGGAACTAGGACAATAACACGAATCCATTCAAATCGATTATTATTCTTTCTTCTTTTGTTCTATTTCGAATACTTGTCCGGCGCAAATTGTTGGTTTGCGGTGAAAAGTATACCACTTCTAATCTTTTTGTTATGAATTCAAAAATCACCCTGGGCAAATGGATAAAAGCAGAAAGGGAAACTACTAGGTTTGTATGTTTGTTTAAGCGTTGGCGGGATAAGGCGAAATTCAAATCATTTGACAAAAGACTTACGGCGGCTCTTGTGCTTTTTCACTGTTATGTAACGTCGATAATCTATAGTTTCGGATTCGGATTGGTTTCCAGTGATTCTTATGAGCTTTATGAACATTCAATAATCAAACTATGCTTAACTGAAGTCATGTCCTGATGTCATCATGATGGCCCGGTATATATATATATACGCTTCCCTGCCCTATACGACCCCCCCCCCACCAATCCAACTCAACATAGCAAATGCAATGACCTCTATCGAAATCCCCCACCCTCTCCACCCCTCCCAAAAAACCCAAAATGCCAACCCCCTACCCCCACCCCTCGACACCGACGACCTACACCCTAAACTTCACCGGCGACGTCATGCTCGCCCGCCTCATCGACCAACTCTTCTCAACACACCTCCCCTCCCCACACTACGCCAACATAATCAAAACATTCATAGAACGCTACCCCTACCTCTCAAAATACAACCACAGATCCCCATGGGGCAGTGCGCTGGCGTTATTTCGCGCGGGGGATCTGAATCTGGTGAATTTGGAGACGGCGGTTACGGAGGGTGCGGAGAAATGGCCACGGAAGGTGTTTAATTATAGGATGCATCCGGGGAATCTGGGGGTGTTGAGGGAAGGGAGGGTTGATTTTGTTAGTTTGGCGAATAATCATACGGTGGATTTTGGGGAGGGCGGGCTTAGGGATACGATTCGGGGGGTTAGGGGGGTTGGGGTTGGGTTTGCGGGTGTGGGGAATAGTGCGGTTGAGGCGAAATTGCCGGCTGTGTTGCGGCTTCCGAGGGATTCTGATGATGATGCTCGCGGTGATGAGGAAAAGCATACGGTACATGTATATTCAGCCTCTGACCACCCACGCGACTGGTCCGTCATCCCTGAATTCCACCTCATCGACTACACCCTTTCCACAAAACATCATCTGAAAACCCTCCTCACCACTCCCTCTCACCCCCAATCCAAAGCAGAGGAACCAAGTCTGAAGATCTTCTCCATCCACTGGGGCCCAAATTACACCTGGCAACCGTCCGCTCAAATCCGGGACATGGCACATTTCCTCATCGACGAGTGCGGCGTTGATATCGTGCATGGGCACTCTGCGCATCATATCCAGGGTGTTGAGAAGTATAAGGGGAGTGTGATTATGTATGGATGTGGGGATTTCGTGGATGATTATGCGTTGAATGAGGAGTTTCGGAATGATTTGGGGGGTGTTTGGAGGGTTGTCGTCAGTACTGATAATGGTGATGGTGGTGGCGGGAAAGGGAAAGGGAAAGGGAAAGGGCTGGAGTTGGATCGGTTGGAGATGTATCCTACGCGGTGTGATAGGTTCCAAGTTACGTTGTTGGATGTAGATGATGAGGATCATGGGTGGGTTCGGAGGAAAATAATGAAGTTGAGTGAGGAGATGGGGACTAGGGTTAGGCGGGAACTTGGGAGGGAGGGGCAGGTTGTTGTTGACCTGAGGGATTAGATGGTATTAATTGTATTGGTAGTGTGTATTGGTAGTGTGTATCACTAATAGCATTTCATTGAGTTTTGATATTTGAGCATTCTGAAATAATCAAGTCCCGCAACGCGCTCATCGTATGGTTTGGATCTGTCCCGTAAATCACCAGTTGTTGTTTTGTCTGGTATCTTTGATTACACTGTAGCTTGACATTCCAGGTAGCTATTCTCTGTCTATCAATTGCGAAATATCAGCGACTGTCTAATTTATTACTTTTCTTTCGTTAAACCTACAAGGTCAGGCCCGAACACCCAAGGGTAGTAGGATACCTCGTGGTTTGCTGCCTTCTTCAAGAAGAAGAGAAGGCAGGAATTTCCTCACGGTGACTGGGTTATTAGGGGAGTTTGGCATTATCCTAGATACCTGTCCGCTTGACTTATGCTCAGGGATTTAGTCACTGTATAACAACGTGGGTCTTCCAAAGGCATTTCATGGTATCAAAATGATATTTGAGCATCCTGGAATAAATCCAGCTCCGCTGCGCGTTGATCGTACGGTCTGGACAGTCCCATATATTAGTAAGGTTAATCTCACAACACTTTCCATATGGTATTTTTGAAACAGCATAGCTTGTTAGTCCATCATCCAAACTGTCTATCAAGGATTAAGCAATCGACTAACCATGACTTCAATTGACCCCAGATATCACTCCATTGTTCTTGGCGACATGCTATCTTCGATGCAGCTCCAGCTACTTTACAGAGCAGTGGGCCCTTCGCGCATTTAGTAGACATTCGTCCCACACGAGTATAGTTTTTCCTTGAGCGTTATCCTTGAGTTTGATCATGTGTTTTGGGTATCAATTCATCCCACAATAAACCATTCAAACAGATTCTCTATGACTATTGTACATAATCCAGTCTGCCAGGGCGTTTGGCCATGTTCCTGGAAATAGAGATCCCCTTCTTTGGGATTTTCCCGGTAATTTCTCAGAAAACGCCCGAATGCATTAATGAATGCCATCAGGAACCAATCAAAAGATGTTCCGGCTGCTAACTGCAATAAGTATATATGAGCTTATTGCCGGGACATAAGACTACTTACCTTATACTCAGCGCCGGGAGAACTTCGCTGCCCTTAACCTCCCTGTCTATGATTCCCCGCCAATTCTGTTGAATAGACATGCACTGTCATGTACGAGGTATTCGATTTTCACTCCGTTCACAGAGGATAACCAGTATCGGTACCCAGATTCCTTTACTACGTTTTGTGCAGCCAGCTATACAGTTAGCAAAGCAAGTCAATACAAATCAAGGAGATGGAGGCTGGAGGACATACTGGATGGTTCGGCCAGTACTTGGCCCTTGATGTTTAGGCCCTTAGTTCTTGTAGCCAGGATCTTCTTTACCTTGATCAAGACGACTCTTATTGTGTACAGCGCCCAAAAATGATGTTTATTGCATCCATCACTTGAGAGTACCCCTTCAGTAACGCCCTCAGACTTATTGGCTACAGCACTATGAAAGTGAAATAAGTAGCGAACAGCTAACCACCTCAGCATAGATTCAAGATTCACCGGGGGTATGATCACCACTTACTGGCTCAACTACATTACTATTGTAAAGGTTAATCGAGTCGTAAAGATTTATGGTGCTGTGGAACTCAGTATAAATCTCGTGCGCTATAACACTCGTAGGACTTGCCAATAAAAGACCCGTAAAGGAATTATATCCCAGCCAAGGATGTAAGCCATACGTACCGAGCTACTTGTGTAAACGCCTCGTTGGGGAACGATACACTCAGACTCTCCTCTAGCTCTGCAAGATATCAGCATTGAGTACCATTTAGGTAGCGAGTAGGTGCGTACCGAAAATATCCGAAAAAAGCAACGTGTAAGCTTTGAATCGCTGTCGTGCCTAACTTTACCCAGGATTTGGAGAGATTGAAGTAATCAAAGGGTTGCTAAATTGCGGGTTATGTCTTGAGGACCTATTTGACCATGTCACGACAGGATGAGCTTGGGGTGCAGGTTCTCATGAGATTGGAACGGCTGCTTGATTTATTTTAATGGCCGTAGGGAGGTAAATAGAGCATTGGCGAATGAAGTGGAGGAAATGGAAATATATAGCGTAGGAGTGAATACTAGATATGATAGCTGTTCCTGATCTACTCCGCGTCAGAATGATCGACAAAGCACGTACCAACGCCAGAATTATCCTCGAACATGGCTAACGTCCCTTTCCCACTCACATCGATATCGCTATGATAAGTCCGTCTCTGCAGGATAGCTTCAGGATGGTCCCATGCCACCAGTTATTTGAGGAAGAAGGACTACGAGCGCTTGTCTTTTTTACTTGCTACTACGCAGGGGGCACGTAAAACATGAACATCATGTCAATAGCAGAAAAGACTTGACACCCACGTCCCTGTACAGCCAACACCCTCCGCTCTGTTCATGGTCAGTCAGAGTCAACTACCGGGAAGGTTGAGACAAGGAACGTTAGAACTCACCCACTATAATCCCTGCTTTTGCCAACACTCACTCATCGAGGGGTAGAGTACCGGGGACCTAGAGAGGATTGTATCTCCTATCAGCTGAATTTCAACTGCTAGTCACCATGGCACATGTTGCACGGAAGCATCCTCACAAGTTGTGTGATTAGCAGAGGACGTGCCCAGCAGCAAAACCTCTACTACAGAACGCCGTTTTGCGCACGATGACCTCTTGAGTAGGCGTCTGCAGTACAGTGGACTGACTCGGCAGGGGCAGGAGGGGGTGCAAAATGGAAAGAACAATCTTGGGCAGACCCCACAGCAGATACCCAACACTCTTCCCCGAGGGGCGTCTCTTGTGCAGCTGTATCCGCGTGATCGCCACGCCTCCCTAGTATATCGCCTCCCCTGGGTGATCACGGCGTCGCAAGCGAGGCCTTCCAAGGGGAAGGGGATAAAAGAAGGACAAGAAAAAGATGGGATACTTAGCTTCTGTGGAAAGGATGTCATGTCATCATTGAACACCACTAACTCGTCGTCAGGTTGGTCGTCGGGTACCTAACAAAATTTGTATCTCCTATCAGCTGACGTTCAACTGCCAGAAAAACCTCCACGGCACCCATAAAAAAACAGAGGGCAGCGAAAAGTTTCCAGAAGTGCATGGAAGCACCCTGACAAGATGTGTGGACTCCACAGGCTATATTGCACTCTTCCCCGAAGGGCGTCTCTTTGTGCAGTTATCTCCAGCAAGCATCCGTGTGATGTTAAAAAGTGACATGATGAAGTTTCCAGAAAGGCATGAAAGCACCCTGACAATTCAGGCGACCGGCAGCAGAAACCAGGCAAAACCTGTGGCTGCGGGACCGCCCTACTCTGGGAAAAGCGGAAGACAAGAAAGAAATGGAGTACTTAGCTTCTGCTGTGCTACTGTAGCTGTGGCTTTCTATCAGCGTGGCGTCGGGAGGACTCAGTCAAGAGAGGAAGGAGCAGTGCAACGTGCAAGGGAAAGTGCGAGCGAGAGAGCTGAAATAGGAAAGAAAGAGTGCAGTTTATGGGAAAGTACGAACAAGTGAGCTTGAAGAGGAAGGAGAGGATGCAGGGAGAGCTTAGAAAGGAAGGAAGGAGTGCAGTTATGGGGAAGGTGTGAGCGAGTGAGTTGTAAGAAGAAGGAAAGAGAAAGCCGGGCGACGAGCAGCTATTTATGCCCAGCGAGCAGGCAGCACTCGCTCGCTTAACTAGTCTCCTCGAGTTTGGGTCCGGAACGGGACGTTCAGGAACGACACCCGAGGGGCGACACCGCGCAGTGAGCTACACCATCACTCACCTCATGGACGAAGAGATTCGGGGAAGAGTCGGGGCGCGACGGAAGGTTGCCTACGGAGAGGCGACGGAGGACGTTGGCGAGCAACCGACACATACAGCGAGGGAGCTCTCCTTGAGCCTCGCTATTTGGAAGAACTATCTTATGAATGAGTGTGGTCGGACGATAGTGATATCCCTTGTGATAGATACTCGCGGATATGGACCTGGATTCGAGTCGCAAGGCGAACGGTTTATTACTACGAAAATCGTCAGGAGTGACATGGTCGCAATAGTTGCGACTATGCCCGTGCGGGAAGTGGCGATCCCGCACTTGTGATGGGGCTAGACAACCTGAAGGAAAGTGTGACCCAGTTTGCATGACGTTTAGGGCAGGCACCGACGTGGCGAAGAGAGGGTGCTATACAGAAATGTGAGTCAGTGCTTACTGGAAGGTAGTACTTGACATTGCACTGCAATATAGTGCCAGTAGATGCCATATCCTTCACAATCATGTCAAATCCCAATACGCTTTCCTAAAAAGGAAGGCATGAGGTCTACGTAAGTCACGTGACCTATTCCGCGGAATCCGTCTCCAGATGGCAGGCGGTGCCAGACAGCAGAACACTCGGGCAGCCCCAAACACCCATCAGAATACCGACGCCCACTCCTTATTATCCGAATTGCCCACGGCCCAGATCATTTCCGACCATGGAGTTATAATTACGCCTCTCGCTTGGCTGAATTGACATTCATTTAACTTGTTTCTTCTTTAGGAGCTTGTTGCAGGTTCTGGCTGGCCGTCGCTCCCTCACTTATACTGCGGCTTGACTTGTCGGTCATGATGCGAGTTGCTGCAGAATTACTTCTTAGAGATCCTTTTTGCTCGCCGTCATAGTGCTTACCTACGATTTCTTTACGCGGTTATCTTCGAGCGTGCATATCTTACCGAGACCGACTCATTCGTTTATCGATCGATTGTGTACCGGAATATCATTACAATACCCTTAGGTGTTGGACCAACGCCGCAATTTAGCCGCTATGCCTGGCTTACCATGTACGTTCGCTCTCTTATCGTGTCGCTTCTTGCGTCTCTTCGACCGTGTCTCATTGTGTCGCAGCTAGTATCGATTTGGACGAGTGCATTGAGAGACTCTACCGGAAAGAGTTGCTGGCAGACTCGGTTATCGAAGCAATATGCGCCAAGGCGAAAGAGCTGTTGATGAAGGAAAGCAATGTCGTCCACATTGCGGCTCCGGTTACTGTGGTCGGTGATATCCACGGGCAGTTTTTTGATATGATTGAGATATTCAAGATTGGAGGATTCTGCCCGGACACAAATTATTTATTTCTTGGTGCGTTCTTGGTTTATGGGCATGGATTCCGGTCCAGAGCTAATTGGTATCGCAATTGCAGGAGACTACGTGGACCGTGGTCTTTTCAGCGTGGAAACCATTTCCCTCCTCGTTTGCTTGAAATTACGATACCCCCAGCGCGTCCATCTCATCCGTGGAAACCATGAATCCCGCGGCGTGACCCAATCGTACGGGTTCTACACCGAATGTGCCCGAAAATACGGCAATGCCAACGTCTGGCACTATTTTACCGACATGTTCGACTTCCTCACCCTGAGCGTCGTGATCAACGACCAGATCTTCTGCGTGCACGGCGGCCTCTCCCCCTCAATCCACTCAATCGACCAGATCAAGATCATCGACCGATTCCGTGAAATCCCACACGAAGGCCCCATGGCCGACCTGGTCTGGTCAGACCCCGACACCGAACGCGACGAGTTCTCGCTCTCCCCGCGCGGGGCCGGATATACTTTTGGAGCACAGGTGGTTCGGAAATTCCTCGAGGTGAATAGCATGTCGCATATCCTGCGCGCGCATCAGCTCTGTCAGGAGGGTTACCAGGTACTCTACGACGACCGGCTGAGTACTGTCTGGAGTGCGCCGAACTACTGCTACCGGTGCGGGAACCTGGCTAGTGTGCTTGAAGTGAGCGATACGGGCGAGCGGTATTTCAACATCTTTGATGCGGCGCCGGAGAATGATATCCATCGGTCAGAGCAACAGGCCCAGCAGAAGGATGGCCAGAGTCCTGTGATTGACTACTTTTTGTGATACCCCAGGGAGTTTATTTATCCCTTTTCTATTTCGATCTGTGAAATACTTGGTATTGAATCTTGGCATATGATGAAGCATGTATTGGCATTTTTTGAGATGTAATGTACGGTTTATACCCTTAAGATTTCAATGGATTCTCCAATGTTGCTAATAGGCGCAAGAACGTTGGAAGGAAACTCGTTTCAGACGTATATGGCTTAAAACACAAACCGCTGCTCACGATAAGTTCAAAAAAGGCAAAAAGAAAAGAGAAAAAGTTCAATGCTAAATAACTATCAAAAATCTACCAGTCCTTGGCAATGTCAAACGACCATTCGAACAGAAGGTGAGTTGTGTCATCATCGTCAACGAATTTGGAAACGGCGTTGTAGTGGCCACGGGCCATCATGCCCGAAGGAGCCTCCTCGGTATTGACTGGTCAAGTTAGCATACGGCCGGTCCACTGCAGCGCGATAGCAAAACTCACATTTCTTCTCGTAGTCGACCTTGCCCGTTGTGTTGGGAGCATAGCTTCCCTGTTATCCAGTTAGCATCCACCCGCATACTCCAACCAGACCTATAACCCAAACTCACCAACATCTCCTCATCCTTGCTAACCCGAATACCCTTCCTCTTAACCACCTGCAAGTACTTCAGACCGCTCAGCACCTCATGGTGCACCTGGAAAACAACCTTGATCCGGAACGTAGAACCCTCCTTGATGGTGAACGGCTTATCCTTGAGACTCTCGAGAGCGCCGGGGGCGGAGAGGTCGATGAGGACGTCGGAACGGCCTTCGACTTCCAGGGCGAGGGACTTGATGATGCATTTGCGGGGGTCGTTAGGGTCGCCGATAGGTTCGCCGCTGTTTAGGCCCAGGGAGGCTTTCCAGCGGTTGAGGGATTCGTCGTTTTGGTCTGTTGAGTGTTATATTAGTATGTTGTTGCGAGCGGGTGTGTTTATGGAGGTAGGTTAAGATTGTATGTCGACAGGTGTCACCGAATGTACCCGGTAAGGAGGGGAGCGGGATGAATGCCAGGAACCGTGTAGATATAGTAAACATACCCAGTTGTGTATATTCCTCAATGGTCTTCTTCTCTCCAACCTTGAAACCTTCGGTCTTGGAGGCAGCGAGATCATCTTCGTGGTGGTCGGTCATTGTGACGGTTGTTCCTGGGTTGGTGGGGTATCGGGATGAGGAGAGCTATAGAAGACAGATTAGCTCTATCCAGGTACCAGGTCAGTCTCTATATAAAGGGTAAAACAACGTACCAATATGAATAATCAATTGATAGAGATGACAAGAAAGAAAAGAGAGAAGAGGGAGAAAGAGTGTTCGCAACAGGGGGTTTGTTTTGGTTGGTTGACACAGTCCAGGAGGATGGTGGGGGGCGTGGAAAGGCGGTGACACTATCAGGGGCCAGACTTGGCTCTGTGCTGCGATGGTCTTACCTGTTAATAGAGAGCTACGTGTAGTTATGAAGATGTTTTCTATCTTTCTAGAAAGGAGTAGTTTGCGTTGGTTATGGTTCGGTGGTTGACCGTTGTATCGCTGATATAGATGACCGTTAGGATGGACAGGCACATCAGTGGGAGGCCTTATAATTTAAGTAGTCTTTACAGAGTACCAATGGGTACTCTTTGTTCCACTGTTCTTTTGCAAGTATCGAAGGCTTACAAGTACCTATTGATGCGCCCTGAGTGCTGTGGTTGATATCCATACTTGTAGAGCGGGGAAGCAGTTCTCTGTACAACCGCACTATGTAGTCCCAATTCCAATATGCCAGATTATCTTAGATCCTTGAATTCTGCAGTGATACTGCCTTTATTCGGGTTCTATATCTTTTTCTGTAGGATGCACATTCCAAGCTATGTACAAATAGTTAGTTATACAGAGCATGCCTGAGGCATGGAGAATATGTACTGTCATCAAATACCGGGGAACGGTACAATAATTACCCTTTCGAGTATGTCAGGTGACTCCCAGCACCATTCATTGGCCAATGTTTATCACGCCAAGACCGCGCAGGACCGTACGAATACCGTCAAAACTCCCGCCCGCCCACTTGATTTTCTCCTCGTTATTGTTGTGGATTTAAATGCTGATTCGATCGTCCGTCAAAAAAACGTGAATCATCGTTGTCCATCTATCTTGGCTCTTTTCGCTTTAGTATTGGGTGCGCCTTCCTAATTTAGCTGTATCGGTGTTTACTGCGCCGTTTCTGTGGTGACGTCTTGGTCCCCTCAACCGCTAAAACTACGGAGAGCGAGAAACAACACGCCTGCAACGTGGCCGGCGTCGCATTTCCCTGTTCTCCTTGACTGTCAAAGAAAAGAAGCCTTGACCACCCCGTCATATTTTTTTGGGCTTTTTCAAGTCTTTGACTCGAGATTGTTCATTTCGCTATGGCGCGCTCTCTTCCCAAGAAGAATAACCCTCTTATCTCGGGGGATGGTGCCCCTGCTTGTAAGTTTCCCCCCCATCGCCATCGCCCGCTGTTGTTGTCGCGCGCATCACCCCGGAAACATACAGCTATCGAGTGGCATCAATACACAACAGTCTGGACTAACATGTGCTCTCTGTGCGACCGTAGACGATGATCTCCTGACGCGTCGTCGTCTGGGAAAGACACACCTCGCCGTTAAGGCGACGCAGATCGGCACGTCCAATGCGACTCGCCCGGAGAACCTGGGTCCCTTCGAGTACGCTCATCTACGCGCGCCTTTGCCTAAGGATCTGAAAGGCTCTGAGATCTTCCCCTCGCACACACCGCAACAGCACCCAGAGACCTACTTCTTGATGGTGAGTCCACTTTCGTGTGTCTTGGGAAAGTGTGGTCAGTGATTAATGCGCAATCCACACAGCGGCGGAGCAAGGATGGATTCGTGAGCGCTACTGGCATGTTCAAGATCGCTTTCCCGTGGGCGAAGGTCGAGGAGGAAAGATCCGAGCGTGATTACCTCAAGGCACGGGAGGAGACCAGTGAGGACGAGATTGCGGGTAATGTGTGGATTTCGCCGGTTTTCGGTAAGTACAGCTTGGCTCCAAACTACTGCATATCATTCTGACGCTTCTCTCCAGCCTTGGAGTTAGCCAAGGAGTATCAAATGTTCGATTGGGTTCGTGCATTGTTGGACCCTACCGATATCGTCCAGAGCCCATCGAGTGCCAAGAAGCAAATCACTCCCCCACCCAAATTCGACATCCCGCCGATCGAAGCTCCCGTTCAACTTTCCGCTACCGCAACACGACTCAGACGGGGACGGTCCGCATCGCCTAGCAAGAGAGCTGCTTCGCCACGCAAGTCCAGAACCACGCGGGCCACCAAGGAGGCTAACGTCGCTGCAACGAATGCCGCAAATGCTAGTCTTCAGTCGTCGTTGGATGCTGATGCCGGGTCGGCCAATGGAACCGTGGAGCAAAGTGTGGAGGTTGACGAGGAGGAAACCAAGTCAGAAGTGGTAGAGAAGCCACGAACAACAACCAGTTCGAGGAAGGCTGCCGCTCCGGCTGAGCCAGAAGAAGAGGAAGAAAAGAAGGTCAAGGTTGATGTCGAAGAATCCGTGGACAAGGTGAAGGACGCCCAGACGAAGCAGACTACCTTCTCGGTTGACATGCCCGTCCAATTTCTCCCCGACGCACCCTCCGCAGAGGACACGGAGCAGATGATTGCCAAGGCAAGAGAGATGGTGCAAGAAGCAGTTGACAGCAAGGCCGCAGAGGGGGAACCTGTAGAGTCATCATCAAAGGGCGCTCAGAAGCGCAAGACAGACGATCTGAGTGAAGACTCGGAAGACGAAGAGACCAAGGCCGCTTCGACCCAGCGTGTTAAGCGGGCGAAGGTGTTGGAAGAGAAGCTCAAGCGGGAACGAGTGAGGAACCGTGCTTTGGTTGGAGTCACAGCTGCTTTTGCCCTTGCGTAAGTACTCTTGACATTCTTTGCTGGAACACGTCTAACTTTGCATACAGGGCCTCGATTCCTTACTTCTTCTAGATTTGCTCTACAGAGTATGCTTTACTTTAATTCGGTTATTGTCTACTCACAGTCTTCCTGAGGATACCTTCTCGGAACGATGTCCAGTCCTTGATTTCCTTCCTTATTCTCAGTCCGACATCCCCGTCCTCGTTATTCAATTTTCTTCACCCAGGCCCTTCTAACCCTGTTGGTTTTCGATGTATTGTATTGACACCTTACACCCCTTTCTAATGTTCACTCTGTTGCTACAGTATGGCAGATATAGCAATTGGCGGGATCCTGGAGATCGGAAGCGAAGCGTTTGTTTCTACGTTCCTTTGTTCATGGGCTTTTCCTTTTTCTCTTTTTCCTTTTCTTGTTCTTATTTCTGGATACCTGGTATTTGATTTATAACCCTGTGTCTCTTGCCTGGGAAGGGGTTGGAGCTGTGGGCAGGTGTTTGATAATGCGTTAAGTAGGTTCAATCGATTATGATCTATAAATATCAACTTAGGAGCATCTTGTTCAGTAGATTCATCTTATGGAAGATGGCGTTGTTGGGAGTGTTCGACTGAAGATATCGTAATCGTAGATGTTCTGGGCTAGTCGCAAATTACCCGATTCGGAATTACTGCAAACAAAGCAAAACAGCTTCTCCGCTAGCTAGCTATCACCTTCACTTTTCTTCCACACGCATTCATTTCTACTCAGCAGATAAGCGATAGCTAGACCCCTCTAAAAGAGACACCATGTCTCTCCCAGGTCTCGACCTCGCCCAATCCACCGTGGAAACGGAGTTCACCCCCGCACCGCCAACCCAAGTCAGTCTGGCCAGAGGATCCGAATGGAGGTTTGAAGTGGCCCATGGGACGACAGTGAGAGTCAAGGTACACCTCCATTCTCTACAGCTTACATTTAATAAATACATAAATACTGACAGGATTTGTGCAGCTCCTAGCCGGCACCGCAGAACTCTTCGGCACCGAACTCGCCGCCTCCCAGACCTACACCTTCTCCGGCACAAAAGCCGCAATTTACACCTGGCACAGCTGCACCTTGGAAATCAGCGCCGGAGACACGATCGATGGTCTTGCGAATGGAGGAGCCACTGCCACTGCCACGGGTACCAGCACCGGTGTCCCTGGCCTCGGTGGCCCGACGCGCGGGTACGGCGCAGGCGGGTGCCAAAGCGAATATGTAGCAGAGGAGACGCCGATGGTGGAATACGCGAATGTACACTTTGCGCTGGAGACACTACGACAGGAAGCCAAGGCTACAGGGAAAGATGGTCCGCGGGTTTTGATTGTTGGTCCCGAGAACGCGGGCAAGACGAGTGTCGCGAAGATTCTGACTGCGTATGCAACGAAGATGGAGCGCCAGCCAATCGTGGTGAATCTGGACCCGACGGAGGGTATGCTGAGTGTTCCTGGAACATTGACGGCGACTGCGTTCCGGACGATGATTGATGTTGAGGAGGGTTGGGGGAATAGTCCGATGTCTGGCCCGAGTCCGGTGCCGGTTAAGTTGCCGCTGGTGTATTTCTATCCGTCGCAGAATCCGTTGGAGAATGAGGGTGCGCTGTATCGGCCTGTTTTGTCGAGATTGGCATTGTCGGTTACGGGGAGGATGGCGGAGGATGAGGATGCGCGTGAGACGGGGATTATTGTTGATACGCCTGGGGTTCTGGGGCATGGGAAACCGGGGAGTTTGGAGGTGATTAACCATATTGTCACGGAGTTTTCCAGTATGTTCCCCCTTCACCTTCTTTACCCGTGATAGAGATGCTAACGACGCAGTAACTACAATCCTCGTCCTCGGTTCCGAACGCCTCTACAGCTCCATGCTCAAATCCTACGACAACAAACCCACCTCCTCCGCCTCAGCAGCCGCCTCCGACGAACGCATCTCCGTCATCAAACTCCCCAAATCAGGCGGCTGCGTCGCGGTCGACGCAGCGTTCATGAAAGGCGTCCGCGAATCAGCCATCCGGTCGTATTTCTTCGGAAACCCCATTCCCTCGACTGCTTCTGCAGCGCTGTCGCTGTCGTCTGCGTCTTCAACGACGAATATCACGCTTTCCCCGCATGCGCAGCAGTTGGATTTTAATTCTATGGCTGTTTATAACGTCGCGGGGGCGGAAGATGAGGATGAGGATGATTATGATCCCTCGCAGTTGGAGTCGTTCTTGCCAGGTGGTGGCGTGAATGACTATCCCGAAACCCAACCCCAGCCTCAAGAAGAAAGCACCTCCACACCAGTCCTCCCGGGCACAACACCAACCCCAGCACCAGCCCCAACACCCTACGACTCAGCAACGACCACCACCACCACCACCACCACCACCACCACCACATCTACAACCCCCTCCCCCACCAACGACAACGAAACCCCCCTCAAAAAACTCCCTCCACCCTTCCCAACAACAATGGCAAACTCCCTCCTCGCAATCACCCACGCCCCGCCGACAGCCTCCCCCTCCGAAGTCCGCGACGCAAGTATCATGGGCTTCTTGTACGTTGCAGATGTTGACGTCGAGAAGGGGAAGATGAGGGTTCTGGCACCGATGGGGGGTCGCGTGCCGCCTAGAGCGGCGGTTTGGGGGAGGAGGTGGCCTGGGGAGGTTGTGGGGTTGGTTGGGTAGTTTTTTTTTTTTTTTTTTTTTTTTTTTTTTTTTTTTTTTTGGGTTTTGGAATTTGGGATTGGTTTGGTGCATTGGTGTTGATGGCGTGGGTTTGGGTTGCTTGGTTTTGTATATAGATGGCTTTGATAGTTCGATAAATAGCATTTATGTTATGTTCTCGAGTCAAGCCTATTTAACATTACCAAATACAATAAATAAGTCACAATAGTCACTGTTATACACATCGGACCAGCCGAACAATTAAAACATAATAAATCACTCCCACCCATTCCTCCACGGCACCTTATTCTTCCTCAGCTCCAAATCAACATCATACCCGCGATCCCACTGCCCCAGCAACTTCGACCGCCGCGCCTGATACACCTGCTCCGCGCCAAACCGCTTCAACACAGCAGCCTTCAGAAAACCAAAATCATTCCTCTGCACGGAATCCTTGAATTTCGCGCGCATGCGCGGAGAGTATAATTGGCATGTTGCCTCGCGGCAGCGAGAAGCTTTGTCAGTACCCGGGAGGAGGCGCGGAGTACTCGTGAACTTGTTGGCGATGGGTTCGTCGTCTTGAGCGAACGGCCAGACGACGTCTTCGTAGCAGTCCTCGCAGACGGTGAATTCGGGTAATTGGGGGATGTAGTGCCAGGTTTTGTACTTTGGTCGATCGCGACGGCATTCCGGGAGGGAAGTCTTGCGTCGTGCGTAGGCGATGAATTCGGGGATTTTAGCACGGGGTGGGATTTCTCGCTCCGCGCGGTTGGCCGCGCGGTCGAGCAGGTCGATGTAGTTTACGAAGCGGGGGCTGTCGGTGACGAAGTCGCAGGAGCGCTTGTCCTTGACGGTGCTGCGCTTGAAGGCGTAGCGGAGGGTGGGCATTAGGATTCGTAGGTTTCGGACGCAGGCGGGACAGGCGTTGAAGCCGGGGAGATGAGCTTTTGTCTCTGGGTCGACGACTTTGTACCAGTATTCGGTGGCTTTGTCGCGGCCGGGGCAGACGCTTGTTCCGCGGGTGATTTTGTAGAGGATGTCGAGGTGGTTGAGATCTTCTTTGATGGTTTGGAACCAGGCTAGTCGGGCCCAGGGGTCGCTGAGGGAGCAATTGATCAGGTCGTTGCGAGACTTGGGGGCGTTGGGGATGACGAAGCCGCCGAATTTGGAGTTGGAGATGTTTTCCGTGCATGATGGGCAGATATGCATGTGATCGAAGCCTCTGATCGTGGACCAATCCTGGTGGCCAGGCATCTGCACCGATCGAGGACAGGGCGAGAGACGGAGATCGGAAGTTTTAGAGACTGCTGGAAGCTTCGACTCCAGAGAAGAGCTGCTCCGACGAGCTGGTGCTGGCGAAGCTCGAGGCGACGGCCGCGGTGACGCCCGAGGTGAGAATTCAATTCTTCGACCTGGGGCCGCGTGGATCAATTGTACTTCGTCCGGGAAGGATACCGTCCGTTTTGGTGAAGGCGGTATCACGTTCGACGACATACGGCGTGGTGACGGAGGCGTACAAAGATCAAAGGTTCTCGACGACCTTGGAGACATGCGGTGATGTTCACGGATCGGAGACTGCGGAGCAGATGCAGATTGGGTGATGAAGAACCTCTCAGTCGCTGCAGGCATCTTGATGGATCTTGGAAATGGGGTAATAACAGAGTCAGTAGCTGAGCTGCGTAGACTCTCACAACTACTCTGCTCTTCGACTATTGGGGCCCTCTGGCGCTGCTCGTGGCGTCTGAACCTTTCTTCCATTTTTCGAGAAAAGGACAGGGCTCCAGGGGAGGATTCTCGACGTGGTTGGCTTTCTCGGGGCAGATAGGCCTGGCTTGCATTTGGCTTTGCTGTAACCGGGTTCGGACGGTGATCAGGCGTGGGGATAGGCCGTTGTTGAGCGGGAAGCAATAGCTGTTTGGAGCTTCGAGGAGTAAATCCTCGCTTGGGTTCCGCAACAATGTTCGACAGGTCGCCAAAGTTGAAGGATTGGGGCGGGGGCGTACCAGCCCGAGGAGACATTGGCCAAGCTTCGTACGAAAGATTTTTGATGGCCGGGAAGAATGGCTTGCGATTGGCATGGATTGGAGGAGGCGTAGGAGGACCGTTGCTCTCATCTGACGAACAGTTTTCCGTGCAAGGGACAAGCGGCGGAGGACTTGAGGACCGACGGTCCAAGTCCAAGATCATAGGTTCCTGGTTGATGGTCCCTCTAACACAGACGCCCTCAAGTCCAGGCTTCTCCCCCAGGTTAGACAGGCCATGCAATTCGCGGGCCAAAGAAACATATTCATCTTCCACTAAGGGAGATGGCGGCCATCGAGGCGCGTGCCGGCGGAGGAATGGCATGGTGCGGTCAACAAAGATTCAAAGTTCAGGTCTTATGCATGAAGATCAAAAGGGAATGAGCGTGAAGGAAGAGTCGAAATCCAAAGTCAACGAATGGAGAGACAGTAAAAGGATATCGACACCGTGGTAAGAAAAGAGACATTTCGAAGGTATATATAACTATAGAAAACATATCGGGCAGCGTCTTTTCCGGAAATAGACGCTTCATCCGGACCCATCCATGTCGAATTGGGCGATAACAGACAACAAATCGACCCTGCAGGGATCGGGCGAGGAATAAAAATAAAAATTAAAACGTAAAAAAAGCAAAGCAGTCGTAAGCATAGACAGTCAGTGAACTGCAGAGGGATGCAGGAAGAAAATCCCGGGGCCGGGTTGCCAAAGGACGAAGGAAAGCGCGCAGATCCGAGCAAGCCAGACCTGGCCGTACAATTTGCAGCCGTCGCCAAAGTGGAAACACAAGCGGATTATCAAGTGCCAAGGGCCAGTGAGAGTGGCAGGAAAAAAGGTGATGCGAGTTGGAACCGGGAAATCAATCAATGGCCGGAGGGACAACTAAACACGGTGTGGAGATGGGAGCGAGCACGCTGCAGGCGAGTGTCAACGGACAGTTGGCGGTGTTATGATTATGGACAAACATACTATCGGATGATTCCGCGGTGGTTTATTGGGCTGACTGTTTCAGACGAAGCCTCGAAGAAAGCCCCATTGGTGTATTATGCGGTGGAAGCTGGTCGATATCGAAATGGAGGGCTTTATGGCAGGAACAGACATGATCGTGTTACCCTCGGAACGGGCTCCGGAAAAGCAATGCTGGTGGCAACAGTACTATGTATGCAGGAGAAATTCTAGATGAGTTGGTGAGTTGGACGCCGGATCAGTCGCAGCCAGACAGGCTGAGAGCAGAGGTGAGGTTAGAGGTCCGAAGAGGAAGGTGACCTCACATGACTCTCTCCTACAGGGAATACGAGTACTCTGTAGTAGAAGAAAGAGGTCTGCATGAATCGTACTTTTCTATGCTGTCCAAGCTATCCAAAGTACCAAACATGCTTAGTCAGTTCGTTATATAACTAGTTAGTTACCTCAAGTCATCGCATACAGACCACCGCTCTTTCAATTGCTCCGTATCTTTGACAATATGTTCAACCCTGTCAGTACTCAAACAATTGGTCTATAGCAGCGTCTTGGCTATTCTCTCCCCTCTCTCTCTCTCTCTCTCCCCCCCCCAGGTACACCACATCGTACTTCGGATCGACAGATACATGCACACCCCAGCAGACACAGCACTAGGTCGTCAATACGCAGCCTACCGCAGCATCTTATCTTCCTCTGCATTAGAACTACATTAGGGCTCACACCCCGTACATAGTCCATCAATTGTTATCAATCCCGTCGGCCTCAATTTCGGATATCAATAAGTCTCGATATCCGACGGATCCCCGCAAAAAATGGCGTCATCCGTCGGAGATAGTAGAAAGAGATACAGAATAGCATTATTGGAATAGGAATTGGATTTATAAGGACGGAATGATCCCTCACTAGAACAGGATTAATAATGCTCAATTGCGCTACTGTATAAGTACTGCACTGAGTCCTGTCGATATCACTAACATTGCGGAGTACGATACAACAATCTCTCCCCACCGGATAATCTCTCAACCACATCCTCACCCCCTCTATCTCTAACATATAACAAAGTATGTCTCTTCGCTCTCTTTCCCGCTCTCTCCTCCGTCCCATGTCCATGTCCACTACACCGACAACCCGCCTAGCATCCCTCCACTCCCACCTCCACCTCCAACATACAACCCCTCTAACAACCCCTCCCCAGACCAGACCAAAAACCACAACCACAACCACCAAAATGTCACCCCCCACAACCATGAAAGCAATCGAAATCACCCAAACCGGCGGCCCCGAAGTCCTCTCCTACAAAACCGACCATCCCGTCCCCACACCCGCCGAAAACCAAGTCCTCGTCCAGAACTCCGTCTCCGGAATCAACTACATCGATACGTACTTCCGCACTGGTCTCTATCCGGCGCCGAAACCGGAGATTCTGGGTCGCGAGGCTGTTGGTACTATTGCCGCTCTGGGTTCTGGTGACAACGCGCATGGCTTCCAGGTCGGTGATCGCGTTGCTTGGTTGGGGACGGGTGGGTATGCGGAGTACACTGCCGTGCCTGCGGCGAAGACGGTTAAGGTTCCCGAGGGGATTAGCGATGAGGATGTTATGGCTGGTTTCCTTAGTGGATTGACCGTGTTGACGCTGGTGAAAGAGACGTATCCCGTGCAGAAGGGGGAGACGGTCCTTGTGCATGCGGCTGCTGGCGGGGCGGGGTCGCTGATGGTGCAGGTGCTGAAGAGCATTGGGGCGAAGGTCATCGGTACCGCTGGTGGTGAGGCGAAGTGTGCTTTGGCAAAGCAGTTGGGCGCGGACGTGGTTATTGATTACCGGGCCGAGGACTGGGTGAGCAAGGTGAAGGAGGCTACTGGGGGTAAGGGCGTGGATGTTGTTTATGATTCTGTGGGCAAGGATACGTGGGAGGGTGCGTTGGAGGTGATTAAGAGGAAGGGGACGATTGTTTGGTTTGGGAATGCGAGTGGGCCGGTGCCACCTTTGCCTATTCAGTAAGTTTTCTTTTTCCTGGGCGGTGGTTGACGATGCTAATGCGAATGATGTAGGAAACTCTCGCCCAAGAACCTCAAGGTCGCGCGTCCTCAGCTGTTCGGGTACATTGACACTCGCGAGGAGTACGAGTTCTACACCAATGAGCTGTTCTCGCTGCTCAAGTCGGGCCAGCTCAAGGTCAAGGTTCACAATGTGTATCCGTTGGAGCAGGTTGCGCAGGCTCATATCGATCTGGAGGGTCGCAAGACTACCGGCAAGCCTCTTCTGAAGCCGTAAATATGTACATAGGTATCATCTACGGCCACAATTATATTGAATGCATTATGTGATATCATGCTATCTCTCGTTGGCTGCTCAGATGCAATCTTCCGCTTCCTGTTTCTCGTTCTCATTCTTTGCTTCAGATTCACCCTTGCCATCTTTATCCTCGTCATCATCATCCTCTCCATTCACCAAATCCTTTGGCTTCTTCCATCCAAACATGAGATCATTCGCCAGTACCGTGTAAACCGAGCTATACGCCGTGAAGATTTCATCAAAGAAATGCAATCCGCAGTTGAGCTCAAACACCGACGTGATCACCTTCATCCCCGGATAACATTCTTTCAGCAAATCCTCCTCAAGAAAGAACTCAAACTCATCCGCGGGCTGATTTCCCGACTCCCATTCCTTCCGTTCTTCAGGACTAAGGTCGTACACAGGCTTACCGGGGTCCCGATACGCCTTACCCAGCAATCGTCCAACAGGATGCAGATCAGAAGCGTGGTACTCGTAGAATTCCCGAGTGTCACCGTCAGGCATTATCACGGCCATCACTTCGAACCCATCAATATCTTCGATCCGCATCGCGCGCAGACTATTCTCGTTGGCAAGTCGCTGGAAGCGGTGGGCCTGTTCGTCGTTTCCGGCGCCGGTTAGGGCAAATTTGACCACCTTACGGGCGATGTCGTTAGTCATGCGCACCGTATCATCTTTGGGGTTCGACCACTGGTCGTCTTCGACGTAGGTATCGAAAAAGAAGCCACCGAAAAGGGTCGAGCTTGCCTTGTTGAAGTCGCCGGGGGATTTCACGGTGAATTTCTGGTTGCGCCAGAGTTCCTTGCCTGCAATGTCGCAGGACTTGCGAGCTTCGTCGATATTCGCGTTGTGTTCTGGGCAGACATCGTGGTACATGAGGTACGAGAGAAAGTTGCGGATCGTGACGGTGGCCATCTTGATCATGTCTTCGGATTCGGGGTTGAAGTAGTATGGAAAGTACGAGGTTCTGCTGGGTTAGTCTTTTCAACGTATTTGATACAAGCCTGGTGATACTCACAAATAGCCCTTGACCACGACATCAAAGTCAATCTCCAGATCAGCTCGCTCCTGCGCAATGCTCGCCTGGCCTCTGGTCAGGAGGATCTCCTCGTTGTCCATTTCCTTGAGATCGTGGTCATCCACGCCGCCAAACATCTTAGGGCCGACGTCAACGCCTCCGTACGCCAGGTACTTGGTGAATATCTCTCGACGGTCCGGTTCGATACGACGGTTCTTCTGGAAGCGCAGGATAGCATCTTCCATACGGCTAGCAAGTATTAGCCCACTGCAAAGGGCAAGGAATTCATGACTCACTGAATGATAGGCCTGGTCTCATCATAGATCTCCCGCTCATGACTGTACTGCTCGGGGGTAATAGGTGCATCGACGTAGTATTCCTCGAAACCAGTAGGTTTGGTCTAGCCTGTCAGCAACTTAACCAAACATAGTGAGCCAGGGAGAGGAGTACCTTTCCACGCTTGCTCTTGGACTTCTTGCTCCTCTTCTTTTTCTTCTTCTCCTGTTGCGTGGGATCAACCCAGTCGACCGTGTTAATATTCTCTCCGTTTTCTCCCTCGTCTGGGTCGTCAACTCGGGGCTGCTGGGGAGCGTCGGCAGCGTCTTCTTTGGGAGATTCAGGCTGTGGGTTGTCGTTGGTGACGGTACGGATGGGTAAATCCTGGGATTGGACTTGGGAGTCGTCTGGGGTCTCCATGTTCGCTTTGGTGTTGGTCTTGGTTCCGGGGTAGTTTGTAGAGAGAATTAAAGAGGAAGGAGTAGACTGAGCAAAATAGCAAATATTCAATAAAAGAATAGCCAATCTACTCTGTATACCAGATATTCACTAAGAACAATAAGAAGAATAGCCAATTGAGCAGGTAAAGTAGAGGGGAGTGGTAGAGGAGAAAGGTGTCTGGTGAATGGTCCAGGTCTGTATGTTTCCATCTACTCCGTACAGAAGTACTCTGTTTGCTGCTTGCCTGTATTTCTTTGTTTAACATGGTCCATATGAAAAAGAAAGGAAAACGCAATAGAAAACAGATACATCAGGTCGGTCATACTCTATCGCCAGGTTAGTGGCCATAATAGGAAACATATACTTCGGACTCCGTAGCGAGAATACTGTCAAAACCGTTGTAAGCACTTCAAACCTGGTGTTATTTATATTCTCCGATGCTCTTGCTATCCTAATAGGCCTAACTTTCAATCTTAATTAGCACGATAATAATGCATTGACCAAGTTTGCCTGTATGCTTCTATCTCATCCCCGCTAAAACCAACAAGCAAACAACCTCACTTCCACCAGTCATTTCCTCTACATAGTATTTTCTGTCCATCATTCCTTTTTCTTCTCAACTGCTGTAATACTATCCCAGCGGCTCAGCTAAATCTGTGAGATTTTCTTGTTTATTTATTCGGCTTATCTTTTCGACTTCTTTTTATCTTTTAAACAATTCAAAATCCCCGCGCGAAAGAAAAAGCAAAGAAAAGCAGTCAAAATGCCATCGCCGTCGAAATCGGAAACTCTCGAGCACGACAACTTTGTCGCTTTTGACCACGCCGCTGCTGGACAGTAAGTTGAGCATCTATCATTTCTCATAGATTAGATGAGAGATCATGGGCTTAAGAATATTTCGCATCCTAACACCATCGCAGTGACGGCGTCCGCTGCACCCTCTCCGGTTCCCTAATCGCAAAGCCTTGCACCTCCGCAGAAGTCGAATTTTACGAATCCTGCGCCCTCCATCCTCTATTCCGGGAACTCATCCCTACCTACATCGGTACTCTCTCGTCTGCAGACGACCAACAACAGCAACAACAACCGTCCCTCGCAGTCCCCGCCGCCGCCGACACCCTGCAGTCCGACTCGACAGGCACACCTACAGAAAAAGCAACCTCTCCCTACGGGCGAAAAATCGAGACTGAACTGTCGATTGTGCTGGAGAATGTAGCCGCTGGGTTCAAGAGGCCGAATGTTCTGGATGTCAAGCTGGGAGCGCGGCTCTGGGCAGATGATGCCCGGCCGGAGAAGCGCGCGAAGCTGGACGCTGTTTCGCAGGAAACTACCAGCTCGAGTCTTGGTTTCCGGATCTGCGGCATGAAGGTATTTACCGGTGAGGATGGGGAGAGCGATGAGGGTGCTCTCACCGATCCGTACGATGCGAAGCATGAAGGAAAGGAAGGGGAGAAGGGCGAGGTGATTGAGAAGGACGGCTTCAAGCGCTACGATAAGTGGTACGGACGGTCGTTTAATGAGGGTAATGTCAAGGAAGGCTTTGAGGCCTTCTTCACTGGTGCGAAGCTGGGCGGCGTGGACCGCTCGAAGCTCGTCGCGAGACGGGTCATCGAGGAGCTCAAGCGTGTGCAGAAGACGCTTGAGATGGAGGAGAGCAGGATGTACTCTGCTAGTGTCCTGATAGTCTACGAAGGTGACCCAGAAGCGTTGGAGCACGCGCTTGAGGAGGAAAAGAAGGCCTTGGACAAGCCGCCAACGCAGGATGACGAAGAAGATGAAGACGAAGAAGTGAGCTTAGAAGAACTCCAGCAGGACGGTTCCCTGCAACTGGTTGATGTGAACAATCTGGGGCAAGCCGGGATTCCCCAGCAGGCCATTAACATCCCCATCGATCCCAGCACCGTCGCAAATCTCGGTGATGAGGACGATGACGAGGAGGATGCACCGAAGGTCCATGACCTTCGTTTGATCGACTTTGCCCACGCCCAGTGGACTCCAGGCCAAGGACATGACGAGAATTCTCTTCGGGGTGTGCGGAACTTGATCAAGGTTCTCAATGGAATTGTTGAATGAGTACTTTCATCTTCTTTTCACAGTTGGGTTTGGATCTCCGGGTGAATAGTCGCTGGCGGCTTGTACACGATTTACGATAGCTATCTACGGTTCGATGTTCTTATATAAAAAGCATTGGAGCGCAATACATTCTTTTATTATATTAGTTTCGAAAAACTTTTAGTAACCGTTATGCTCTGCTCTGCTTTGTTGTGCACACAACTATGAATGCTTACATAATCCGGAACAATTTGAACAAAAGATCGATATCGCAAACACTCCGCAGACAACCTCGAAGCATACAGACGGTGCCTCATTGCCAAAATGTTTCCTACTCGCGCTCTCTTTGCGCGGTCTGTCTGGAAGGGTAGGCCCCCTTACTACAATAATTGACGTCGGAGCACAGTGCTAATCCAACTCACAGGCCCGAACATCGTCCCGTATGTCCATTTCCACACCTGCACATGCACCCCGTTCCAATCCCCCAAATCAAACCCGAACCTGAGTTCACCAATCAACCGGAACATCCCAAATACTAATTGAAAAATAATAGCCTCCCCCTCCCCCGCCAAGTTCCCCCACCACCAAACCACCCCCCGATCAAGACGCAAAAGCGCGCCGCAACCATCCTCCCGAATTTCGTGGGCTTGAGATTCGCCGTGCATAATGGGAAGACGTACCATGAGGTCGTGATTAGTGAGGAGATGGTTGGGAGGAAGTTGGGGGAGTATGTTCCGTATGTTTGCCTTCCCTGGATTGGATTGGATTGGATATGGAGTTGGGAAAGACGAGGCTAATGAGTTATAGGACGCGGAAGAGGTTTACGTATAAGCTGTCGAAGAACAAATAGACGGGTCGAGTTTGGTTGGTTTAGGTGGAGGGTTATGTTCGTTTGAAGGTTGTGAATGCATTCTGTTTCTGGCGTTGACACGAATGTATATCTATTTCATGTGTCTATGTAAAATTATGGGAGTTTTATGGGATTTTCACTTGTATTGCATTCTGGGCCTACTTTATTTAACTTCCTAAACGCCACCATTATTGCAGTATTTGATGCAGGTATCTTTTGTCCTTAACCGTATGTACGCCAAAGAAACCCCCAAGCACAAAGCAAAAGAAAAACAGACACAACCGCTCGCCTAGTCGCAAGCTCACAACAAACTACCGATAAAACTCCCCCCTCTTAACACTAACCCCATACTCCCCAACCGCCATCCCCAAATCCTCCATCGTAAGCACCGTCCGTCCCTGCCCAGACCCCCCACTCCCACCACCCCCAAAACCAGGCCTCTGAATCCCCAAATGCGTCCCAGCCTTCCCCTTCCCCGACTCCGCCGACACACCAGCACCGCCGCCCGCAGCACCGGCTCCCGCAGCCCCAGGGACCAAGCCCGAGGCTGCGTTGAGACTGCCCATGGGGTTGCTCGCGGAGGAGCTGTTGGAGGCGCGAATGCGGGCGTATTGGTAGGAGTCTGCGGCGATGTCGGCGATGAATTTCTGGGCGGCGAGGGAGAGGAGGCGCGCGAGGTGTGGTGGTGTTTGGTTGGATCCGTGGCCCGGGGGTGGGAGGCCGGCGAGGGTAAGGTAGTGGGCTGTTACGGCGTCGGGGATCTTTCATCATGAGCTATCACTATCACAATAAAGGGTGAGAAGGGAAGGGGAACGTACAATAGGCGCATACTCATCCATCTTCCCCAAAAACTCCCTTAGACTAGTCTCTTTCTTCGACGGCGCTGCAGCCGCAGCAAGCGCATCGACCGACGTAGGAACAGCCTCCTGCAACGGATTCCCCAGTCCTTCCCCATTCGCACCAGCACCAGCCGTATTCTCGCCGTTATTCATATCGATATCTTCCTGCTCGATCGGCACGTCCAGTTCTGGGTTGTTCGCGTCAGGCTCCTGCTTCACTGCTGTTTCTGTCTGCGCCTGTGCTTGTCCCTGTGCTTGTGCTTGTTGCTGGTCTTGCGATCCGGTTGTTTGCGATGGCGACTGCGAGGATGACGCCTGCGGCTGCACGGGAGGTTGTTGTTGGTCGGCCATGGTGTGTGAGTGGCCAGTTAGGTGTGGTGAAAAATGCAATAGTGTGGTAACACGGCGGGGATGGGGGGACAAGGAGTATCTCTGTTGTGTTTTTTTGGGCAGATAGGCGTTGTTTGTATGGTGTTTGTGTTGTGGTTGACGGGGAGTATGTAAGATAGAGTCGGGCGTGATACCCAGAGAGCGGAGAATTGCTGCTTTCGGACCGACTCGATCAGAAGTCTACATAGTACGGAGTACAGGGACTACTTCGTACATATTCACTCGTGAATCAACTCGCTGTAATTATAGGTAATTACATGCCATTCTGATCATTCTGGTAATATAGATAATTTTACAACAGTAAAATAAGAAGAAACCAACGCCCCTGAACAAATTCAAGCTAATAAACGCGCGAAACCCCTAAACATATACCCAATTAACCTACGCCCTACTGTCCCATATGCATGCCCGAGTTAAGTTGATCCTGATGTTGATGGTGTTGAGGTTGCCCAAACGATTCTCCATGCACCTCTTGACCCAGAGTCTGCATGAGATTCTGTTCGGCGGTCTGGTCAAACTGGTTGTCGTGGTGGCTTGGAGGAAGAGGAGACGCAGACATCGTCGCTTCGTGGCCATGGTTCATGGCAACAGGCTGGGGGTGTGCACCCGCGAGGGCCATCATTCCCTTGATTCCTTCGACGTGCGCTTTGTCCTCTTCGCCCTGCTTCTTTTGTCGCTCCCGTGCTTCGCGCTTGGCCGCTTGGGCGGGTGCGCGAGTCTTGAGCTCACCTGTGACGAACTTGAGGTAGTACGGGACCTCGATGCCGCTCTTCAGGAAAAATAGCTTGAGGTTACGGGCTTTGTCCTTGAGTTGGACCTGGTTGCGGTCTTTCAGCGCTTCGCTGATAGTACCCCCGGGACCGAACATGGCAAGGATCTGGCTCCAGTGTGGTCCCTTTACCCGGTCCAGACCGGCCATCAGGGCATTCTCCTCCTCAGTCGTCCATGGCCGCCGCTGGCTTGGCAAGCCCGACTTGCGGCTGCTTGGTGATGACTTTGCCGATGCGGCCATGCGAGCACGTTCATACAGTACTTGCGTAGGTTGGGATTGAGAGTAGTGAGGGATGCCAGGCATGTAGCCATGGTTAGCAGGCGCGCCAGGGCCAGGGGTTGGCCGGCCGGGAATGGGCGCACTGTGGTTGTAGTGCTGGAAGTTGGCTTGAAGAGGGCTTTGCTGGAAGGTCAGTTGTCCTGGAGCTTGCTGATGCTGTTGCTGCTGTTGCTGCTGCTGCTGCTGCTGCTGCTGCTGTGGCTGGTATCCCTGTGGAGCTGGACTTTGTGAATAGGTGTGCTGAGGCGGCGGCATAGAATAATTAGGAGGAGGTTGCTGCTGAGGCTGGCTCTGCTGTGGCGGGTGATATGGCTGGGGTTGTTGGCCCGGCTGTGGTGGTTGTGGCTGTGGTGGTGCTTGCGGTTGCGCTTGTGGCTGTGGCTGTGGCTGTTGTTGCTGCTGGGACTGTTGTTGGGAGCGTCTCAGTCCATGACCTTGCAAAGCGATTTGGGCCGCACGAGCGGCACGAGCAACAAGGTCACCATGCATGTTCTTGTCGACAGGGACGTCTGGCGGCTGTGGAGCAACAGAAAACTGGCTCTGAAGAGGAGCACCCTGGTTCTCTTGTGCGTCTCCACTCGACTGGGACGGTTGTCGCCCCTTGGTTGCTTTCTTAGTCTGTGTCTGAGAATTAGAACGAACCATCTAAACAGCCACGGCGACGAAGTTAGTACAAACCTGCTGGTGGCTTATGGAATCAAAGTTCTTGGTAACATAAGAGCTCAAGTCCCGTAGGAAATCCTCCCAGTGATACTTGTCCGGTAAAGCTTTGAGCGCTTCTTCATTGTTAATATCAGCAAGAAGGATATCACGACGAGATGCTGCCCGCTTCGCAAAGTCCGCTTCGCTTGGAGCCAATGTGCGACTCGCAGTGTGTCTCTGCATCAAACGCTGCTCAAGGTCTTCGGGAAACAAATCAAATAGGATCTCAGTTCGAGTTCTTTCATTACTGTTCATCGAGGCAATGAATGCCTGGGTCTTGAGTTCAAGGAACAACGCGCCTTGGACCTTAAGCAGGCGGCCACCTTCCGGAACAAAAACTTCGATGAAGTTTTCATTCAGCTCGGAAAAGCCAATCTCCTGGGTGCCGAAGATGCTTGACACGAACGAGGCCAAGTTCGCTTTTCGAATGACATCAACTTGGGCGGGCTCTGTGAGCTCAAGGTCGATAGGCGAAAGGAAGGACTTCTTGGTCGAGTAAACCTTCTTTGTGTGGTCAAACAGGGAACGCATGGTCGCATAGGCTTGTCCATTCTCGGATTCGGGTTCGGAAACGAGGGAGGTAATGTCTTGATAGGAAGACTTGGCAAGCAGAGATAGGATTTGCGTGGACTGAAATAGAGTCGCGTAAGCATTCGGTGATGGGAATAGATTTCAGATCACATAGCCATACCAAGTTGTCCAGGATAGGGAGACTCTGGATCTTAAGGTGAGAGTTCGCCTTGACAAACACCACGCCCTTGGGAGCCTCCTGATTCGACGTGTCCTCGCTCAGCTGCTGCTCTCCCATTGCACACTGTTCTTCGACCCGTTCGGCATGATTCATGATGCTTGAAATCACTGTAGCCATATCCGTATCAATGTCAGTGCCCGTACCAGGGGCCGTGGCGCTCTCTGCAGAGTTCTCACTCTGGCTGGGGCCATTCTCGGCCGGACGTTCATTCGGGTCGACCATGCCCGCGCCCAACGCCGAGGCTAACTCCTCCTCAATTTGATTCCCTGCTGTGTCGTGTGGCAATCGAGTTGGTTGCGTTGAGAATGGCGTATCATCATCTTCAGGTTCGATCTTGCGCTTCTTCGACGCGCGAGGGGAGATTGATCCGTGTTCATCGTTTTCGAGGGGGTGGGGTTGTTTCACGTCGGCTATACACGTAGAAAGGTGCGTAGAAAACGTCAGTAACTATATCAGACTCGACACAGATGATTGATATCCTCTATCTAGTTTGGTTCTCCGGGTCGAAGTAGATCTGGGTGTAGCTAGGGGCAGCGACAGGACACGACTCACATTTGTCATCAACGGGGGCAGAAGGCGATGGAGGCACATCGGAAGGGTCTTGGCCATCAATAGACGGCCTTGCACCTCGAGTGTTCACCATTGTAGGCGAGTCAAGATGGAAAGAGTTGGGATCTTGACTTCCAAGAGCAGAAATGAGGGCTTAGGGGTAGGGCGGGAGCGTAGGGCTTTTTTAGGGGAAAGGAGAGAAGTTGAAGCGCGTTGCGGAGAAGGTGGAAGAATTTTCGCCGGCGGTCGGAAAATGCCGGAATTGCCGTCAGCTACAGAGTACAACTACAGCAAATGCTCTGAATATTTTTGTATTGACTCTGCTCTTCCTCTACGATATGGAGTAGTGACGTAGAATGCAATTCTACTAAATCTGCTCTGTAGTTAGCGAGGCGAGGTTATGACCGAGGTTTGATGTGTGGTGCCTTGTTGCCTGAGGCAGTATCTGGGGTTATATTTTCCGACGTCATTTTCCACTGCTATGTGGACAACATGCCAGTATGGTCCTCTATGCAGTACCTTTTGGTACGATATCTCCTGGTTTTCCCTGATTTACCGGTGCTCATAGAGCCATCACTATTGCAGCTTAATGGCAACCTTTTCTTAGCAAGTGCGTGCACTGCTTACTCTATGCGTCATAGATCACCTTGCCTTGTATACTCGCCATTGCAACAGTTTGACGTGCTCTATCTGCTTGTACCTTTTAGGAACCCGTGGATAATGTCGCAAAAGAAGAGGAGAGGAAAAGCTTCAGATAACGGAATTGAATACAGCGATCTATTGCTCTTCATATGAAATGTCTACATCATGCGATTGGTGCTATGCAATTGCCCCAGAAATACCCCTTAGCTGAATTGACAATTAAAAGCACTCAAACACTATCCATAGCGCGCCGGCCACTGATACACAGGAACTCGTGTCGTCACATCAACCATGTTTGCTCGAAGTCTAATGATGCCGCAAGAGCCTAAACACCTGGGAATATGGCCGTTTTCAGTGACTTTTAAGGTTGGCCCCGGAGCTCACGGTTTGGCAGCTCTCGGGTATATAGTGGCACCATGTCTTGCGCGACTCGCCCTTGTGCTTCGGCAACCCAACCTGTGCAAGTTCATTTCAGGGCAATCCCGTGCCTTTCAGTTGCAATATTGACGCTGGAGTCCGTCAATAATTGAATCACCTATTGCAATTGTTGGGTTCAAGATGTTTCCTGTTCAGCGTTGGTCTTTGGCTCTTGTCGTGGCATTGCAAGCAGCTACTTCGGCCTCCGCCCAAGGGTTGTCCGAGAAAGTCTGGGCAGTCTTCGCATACACTCTTCATGGGGACAGTGTTCCAACAGCCCTCCCCCGTCCGCAGACTTTGAGCCCGTATGGCGCGAATGAGCTTTACGCAGCAGGCTCCTCCTTCCGGGATCGATATGTTGCCGTGTATCCGGATGATTCAGCGGAGAAACTGAGGATCCAGAATCTGTCTCCATATGTGCTGGACTCAGAAGAAGTCGTCGTTCTTTCGAGCACTGAACAATCGGTCGTGGGCTCTGCCCAAGCTTTCATGCAGGGGCTCTACCCTCCTCTGAAACGGGCTGGCAACTTGACGTATTCCGACTCGTCATCTGTGTTGGCCAATGGCTCCATAATTACCGCACCCTTTGAAGGATACCAGTACCCGCAAATCTTGGCCTCCAGCTCGGACGACCCTCAGTCACTCGTGGTGGCCGGGCATGATCAATGTCGAGGACACAAAGTCGCGAGTTCTGAATACCAATCTAGCAACGAGTTTCAGCGAATCACACAAGAAACGGAGGCATTTTACATCGACCTTTACGACCAAGCACTGTCCGGTGTCTATGACCGCTCTTCCGCGACGTACAAGAATGCCTGCGATATCGCGGAGTACTTGGAATACGAGTTGATACACAACGGAACTTTGATGCACGTATTGAGTATGAAAGACATCAAACATGCGCGTTTGCTGGCCGACCAATACCTCTGGGCGACAAATGGAAGGAGGTATACTTGGAATTCCCTGTTGTCTAGTTTCACCGATGGTGCTATTCACACCATTGCCGGTCGAACTCTAGCGTCACGTATCTTGGAAACCTTTGGGACCAATGTCCAGTATCGGGGAGCCAACGAGAAAATGACCCTTGCATTTGGCGGTCCTGAGCCTGCCATAGCTCTCGCATCGCTTACAGAGCTGTCATCTAGGTATGATGGCTTCTATCCGCGTCCGTCGCTTGGTGGTTCGATGGTATTCGAGCTCTACAGTCGGGAAACCGAAGACAACCCGACCTATCCAGATCCTTCCGAGCTTTACGTTCGGTTCGTGCTCCACAACGGAACCGATACTTCCACCAGATTCACTACATACCCTCTCTTCGGATTTGGACCCAGCAATATCGAGATGCGGTACAGTGAATTTCAAGCGGAAATGGAACAGATTGCCACCCTGTCAACTCAGGAGTGGTGTCATGAGTGTGGTTCGTCAGCCGTGTTCTGCTCCGGTGTCCTGAGCAGGAACAGAGAACCGACAAACAATGGCGACTCTATGGACCCAGGAGTTGCTGGTGTCATAGGAGCAGTGGTGACTGTTGTTGTCTTCGCTTCGATTGGTAGCATTTTCGGTCTGCTTACTGCCCTCCGAAATCGCAAATCGCGCCAAGGGAAGCAGGGAGGATTCAAAAGAGATCGGAAGATGGCGGGCGATGCCGATATTATGTTCAGAAACCCTTCATGGGGCGATGCCTATACAGCTGGAAAGCAGAAGTCGGACAACGATATGAGCGGGGCGGTTGTGGTTAGAGGGCAGGAACGTTCGGGCAGCTGGGAGATGACGGAGCCTAAGGAGCGCAATAAAAACAGTCCTATGGAGACCGGAGAGTCAGTGCGCTCTCCTTTCGACGACGAAAATGAAAATGACGAGGAGTGTCTTGTTCACAGTGCTGTTGAGCCGGCCAAGGTGCGCGAGGCCGTTTAGTATAGTTTTGGATTAGAAAAGCTGCTTTTAATTCGCAGAAGCTTATTATGACCATCTAATTGATTTGATGTGTTTATTTTATTTTATTTTTCCCTTTTCCTCCCTTTCTCTCTCTCCCCCTTTCCCGTGTTGTTACGGTTGTATACCTCCACAGTTCCTTCCATCACCTACGCTGAGCGCAGACGACGCCTTCCCAATTCAGGCAGACCACAACAAACCTTCCACCTTTCGTCCAATCTCTCCCACTTCCTCCCTCCATCTCCTTTCACTCCTCCACTTCTTCAATTCTCTTTCTCCCTTTCGATCTCGCAATATTCCAATGCGTTTTTGATGCTTTAACCACTACGCCTTTTTCACTTCCAGTTTTCTCGCCCAATGAAGTACGACATCCCGACCCTTCTGGCTCTCAGCCGGAACGCTCGCATAGACATCGAGAAGTTCAGCACCCAGGCAGCTAGCAGTGAGTCTCTCACCTGAACGATTACAAGATTCGTGGAAACTAATGCCTCTCTTAACGTACACAGACAACCTGATCCGCCGGCGCAAAGCGAGCTCGAATGTCTTGACTGAGATCTCGGTCAACCACTCGAGAGACGTATCCAACCACTCCCTGCAGTTTGAGAAACCTCGCACAGGTTCGGGTACCCAGCTAAGACGCCCTGCTCGCCAACCTCACGATCCACCACAAGGAGTTATTACCCAATCCGATCACGGTTTTACCCGGTTTCTCAAGGAGCACTCTTCCCCCAAGCACCAGCGTGTCACAGCCGGAGGTCGAATCGTACCAATGGACTCTCTCGGCCCTGCTCCAAAGATGCAACTGCCGGTGGGCCAACAGGGCGTTCCGGCTACTCTGTTTCAGACCGAATCGACAATTAATGAGTCAGAGAAGAACCCTAACCCAACCACGGATTCGGACTCCAACGTCAGCAATTCCTCGACGCTTTTCTCGGTTCCTGGAGGCATTTTTCCGGAGCATACAAAGTTACTCAGTGGAAGTGGTACTTTGGCTTCGCAGTTTCAGCTTCCGGGTCTTTTTCCAAGCATAACGCCGGGCCCTGTCACGCCTGCAATGCTCCTACAGCCCAATATCCCTTTGCCGTCTGGTGGCCAGCATTTTTTTCATCCAGAGAACCAGTCTTCGGACTATTTCCCCCTCTTTTCGAACTGCAGTCCATATGGGTTGGGAGCAGAGCAGGCCAACTGGTTTCCGAGTACAAACCAAGGCTTGAACTATCATGGCGCCTCCATTCCCTTCGTACCAGCGGCAAGTCAGCCTAATTCGTCAAACTCGGGGTCTTCATCGGAATTTTCGACAGGCAGTGGCCTTAGCAATGCTACTACTGCGTTCAGTACACCCTCGACTGGTCTCGATCCTTTGTACCAGGCCACCGGATTGTTTTTTGGGCAACCATTTGCTGCACCTCAGACGTCAGCGTTCAAACAGCCTTTGCACGTCCCCAACGTCCCCCAAGGAGTACCACACGGCAAATCGTTGCAAGAGGCCACCAAAGAGCATGTATCTCTTTCCACAGAGCTTTCTCGTCTCGATAGATACATGGCCATGCACACGTGGGATCTGGACCCTAACCAGAAGCAACTGTTGGTTGAACAGCGTATCAAGCTGGTTCGGGACCTGGATGCTGTGCGGACGTACAAGGAGCAACTGGAGTTGATATATGGGCCGATGAAGTCGGGCGCGGCAAAGGCACCGTATGCACCATCCGACGCACGAACTCACTCCAGTCGTTGTAATTCGGGAAATGTTGCAAATGATAGCACTACATTACCGAATCGTGCTGCCGGTTCTACTGTCCACCGTGTTCCGTCAACACAGGGAGCTACCAAGCCTAGAAACGCATCCTCGACAGTCCCATCGGCTGACCAACAATCCAGACCAGCATCTCAACGGCAAAAGAAGGAGAACAAGAATTCGCTCGAAGTCAAGAAGCGTACTTCGACGAAGAAAGATTCTTCGCACGAAGCCAAACTGCAGAGTCGCCCTAAGGGAGCGAGTATCAATCAGAAGCCTGGGAAGCAGGAGACACAGGTGAAACCAGCCCATCAAAACGACATGTCTACTCTCCCTGGCAATACTGATGGATGGACGACACCTACTAAATCAGCACCCCCGGAGATTCGCACGGTCTACCGCAAAATCGAGGAAGCCACCAAGCGCGGTGCCCCGTTGGACGGATTGCTGCAAGAACTTGCTGCAGTCACCGCGCACCTTGTAAAAAAAGCCAGCGAAGACAGCACCGGATCGCCTCGCCCGAAGCCGAAGAGGATGCAAAGAGAAAGTTCACAGGGCCAGACCGGAGGTGAAACAGACACGGCAAGAGTCTTCCCTCAAGCTATCGGAGGAGGTGAACGACCAGCAAGACTTGCGGCAAGGAGGCAATGGGCATCGGAGGAACAACCTCGGACATCTGCGAAGGTTATAATCACATACGAGACGGACGACGATGGGGAATCATGGTCGTCCTATTCCACGACTGATTCATGGGCTACCATGCAAGAAGGAGAGTAAGTTGCTCCCCCTCTTCGAAGCTCACCTCGGATGCATAGAAAACTACTAACAGATACAGTAAACGATGGGTCGAGAGGCAATTACTAGGGGGTAGGAGCCGTGAAACGAGGTGAGACATTCCTCCGCATCTTCCCCGATATTGGACGCTAATTCCTCGCAGCAAAAGCCAGGATGCCTCGAAAAGCGCCGCGAAGACTGGAGGCCAAGTGCAGAAAAAGCTCGATACCCTGGGATGGATTCAGAGCACAAGCCCCGATCGCATGGCTCCACAGCAACTTCGCCAGTCCAGCAGCTCCAGTTCTGGTAACAACAAAGCACCGAGTCACACCGAGAGCACGAAGCAGAGCCACCATCCGTTTTTGAAGCAGTATTTCAGCAAAGACCGTGAAGGCTTGGTCCCGCAGAAGTCGGCTGCCTTGACAACATCTCAGAATGTGAATGCCCACGCTTGTCTTCCTCAATTCGACGGTGCGGAAGACACACCGAGCGGTTTAGCCTTGGGTCCGTGTTCCACGGTGTTCCGACAGTCATTCCAGCGTATCGGCGAAAACGACAGATGATCCATCCGTATCGACTTCGAAAATCAACTTTATAACAGAATTATTAGTGGCGGCTTTCTTTTCGAGTTGGTGTTCTGGTAAAAAAAGAAGGAAGGCTCAGGACAGGCCGGTGATTGGTGTTCCCATGGTTATGAATATATCGTTGTTCGGTATTGTCCAGAAGTGTTATTACCTCGTGGCCGGTCAAGCGCTGGTTACTGGATCTGTTGCATATTGTGTTTAGTGCTGAGTAGTGTTTGATCAATGATATGGTATCTTGTCTATTATAATATGAGCTGTGCAGTGCCCTGACTAGTAGTAGTAATAACCAGCAACCACTATTCACTCCCGTACGCCTAGACTAGTATTTGACCGAGTCAAGGTGTACCTTCTATGGCTCTGCGAAAGGCATTCACTGACGTTGAAATTGACTTGCTCTCAATATAATTCCAGTTAGATGAACTACTCAGCATCGATAACAAGCGTGCGTGATGGCAAGTGGCCAGAGATCGCTCTAATTCTACAGCTGTTGGAGGATGTCAATAGTGCAAGAAACAATACCGTTAAAATGTACCAGTCGAGCAGCCGGTGGAAACGACGAGGCTGTTTATGGACTCCCACGCCCAAATTTTAGGTGTTGAAAAACCGGCTGAATCCAATATGAAACAAGCCTTTCGACACGAAAGGACGTCCCTACATATTGGAACCGTTCTTGGAGAAGCAAGGAAGCCCCGTTTGGATTATAGGGCTGTATACAAAATGAGGAATTCGTTCCTCTCGCGGAACGGGAATTGCTCGTTGTGATAGAGGCGGCTGCTTTTTAATATGGAGATAATCCCCCAGATACTATCGTTCGGTTTGTTTCACCTGCTGACTCTTAAGTATGGGTGGCCGTTCTCAGGTTATACTCCCGGAAGCAACCCTCCTGTGTCCATAGAGAAGAACGACACATGTTCCGATTAATCGGTGGTTGATTATCAAGAAGTGACACTGGGTCATACAAGCATGGTCTCTCTTTCTTCCGGGACACATTCGTCGTCTGTCTTTCTGTATGGAGCAGAAACGATACCTGTTGCGATTAATCTGCGCTTGGTTACGAGAAGAGACAATGGATCATACAGGTATAGTCTCTGTTTCGACGGCCTTCTGGAATGGCATGGAGGATTGAATAGCTACGAGCTCAATGGCTGATTTGTACGTGACATTTTTATCAGGAAAGTATGCTACCAACGGAATAGAAGGGTCAAAACCGGAGTGCGAGTGCACGCGCCTAGCGTATTCTTTACGTAGATGCCGAGGCCATGCAGTACGCAACATCCAGTCTTCTTTCTTTGGTTTCTTTACTATACTAACGAGATACTAGTTGTGGCAGCCACCAACTGACTGGTTCTGGGAATACGCGTTGATGGTTCCTGATTTGGATGGAATTCCGCACTTGTCGGGTTATAAAATGCACAATGAATTATACTTCGCTGCAGCTCCAAGGGAGCCCTCACAGCTTTACGTGTTTTCGGATGTAGATGGTATCCGTCTGCTTTTGCCCCCATGAGCAGAAGTCCAGTCGAACATCTTCGAACGCAGCGAGATTGGCACACATTTTTCTTTTTCTGCGGGACTCGGGGGGATTGTGGCCGTAGATGATCTGAAGTTTCATGAGCCGTATTGGATTGAGGTTTGTATAGTTGATGCTCTGTTATTATAGAGGAAAGTACAATGCTGATATAGCTCAGATGATGGAAGGCCCTGGTGAAATAGTAAGGAAGTTCCCACATCTCCGGCGTTTTCTTGTCTTGCTGTTGCTGTCAATTGCGGGGAGGTCAATTAGGTTGGCATCTTAATCTTATTAGTCTTACTCTGAATCACACGCAACCACTAAGCATGAACGAACAAAACCCTCCACGGTCTGACATACCCGCCAACAGCACGACCCGCAGAGACCTTCCTATCCGCGAGTCCAACATTCCCGCAATACCCCCAATGCCACCAGCCCCTCCTTATCCATCCTCCGGCATATCCCCCCCAAAACTTCAGACTCTTCAAAATAGAAAAAGGAATTCCCCATCCTGGGCTATAGAGCCGGATCCCATCAACGCTAACAAACGAATCGCGGACTTGCGGTACTATATGACTGTGGAGGTATTTCAGAAGCAAGTGAATGAGATCATCCAGGACGGGGCTATTGTCCCCATTGAGTCTCTACACTTCGATAAGCCTTATTGGATAGGGGTGAGTATAGTTCATACGCGGCTTTTGGTAAGGGAGTGTTTTGACGCGTATCAGGGATTTGGCTTGATGTGTTAGGAAAATTCTTATGTTGTCAATATGTGCGATCATTGTTAGAACTGCTATATTGGTTCTTGTCTCTTGTTCGTTTTAAAATTAATTGGTCTGATACCTCGCCAGTCGAATCTACTCTACGTGCTTGTTGGCACGTGGTATATATATATATATATATATACGTCTATTAATTGAATTTATCTCTAATCCACCCCAGGTTGATACATCAACCTAGTAGACCGGAACAGCCGGAGACTCGATTAGTGATTAACAAACTCGAGTAGCAGTAAAAGCAACTGGTATTTCGCGAATGACAACGCATGCATACAAGATGGGAATGCAGTTCCCCTCGGCGAGTTGAAATTGGCAGAGCCTTTCTGGATAGATTCAGCGGCGTTGTCCAAGATTTTGATTGAATGAGACAGGTATTCCCTCGGCTACTATCGTCTGTTTTCACTTGTACTTTACTAACCTACTCTAGAGCTATGCGGCTGTTCGCATTCTGGATGGGAACATCCTGCTCAACGACACTGGATCAGATGTTTCATGCTTGATTAAGAAACCTTTACGCTTTATTGCAACAGCGGATGGGCATAAATCCTTTTGCGGGGGCTGCAACTTGCTGATGCATACCCGCGGGACTCTTCCCAGATTATGGAATATTGGGCCAAGTTCCTTAGAGACTGGTTTCGACAAGAGACTATCATAAGGCTAAATTCTGAGGATACGTTTGTACTTTACTACAGCCCCAAGGCACTCCTTTCAAATACATGCGGCTCGGAATGCAGCCGGGCTTCGTAACGGGTTTATGTTGAGGATGAATGCCTTTCACGATTTGGTCGATCATATTCACCTCTCGCTCGTCCTTCTATTTTCCGGGTCCATACGCACATGGTGCCGAAGACCGGCCGTGGGCCCCCTTCCCCTGAGAGGCGAATCGTATTGGCTCGAAGGGACGCTTTGAAATCCAGTACGCATAGTGCTGATACTTTCCTCGTTTTTCCAATAAGGAGCAACACAAGGTAAGCATCCCATTTCCGCTATCATTTTGGTTTTTGCATTTTACTTATCAAACAGAGATATTTGAATACATATGGATATCATAGGTCAATTGAATCTAGTTATTTATCAGCATGATGAACAGAAGAACGATACGTGCTCCGATTAATCTGGTACATGAATGACACTTGCTTAGATTAATCTACGTCTGGCCCGCCTTTTTGGCTTGAGGTTAGTCTTCTACTCTATGTTAGGAAAGAGAGTATTCTGACCGATTATAGGGATTTGGACAGTGTCGGGACTAGTCTCTTTGCGTTTGCTCTAGCTACGTTGTGTCAATTTCGAGTGATCCTCGGACCTCAATAATATGTCTATTGGTATTCATCGTAGGGAGGTGAGTCTTGTGGGTGTTTTTATTAGTTGGGATTTAACTATTATTCCTTCCTAGTGAATGAATATATACTTGTAGGCAAGTGACAAGCGTAGCTTAAATGAAAGAACCTGATGGCCCTCGGGGATTCTTTTCTGCTCTCTACATGACTTCCAAAGTGGCCCACGATAGTGGCCGGCTTCTGAATCTGTCGTTCCCACGAACACGTTATGGTTGTTATACTGTTCTATATATACGGACTTCAACCGTATCGCAATCATATTTATCGATTCTCTGGTTCCCACGCCCACTTTGACTGATACAGACGAAGAATTGATTCACAACGCAAACATACACACCAGGACTATGCTGGATCAGAAATGTCTTGCTCTAGTGAATAGGCGCAAGCATTGCCCCACTCGCGAGCGAAGCTGCTCCCATATGACAGCCTAGAAGTTTTCAATCCTACACGGAAACTTGACGCCTCTCCTGATATGTTCAGCATTGACGAAAGGGTCGCGGACCTGCAGACTTAATTCCTGTATCCGTCTCTCGATAACCAGCAAGGAAATCTGAAAAGGGGCGATCGAACCATGGCACGAAATATAATTCATGAAAGAGGCCCCCCATTATATACGGTCAGAACGGACAACAAGAAAGAAAGAAATATCTATCTAAATCACGGGTCACATGGTTGCTCGCTTAAGGTGCAAACAAAGGAAATGTACAAAGCGTTCAAATGATCGATGGCGTTGGCGTTGGCGCCGTGACAGATTTGAGGATTGGGCCCAATCGTCCCTTCTATGTGCTTCTCTCAAACCATCATGCCAACTAATTGACGACAAGAGTGGAATCCCATCTCCTACCACTGAGACATTGTCTCCCGAAGCACGCTGATTGCGGCCAGGCTCATCGGTGACTTAAACCAGAACCCGTGGCATGGTTAGCAACGTAGTATCTTTCAGAGTCATGCATTCTTCATATGCTTCCTGAAAGCAAAGAAACCCAAGCTTATTGCAGCCTCGGTAGATTGATGTCGATGAGAAGGTCACGTAATTACTAGAATGCGTTTTCCTTCTCTTTATCCTTTTCTCTCTCCCCCCATTCAGCCTCCTCTGACAAGACCGCTAACAATATGACTGGCACAAACACACCCAGCGAGAACGACCCATATATGACCATGCTCAACAGATCCGCGAGTAAATTTGATGCTAATTTACGAATCACGATGTTGCGGTCCTGGATCGGTCAAATGGAGCCCGGAAAGCAAGTGGATGAGATGAAAGCAACCATTCGCCTTTACGAAAAGGGAGTGTTGCAGAAATATCTGTCCTCCTTGGACCCCATAATAATACAAGGCAGGGTGATGGTTCCTATGGAGTCTATTAACTATGCCGAGCCATATTGGATTGAGGTTAGTCTTCGCCGTTTTGAGTAAGTACCATTCTCACCTAGAACAGGAGCCCGCAGCCGTGGAGAAACTATAATAGGGAAGCCGTTGTATTTTGAATTGTTGCTCTGTTTATTTGCCAGTGAAATCTACCTTGATATTCTACCTTGAGCTTTCTGTCCTTAGCTTCATGGTAGGTTCATCTAGTAAATCATAAAGTGGCAAGGGCAAGGAGTACCTGAGCCCCCGTAGGCACACCCATGGCTCCGCGCAAGACAGACTCTGGGGTGGAGGGGCGATGGCGACGCCTCTGTAGATTGATCAATCATATATCATATTATCTGTCAATCCTTCTTGTCTTTTCTGGTAGTATTCTTGCAGCATTTTGGATCTCTCCAAAGCCGCTGACTAAGCCCTCCGCGCCTCCACCCGGGCTCCAACTTCGCCTTTCCGATTGTTCTGGCTTCCTAATTTCTTTGTTCGTTGGTGTCTTCTTCTACTTTTTTATATGACTCTATACATCTCTGTGCTCAACTCTCCATTGCAATAATAATCGCTATTTATTCATGAGCACACTCTCTGTGCGCTTGCTCGGCCTCTCTCCCTCCTCAGTCGGCCGTCCCCGCGCTTTTCTCGCGGCCTCCACAGCGACTGATCGATATTGATTGTTGGATCGATCCATTAGCGATAATAACACTCTTGACTGATATCTCTACCTTTTCTCCCTCTCTCTTTCTCTCTCCCCCCCTTTCTCATCCTCATCCTCTGTTTCTCCCCCGCCGGTTCCCTGCATCTGTTCGTTCATTCCTCGGTCCCTCCCCCTTGATTAACCGGCCCTTGAACTTGTTCTTAGCCGGTTTCCTTTCTTACATATTGTCTCTCATCTATCCTCTTTGCTCTGCCTTTCTTTCTTTCCTTTTTCCACTCGAATTTTCCACTTATTTTCGCGATATCGCGGCCTCAATAATCTTACTCCAAAACCACACTTCCATCCCTGTTGGTTCGATCCGGAATTCGAGAACGTCCCTACTTCCGTTTCCCGAACATGACGCAGCTTTTCGCTTCCGGTGCTTCGTCCACCGTGTCCAACGAGAAGCGCGGGAACTTTCCAAGCTTGTCTCTACCCAAGAGCAAACATTCCAACGACCCCAGCCATTTCCCTAACAAGATCAAGAACTTTTTCCGCATCAACACTTCCGGTGGCAATTCGTCGCCATCCGGTCAGAGCACGAACAACGATCGGGATCGCGATCACCTCTCCCCCGCCGTCAAGCCCGAATCCAAATCTACTTTCAGACAGTCGCGCTTCCTACCCACCATTGGTCGCAATCGGTCGACCACTGTCGCTAGTGAGGGCAACCCTCTCGACGAAGGCGTTTCTCCTACGGCTACTGCAAACCCCTACTTCGTCCACCAAGGGCAGCCGTCCCTGCAACATCGCAACGAGGGATCCGTCCCTTCGTCACCTCCGGATACCCCCGAATTGCAAGTAGATGGTGTGTCTGCTGAAGAGCAAGCAACGACAACAAACAAGGTGGAATTGGCCCGGAAACTTCGTCGCGTGGCCTCGGCCCCTAATGCACAAGGCCTGTTCGTCAGCGGCCAGGCCGACAACCGTCCGCAGACGGCCGAGCACGAAAAGGAACCAGTGCCCGATCTATCCGATATCGCTGTGGATTCGCAGGTTAGCTTGACAGATGTTTCCGAGGTCCAAGACTCGAATCTCTCTGTGCCTGACCTTGGGCCGGATGGCAAGGTCCCAAGTCCCGGTCAGATTCGCAATTCGGTTGCCTTCCGTCGCACATACAGCTCAAACTCGATCAAGATCCGCAACGTGGAAGTCGGCCCTAGCAGCTTTGACAAGGTCAAGCTGATTGGTAAGGGTGACGTGGGCAAGGTCTATCTTGTTCGTGAGAAGAGGACCACTCGTCTTTATGCGATGAAGGGTGAATAGTCCCACAACTTTGACTTCAGGTTTCGCAAGATTCGGTTTGCTGACAGCTACTAGTTTTGAGCAAGAAGGAAATGATTAAGCGTAACAAGATCAAGCGTGCGCTGGCCGAACAAGAAATCCTTGCGACTAGCAACCATCCGTTCATTGTTACACTTTACCATTCGTTCCAGTCGGAGGACTACCTCTACCTTTGTATGGAATATTGCAGCGGTGGTGAATTCTTCAGGGCCCTACAAACACGTCCTGGGAAGTCCATCTCCGAAGATGCAGCACGATTTTATGCGGCAGAGGTGACTGCCGCTTTAGAGTACCTTCATCTTATGGGTTTCATCTACCGTGATTTGAAACCAGAGAGTATGTTCTGCATCTCTTCCACGAGCGATATTCAAGCTGACTTTGACGTGCTAGACATCCTTCTCCACCAATCTGGTCACATCATGCTTTCGGACTTTGACTTGTCGAAACAATCCGGCCCTGGTGGCGCACCTACAATGATCCCCGGTCGAAATGGTAACTCGATAACCTCGTTACCCACCATTGACACCAAGTCTTGCATTGCGGATTTCCGAACGAATTCGTTTGTCGGTACGGAAGAGTACATTGCCCCTGAGGTTATCAAGGGATGTGGCCACACCAGCGCTGTCGACTGGTGGACCCTGGGCATTTTGATATTCGAGATGCTGTACGGGACAACGCCGTTCAAGGGAAAAAATCGCAATGCTACTTTCGCCAACATTTTGCGGGATGAAGTTCAATTCCCGGAGCATACGGGGGCACAGCAGATCTCCAAGTAAGTTACATCGCTTTTCTCTGCGAAGCGAAGCACAAAGACTGACGAATGTACCTCTAGCCTCTGCAAGTCCATAATCCGTAAATTGCTGATCAAAGACGAGACAAAACGTCTTGGAGCTCGAGCCGGAGCTTCGGATGTCAAGACCCATCCGTTCTTCCGCCAGACACAATGGGCTCTTATTCGCCATATGAAGCCGCCCATGGTCCCCAACCAAGGTCGTGGTGCTGACACCGTCAACTTCCGCAACGTAAAGGAAAGCGCCAGTGTGGAAATCGGTGGCCCCAGTGCTCCGTCGAAGATGAAGGGTGTCCCGATGGATTCGGGACTGGCCACGCCGAACGGGGAAGTTTCTGACCCGTTTGAAGAGTTCAACAGCGTGACTCTTCATCACGATGGGGATCCATGAGCCCGCTTCATAACCAGTTTGACGATCAAGTTTCGATGCCACCTCCAAAACGTTTTATGGTTCGTCAACTGACCACCGCCTCGTCTTGCCTTGGTGCTTTTACGACTACGATGCATGAAAAATCTGTAATCGGTATATTTTCTACTACATATTATTGTTGCCGGAGTTTGGTGTGTTTTTAGAGCGTTCTCTTCTTTCTTTCAATCACCCAGGGCATGTCCCATGCTGTCCATGCTGTTGCTGTGCCATAATCGGGATTCTCGGGAATATTTTCTTGTCATTTGGAAGCTAGGCGATACCTCTGCCTATGCTTTGTTTCGATCTCTTGCAAGGAAGGCGTTGTGTTTGTGATCTGGCTTGTCTTGTAGTTTTCTCACCAAGCGGGTGGGCTATTTGTTTTCATTTTTGGTCCCAGAACATGGGGGAGGGATGGGATATGAACAGTCCGTATAATTTTGATTTTGCTATATCTGTTTGTGCAGTTTAGATGATGCTATTGTTGAATAGAATTGTATGAATTCTATATTATTTGTTGTATAGAGTAGTTGTAGTTGAATGCGCAAGTGTCTGGTCGCGATATCAACGGTCCGCGATCTCCAATTCCGCAGCAACAAAACTCACCACCACCATACACCCAGATTATCTACAACTATCCAATCCACCCTTCCTACTTCTCTCAAATAAAATACCATGGACGACTCCGAAATTCCAAGCACACCTCCCACCGCCACAACCGAAAGCCCCTCCAACCCCCTCCTCCGCGCCTCCAACCCCCTCGTCACCGATCTCGAACAAGAAGTCCTCGACGAATACTCCCGTCTCTTAGGGAACGTCAACAAAGTACGCCCTTCCCCATCCCCCTTTCCCCTCTACCCCCCTTTTCTTAAAGAAACACAACCTAATAACCACCGGGCGCAGTTATCGGATAAATTATCAGACCTCGCCGGCTCCCCCTCCTCATTGACACTCGACGGCCTGCGCCTCCTCGAGCGCAAAACAGCGACAGTGTGCACGTTGCTCAAAGCGAGTGTTTATAGTATTGTCCTTCAGCAGCAGATTTTCAATGAGAGTGAGGAGCAGCAACAGCAACAAGCTCAGCAGGAGGAACAACAGCAGGAGATGGAAGGAGGGGGATTTGGGGGTATGGGAGGCGGGGAGGAGAGTCAGTATGGGTATGGATTTCAGTATGGGGGACAGGGGCAGTATGAGTATGGGGAGGAGAGTTTTGGGGGGTGATTTGGTTGGGACTTGATGATATGGGGTTATGGTATGGTATTGTTATGATATTGCATGGTTTGGTTGGGTTGGTACATATATGGGATGGTTGGCGTATGGTCGAATTTTTACTATGGTTATGGAGTACGATTGTATATCAAAATTGCATACAAATACATGTCAAGAAAAGCGGATTATTTTATATACACCGAACAGAACAGAAACAGCACAACATTGTCCATACTCGTACAGCCTTATCTTCTATGCGTGACAATGAAATAACAAAATAGACAGGAGATATCATCGTATCCTTTTTCTTTTTCTTTTATGGAATTCTTCAATTCGTAATCCTCCCCGAGTAATACACTTTGCGCACATCGACGAGCTTCTTGCCTCGTGCGCGGGCAATGTCTTCGGGGTTGCGCTGGCTCATGAGGGCTTCGTAGGCGGCTTTGACAGTGTTCATGGGGTTTCGCGAGCGTTCGACGCGGGCGGCGAGGTCGTGGATACCGGCGGCGCGGCACATTTCGAAGATTAGGTGTTGGCAGCGGAGGCCGAATCCTATATTTGTTAGTTTGACGATTTAGGAAATTGGAACGAAAGAGGACATACCAGGTGCACGGTTCATCAACTTGAGCTCAACAGCTCCAACCTTACCCGCGACATCACCGAAGATGGTACGGTTCTCGTACCGCATGATAGGCTGCATGTTTCTGATCGCACGGTACTTGGACTGTAGCGCGGCATCCGGGGCTTCTTCGGACTTGGCCTCTCCAATACCCAACAGACCATTTCCGTTACCGGCAATAGACAAGCAGTATTGTCTCCGGACCTTACCCAGACGAGTCTGGTTGACAACCGAGTGGGCGACAAGGGTCTTGGTCCTCAACGACCTGATCTCCATCGCATCAAACCCAGTATCCTGCAAGAGCCTCTTGAGCGCATCCGTCATCTCCTCAGATTCCTTGCCCTTCTCCTCCGTCTCCTTCATCTCCTGCTGCTGCTTCTGCCCACTCAGATTCTCGCCCGGGCCGAACAGATCCGGAACCATCGCGCTGTGCGGATTCAACTCAGCCTCCTCCTTGCCCTTGGTCACCCGCAGCGTCTCGACGAATCGCACCCAGTCGCTCACAGACCCATTCTCCGGCATCTCAGTGAAGAAACGACCAAAGTCAGCCGCAAAGTCCTCCTCCGTCTTCAATTGCGGGTTGTACTCCGAGTTGGATTCGGGGGCCCGCACGTGCTTGTCGACACCGGGCTCGACGACCGAAAAGTCGTCCACGTAGAGGAGTTTCATGGGATCCCGACGGACGCCAAACTGGTCTGCCATGTCGCTGGGGTCGATGGATGCCTCGCCAGCCTCAATGGCAGCGATCTGCTCGGGTGTGTACACCTTCGCCAGATGTGCCTTTTGCTCTGCTGTGTAGGGTTGGAAGTTCTCCGGTTTCAAATTCCGTACGATCTCCTCCAGTGTTTTCTTTTCCTCCTCCGGCTGAGCATTGGGGTCAGTTGTCACCGCGCCGGCTTCACTGGCAGCCTTCTGTTTGGGGGCTTGCTGTTGCGGTGTGTCCGGCTTCTGATCCCGTCGGATCTCTTCGGGGGTTTTTATGTCTTCCGGTTTAGCATTGGGGAGGTCCGGTTTGCGGTCGTTAAGGTGTGTCGGCGTGGGGTGGAATTGGCGACGAGGCACACGAGGGCCTACTGCGGAGGCGCCGCGAGAAAAGCTGCAAAACAGACATCTGGCCGGGCGAGCGAGACTCATGATGACCGGAAGGGGGTCTCTGGCCAGCAGAGGCCGAGAGTAGAATTGTATAGGTAGGACTTAAAGTGGTAATAATAGAGAGAGGTGCAGTTGGCGGGAGTTGAAGATCGAGCGGAAGGGAGAAATTCTCACTTCCGCCCCGTCGGCCAATCCCCGCTCGTCTTTTTCGCTTTACATTTTGTCCGCGATTTTTCCCCAGGCAAAACATCACAATAATACAGACAGAGCTACATGTTTGGCTTGCGATCGCTTCGCTTACAGAATATATCTCTGATTTCGCGACACTCCGTCCGTTTCGCCTCTTCGAAAAACCGTTTCTCTTTCCCTAATCGTCCAATTCGCGATGCGCCAGTGCCTCCCGCTATAATGCAGCAGAACAACACTCCCAGACCGGCCAACGGCGATGCCAAGCGTCGCAGAAAGGTCAAGGACGAGGGTAGCGGCAAGCCAAATGGATTCGACGATGTTATGCAGATTGACATCGACCGATTGATCCGCCAGAACCAGCGGGAAGCCAACGGCGAAACCCAGCCCGAGCAAGTTGTGCTTCCAGAACGGTTTAGCGAGATCGAAGTGGATATCTCCGAGTTGTCGTCGACGGGTGATGGCTTGGGCTTGTCGCATGATGGGAGACATGTCTATGTGGTTCCGTTTACTGTGCCGGGAGACAAGGCCCTGGTGAAGGTTGTGCGGCATCATCCACCTTTGAACTATAGCATGACGGATTTCATCAAGGTGCTGAGCCCTGGGCCGCAGCGCAACGATGCAGGGATTGGATGCAAATACTTTGGTCAGTGTTCAGGGTGTCAGTTGCAGATGCTGTCTTACGAGGACCAATTGGCCCATAAGAAGCGCATCGTGGAGAAGGCGTACGCCAATTTCTCGGGGTTGATTCCGGAGATGATTCCGGCTGTTGACGAGACATTCGGGTCGCCTTTGCAGTATGAGTATCGTACAAAGTTGACGCCGCATTTTTTGGCTCCCGGTGGTGGAAGAAGGAGGAGGGCTCCCCGTGATCAAGCAGAGCCAGTGGAGGTTCCACCTATTGGATATACGTTCAAGAACCGAAAAATGGACATGGATATCGAGGATTGTCCGCTGGGCACCGACATTGTTCGACGGGGCCTTAAGACGGAACGCAAGCGCGTGGCGGACAATATCCAGAAATACACCAAGGGTGCTACACTCTTGATGCGCGAATCCACGATTCGAATCCCCAAAGACCGTGCTGATAACGTCCCGGCGGAGGAGCACATCGAGCCCCAGCCCGACGCAAAGGGCCGCACTGCTGAGTCCGGGGACGTCATCCGTGTCGCGAAAGAGAACTACATCCAAGAGAAGCGCTGCATTACAGACCACAACGCCACCTCTATTGAGTACATTGACGACTACATCTTCACCAACAAGGCCGGCGCCTTCTTCCAGAACAACAATTCCATCCTCTCCGGCTTCACCGAATACATCCGCGAACACGCCCTCCCTCCCGGCAACGACCAAGATCCTAAACCCATCAAATACCTCCTCGACGCGTATTCCGGCTCTGGTCTCTTCACCATCACCCTCTCTCCGCTGTTCAAGTCCAGTCTCGGTGTCGACGTTGACCCCCACTCCATCGCCTCTGCCCGCGATAACGCCCGCGACAACAACCTCCCCAACACCGGCTTCGCCGCCAACGACGCAGCCACCCTCTTCAAGGACGTACCCTACCCACCAGACCAAACTCTCCTCGTCATCGACCCCCCGCGGAAGGGTTGCAGCGAGGATTTCCTCAAACAGCTTCTACAGTTCGGACCCCGTCGTGTCGTTTACGTGAGCTGTAACGTGCACACGCAGGCGCGTGATGTTGCGGTCATGGTTAACGGAGATGCGAACTTGAATATCCGGTATGATATTGAGAGTATCCGGGGATTCGATTTCTTCCCGCAGACGGGGCATGTTGAGGGTGTTGCTATTTTGAATAGGGCTCAAATTAACAAGGATGTTTGATGTTTGAAGAAAAGCTTGATTTTTTTTTTTTTTTTTTTTTTTTTTTAATGGCGTTATGGCTTTGAAAAAGGGCACGGGATTCGGGATAGATATGTATAGTGAAACATGCTTTTGAATGATAATTTCTTCGCAACACCTCTCAATTTCTTCCGTGGCCGTTCGATTGCGTCTCGTAAACCGTTGTCCTGTTTTGCATCCTATGCATCGTATGCACCCACGTTTTGTTTCCTTTGTCAAGGGCCAAAGCTTCGTGCCCTACCGTTAATATATGCAAACAGCGTCTTTCCCACATATTGTCCATCTTTTCCCTTGTCAATTCCTTCCTGTGATTCATCCATGCTAACTATCAATCCTCAACAGGCTCTGCCGCCGCTGCTTTTCAATCCGTTGCTTTCGGTGCGTTTACTCTTGCCGGTAGTATCTTCGCTGCTTTGACGAGTATGGCGATGACGGGCGTGTACCCTGTGTTTGCTCTGGTTGTTGCTGCGGTTGTTGGAGAGGTCGTTGCGAAGGTGTTTGGACAGGGACATGGACAGACACAGTGAACCGGAGGAAGTATTCTGTTGAATTTTACTTCTAAGGAGAACTAGGCTTCAGGGACAGTTCAAACCGGAAATGTTTATCTAACAGCTCGTTCTCAGTCACCCATCATGTAATACTCGTCCAACTTTTCATAGAGAGCAGACCGATTATAAGCAAAACCTCCTTGCAAATACTTATGCATGACAAAAGCTACCGCGCCCTCTTCATCTTCATGCGCCTTGCATTCCCTCCAGTCATTGTCGGTTTTATATTCCCTACGGAAGCGACACAATGCAAAATCAATCATGAAAACCTTGAAGTTTCCATCCAGTTCCCTGCGCACGATAAGGTTCCTCGTTTTGACGTCCTTATTTAGATCCCCCGGTTGTAAAGGAGGCTGGTGATTTGGATGGTATCTTCACACACATACTGCCAAGTTTCTCTCGGGGCATGCTGAGCAAGATCGGCCAAGTGGAAACCGTCAATATCCTGCAGTAGAATTCCGGGCATGTCAATGTGTTTGGCCAGTGTTGCTCTCTGCATTGGACTTGAGTCGGGAATGACGATGCCTGCCAGGAAATGGGGGATGTCTTGTCCTTGGTGATCTTTGAGGGCTTGGTACACGTCTACTTCGGTGTGATAAAGACGCTGCATGAGATTATGGAGATCGGCTTCATTGCGGGGCGCTGTCCATTCCTTTTGTTCTTCCTCCCCTTCTTCCTCCTTGTCTTCCTCTTCCTCATCATCATCGTCACCATCTTCTCCGCTGTTATCCGACTCACCGCCATCCAGGATGAACTGATGATATTGCTTCCCAATATCCAAAGTCCAAGGATCAGCCTTCTCATTTTCTCTAGTCTGTGATGCAAAGCGCTGGTCGAAGACCTTCAACACCATATTCCCGCTCAACCCCAAGGCTGGAGAGTTCAACTGAACGACCATCACGCGTGCAAGAGTGAATGACTCAAAGACTTGGGTAATTCTAGCTTCCACTATTTCGTCATTGTAGGGGACTCCTAGTTGCAATGTGCTCTTATTGCCAACCACATAGGGGCATCTGGAATGGATCAGTATATTGGTGAATGTATTATATGCGGAAGAGGGGGAGCACTGACTTTGGACATTCGTGCTTCATTTCTTTCGAATAGTAAGCGAGGTGTATTACATATAAAACTGGATTCAGTAGCAGGGCTCTTAACTGTCAAGAAAAAAAAAAAAAAAAAAAAAAAAAAAAGCGTATCCTATGCGGAATTGTTGTGGTGGCTTTTGGACGTGAAGTCACTATCACGGACGTACGGTAAATAGCGGAGCCATTCTATGGATATTCTACCTATTTTCCTATCTACCTTGATTCAACCCGATATTGATTGAATGACCGCAATACGCGTGATATAGTATATGGCTGGCCTAGGTGACTAGGAGTTAACTATTTCTCGTCACACGGGCTGTAAGTCTTGGGCATTCTGATATGCAACAAGGATTAGCCGCGAATAACGATTCTCAAACACTGATTATAGAGTGCCGCAATATCTTAGCATTTGACTTCCAGGACCGGCTCAAGGATGACTGGATAAGAAGCCGACAACGTCGGCTGTTATTGGGAGAAAAGCTGAATGTAACCCCATTGTGATAGCAAGTCGTGCAGTGGGGCAAGCTACTGGAGTGAAGCAACGTTCACCTCTAAGAATCACGGGGAAGTCTTGATGCAAGACACTTAGAAGGTCCCAATACGGGAGACGTTTTCGGACGGGAATCCAAGCATACAGCAATCAGGATACAGAGCGTTGGAAATAACCCGCAGTCACGGAGGAAAAATGAAGCGTAACCTAAAGAAGATAAGGGCTTCAAGGCTAGGAGGGAAGAGTTACGTTGAGAGACTACGTGATGGGGGTCTTTGGCACGAAAGTCGGTTGCTTTTGGGAGAAGAGTTGGCGGCCGACACACGGGGACAGAAATCAAAAAGCGGGTGTCTGCATTACAACAATGTCGGGTGCTCTTGAGGCCGTGGAAACTGGAAGCCGATGCATGGCGACCACAATGCCATGAGCAGGTGAGCCAAAGCACCTCATCATGGCAACGCCGTTCTCAACTTCGAGATGTTGGAAAAGCCCATCGACAACGAGATTGTCAGCGCCCTTAAGGGCTATTTGTGAAAGGCGCGTAGAAAACATATGTTGCGAAGAGACCATGAGTTTGGTAATGAGGGAGTCTCACTGTTGTATGCTTCCTGTCCTTGTTGATATCGGCTTCTGATTGTTATACTTTAATCTACATGGCAATTATAGAGAAAATTCGATAGCTCATGGAATAACATAGCATCAGCTTGATAAGCAAGGGTATAAACATTTCGTCTATCCACACAATCAGGGCACGGAAATGGTGGATCTACATCTTACGATATTGTCAACAACTGCAGTACAAAATTGCCCGAGGAAAGTTCCTTGCATACGATAAGTCAATATATTCAGAAACAAATTAGACAAGGGACCCCTGCAGATCCCCTCCACAGGATTCACCGGCCCGCACTCCGTACATAGCGCTCAAATCCAGTAAGCCCGGTTCTCCTGCGCAAAGACATCAAAGCTCTTTGGCGGCCGACCCGTCACCTTCTCCACCTCCTCATTCAAATGAGTCTCGAATCCAGTCGCGGCGGCCATTTCAAGGTTGGTCAGGAATCGCGCATAATACTCCGACACCCCGACGCTCACGAGGCCTTGGTACCGATCCTCCCCGGAGAGACTGACGTGCTGGATTTCCCGGCCGAGTGTCGCGCTAAGCTTCTGCGCGATCTCGTCGTAGGTTAGAAGCTCGGGGCCCAGGATCCGGTGGTCGCAGTTGTGGGATTCGGCATCTGTCAGGGCCCGGTAGGCCACGGCTGCAATGTCCGTGGCGCTGACGAAGGGGATCTTGCCCTCGCCGCAGGCTGTGAAGATCTTACTCAGGTCTTTGATCAGACCTGAGGGGGCTTCTTCGGAGAGGTTTTCTGTCATGCAGTTAGTTTTGTGTACATCATAGTAGGAGTAAATGTGCATACCCATAAACCAACTGGGCCGAAGAACGGCATAGTCAACCCCCGTGTCCAAGAAGTGCTGCCAAACCATCCCCATCCCCGGCTTTCCGGGCTGAGAAGAGGTTCCAGCCACCAGGACAAACCGACCAACACCCTGTTCATGATGCAAGTAGTCGATAAACTCATTCATGGGCTTCCATGGCTCCGCCACCAGCGGCTCCATCAGATAGATTGCCTTGACCTTCTCCCCAGCCGCAAAGCGGTACTCAAAGGCCTCCTTCCACGATGCCTTGTCCGTCCAGTCGAACCGAACAGCCGGCATACCGGCAGGTGCGGCTGACTGCCCTCGGCGAGATGCCAAGAGGAACTGATGACCATTGTTCTGAAGGAAACGTGCAAGACGAACAGCAGTCTTGCCGGTACCACCAATGAGAAGGATGGCCATGTTGCTGTTTTGTTGGAAGTGAGCGGATAACACCGAACACAAGAAAGCAAGCCTTAAGTTACAGGATCAGCCTAGACTGGATGCGACAAGTTATATACGAGGGCGAAGCGCCTCCATTATATATCAAAGGCTCGCAACCCTGGTCCGGAGATAACAGGGCGTTAAAGTCCGGATATTATCGGGCGGCGACTAAAGTCGGTTTCTTTATTCGTTTCTGTTCGCGGCCCAAAGACTGGAGAGATATTATGCTGTATCATAGACATGTAAAGGACATGTTCTGGGCATGCGGTGTGACTATCTCGGGAGACCGAGAGGGGTGCTGCATCGTGGCGCGTGCCTGCAGAAGCGAGAAGATTAGATTTTCGCGGACAAACACAATAAATTCCGATGTTCTAGATACGAGTTTATGAGACAGAATTCGAGTTCTGTAACATTTGGTGACTATTTATCGTATTATGGTACTTTTACATCACACACGTTGTAAACATCAGTAGACTATGTAGGATGTAGATGACCTAACGCATCAAGAAGACTTTCTCACCCCCATATACCAGTACATCTTGCCAAACGGAGGCAGCACCATATCCTCGCCACTCATAAACTCCCATCCACTCACGTCCAGATCCGGTTGACCACAAATTAGCCAAGTGAGTTCCTCGTCCGTCCGTCCACGGATGCACAACACATATCCATCCACAGCAAAGAACAGTTGACTCGATCATGATCCAGTCCTCACGCAAACGCTTAGCGAAATCGCTTGGTTCTGCTTCTCGATGCCGTTCCCGCCGTTCATCGTGCAGGACCTTGCGGTTTCTTGGGCCATTCTATCAGACAAGCGTCCGAAACCGCTGTTTCCGCACTGGCTGGCGTATGCGACTACGGGTCTTACGCTGACGTTTTATCCGGCACTGGGTGTGCATTGTGTGCATTATGGTGCGATGGCGTGGGATGGTGCGCTTGAGTTTTGGCTGGGGGCGGCTGGGTTTGGGATTCAAGTTGGGTTGCTGGTTTCTTTTTTGATAAAGGCTGTGGGGAGGCCGGATGAAGAGGATGTGGTTGAGTTAGTGGATCTGTGAGACGATATGTGCATGTATTTTGCCTGTCTCTGGACTTTCCCTTTTGGGGGCGCTACTATTCAGAGGTGAACAGATACGGGAAGAGTCTACTGAATAGCTGTACTGATATCAACATGCTCGTTATCCACTGTATGAACCTGGTTCCAATGTAGATCTAAATCCGACGTCATAAACTTTAGCATAAGCATGTGTCTGGGGCCTCCGCATCCTTCCGGCTTTCATGTACAATCAACTACCGGGGATAAATATACGCACCAGGATGGACTCCGCCAGCTTTGGGGCCCAGAGGCCGAGATATGCATGCATGCCGCAAAATGAACGGGTTGCACGACAGCTATAATTTGTGCTTCTTCGTTGCAGGGTGACCTCTGTTTCGAAGCTTTCATTCTCCTGTAATACTCACGTCAGCCCATTCCCAAATCTTCACGCCAACCTACAGCCACAATGGGATTCTTCTATTCGCAATTCCTCGTCAAACCGGAGTATCCAACCCAATCCTTCGCCGGCCAAATAGTCATCATCACCGGAGCCAACGTTGGTCTCGGCCTCGAAGCCGCACGGCACATCGCCCGACTACAAGCGGCCCAGGTAATTCTCGCTGTTCGGAACCCGGACGCCGGAGAAGCGGCGAAGCGATCAATTGAGCAAAGTACGGGCCGACCCGGCGTGTGCCAGGTTTGGCACTTGGATCTCGCATCGTTCGCCTCAGTGCAGAGTTTCGCGGACCGCGTCGCCCGGTTGCCACGGGTTGACTGTGTCGTAGCTAATGCCGCTATCGCGACGCCGACGTTCAAAGTCGCCGAAGGCCATGAACAGACTATCACCGTTAATGTGATTAGTACTATGCTCTTGGCTGTGCTTCTCCTCCCGAAGCTACGCGAGATAGCCAAGCAGCACCCGGAGAGCACACCACGGCTTACGGTCGTCGTAAGCGAGACTCACGCCTGGACCCCGTTCCCCGAATGGAAGTCCAGCAACACATTCCAAGCGCTCAAAGGCAAGGACACCGCGGATATGGAGAACCGCTACGCGACCTCGAAACTAATAGAAATCCTTCTCCTGCGGGAGATGGTGACCCGGATGTCGGGCTCCGGGGTTATCGTCAACATGGTGAACCCCGGGCTGTGCCACTCGAAGCTGGCGCGCGACATTGGCTGGGGGTTCTGGATGTTCAAGCAGCTTGTTGCTCGGTCGACGGAGGTCGGGAGTCGTACTTTGGTTGCCGGGGTTAGTGCCGGGCGTGGTAGTCATGGGATGTACATGACCGATGGCCGGGTCGCGGATGAGGCCTTGTCGGATTTTGTGCGCAGATCGGAGGGTAAGCAGGCACAGGAGAAGCTTTGGCGTGAGATTTCCGGGGTCTTGGAGGGTATCCATCCTGGTATCATGCAGATGGTATAGTCAATTCGGGAGACTTGCCGAATTTCATATCTTACCTGTATCTGATTGAGGCTGCATGTCAGAAATGCTATGCAATTGTTTGGAATTCGGCCTCCGTTGTTTCTGGCGTAATGTACAGAGTAGACACGATGCAAATCATTTTTTAAACCGTTATCCCACGTAGCCACGGAGAGCAACCCCCAGAAATCTTCTCATTTCATGATATAGATCTGGCATAGCTTCGCGACTACCAAGCCTCAACGCAATCATGAGAGTCCCATAGTCTACACCACCACCAAAGACCACTGTCCTCCTTTTCGGTCCCCATTTCCTCTCCTTCGACCTCGAAAACTTCCTCCAGGTACGCTCAACCGTCAACGATCCACAGTAACCCACATCGAATGCACCTGAATATTATGCAGAATAGATCACTTTAGCAAGATCTTAACGAGATCTCCTTGTTCACCAGAGACTTGACAAGACCATGACTATAGTCACGTGATACTTTTGCCAATCGAGTTATCGAGCTTCGCCGCAGATCAGAGCTTCATTCAACAACCGTTATCCCAGCTGGAAGCTATCTGGTCTTCACAGAGTCCCAGTACGCAAATCCTGAAACGGACTGCCCGGGGCTGTAACACCACCATAATGAAATGCTAGCCTAACCTCGAGATCGAGAACCGTGTCCGACACCACTGACCGCAGTTCCTCGACAATAAAAATACCCACCATGAATCCCATAGACGCAACAGAGCACTACGAAACGAGCACCCACGGTACCTCCTCCACCTCCTCTCTACCTCTCATTCCAAATAAGGATTCTAACGAAGCAGACCCCGCTCCCTCCCTCCTAACCATCATCCTCGACACAAACCCCCACGCCTGGTCCCTCCTCGAATCCTCCCTCCCCTTCTCCCAAGCCGTCGCCAACATCCTCGTCTTCATAAACGCGCACTTAGCATGTAACTACGCCAACGAAGTCGCCGTCGTCGTGTCGCATAGTCATCAGGCGTCGTGGCTGTATCCGACGGAGACACATAATGGTACGGATACGGATGGGGATGTTTCGATGGATCGGGACCGGAAGAATGAGCATGATGGACAAGCGCCAAACGGCCAGGTAAACAAATACGAACCCTTCCGTGTCGTCGAGGAACAAGTTACCCGGAATCTACGCCAGCTTCTCGAGTCAACACCTACCTCTACGCTCACGAGTACGACATCGACAATGATGGCCGGCGCGCTAACGCTCGCCCTCTCGCACATCAACCGTCGAACAATAGCCTGGTCCGAAGCGCACGGCGGCACAGGAGACCCCTCGCGCGCCTCCGGCGACGCAACAACAATGGGCTACAGCGGGAGCAAAGAAAGCGGCCCCGAAGGCGAATTGCAGTCCCGGATACTAGTCGTGAGTGTGAGCAGCTCAACGGACTCCGCGCACCAGTATATTCCTATTATGAATGGGATATTCGCGTGTCAGAGGTTGAGAATTCCGATTGATGTGTGCAAGTTGAGTGGGGATGCGGTGTTTTTGCAGCAGGCGTCGGATGCGACGAAGGGGGTTTATATGGCGTTGTCGGAGGCGAGGGGGTTGCTGCAGTATTTGATGATGGCGTTTTTGCCGGATCAGAGGTCAAGGAAACATCTTGTGCTGCCTACGCGTGTGGATGTGGATTTCCGGGCTGCTTGTTTCTGTCATCGACGCGTGGTGGATGTTGGATTTGTTTGCTCGATTTGTCTGAGTATCTTTTGCGAACCTCCGGAAAATGGCGACTGTTTGACCTGCGGTACACATCTCGAAATGGGTGACTACGGCGCAAAACCGGCCGTCGTGGCTCGCAAGAAGAAAAAGAAGAAGGCCCGTCCAAACGGGACGGCGGCTACACCAACTCCTACGCCAACACCAGGTCCTTGACCAGTTTTTATTACCGACATGATTGTATTCTATTTCGCTTCCAAAGATTAGGTGGCACGAAAACTGGAGCGGGTATTGCGGATAATAATAATATTCAAACACTACTGCTAGGGATTTGAATCAGGTTCATTAAAGCAGAAACACCCAAGAATCCTTTGGACGTGTCCAATTCGTACCCTGAATGTCATCTGAGAGAAATATCCACCACCGTGACTGACCAACCGTTGGAACACGCACGCACGCACGAACACCAATTTGCCATGTCAGCTGTTTCAGATGCTTAACATCTGGAGAAGGATCGCACACGATAAACGGATTCGAGACGCAGATCAAGACATCTATAGATAGAATCCATATTAGCCATGAATAGAAACAAAAGTAATAGAAACATACCACTGCGAACTCGATCCTGCCATGGAACTAGGGACTTTGTGCCTAAGGCAGCTGAGTCAATACTCTAGCTGTTATACAAGTGGTCGTAGAGCATTTACCTCTTGCGCCGACAAACACGACCACCCTGGGCGACATTACCGTGTCCCTTGGTATTGCGGGACATGACCGACACGGGCTTTCTGTCCTCGCTGTTCATCGAAGCAAGGGCCTATGTTTGGTCAGTCCCGTAGCACCATCTCAAAAAAGGGGCTGACTTACAAAAGACTCGGTGTTATGACCAAAGAAGAGGTAAATCCCGTCGACTGTCTTCTTAACCGCCATAATGCCGATTGCTCCTTCGCAATGGCTGCGCTTCACGCCGGGGTGTCCTGCAACAGTCAGCTATGATATGCCAACAGTAATGACTCAGAAAAGTGAAATACCAAGAAAGTCCGTGACTATCGACCCCTTCAGAGCCTCGTCTTCAGTGACCTCCTTGAACAGACCATCCTGGCACTTCCGTTGACTGTAGTAGATCCGCAATGCACAGGTGTTCGCTGCCATAGTTGTCGCAATATGCTCACCGGTTCCTGAGGTGACGGTAGCCACCTGTGCTTTCTCGGGATCACTGGGATCCGCAGGGATCACAGCGGTACCTATACCCAATAGTGCAGCAGGCCCAACTCGACCAGGATGTTTCATGCCAATGCCGCCTGAAGACGACCCTGCAGCAATATTTCCAAAGCTATCGACTGCTATTGCTCCCACCGTATCAGAGACATCATCTGCGTCATCACCGCTGCGCAAGTTTGGAATGAGAGAGTCTGGCAAGGCGTCCATATCCATAGTTTGTTGGATTTTTGCGCTACTGGCTTCTCCAGAAACGTGATCCTGGACTTGACTTTGAAAAGAACCAGGTGGAAGCCCCGGGAAGTTTGCTTGATCGGCATTAGAGGTCACAGGAGTTGCTATACTTGAAGGCGTAGTGAGCAATGGGCCCGGATTGTATTGTAGCGGATGACGAATGTGCCGATCATTGAGGTTGTTCTGATTCTGTTGTGGCCCAGCTTTCTTCTTTGCAACCATCTCCACATGTCTTAGTTCACAGCTCCAGCGTTTCCATCGTTGTTTTGCTCCTTCTGCGATGAGGGCGTCATGGTGGAGAACGGGCAGTCGATTTTCATAGGCGAAATCAGTCGCTCCTGATCCAACGAGGAAATTCGGAGGTACTCTGTGCAAGGACAACGGATTTGACGAGGCGTCAAGAATAACACGCGCGAGGGATATTGGATTTTTGACGTCTGCCAAAGTGAGACTTAAGGCCAACAACTGAGGATAAGAGGCAACACTTACGAGAAACTGCACCGGCTGCACCACTTCTCCCCTCGTGGTCGATAATGGCGGCGTCACATTCGACCTTCCCATCTAGTGTGAGGTTGCTGCCATAACCCGAGTTGGTGATTTCCGAGTCCTCCAACAGCATGATAGCAAGTTCGACTGCGTCCACAGCAGAACCACCGTTCTTTAGCAGGGCCATTGCTGCTTTTGCAGCGCTGCTGAAAGTTAGAAAGCTTCAGTGGGGGAATCACGGATGGGACAGTACTCACTTCTCGCAGGCCTCCAGGTGGGATCGCTCATTGTGGTGGCTGTGGTAACCGGCCCCAGCGTGGACGAAGATGGCAGAGATATCACCACTCTTCCGTAGTCGACTCATGATGACTGTTGGTGGATGGAGAGGATGAATGGTCGTCTAGGGTCGAGTAGCTGTAGAGTATAGTCGAGGACAGAGGGTGGCCTCGAGTTGAGAAGTAGAGAGGTCGAGTATCATTCACTGTGACATAATAGGCTTCATTGGTTTGTGGCTGGACTGGCAAGACAGAGAGCGAGGCGAGAGGACACGCGGGGTTTCTGGACGAAGTGCCAGAGAGAAGATGATCAGAATCCCGAGGACTGAACGAAGAATAGAGATAGAAATAGCTCTAAAAAGAGAGTGCAGATTCTAGGTGATGGTATTATACAGAAGGACTGGCTAAGGTGCGAATGCAGAGAAGAGAAGAAAGAGAATAAATTGTAGAAGAAAAAAGTAGTTTAAAGGTGAATTCCTTGAACGAAGAGTGAAGGAGAGACTAGAGAAGTACCTTCCTCATTTTCAGGTGTAGAAATTGACTGCACAGGAAGAGGCAGTTGCCCTCAAGTATTGTCCACCATTGCTGAGTCAGTTCCAGCTGACAAATAGCTCTATAGCAGTTCTATGGTCTATTCCCACTATACGCCAGATTTTCCCAAAATGGCATATATGAAGCCGCAAATAATGCATCTCGTGCCGTCCGGGGAGAAACTCACATGACGTGGCTTGGCACCGCCCCAGCGATACCGACTGCGAGTCCCCGCTAGTACTGTCTACTTCTACTCCTCTTCCTGTGTTTTCCCAATACTCTTTTGCTCTCTTTATTTAATTCTACTACATCTCTGTCTATATCGCACAGGTTTCTCTTCACCGCTGGTTCCGGAGGAAGAAGCGACACCCTCGTCCCTAATCAACCATGGCGTCCCAAACCCCAGCCGTTGTCATGGACAAGTACGTTGTTTGCTGCGATTCTGACTCTTTTTCATTACACTCGAATTGACTGACATTTTCCACCATATAGCGGTACTGGATACTCGAAGCTTGGTAAGTCCCATCAAAATATCGCAATCCCGCACCCTTAACAATACGGAGGAAAGCTACGGGGAGCTCCAAACTGACCACGTATGTTGACTAGGTTTCGCCGGTAACGACTCGCCTTCGTTCGTCTTCCCTACCGCAATTGCCAACAAAACCGGTTCCGGAGGGTCTTCCAGACCCGCCGTTTCAAACAAGCCATCGTTCCTGTCTGGTGGTGGTGGTGGGGCAAGCTCCAACCTGTCAGTGAAGCGTGGCGCGGAGGACTTGGATTACTCTATTGGAGATGAAGCTTTGGCTGCTGCCAACGGCCCTGGATACGACCTCAAGTATCCTATTCGTCATGGTCAGATTGAGAATTGGGACTCGATGGAACGGTTCTGGTCCAAGTCGATCTTCAAGTACCTCCGGGTTGAGCCCGAGGACCACTACTTCCTTCTTACTGAGCCGGTACGATCTTTCCTCACCATACTGCTCTTTATTTTGTCGGCCTCTACAGTTGAAATTTGGGGTTGTGAGTTGAAGGCATAGCTAACAGTAGCGTGGTGACAGCCCCTGAATCCCCCCGAGAACCGTGAGAACACCGCCGAGATCATGTTCGAGTCGTTCAACTGCGCTGGTCTCTACATCGCCGTCCAGGCCGTCCTTGCGCTGGCTGCATCCTGGACGTCCTCGAAAGTGACCGACCGATCTCTGACCGGAACTGTCATCGACTCCGGTGACGGTGTGACCCATGTTATCCCCGTCGCGGAAGGCTACGTCATCGGTTCCTCCATTAAGAGTATACCCGTTGCCGGTCGAGACATCACCTACTTCGTGCAGAGCTTGCTTCGTGACCGTGGCGAGCCCGACAGCAGCTTGAAGACCGCAGAGAAGGTCAAGGAGGAATACTGCTACGTGAGCCCCGACATTGTCAAGGAATTTGCCCGCTACGACCGCGAGCCCGACCGCTTCCTGCAGCACACCGTCAACTCCCCCAACGGCCGAACGGTCAACATCGACATTGGGTACGAACGCTTCCTGGCACCCGAAATCTTCTTTAACCCCGAAATCTACTCGTCCGACTTCCTGACCCCCCTGCCCACCGTCGTCGACGGCGTTATCCAATCCTCCCCGATTGATGTTCGGAGAGGTCTCTACAAGAACATTGTTCTGTCCGGAGGATCGACCCTATACAAGGACTTTGGCCGGCGTTTACAGCGTGATATCCGTCACTTGGTGGATGCTCGCCTTCGCGCTTCGGAGGCGCGCAGCGGAGGAGCCCGGAGTGGTGGTTTGGATGTGGCCGTCGTGACGCACAAGCGGCAGAGGCACGGTCCTTGGTTCGGAGGTAGTTTGCTGGGCCAGACGCCTGAATTCCGGAGTTACTGCCACACCAAAGCAGAGTACGACGAGATTGGTCCCAGCATTGTCCGCAGATTCGCTTTGCTTGGTGGCCCTGGTACTTAGTTTAGATCCGACGTGCAGCGCGTTACTAGCCTTGTGTTTCTATTACTTGTCTGTCCATAGTTTATTAAGTGTTTCTTTCATATCAGCTCTATTGTCATACAATCGCGAAAATAGAGAAAAGGAATTGCTTTAATAGATCATTGCCCCCACAACCAGGTACAGTATTCGATGTAGCTTGGCTCTTTTCTCCATACTGGACCTACCAAAACCTAATTCACAATCTCATCATGAACCCAAATTGAGCAAGCTACCGGCTGCAGAAAGCGATGAATCGACTTGAAACTAAAAGCACTCACAAATCATCCTGATCAAGCACAGCTTGAGATTCACGGTCAACTGGGACCTCGTCTCCCATCTCGAAAGGACCAACGACCACACCTGTGGCCCATGCAGATGCAGAGTGGATCGAGGACGATATAACGTTCCTCCAGACGTGACGCCGCTTCTCGGAGGTAAGCATAGTTTGTATAATAGGCCTGTTCTGTCCAGTTTGTCATCAGTGGCCCTGTCCTCTTCACTCCTAGTAACAGCCTATATTTCCTCATGCCGATTTGTTCTTTTTCCTCGTCGGGGCAGCTGGAGGTGCATCGCAAGACCATTACACAGTAAAGGTCTGGTCTGGTTAGAGATCGTTTCGGTGTGCAACAGCGTCTTTATCACTGTGGGAGTTCTTGCATGTCTTCTCCCATAGCAACCGAAATTTCTAATGTCTATGCCGTTGGTGAAAGGTGTGCGCAATGTGAGCATGTTATCAGCCATCACTACCCATCAACTCTGTGTATCCAACATTCATGGGTTTTATGATACTGCTCGCTTGTGATTCTTTAACCAGGCGACCGGAGCAGGATCAATCTCGATGGCCTCCATGATCGGTGGACAAGATGAGACTGCGTACATAGTTTCACACATGATATCAATATCTACAAGAAATCTCGACCAGGAAAAGGAAACCCGCATTGTGACTTTGGGCGGCTTTTCTGACACGGTGGACTGCATATTTGTCGGATGCCATCGCGGTTTGTTCTTTGTATGGAAGACGGTTTTTCTGTGAGAGTTCGATTTGTTGTCACCTAAGATAGTATCCAAAAACACCTCATATTGTGATGGGCGATGGTTGCTTTGATGATCCATATTATGGGCGTTGATACAGCTATTGCATATCGCCCATTGCCATTATCCTTGTTCTTGAGCTCTCGAACCACGATGCTCCTAATCTGTATACCTTCTTTTGGTATTTGGAACTGGCGGAAGACGACATATCGTTCTTGTAACATTTTCACTTGAGCCCCTGTCAGCTCTCCTGTGCGTCTTATGGCTTTTGTACGAAAACCAATTTCTGTCGACCGAAGCGTGCTAGGAAACAATCGAAGACCATCGAATATAAGCTTGTGATGCTTTCCGACAGCGCATTAAACAACCCAGTAAAAAGGCTTTTGTTGCAAGACAGGAATTGTATCGGACCCGCTTTCAAGTGCGACATCTCTTGATGTCATCGGAAGATCTCGTTTCACAAGTCATGAAGATATTGGTAACGGAAATAATATCATATTAGTTTCAAACACAATCAGACCAGCCGTTTACCATGACTGTCGATAGTAGATAGCAAGCTAGAGGGGGTGTAGTCCTTCAGATAGTCCTTCCAATAGGTACAGTGTTCCTTCCAATAAAGAATAATACCGGAGAACTCACATACAAATGAGAAGCAGGGAGTGGGGGCACAGCCTGGGGTAGGAAAGTACATGAAAGATGCTTTTGTTTGAGTTGTCAATGGACGTCACCTGCAGTGGGAATGTAGGGCAGACTTGTGATGAGATGGAAACCTGACAGCATCAATATAGATAGGAAGATAAAACCCCCGAAGGTAGGATGAGAGGCGGCGGAACAAGTCCCTTAGTCTCAAAACATCGGCAGCAGAAGACACTAAGACATGCAAGGTATATAGCTGAGTGTCTGTTTACCTGAACCGGACACTTGCGAGTTCGCTTCCTCTCTTGGGTCATGCTGGCCTCTCGAATTCGTGCGAGGAATCTTCGCATTCAATGCTTTCTGCGGAGAAACGAACATGTGTCGTCTGCGTAATGGATGCATATAAATCTGCTGTTTATCAGCAATTCCCTGCCCCCAATATTCGCTCTCTGGGTTGCAAAAAAGGGCATTATATTGATGTGTGCGTAGTTCTTCCATTCTAGTCTGTACTGGGAAGCGCTTCGGAGTGGGATCAACGATCCTTGGTGGCCGTCGTAAAGACGCACTGTGGGAAAAGGCATCCAAAAAGGACCAAGAGCATAGTACGTGGAAGTTCAGGAAATCAAGACAAGGATCTGCCACATGTCCTGCATAACACGTTACACGCTTCGGCTTCGACAAAAAGTAAGTTCGTTCCCAGTCAGTCCGACTTCTCTTCCCCAATAACACCGGATAGCCGCAGTATCCAGAAAGAAGCCGATTACAATCTCATGATCTTGGAGAATACGATTGGAACAGAATATAGACAAAACACACGTTAATAGCAGGCCCTGAAAGGAGTGAAGCACTCAGAATGCATTAGTCCTGGTAGGAAAGTGATTGACCTATGAAGGCTGGCATTCACTAGTTCAAAGTTATGCCATTTTGTGAATGCACCGTCTATCAGGTTCCTTGGTTAACGTCACATTCCGTCGTGATAGGGTATGATGTCAGATACAATGGTTATATAGAGCCAGCTATCTACAGGGCTGAGTAGTATCTCATCTTATATCTGCTACAGCTCAATTGATCAATTGCAGAGATTCGCACCATGTCCCCAATCCGCATCCCGAAAACGGGCACCCGAACAGCCCTAGACCCCCAAATCCAAACATTCCTCACCCAAAACTCCTCCCTCCAACTAGGAGGCACCGATTTCCTCGCCGAGCGCAAACACCACACCCAAGTCTTCGCCTTCCACAACCATCCCCCAATCCTCCAAGCTTCAATTGATTATGCTGAGTTCACGGCAATCCGCGGCCCTCACGGAACGATCCCAATTCGTGTGTTTTACCCCAGAAGCGGCGAGAAGCAGAAACAGACGCGAGATGCCGCTGCATTAATCTACTTCCACGGTGGAGGCTACACAGTCGGGACGGTGGATGAGTTTGAGAACGGCCTTCGGATACTGGCGGAGGAAAGTGGTGCGCAGGTCTACGCGGTCGAGTACCGATTAGCCCCCGAATGGCAGTTCCCAACACAGCTAGATGAATACCAAGCGGTTCTGGAATGGGTTGAGGGTAAAGGCGGGGCAGAACGAGGAGTCAACCCCCAACGAGTCTGCGGCGGAGGCGACAGCGCCGGAGGAAACATGACCGCCGTGATGGCCTTACGCGTTAAAGATGGCAAGGGAGGCAAAGCGAAACCCATGCGCGCCCAGATTTTACTATACCCCGAAGCGCGAATCCCATTTGATACACCAGCAGCGTCGGAAAATAACTCGGGGATCTACTTGGAGTGCAATGGGATCTTCTCGTTCGCGCATCACTATCTCCCCCGTGGAACGCCGCCGTCGCATCGGTATATCTCGCCCGGGATGCAGCCTATCTCGTCGTTACGGGATCTACCGGCAGCTGCGATCTACACTAATGGGTTCGATCCGTTGCGCGATGTCGGGGTGGAGTATGCGTCCAAGTTAGACGAGGCGGGTAATCAGGTGGTGTGGCATCATTTCGATACGCTGCCGCATGGGTTCTTGCAGATGGCGCCGTGGAGTGAGAAGGCTATGGAGGCGACAAAGCAGGTTGCTAATGATTTGAGAGAGCTGGCGTATGGAAAGTAACTGCACTTTGTATATGTTCAACGTACTCCTGTATATAAACTGCCGATCCGACTGATATGACGTCATATGTGCTTAGCCCTAGTAGTCGTTCATCCATGGAATCTCCCATTTTTGTCTACTTTGAAGTTATATAGGGGTAGCAGGTCTCTGTAAATACATGCACACTATACACTGGACATCGGTTGATTGATAACTGTATACAAAATGCACGTGTTTCCTCGTGTCTTGACATCATGTGTCGTCATATTAAAACAAGTGGATACCGAGCAGAAACAAGACAAAATTATCCGGTGCACAACTAACAGCCACCATGAATAAAAAGGACCAATTGTACAAAACCTACTGCGTGTCTGTTAGCCTTGAAACCTCAAGGATCCCACCATGACCGGCCGCGTATCTATTGGACAGCGCATCCGCCAGGTCTCTTGGGGCTGGTACGCCAGCTCTATGAGTACCGGGGGCATTGCACTCCTTCTGAACCAAACACCGCATCAATTCACGGGCCTTCATATTATTGGAAAGATTGTGTTTGTCCTGAACCTGGTCGTGTTTTCATCGATAAGCATCGCAATGGGCATTCGGTTCATCAGCAAGCCGTCGACGCTGAAGGAATCATTCCAGAGCCCGCAGGAAACACATTTCTTCCCGACTTGTGTGCTGGCAATTGCGACGATTATCATGGGTATTTCATCGTACGGCACATCATCTTGCGGGCCGTGGTTACTGGTAGCACTGCGCGTGCTGTTCTGGCTGTACGTCGCCATCGCGATAGTCGTCGCGATTTTCCACAACTGGTACCTCTACCACTCGCGCATGGCCAATTGGCAAACCTTTGCACTCCTTCGACTCCTGCCCTCATTTCCTGCAATGCTGTCAGGAACCATGGCATCGGTGCTCACGTCCAACCAACCCGTACACCACGCAAAACCGATGCTCATCGGCGGAACGACACTACAAGGTTTCGGCTTCCTCATGTCCCTCCTAGTATACGCCGAGTACGTCTTCCGCGCAAACAAAGACGGCCTACCCAAACCCCTCGAACGACCCGAGATGTTCATCGCCGTCGGCCCCTGGAGCTTCACAGCAGTCGCCCTGATCGGCATGGCCCAAGTCGCCGTGGAAAAATGGCCCCAGCGCTACATAATCTCCGTCGCAGACACCTCTTCCTCCTCACCAACCTCGGTATCCGCAGCAGATATCGCACTAGTAATGGCAACCCTCTCCGCAGTCTTCATGTGGATGATGGCGTTCTTCTTCTTCTGCATCGCGGCCATTAGCACCATTGCCGCGTGCCGAGTGTTCAAAGGGAAGGGGAAAGGGGAGCTGGGGATGTCGATGGCGTGGTGGAGCATGGTGTTCCCGAATACGGGGTTTACGTTAGCAACGATTGATATTGGGGAGGCGTTGCAGTCGGAGGGGATATTGTGGGTTACGAGTGTGATGACTGTTTTGCAGGTAACGGCTTGGTTGAGTGTTGCTGTTGGGATGATTTGGGGGGTTTGGAATAGGGAGTTGTTGTGGCCGGTTGAGGTGGAGGACGATGATGATGGGAAGGGTAGATGAGGTTGTCTTTGATTGTGTTTTATTTGTTTCTATATTTTGTTTTATGTTGGTGTAAATATTTGCTTTTGCATGTTATATATCCATAGAATTGCATGTTCATGTCCAGATATTTCATGTTCCATGTACTGGATCGCTGAAAGAGGAGATCTGACCACATCGCGGAATGGTTCCCCTGGTAGAAAATTGGTGCCCGATACGCTTGATGACATGAAAAAACCTGCCAGCATGCCAATTTGGAAACTCCCACATAGAGGATCGCAGGTTCTGAGCTCCCGAGAAAATGAATTTTCACGGCAACCTTCGCTGTGCGGTGTTAGGTGCAAAAACGCCTGTTTGAATTTGCCCTGAGCGTCCGGATAGGATGCGTCCGAACGCAACTCGTCCCCTTCGCAACGATTATTTCGAGGATGGCTCCAAAGGTTGAATGCACCATTTAACCGCTGTTGTGAGTATCATCACGAATCGCCGCTGAGTAAATGGGGAATGTTAATGAATGGGCGTGATCAATTGGTAGCGCGCACGCTGATTACGAATGCTTCTTGGTCGACCCACGTAGTGGTGGACACCTGGCGACTGCTCTCGATCGCCTGGCCGAGAAGCTCAGCGACTTCCTGTCCTAATATGTTCTTGCAATAGCCCTCCTTCCAGTTCCCCACGAGCATCCGCGCGGCGTGGCGTCGCTTGGCCTGATAACACATGTGAGCAGTGGTCTAAGATTTTAGTTCTCTACAGCGGAGATTACTTACTTCGAACGAAATGACGGGGATCTCGTCAAATCTGCGAGAACCTGAAATCCATCTCCCATGAATAAGAAAACCACTGCCGTCGCTCTTCGCAATGACCGGGCTTCTTTGCCCGAGCCAATTACGCATTGGCTGGGATCCTCTGCTCTTAGACAGGTTTAGTCACTATCACACGCAAGAAGGGAAGACTGATGAGGGACATACGTCGAGAGATAGTATGTGTACTTTGTAGTCTGGACGGACGGGAAGTTGTCATGGTTGTGGATCGGGCCAATGAGGTTTCCAAGCGATACTCGGGTAACCTCCTCGTTTTTGTCTTCATCAGACTTTGATGAATATTCCGAGTCGGGGCTGGCGTCCCAAGCGTAGGATGTGGTGCCCTCGACATGGCCTGAACGAGTTTCTCCAAGAGTTTTTCCAAGAGCCATCCTTCAGAATTGCCATAAATATAATAACGATCGCTGTATCGGTATGCTGTATGAGCGTCTCTCCAGGTTTGATGCTCAATGGGTCGGTCGTTAAACCTGAATAATCATTTGCGGGGTCAGCGTTGAGGTTGACTGCTGTCGTGTGAAAATTGCCAGCAAAAATGACAAAACAAGTGCAGAGTAGGCAGCACTAAGCGCAACCAATAAAGAAAATGACTAAGAAATACCTTGAGCCCAGAATGTCGGTGTCAAGATCATCTGAAGAAGACTGACCTCTGCCTGACCACTGTACATGTAAGCGGCTGAGCCAGTCAACCAATACAGAGCCCCTCAGGTCCAAAGGACGGTGCTGCAGACCCAATGGATCTTATTAGTTGGCATGGCCTTGCTGTTTGCCGTTTTCAGGTAGTCTGCAGTGAAATGCCTTTTGCAACATCCTCATTGCGACGATTTCTGGCAGGGCTGTATATTCAATACCGCGTGAGCGCGAGAGTGAGCAATGCGGTGTTAGACAGTGGCTGACACTCGCTGGGAAAATATGTTGAGCTTGGCAATGAAGAAACGGGCTGCTCCTGATATAAACACAATGCAAATCAATCCTACCTCAAGATGGTCATTGCACCACAGGCCGACATCCCGGCCTCTGAACTACCAGCAAAGTCAGCCACATGTTAAGCATTACAGCAGATCATACCTGCTACTAACCTTCCTTCGACACGAAGGTATAGTTCAAGTGAAACGAAAGTAATGTGGACAAGCCGCTTCCGTTGAATGTCCCATATCTTTGAGGGTGACGGGGAACGATTGGGCGACAGCGAGGCCCACTAAAAGTCAAAATGGGATGTGGGCGAGCTAAAGTATTTGCTATAGGTACTTGCGAGAGCCACCTTAGCTCCTTTGAATGGATATTAGTATAGAGTATAATGCACGAAATATTGCAGAGAGCCTTGGTCATGCCCAAATACTCGAAGCACGGTAGAGGCGTTTTGAAGTCTCTACTATTTGCGCGGCAGAAGATTCGTTGATCTGATAACTGACGGTGAAACATCACTTTCATCACATCTTTGCTATCTTTAACCGCATTTCCTGTCTCTTGTGCTGTATACTAATATAATGGTATAGAGTACTCCGTATTTCTGAGTGATTCCAGTCTGACCGTGTGCAATATTGGTATTGCTCTAATAAGATCGTTGCATATCGAGTAAGAAGCAAATATTGGCCTGGCGAAATGTTCCATACCCGTCATGACAGAACGTGTTGCATTAGGGCAACATCAGCTTTCCAGCCTTCACTGACGTACGGGTCCGCAACTAATCCGGTCAACAGCTGCAAAGACCCAAACCACGCGCAAAACGTTTGCAGACGAAAAGAACCAGTTAGTCAAAACCGGAGCATCTGGCTTGGCATAACTCTGCTATTGACGGCCCGTAGATATTCCAAGGTAAAACGAGCGCCGCTCATCTTTATGTTTGTGCCGTGCACGCTCACGACGAACAGCTGCTCTTCGTACCAGTTTTCTGTGGGTCTCTGCCGTTTCTCCATTGCTTAACCTAGCAGTTCTGCCACATATCCGAGTGTTCGAAATGGCCAGCTCTCATAGATGCTCCCTCTTGTTGCCAGGTGCCGTGGATATAGTACAATCCTGTCCGCTCTTGATGCCTGTCAAAAGAGTCTGCACCTCATAGTCTGCCATTATCCCTGCAATGAATGGGTCATACTTCCTGACCTGGGATGTCGGACCAACGGTATTTATCTTATGCAGGCCTCAAATGGATACCTGCGGCATCTCGACGCTTTGCCTAAGAGTGCATGTGCGCTGCTGTACGGCGGAGAGGACTTACTTCGAGTGAAGCGACAGGGACCACGTCGTATGTTGTCGACACTCTGGCTCCACGAAATGACACAGAATAGGGAGTGTCTTGATCGACAGGTCAAAGGTCATTCAACCTCTGCTCGGACATATCCAAATCTTGAAGGCTTCGACTAACAGGCCACATTTCGCTTGCTAGCTGTGTATTAATGTCACGTGTGGGTGGAATCAATTTCCCATCTCGAGACTTGATTCAGGCCGGTCGTCTTCAAGTAATAGTCAGTCCTTATTGTTGGGCTTTGTGCCATAATGTAAACGAATCACTTTATCCAAGCACAATAGTCGAACAACACACTAGACACAGACGTTGGGGGGGGGGGAGTCCTCGTCTCCCATCCAAGAACCCAAGAACCCAATTAGCCATTTCCAGCTTACAATACCATTCATTCTTTTTGATTATTGGTATATGGATCACGGCTGTAACGCCGTATTGCCCAATAATCATGTCAATCGTGAACTAGGCGACGAACATGTGGCAACCCCTTTCCCGATTTGTCATCTCGATGCCGTATTGGGGCTGGGAGACCTTCCTTCATGACCTTCTCTTAGGATTGTAGGCGATGACTGGACGAGCCTTCCGCAGATGGCAAATAGGACACGCTTGTCGCGTCGTTGAATACCTTTCTGAACGCTTTACTGGTCAATGGCTTCGATGTATAGCTTTAAGTTTTTTTTTTTTGTAGGCTGAGAAAGCTGGTATGGTCCTGTTGGTCAATTTCTGTTTTCCGGTGTTAGCTCCGGTCTTCAATTTTTGTTTCCCACGAGGTCTTCAGGGTCTATTACCATGTTTCGAAATTCTTTCTGTACTTACAGCTTCATAAAAAAGCTGTTCTTGTCGAGATTAACATGAGAAGTAGTCGCTTCGTCTCTGGTTGGGAACCAACATTGTTGGAGATATGTCCGATTAGAAGTTCGAACTTCATTCTGCTCATATACCTGCGAATGGAGGGTTCCGAGCCAGTGTACCCATAATTCCGAGACTATGGGACACGTAATTCCACTCGCGCCAAAAGGCCTTCTTGTACGTGGGGTGAAATCCTCTGCAAACTCATATGTTCGGTGTGTAGAACGTGCACGTCAACAGGGCGTCCCATTTCATATATCCCATCCTCAAGCACGATCGATTATTGGCCAGAGCTATAAGATTCATCCGTGTTTGTATACGTTCCATCTTGGTCTTTTCTCCGGACTAGGGCCATACCGGCCATTCTTCCACTCATCTGCTACCGGGAACCTCTTGAAGAGCAATGCCCTTTAAAGACCCAGTAGTTCTTCGAAGGTAATAGGCGAGTATGAGCGTTATCACGCAAGTTGTTCTTCGGATAGTATGACATACGGGATATTCACTTTCTGGAGTCCGAGCATAATAATTGTGGTTACCAATTTGTACCACGCCCGATTGGGGTCTCATTTGGTTCGGAATTCCAAGCATGGTTGTTATTCTCTTTGCATCTTTGTTGCCCGTTGTCGCCATCTTCTCACTGGACTGAAAAAGGACAGCACCAAACGGTCACAATAGCGGAACATCACGGGTTGCAACATTCCCGTAGTACGTACGGCTCCTGACGACGGCATCTAACCAAGACATTACAGTCTCTAGCAAGGCGCTAGGAGCTCATACCCAAGCAGACACGCAGTACCGTTTCATATTTCTTGTGTTTTGTATCTTCTTTTCTCTAGAAAATGGCCACTATAGAAAGTTAGCCCTCATGAATTGCCCCGCACTCATTCCAGACACGGGGTAAAACCTCACCAAGCGCTGGGCCAAACCAGCTCTCAAGATCACCGTGCCGGCCTGACCACGATTTTTGCCACTGGAACACATCTCCCTTTGGGCTGTTTCAGGTAGCCGTTGCGACCAGAATAGTCCTCTGCCTCTTTAGCAGCAGGCACGCTTCGTATTCGAATGGTAAAGTGACGGCCGCGAGCTCGACCATCTGGTTAAACGATGTACTAAGGCCAGTTGGTCAACGAAGCTCTTGGTTAACACTGTGGAAGACCTGTGTATGTTTAAACACTGCTCAATAAAAGCGAGCAAGTGGTTTGAGAGCACAGAGGCGTATGATTCGTTCGAGGCCATGTGCGCTAGGGTTTTTGTTATTCCAATACAAAAAGCATCGTGCCTTTTTGCCTCGATGACAAACAAGTTGTCTGCGTTATTAGACGAAGTGAAGGACAAGCGTTTCTTCTTGATCCGCATTTCCTAGATCAATAGTCGAACAACGTGTTTCGAATCGAACATTCAGGACCTGTGAGGCCGAAGCTGAGGAAACATTGATCGGCGGAGGGTAGGACGGACCGCAGATTATACCCGTGGTCCCTTCAGCATCAGGCGTCGTGGTCGTGTCGCAGTCGGCAGATCCGTCGGTAGAAATCTGCGTAAATGAGTCCCCGCTGAGCGGCTGCTGAGACCGACTCAACCAGGAGGAAAGGTGACCACGTGCGCGCCATTTGTCGGTATGGGACAAGCCAGCTTGTAGGGTCGATAGAGGTATATTTGATTTCTGTTCAAATCATCAATCAAAGCGTGCCATCACTTTGGATCTTAAGCCTCTAGACATCGGAAGCGGGATCAATGGTTTTTTGTAATAGCCGTCAAACTCGCCCCCGGTCATTTTCCATATGATTAGTGGCTCCAGTAGAACGACGCGCAAATTAGTGAGTGGCTGTGCATGACGTCCCCATCTCTGCTTGCACTGGTACTGTTCGTCGTAAGCTAGGCAAATGCCTAGGTACTTCACGTCAACGACATCCATGTCTCCAGAGGTAGGATTTTCTCACCAATTGTCGGCTGCGCTGAATGTGAATCCCCGCTTATGCCAAACTCGATAAATTCGATCATTGGAAGGCGTCGTTTGTAATCACAAATAACGGCTTCAAAGAAGTTGTGCCACGTCTCTTTCATTGTAATAAGTGAGTGTGAAACTTCCTCATCTGGATGCACTCATCCATTGAGAATACAAGACCCCTTTCGGGTCTTGCTATCCATGTGAGATGAGTCGTTTCCGCCAAAACACTGTAGGGAACGTTTTCGTTCGTCATTTTGAGTATGTTTGGTGTCGACATCCTGGTTACGGCGGTCGGTGCACTTCCCATTCAACAATCGCATGTTGGGGATAGCGGTTCAAAC